TTCGGCTTTCAGATGCTATGCTCATAACAGGCAGTAATGATGGAGATGTCAGAGCTTCATTACTAGAATACACCCCATCCGCTAACAAGTTTGCCATCTTGAGTAACATGGAAGTGCTCAAAGGTGATGATCGACCGATTCATCTCCTCAAATTATATTCTGAGAAGGTAAAGCAGCAAACCTCATTAAGCCAAAGCTTCTCTCATTCAACAAAGTCGCTTTTCAAATAGACTGGGTCACCAAAAAAGCTCGCTATAGCTAGAGGAAATCAAATATTTGTGTGGAATCTCCCCGACGACTTTACTCATTCATTTGCACCAGACTTTCAACCTCAGTTGGCTGGTCTGGTGATACGACTAGAGCCTGATGTAGCAGGTGAATCACCTATTCAAGTTACTATTCGAACGTCGTTTCAACTGCTAACCCTTTCCCAACAAAAAATTACTAGCTCTGACATTCTCAACCGATGCAAGTCAACTTACAGCCTACTACCCATCTGGCTCAGTATATCAAATCCAAGCAAGTGATAAACTCACACTTGGAGAAGATATGACGGAAGCAGTACAAGCACAACTATCTTATTACTCTATTCCCGGTGAGGAGCAAGATGCAGATCAACAGGCAGATGGTGAAGAGGATGGAGCCAATCGAACAGGCGCTTATGAAGAGCGTTTTGCTAGATTCTTTGGAGCTGTTCCGACTACTTGTGGTCTCTATGATGCAGTTGCTTTCTCGTAAGTCTCATATGTGTTATTGTGTTGTTTGTTTTGGATAGCGATGATGATGTCAAAACTGGACGATGCTGGTGATTTCTCGTTGACAACTTGAGCAATTACTGCGAAAGTGGATTAAAAGCCTTTGTGTCTCAATTTTTTGGTTCCATTAGATACTTTACCAAGTCCATCATTCAGTACGCCATGCCACATGCAGTTGATACAGTCATTTCCTTACTTCGACGTGACATTGATAAACCTGAAGCCCGAAAATTGATTGAATCTCACCTTTCCAACTTTGTTCAACTTGATCCATGTATGTCCAAGACATTGATGGGAATTCTGATGTCGTGGTCATTCAGTCGTGTAAGCTGATTTTTTTTCGGTCCCTCTAGTCCTCAAATCATCACCAATGCAAGCACTCGGAGATGTCGTTCAGTATTGTGCTTACGATCTCGCAGAACGTCAGGATCGTCCTCCGACTCCTCCTCCTGAAGGTCCCACTACTGAAAAGAGAGGTCATGCGATGGATGTCGATCAAGAAGTACCGTACTTTGATGAATTGTCGAAGGTGCTCAGAGCCATGTATAAGAATGAGGAATCTACCGCTCCAATTCCAGCAAGAGGGTATGTTACGCTACAGAGCGTACAGCATTGAGACTCTATTGGACTTCACTTTTTTGCTAACTATTTTCACTTTGTTTTCCGATAGAGCATCAACTGATATTACATTACGAACACTCTTGTATGGTGATGATCGCATCAATTCTTTACGAGTGCTAAATTCGCTGTATCAGAGTTTCAAGGTGAATGGGAAAGATTCACACTGAATGTTGGTCATGTTCTCACTATCCTCCTTGGCATGTTAGACTGTCCCGGCCATCAAGACCAAGAAACTCGACAAAAAGTACGATGACAATTGTATGGCTCTGTACAAGCATTACGTGGATACAGCATCACAAGTGTTGCTGCATTGCGTCGATATTGAACCTTCATTGGATGGTATGAGTCGCATTGACCCTGCTCCCTTTTCTCTCACGTTTTACTAACAACAAACCACTGCATTCGTCTCCTATTAGAACGCTCAATCCGCTTCATCGCAAGAATATGTGCTGAAATCATTCGAAATCCTCGTGCCTTCCCAAATATGTCTGAACGAGTCGCTCAAATACTCGCAGCGCTAGCTGCAAAAGTGCAACCAGATGTCATGGCTCACATGCACTTACCTACCACGCCAGAAGCTATAAATGCTATTGCTACAGGAGCTACTCCATTCCCTGCTACTGACACATGTCCTGCTTGTAATGTCACTCTGACACTTCAGAGTCCGTTTGGTTGTAAATGCCCTAATGGTCACGAGTTTGGTAAGTCTGGCTACTATATTGGTGAAGATTGGCGTTGATGCCCTTCGACGCACTGGTGCATGGGTTTGTTTTTGCTAGAGCATTCTTCATTTCTAATTTCGTTCTATTCGTCTCTTTAGATCGTTGTGCAATAACTCTAGAACTCATTTCAACGCCAAACATAAAACGATGTCTAGAATGTGTTCGAGTCATGCTAGCTCATGACAACCAAACACAAACCAATGATGGAGGAGGACAACACATGGGAAATGGTACTGCTGCTGATGTAATCATGCATCCTATACTTCCTGCCAGATCAAAAAGCATGATTGAGAAATGGATGGAAGCTTGTACTGTATGTGCATATTGCGGTAATAGGTGGTACCGAGTTGATGGTCAAATGGCACCATAGCAACATGAGAGGGAAGAGGGGAGAAGTAGAGATGTTGCGAGGGTGAAAAGACCTTTTTGGGCAAGGAATAGAGAGGAGAGTGGCGAGATTGTTGTATAGTAGGTTGGGTAACTTACACAAACATATGAGGAGTACATGTGTACAAAGCTTTGGCACCTTGTGAAAAAAAACTGAAAGCATATTCTTTGTAGAGGAGTGTAGATAGAGGTCAATATAAAACGTTGCACTGTATTACAAGTTGTATCGGTACATGACTACAAAATTATAGATACCTACCATTGCCCAGTCATCAAGTTGATACCACCGTATTTGGAAAGCCCAAGACTTGGCAAACACCATAATTGATACTTGAACCATCTCAAGGATGGCGTTTCGTTTTTCCTATCACTTGAAACATGTTCGTCATCGATCAGATACTTAAGTCCAAGTACTAGTACGTTAGGTGTTTCGTGAGTTCTGAGTCACTCTTACGGTGAGATCTACCCCGTGTTAGAGGTGCAGTGGAATAGTCCTTCGATAAGCAGCATGTTCATAGCACGAAGCAGCCAAAAAGTGTGTACTTTGGAGTCCAACGCCCTTTGAATCTGTGGCTCTTGGCTATTGCAGTTCATATAAACTGGTACCGAAGCATAGACCAAAGGCACAAGAAACCAATCTGACCTTTAAAAAATAGATTCTTGGGTAAAACCTAACTTGAAACTCCTCAAGGTTCAACAACCTGCCTGAGGCACCAATCGCAGACCAAATTCCACCGTCCAAAGCGTCTCTCATGGGTGTACAGCACTATGAATGGACAGTATGAGCATTTAAAGCAATTGACATCTCCCCGTACCGAATGATATTCGGGTCTAGATGGACAAACACAAATCTTGAAAATGATGACTTAAGTCATCATTTCCACGTACTGGTTCCAGTAAAATGGCACTTCAGGGAGGTTAAAATCAGTCAGCTACTTCAAAATCCCGTATTTGACGTTTAATCCTCCTTCCGACTTCACCAACAAATTGGTTGCCAAACGGTGCTCTCAACTCCATCATCTTAACCACCAATCCAACAAGAATTCAGCAAGGATTGGTAAAGATGGCCTATGAGACCAATCTCTGGGCATCCAGACAATTATAGGTACGTTACATCAGCATGGTAATTGCTCTGCCTACTAAAGGCGCTTATAACCTCTAAATACCAAACGTAGTACAACCGAACTCACCATTCTCGATATTTATCTCGTTTTCGTACATAGGCCACCAGCTTCAGCAAAGGAGAAAAGAGCAGAATGTTCATATCATGAAGAATTGAATACTCTTGCTGATTTCTATAGAGCCCCTGCGCCTCTTGGATCTGTCGCCTCTCTCCATCGTATCGTGAGCCAAATAAACTGCCACCGAGGTAAGTTCAAGGCAGTCTAAAGCCGCACGAAAGCAGTCTCGTCCTTATACGAGACAGCTCCGCGTAAAGAACCTAACTTCAACCCTTCAGAGTTCCGACAAGCTGCCTTTGAATTGTCAGTCTCCTACCGATTTCACCCACAGAATGGGTGCAATCATCGTTCTCTGTCGCGTTTTGTGAAAACGATAAACGATGGCTTCCATGGTCTCTGACTGTCCAACACACACTATTTCAACAAGAGTCATATAGTATCTACTCGTTAGCGAAACGAGCGCATGTCAGTTCGGTCCCAGATTTGCACAAAATTCCATGTCTTGCGCAAATGTACCTTCACACAACAGTATGCCTTCATTCGTATTCCGAGCAACACCACCCAAATTTTCACGCATTGGTGACGGTGTTCAGTATGCTTCATCAACTCTTGATAGTACAGTATGACCGTCACCTACATGCGGCCAAAAAACCACTACTGGCCGCCTTCGCATTGCCCACGAATCTTTGGCAACTAGGTCTTACTCGGAATCAAACCGCTATTCTTCTTGATGATAGATCAACCGCCTGAACACACGAGAAGAATTTGAATTAGTATAGCAGACAGAAGGAATTCACATCGGTTGCAACAAGCTCCAACTTCTTACCAAAAAACAACTTGGTGTCCCTTGGCATTGAGATACACCACAAACGATTCAATAAACGACGGGGTTGCCAACACCAGGAGATCTTAACGAAATTATAGAATACTGTTCCACCGACAAAAACAGTCGACCTCTTGATGTGTGATCCCACCTGGAGCAAATTATATGTAGTACCCAATAGATTAATACGAAAAATAGTTGGAAAAATTGACAGCGTACTGCGTCCTTTGTAGTATGACCGAAGAAAGCGAGGACAGTTTTTGAGCTCTCCTACGATGCTTTAAAAAGAAGGGGCCTTGGCAAGGTGTGACAACAGGAGAAAACATTGGGTCCTTTGCAAAGGAGAAGAGAGAGTTCAATGAGAAAAAGCTGCAGTGTTATTATGTACAGGGTGCTCTAGATTCAATTGTGTTATGTTCTTGTTTCGAAATGTCCTCCGTTTTTGTTTGGTATGTTTCCTCTCAATTGAACCCCTCCCTACTCCACCCAAAAAGACAGGCGCCGGGCTGATTCATTGAGTCAGGGCTTGATCATGTATAAAAGCTCTCACGCAATCCTCAGCGGCTTGACCCGATGTAATATCACCTCTAAACACTCCCGCCTCTAAAGACAACACCATATCCTTGACGTTGGAATCCGTCTTGAGTCGCCACAGCAACTCATCAGTAATTTGTTGCCACATCCACTTCTTCCTTTGTAGGCCTCTTTTGGTGTGCAATGACCCTGATTCCTGGTTAAAGGATAGAGAATGTGGACGTTGAGAGAAAGATCGGGATGGAGCAATCGCAAAGGATATAAAGAGACGAGCAAAATAAAGGTATCTACTCCTCAACTAATTCTGACCTGCATGATCTTGTAATACTCTTGCATAGCTTCCCACACTTTGTCAATCCCTATATTCTCGGCGCTAGACATGGCTAGAACTTTAGGACGCCAATCTGGATGTGCAGGTTGAGAAAACTTGAGTGCTGATGTGTATTCCATCTATTCGTGTTATTTCAAAAGGCGTGAGGTGCAAAAAAGACTGGACTTTAATGTTGCTGGAAACAAAAGGTTGTAGATGTACCTGAGCGGCTCTAGCAGGAATAGCCAATACACCATCAGCCTTGTTTACGAGAATCAAATCAGACATTTCGACAATTCCCTTCTTCATTCCTTGTAGTTCGTCTCCTGCACCGGGAGCTACCAGGAGTGTAAACATGTCTGTCATATCAGATACCCTGGAATACGAAACCAATTTGTTCCTGTTTTTTTGGACTCGTGTGCGCCTGAAGACTGTAAAGTTGAAAAAAGGCCTTACATCGTTTCCGATTGTCCAACACCTACTGTTTCAACAAGGATGATATCATATCCACTTGCTAAAAGCGAATGCATTTTCAGTAAATTGCGATTTTTTAGCTTGCTGCGACAAATTTACTTGTGGCAGAACATACCTTCACACAGCAGGATCGCCTCATTCGTATTCCGAGCAACACCACCCAAATTCCCGCTTGTTGGTGACGGTCTCACGTATGCTTCATCAGCTCTTGACAGTAAAGTCATACGAGTCTTGTCACCTAAATGGGGCCGAAAAAACCATGGTTGGTAGAACCCTTAAGATTTCACTCCAATCGTGCTTCTCACCTAGAATCGAGCCACCAGTTCGTGTTGATGATGGATCTACGGCCTAAAGTACAAGGCAAGAATATAAATACTCGATAGCAGAGAGATTGAATCCGGTAAGCTCATATATGAGCTTACCAAAACAGCAACTTTGTGTCCTTTGGCAATCAGAAACATGCCAAACGTTTCAATAAAGGAGGATTTCCCCACACCAGGAGATCCTAAATCAATTAAATGTAAGAACGACAAAGAAACACGATGCATTTTGTAATGATTGATGCAACTTTGCCCTAAATACGAATCTGTTACCGGATAATCCAACACGAAAAGTAGTTGGCCAATTAGCCACCGTGCTAGTTCTCTTTTTAGCATGATCCAGTACAAGCGATAACAGTTCCTGAGCTTCTTTACGATGGTCTGCTCGTGTTGATTCGACTAACAACCAAAAAGTGGTAAACATTTGATGATGATCAAAAGCAGTCCAAACATAGAACGTATAACTGACCTAGAGTAATAGACCTAGCTAATGCAGCGCGGTCTCCACTTATTAAAGCATTAAATAGCGTTGAAATACGTTCAGAAGCTACCAGTCGTGGAATTGCTCGTCGTGCTTTCTGACCATAGCCCATTGATGCGAGTCTTCGTATCGACTGATGCAGCATCTCATTTCGATGACTGCTGTTGGTATATGATGGCAGTACCCTCAGACATCTACTAACTCGATTCATCATCCTGAAAGTCTGCATACTAGCGGAGATTCAAATATTTGAAGTTTGCCCTATTCAAACTTCGAATCGCGAAGGTCGCCCTTGCAAGACACTCACGACGATATTTGCCTGAGATAGAACATCTATGTTTGACAGGAAAAAAAAACTACATAATTGCATTTTTAAAAGCTTTTACTCTCTTCCCCCCAACAACTTTAAGCCTTCCAAGCAACGCTTCCAGAAGAAGTCTTGGCCCTCTTAGCAGATCGACTACCGTCTTCAGGGGCAGCTGCTATAAATGTTTGTTGCATCAATTGCTGTTGTTGGATGGCGGATAGTTGAGCTAGACCCTGTAAGAATGGAATGGTGGATTGTGTTATGGGAGTTTGGACTCCTTCGGCCCCAGCAGCCAATATGTGGGGTTGGAAGACGAGACCACTTTCAGTATATAAATCATTAAGTTTTTTGGCACCATCACGCTCTGTGACGACACTTCTCAACCATTTGATTTCCATTTCATATTCCTTGATTTTTTGTTCCATCATCTCAGCCTGTTGAACACGAGGGTTAGGATGGGGTTTGGGACCAACAAGCGGGTTGATCTATTGCATACCCTCTGAGTCATATCCTTTGCAGTACGTTCCAAGGCCTGTTCCTTCAACTTTTTCTTTTGACGGAATCTAGCAGAAGCCAGAGTATTCCTTCGCCTCTTTTCCTGTTCATCGGGAGTCTTTTCTTCAAAGCTCTTGAATACTTTGGTTGATGGAGTACCGTTGGATGATGATGATGGAGAGCCAGTGTTGTCGTGGTCACTATTATCGATGTGATGGTTGCTGTATCGGGGAGCCGAGATGGTAGCCAATAAGTTTGCAATGGAAGGGTTTGATATCAGGGTAGCTAGAGCTAGTTGATCAGCCACGGTGGGAGCTGGATGCTGAAGAGAAGGCATAGTATTGGCCAAGGTGGAGTCATCGGGAGACGGCATGGATGGAAACAATGGAGAGTGTCTGGAGAATATGAATAATAAATTAGTATCTCATGTAAATGAAGTACCATATGCTGTTCCTCTTCTCTCCCTCTGTAACTTCTTCCAAAACATGACGATATTTTCAATGCGGTGAATTTTTCTTTTGCCAACATTTGAAATGTTGGAGGAGCATCCCAGAAGAAAGAGAGAGGGAGGCCATCCATACTGAATATTGGTGTGTAGTACTCACGAGAACATTTCCAAGGCAGGAGGAGTAGATATCGATTCCTGTCGTTGCATATCGGGGCTACCTTGACTGAAATCTGCGTTTAGCCATGAGTCCAACTCCTGGTCGTCCTTTGTGTGATGGAGACTATCTAGATATTGCTGCAAGGGATCCATATTGGCTCCCTATCCTGCTCGCTCTCTTCTCTTTGGGTGCGTTGTCGTGGATGATACTTTTTGCTGTTTGTCATCCAGAATCTCACGTAAGCAAGCAAACAAAATTGGAAATCTCAGTCTTTGCAGTTATCGACACTATGATTGAGCACAAGATCTCAACAGATCCAATGCATGGTACATTATTCAACACGCGCTCTGCTGCTCATTTGCACGTGAAGATATCGTCTTGCTGGCACTTTTTCGTCCAACGGGACGAACACGGAACTCGCCATCACATATGCTCCCACTACTTACTACACACCCCTTTTGTATATTTCATGAATACTTTTGATTCGTGAAATGCTCTCTCTAGATGGGGCTGAATGTGTGAAGATCTTCAAGCAATGAAAGACGCCAGTACACATTTTGACATATTTCGTCGTTCTTCACGTCAATTTGCTACCTTGATGCACGTGGTCTGGCTACTTTTGACATATTTGGATCTACTCCCTACAGAACATGTATCAAACTCGACAACAGTAACCCAAATTCAACAACTATTATGGACGACGTGTTTCTAACTTCAAGGCTTGGTAATCTCTTTGCCTCAAACGGATCGTTGACGTCGTGCTGCATGTAGTGCAATGGTGGTGTCTTTTGCTGAAACTTCGTCTTTAAACTTGACATCACTGTCTTGTTGTCAAAGGGTGAAGCCTGAAGTTCACGATACAAACCAACGTCAAGTTGTGGTGGATTGCAACCATCTTCAAGCAGCATCGTCTGTTTCTCTTTGGGCTGATATACGGAAAACGTGATTGAAACATCAATCAAGATCCAACAATTGCATTCATCACGTCAGACTGCTGCTAGACAAGGAGTCCTAATGATAAATACGATGTATTGATACAATTAAATACGATTTATTGATACAATGAAATTCAGTTGTCAATCTGCTGGGTCACTTATTCCTCAGAAACAGAAAGAGAAAAAGGATTGACTGCACAGTCGAACAAACGAATATTGTGTGGGAAGTGATTCAGTATTTTACTCAAATCTTGCCACGTAGCACTCTCTGGACTTTCTAGTTGCACATATTCGACGTGAATCGAGGCCTCTGGAGACTAGGAGCAAGAGTACAAAGTTCCCCATTTTTTTTGAAGAGTTTTTGAAAGGGATAAAGGCTCACTTCAAAGTCCAAATTGCATGAAATTCAATGCATTTTCGGTCTACAGACGTAGCAAATACATAGCAAAATTGATGTCGAAAAGCCTGAACTGGTTTGAATGATGAGATCTCTTAAGTGTTTTAGTGACTATGGCACAATCTGGTTCTTTAAGTGGTGTTTTACACAAGATTTGCGTACTTTTGAAAAGAAGATGATACTTTCTAACATAGTCAACCCTCCCAGCCCCATGATTTTAATTTTTACAACGATCTACAAAAAGAGCATCTTCCTTCTGCCAAACCAACTCACTAAATCTTTGCCCATGCCACATCCTACATGAAATTACGGTTACAGGCTCGAACAAACAAGTCAAAGCAACGCATTGTTCTGTTCAGAAAACAAAGGCTTACGTCAATCAATCGACTACATTTTTTTGTCACCATCACAGTCAATATCAGTGTTCCCATTCTATTCAAGATTATTATTGCTCTGATTATAACTCTTTGGTGATGCTGGTGGTGCATTGTTGGAACGAAAGACGTGCAATGTGTATTCTTTAAACCAAGCTGTGCCAGGGAGGATACGTGGGTTGTCAATATATCTAGCCACACTAATATAATTACGGTGTGACCATGTTGTTCAGAGCCGTCTGTACTGATTCGTCACCACCTCGAATCGTAACGACACCACCAATTTGAGATGAAAATATTGACGTTGGCTGGTGATATGCGAGTTAAGACCGAAGGAAAATCATTCTGGAGGTCCGTTTCGACTCGAGCAAGACGTGAGACGAGAGCTCTCAATATTGGGATTGGTACAACGACGGCTTTCTGAATCACTCTACAGACAAGTATCAAGAATGTCTTGATCAGTATCTCAGTCTTTCGTCTTTCAAGACATTTGAGACATTTGAAAGCTTTACCTAGGATAGCTGGCCTACAAACTTCGTTTGTCGGAGTGCAAACCCAGGAACAAAGAAAAGAGACGACAGCCACAACAGATTCCATCCTATAGATACCCCCACGTAGCTATACGGAAGTAACTACTTTTAGTGCCAAATAGCATGATTTTTAGGTGTGTCTTACCGTAAATAGCTGTTCAATCACAAAGAAGCCATTTGCGGCCAAAGTCTCAAAACTTACTTTTCAAACTTTAAGGAACAACAGTTCACATCGTAGCTCCCATACCATTCCATCAACTCAATAAATTTGTCGAATCCGTCTTCATTTTGATAAAGCTCAAAAGCGAAACCTTATCACCAAAAGCAAAATCCAAAATATTGAAGTTTTCGACAACAAGAGACAATAAGGGGGACAGAACCTCAGTTATTAAAGGACGTGGCTAGCACACTGTGGCTTTATTATAAATAAAAGACGGGTCAAGCGGACTGCAGAACAAGCAACCCCAGTACTTCGAGAGTCTCGCGCCTTGTGGTCCAACACCAACGGGCCGTGGGAATCGACAAAGAAAAGGATTAAAGCGAATAAGCTACAGAAGTTGTTCAGGCTTCCTTCTGCCTTTTTGCTAGACGGCTAGACGAAAAAACATTTAGCTCTTCAGAGGTTTTAGTTTTGTTCAATGTACATCTATGACTTTTATGCAATAAATTTTTGGGAAAGCAAATCAGGCGAATCCAAAGCCTAGCAATGAAATCGTTTTAGTCCTATATCACACCTTCCCACCAGGCAACGAGTAAGACATTGACAAGACTCACCTGTACCACATTCCGAGATAGCTAACAATAGATTGGAACGAAGATTTTCATAGGAATCATAAGCCGGCAAGTCAATTTGATTGAAGCTAAAGAGAATTTCAAAGACGTCAGTCAAACCTCTCGAAAAAAGCAAAACAACAAACAACATCAAATACTTACCATGTGTGTGCGGAAGGTAGACGTTTGATATTAGCAAAGTCCTTGTGGATTTGGAAGCGTTGCACACCGTTCGACCCTTGCAGCTGTGCAAATCCTTCCAAAGGCACCTTTGACGTACCAGTAACAAACTGTACCAATTTGGCTCTCTCTTCTTGTGAGAAGCTTCTGACTGCTCGCCAAAACCATTGGATTTGTGGCGACGATGCTGCATAGTTGACATATTCCGTATGAGCCTTCATATCATCAATATCAATATCGGGTAGACCTGAAATGAGCAGTTCGAGCTCCTGTTCATTAAAGATCTTGATGAGGTCTTTGGGGATTATATCATGGAAGCCAGAGAGGAACGCCTGGATTTGATCCTTGATGGCTACCGTCAACTTTTGCTCGGTGATCAACTTTACATACTCCTGCTTGTTATCTTCTGTGACGGCAATGTTTTGACCGTTGGGCTTCAAGTCGATTACTTTGGTTTTACCAAAATCATCGACTTCACTACTAAAATTCAGATCCAAGATATTGGTAATATCATTATTCAACATCCATTCCAAACTCTTGTGGAAGTCAGGATCAATGGCTTCCATATCCCTCCAATCCACAGGTACCTCCAACATACACTTATAAAAGGATCGAGTGAAGAAGCATTCGAGGAGTTTGCCGTCATATATAGCCTTACCGATAATTCTTCCAACAAACTTGAAGAGAGTCAAGTGTTCGCCGTTAATCCATGATGATCGATTAGGTTGATACGTCACCTTGTCAGCCGCGGATGGCTTGAACAAGGCATAGTTGGGGTTGAACATTTGTTTTGTCAACACTCCAAACCATTCTCGAGTAACACCCCCTGCATCAATACCCTCTTCATCTACAAATCGTACTGAGAGTTTACCATACTTGATTTCTTCACCAGAGTGACGTTGTAGCTGGTGATACGAGTCATCAAATACATATGGACGACGGACGTTGATTTCCAGTGTACCGTAATGATCCCGAGCAGTACGTTTATGTAGTTGTTGATTGAAGTATGTCCTCTTGTTATCAAACTCGAGCACGTTCGGATTGTGGATGAGAAGGGAGAAGGAGCCATTCATTAATGACGGATTATTGCGTACCATTACATTCAGTATCTGCGAAAAAATGGATAAATTAATGACTGAACGATCGATTAAAGGCACAGCAAATCAGTTCACTGCGTACTTTGCGATGCTCTCCCGTAAACTTCAAGAATGTCTCATTCTCTTCCACATTTGATAGTTCCTTTACAAGCCGTACTCCAGGAGGCATAGGCATGGCACTAGCTTTGACATTTGACGACTTCTTCAATACGTATGGTTTCGATACTACCATGAAGGCTTCAATCAGTGGAAGCAAGACTGTGGCGACTTGTACATATTCAGTGGTCTTGTCAATAATACTGAGGACCTCTCCTAGTATAGCCCACATTCGAGCAAAGCTGAGCTGATCATATATCGATATTAGAGTGTCCTTGTCTACTCTGTCGTCTTCCTTGGCCTCACTGGAAGCTTCTGCTGTTGGAGTAGTAATACCAGTGTTTAGTACAGCTGGAGTAGAAGCATCAGCCATCGTAGTATCGCCACCTGTAGCTTCCGTACTTGGTGCTGTGGTGGCGGTGGTTGTAGTAGGGGCGGCAGGAGTGGTTGATGGGACTGCAGGCTTCTCGGTTTGTTTCTTTGAGAAGACGACATCGATGGTCTTGAGCAAACGTAATAATTTGGCTTGCTGAGACGATGAAGACGAGAGCTTGCCCAAAATGGCAGCTTGGACCTGGACTACTTCAGCACCAGTCTTGAGAATCTTACAAAGTTCATCCAAATCGCCATATATAGTATCGCCAAGTGTTTGGGCTGATTGAACTGCCTGGCGTGCCATGATTTGACGATTATCACCCAATGCAGCAAGTTGTTGTATGACTTGCAACGTAGACTGGAACCTATTTTGTTTGAATTGTATAAGTTAACAGTCCTAAAGTTCAGAACGCCTAGGCAATGACACAAAACACATTCAACAATACGTACGTCTTACTACTACATTCCCCTGCTGTCAGTACATTCATAGAAGCTTGTATGTATGGCTCAGGTATAACCAGCTTTTCAAGAAGGTTGATTTGAGCTTGTCGTGGATCTGGTACTGGAGCACTACTAGTTGAAGTCGACGGTGTAGTTATAGAAAGTGTCGAAGGATCTGCTGTTGTACTAGTCGTTGTTGCCGGTGCTTCTGTTGTCGCATTTGTTGCAGCTGCACCCTCGCCACTAGCAGCTGGTGGATTTGTCTGAGTAGTAGTAGGAGGCTCTGTTACTGTAGAAAGCTTCCTATTGCCGAGTATAGCCAAAGGTCTGACAACCAATGATAACAAGTGCATCAAACTCTCCATTATGCTCGAGTCGCCCAAGAAGGTTTTCCGTTCCAAGAGACTAAAGAGAATCAAGACAGGCAGCTTGTGAGCTGCCTTCTCTTTTCCTTTGCCTTTACGATTCGACACAGCCATCCTTGAAGATTTTGTGAAGCTTTGACCAAAGGCTTCACTTTCCATCAAGAAGAGATGTGCAACTTGATTGTTGAATTGCACTAGATGCGTAAGGGCATCCAAACATCTTACTGCAACTGTCGTTGCTGAAGTCTCTGACACGGTATTATTACTACTATGATTTGGAACGGAAGGTGCTGCGAACGGAGATGCCATTGGAGTACCAGCAGTAGATGGTGGTCGTGGAGTGACTGGTGTTTTTGCCTTGACTCTACCAGATTGAGAGAAGCTCCGCTCTATACCAGTCAAGTCCCCTGTTCCATCAGCCAACAATGATAACAGCAAAGAAACTACTTCTAGACGAGTTTTGGCGTTTTCTGCCAAGTTTGCTAATATTTTATGGAGAAGAAGGTTCTTGCCATTGACGGGTTCAGGCAAAAACAGGAGGCGAACAATCATGGAGAGCTGTGACCTATCTACTACTTGCATGACATCACGACTAACCAGCTTCTTCTTTGGTGCTTCAGCTGCTATAGCTGCTGGACTACCTGCAAGAGCACGATGGGCTCTCAACGTTTGTATATGACGATTACGGTTGAGTCTTTCTCGAAGGTGTGTTGCTTCAGCCAATAATCCTGGCGGTAATCTTGACAAGAATACATCGTCTTGCTCCAATAATATATTTTGACGCAAGTCTGGGTCAAGAGTTGCGAGGAAGGTAGCTGGATCCATTTCAATTGGACCACCAGCGTTTGCGGCTGTGGCACCTTCTCTAGCACGGGTAGCTCGAGCAGCTTCTAGTTGTTCTTGCTCGAGGATTTCCTGTCTTATATCTGGAGGAAGAGCGTCCAAGAATTCTGGATTGATGGCAGCTGACATTGTAGCAGAAGCAGAAGTTCTAGCCTGTTGACGATTTTCACGCAAATGCTGAGCGACTACTTCTTGACGCATGTCGTCGGGGAGAGCTTCCAAGAATTCAGGATCAATGCCAGTTCCTAGAAAAACGAGAGGTGCTATTGATTGGGACGACGAACACCCGTTGGAAGGCAGGCAAATCAGACACTTACCAGTGATATCCACTTCACGACCATGAATGGTTACAATAGTTCTGACTATTTCTGCAGCAGGAGCTGGAGGTTCAACACTTACAGCTGCTGGTTGATCAGCATCCATGGGTACTGTAGCTGGTTCAACAACTGGTTCAACAACTGGAGCAGCAGCGGCAGCTGCTGCAGCAATAGCAGCCGCCTCCTCGGCTGCTTTAGCGGCCTTGGCAGCAGCTTCTTCTTCCTCCACTCGTCTCTTTTCAGCTTCAACACGTTCGTTTTCTTCAAGTATACGACGTAACTCGGCAGACTTTTCTTTACGTTTACGTTCCTCTTCCATAGCTTCAGGAATGAGGGCATTGAGAATATGATTTTGCAGTCTCAATGCTCGATCTGGATAACCGGCTCGATACAAGATACGTGCTTGTTGAGTCCATCGTTCCATAGTAGAGCTGACATTATAACTGCGCACTATACTATCTTGTTCTGATTCTGGTGTTCCTAAAACTGCAGCAGCAGCGCTAGTCAAAGTACCATTGGGAGATACATGAGGAGGTAGTGCACCAAGACCTGCACCAGGAGGTACAAGTAGATTGGGCAAACCGACTGCTCCGCCAATAGGCAGTTCAGCACGTAAAGCACGAGCAGCAGCAGCGGCACCTCCAGCTCCACGAGCAAATATCTGCTGTAATATTTGCAGTGCTTGTCCCCCAACGAGATCATCGAATGCTTGGAAGTCTATTTGCATATCTCCTAAGCGACCACGTGCTCGAGCAGCCAAACCTCTTGGGTCTGCTGCTCGTTCGTTCTGAGCGACTTCAGCATCGTTAAGTAATAGTGGATGAGTAAGACGATCATCGTGTCGAGGTGCAGTACGGGGAAGCGTAGGGAATGGATGACCGTATGGATTATATCCTGGATCAGGTTGATCCCGCCATTCAAATATAAATCTATCAGCGCCCATTGGACCATCAGCATCAAAGTCCAAAGGAGCACGACGACGACGACCACCAAATAATCTATGTGCTATTCGACCAGCTTGGCCTGGACGACCAGCCATACCACCTAATGGACGATTGGCTTGAAGTTCCAGAGCTTCAAAGTCTTCTTCTCCAGCTCCTTGAAGATCGAATGCGTCTAATGGTGCTAGATACGGTGGGATGGGATCGTCTTCTTCCGTTTCTTCACCATCATCATCCAATATTATACCACCTTCGTCTTCATCGTCTTCTTCGTCGTCTTCGTCACCGCCATCTCCTTCGTCATGTTCGTCTCCTTCATCTAGATTCATGGCAGCACCGTTTTCTCCGAAAGGCTCAACGATACCATGATCATGATCATGTTCAGCATCTAGGTAGGCATCTTCATCGACCCAGTCTGAAGCATCATCTGGACCACCGTCTTCACCTTCTATGACTTCGACTATAGCGTTATCATTCCCATGACCATGAGGTCCAGGAGGACCATCATCGTCTTCGTCATCTTCCTCCTCGTCTTCATCTTCCATATGATCGTGAGGTTGATGATATGGTAGAGTGATTTCCATATCGTCATCTGGATTGGAGCCCTGTGAAAACCAAAGGTGACTTTGTTAGAGAGAACGCAGAGAGCTGATGCTTCGCTCGAATGCGCGAACTTACGTTGTCGTCGTCATCATCCTCATCGTGTTCATCATGCATATCAGCATCCGAGACTTCTTCTCCTTCTCCATCAAACGAGTCATAGTCTTCTTCACCTCCATCATCTTCGTCATCTTCAGTGTCATCACTGACATCGTGCTCAGCATTGTGCTCAGCATTAAAGATACCAAGAGCTGAATTACGGTAAATGTCGGAGGTGTCGTCTACTGGCATATCTGTTGCGACACCTTCTGGCAATATAGGTATTGGTATGGCTTCTTCAGCTGCAGCTGCAGCTCCACCAAGGCCAAGTTTACCAGGTGCATCCGGTGGTTTGGGTACTCGAGTAGCAGCTTTCGTGAGTACTTCAATGGGTTTAAGCAATGCTTGCACCACTAGTTTCGACTTTGGATGATGAATATCGATTTCAGCAATCATACTTGTTAATGCTCCTACAAATCCTTTATCGAGCATAATACGAGTAAGCGAGTTTGAATTGTCGTCGTCGTTGGCACCAGCTTCATCAGGTGTATTGCGATTAGCGAGCCTTCCAGTACGATCCGTAGCAGCTACTCTCATCAATAATATGCGATCTACTAGTTCCGCCAAGAGAGCGAATAGTGCGTATCGGTCATCACGACTACCGTCTGACTGAGCTACGACATCATTTATACTACTCTTGATGGCCTCTAATGTGAGTTTACGGACAGCCACATCGAGAGCTTGAGAAACACCTTCCTTGTCAATATCAGTTATGGAGCCACCACATAGTTCTTGTAGTAGAGTGAGACCCCAACAACTTTCCATCACCTCATCGCTTAGACCAGCAACATTATCTTCTTCTGGTGACTTGACGGCATTTGGAACCAGTTCATCCAACAAGTATGACAGGAAAGCTGAACCTGCTGGAGTAGGTGAGGCCTTGATATCTGAATCCGCTACTATACCAACGGCCGCAGCACGTGCAGCTGGATATGACGATACCAACTCGGTAAGACTTTGCAATAATACTATACGTCGTCGGTAAACCTGCTTTTTAGCTTCAGGTTTGAGTGGTTCCGCATTTGGTGCTGGACGCATTGCAAGCAATTCAGAGACCATGTATCCTACTACAAGACGATCTACCACTCGAACCTCGGCTACATGAGGTTCTTTCGAAGAAGCGGATGCTGCAGCTGGAGTCGTGGTGGCAGCAAGTCCCTCAACTTCCATGGCTGTAGATGATGTTGGAGCACCGTCTTCAGCAGCGATAGCATCAGCAGGTTTGACAGTCTTTAGAGTTATTTGTTGTTGACGAGACAAAGCTTCATATCGAGGAATATGTGCAATGTTTTCGGTAGCTTTAATAAACGTTTCCGGATCACGACAAGCAATACCAGCTACAGCACGTAAGTATCCACCGATGTCTGTTGCTCGTGTTCGAGGTGTTCCAAACCATACACGAAGTTCTCGTTCCATGGCAATCAACAAGACTTCAGGATTCTCTACAATATTTCTCAAAACAATCACCGTCATTGTTGGCTGTTCTGCTACTAGAGCGATACGATCACTTTGGAAGAGAGCAGCTAGACCTCCTAATTCGACAAAGGAAACAGCTTCAGCTGCCTTCCTAGTCAATTGCACTACGAGAGGAAGAACTGCCGATAATAAAGCCTTGGGCAGGACTGTCTCGTTTCGTAAGAGACGGACCATGAGATGCAATAGATTAGCTCGTTCTTCTAAAGTCAAAGACTCGACAGGTGGAGGTGCTACATTGTTCATATCAGCATCTCTACTGCTCAAATCTGGATTTAATTTGACTTTACGAGGCTCTTCAGCTTGGGACAAGTATTGCGATACCAATAGTAGAATGGGTGGAAGCCATGCCGTCGACTGCTCATTTACAACTACATTGGATGTATGGCTGAGGAATTCTTTAACCAATGGCTTGACTGCATCCAGAACAGTTGTGTGAGGCAAACCTGCTTCATTCAGCAAGAGCGCCAATAATCTTAGCTCTCTAGCTTTAGCTGATGCTGCTTCTATACTTATCTCGGCGGATGTAAACAAGGCAGCCATTCCCTCCATAATACGTTCAATCCAACTCATATTATCGATTGCACAAAACATAAGTACGTCCTTCAATTCGAATATGGCAGAATCACGTATTTGAAGCAAGGTCAATGCTCTATCTACTGCATCCTTCATAGCTTCTGCTCTCAAAGCATCTAGTTCTGCTTTGGGAGTCAAAGAAGCTTTTGCCTTGCCATTCTCATCAGGTTGTGGAGAGTGTGATAATACTGGTGAAGCTGCGGATGGTACTGCAGGATTCTGTACGGTAACGTCCATGGCATCAGTATCGGTACGAGCCTGGACTGACATTGCTAAAGCTGCAGCTAATTGGGCAGCCTCATTATCGTCTTCTTCATCGCCTCCTTCATCATTGTCTTGAGTCATTGGATCTGATGGTGGATTGGCAACAGTTGGTGGCTCTGCAGCTGGAGCTTCAGCAGGCACTTGAGGATCAGCAGGTCCTGCAGCTGCGGCTCCTACTCCTGCAGCTGTTGCTGTAGCGGCAGTAGCTGTTGGAGTTGGTCTACTACGTTCCGCTGCAACGATTTCCGGATGAGAAATCAAGTACTCGGTGGCTCGACTTATATTATTACTATATCGAGTCAAGGCAGTCTCTGCTGCACCTCGAGGGAAGCCCATATCAGTCAATTGCTGGACTCGTTCCGGATCTGGTGCTGCTTGTGTTGGAGCACCGGCACCAAAGAAGGCATTGGAAAATGACTGCAATGCGCCAGTTCCGTTTGGCAAGGAAGCAGCAGCACCAACTACAGTTGGTGATACTTCACCGGTTGCTCTCAATATCTGCAGCAATATATTTACTACCAATCGTACTAGATTGGATGGGACTTTGGACAACAGATCACTTCTCCACAAGACTAAAATATGCGGTAGTACAGCTAGGCGATTCTGCACAAGCATTTCGTGAGCCAAGAAAGGTGTTTCGGATGAAGCGGGATATATCAGCACCAAATTGGCAGTATGTGGTGATTCAAGGAGCGCCTTATGGTTTGTCAAGAGTTTGATTATTTCCAGTACATCCTGTAAGAGCAACACTGCTGGATCTGTATTCTCTTTCGTCATGACTACTTTATCGTCGGCAGGTGGTAGCTGTTCTACTTTGTTCCAAAGATATTCGGCCACTTTTAGTAGACTTTCCATACCTCCAGTCTTTTTGAATGCAAAAGCTGCTGAGGTTTGCAACACATTGCCGGAGCGATCATCTGACAAGACATGGGTCAGACGAGCTATAGACATGGTCAAGTATTGCACAGTCTGAAGGGACTCGTCTCTCAATGCTCGTTGCCAATTGAGACCTTCAACCAGTTGCGAGACGAGCATATCTATTACTTTATAGGCTGACTTGCGGTGGTTGGCATCAGCAATTCTACGTGCCGTGACCAACTTCACAACCCCTGAAAAGGTGGAAAGATAGTCGGAATAAGTACGATGTGACAGTGTCGCAAAAAAAAACAAAGCCTCAACATTGCATGAACTGGGTCACATACCAAAGAAGATAGGTCCTAGTAGAGTTGATACACGAGACAGCAAGAACGCAAACAAGCGCACATTTCGTGCCTTCTTTTCCGTCCTTGGATCCTTGTCCTTCATGTCGACTCCATCGTCTCCACCAGCAGCAGCACCTTCAGAGCTAGTTGCAGCAGCTTGATCTGCTGCGTCACTCAAAACATTCATACTAGTTGACGACGGTAATACACCAGCCTTGTCTGCATTCTTCTTATTCTTTGGCTGGAACCATGACTTTGGCACAGACTTTCTCAACAAGGTATGCTCCCACGAGCAGACACTGAAAACAAAGTAAAAGTTTATCCAACTGGCGTACAAAACGGGGGATCTGTTGACTTACGATTGCAAGTGGACTAGAGCTTTGAGCATTCCTTCTGATTCCTTGGAAGCAAAAGTGTGTATAATGGCAACTGCACCTTTTCCTGGACCAACTGTATGTGTTCCGTATATATCAGACAAGAGCTTCATATAACCATGAATCTCTACCAATGACCTGAATATAGTCGAGGCGGTATCTACTTGCTCTGGATTTGACTCCCATAGTTCAATCAAAGACGAAACCATGGCGTCATTTCCGTCGTAAGTCAAGAAGGAGGATAATCGTTCTAGACTACGACGAATGGCTCCAAGAAGCGCTTCAATCACGGCTTTGGTATCAGCTTCAATAAGAATACGGAAAAGATAGCTCAAGGAATACGATGCTGAAGAGCTACCAAAGTCGTATGGTACGGATGGCAGAGAATAGATATCAAGTAGGATCGGGAGTGCACCAAGTTCAATCAGTTTGGCGCCATGCTCCTGAGTTGTCAATACACCTTCTACAAACTATGAACAGCAAAAAAAAAGCTGAGCGAGTATGTGCGAAAGAAATATCTGAGCATATTTTGATATTCGACCACTTACTCGGCTGACAGTCTCAACAAACTGTGAAATTTTGCTATCTCTAGGTGCATCTTTTGCTGCAACCGCTGCTTCATCTCTCTTACCATCTACTGCAGCAGCGTCCACTACAGTAGCATCCACTACAGTAGCATCCATCATCGTAACATCTCCTGAAGCATCAGCTACAGTTTCAGGAACCTCTGTTGATGACGATGCTGTGTCGGGCGACCCCTTGTTGACCATCAAATTAATATTACCGCCTTCATCTTCAATATGCATAGCTTTACCCATATCAACAATTGCTTTTAGCATTTTTACAATAGCAGTCGTGATTTGAGGTTTGAGAGCAGGGGTATGTCTCATCAATTCATCAAATGAGCTACCAACAAGATTTGGCACTTCGCCGTCATGAAGTGCACTCTGATACTGCTCCTCGGTAAAAACTGAGCAAAACCGATCGAATACTTCTGCTTCCAAGACAGCATTCAGTCCTTGTTCATTGAGACAAAGAGCTCCAAGAGCGTTTGGAATGGCAGAGACAACCTGTTGACGAGAAATTGAGCTTTGCGCAAGAAAACCACTGCGAAAAAGAATACAAAAATACCAAAAATACTAACCTCAGCCGAGACAGGAAATCCATTCTTGATGGCTTTCAAGAATGACTGAGGTAGTTTTGCTTCTTGCAATATCGACAATACTGTAGCTTCGTTATGAATAAAGGTTGCCATTATATTTGCAGCTAGCCCAAAAACACTTGGACCAAACAGCATAGCGTGATCAAATATGGTTATGAGAGAAGCTGGAAGGCTCGAATCAACCAGATTTCTCAGACCGTCTTGTCCACCTGAAGTTTGCATCATATGGAACACAAATTTGAGCATGGCACGTAATAATGATGAGCGTTCGTATGGTAGTTCGACTATTTCAGTATCGACTTCCATGCCACCTTCAACCGGTGCTCGAACACCAGATATTTCGAGTGCTAGAGCGACATCATCCTATGATATTACATTTCCAGTAAGTGCATCTTCAAAAGCGGTCTGCGATTGCTTTGCACTCCAGTTCTTACCTTGATGCGGGTCGTCAACAAGGTGAGTCCGTTTGCATTCGCGAACGAAGCAAATGAGTTTCCAAAACCATGCAAGAGGCTGTCCAAAATGCCAATGATCTTCGTGACATTCTAGACAAAAAGCACATAAAAATAAGAAAATGAAGGCCCGATGAAGGGATTTCACAAATTGTTATATACCTTGAGATGTTTTGGCTCCGTAGTATTTAGTGCTGCAACCAGAGCAGGTACAAGACCAGCAGAGATGACCATGTTACCTCCTGCTTGAGTAGTAATGACATACGATATAAAAGCGGTAATGGCATCCATAAAGTCTTGACTGGTCTCAGACACTAATGTCAGATTCGAATTATCAGTGTCCCGCTTTTTTGTCACTATCCTATATTCGAATAAAACACTTACCATCTTCACTCAATTTCGACATGAGCTTTCGCACAAGGAACATCAATACACCATGATTCGCAGATGCGTTCATGGCAGTCAAGATTTCGTTCTGCTTGTTGCGATACTTGGCAAGGCTTTCCAATGCCATCAATGAAGCGACATGCAAATCCTACGAACAAAAAATGGAGTCAGTGTCTCGTTGCAATGCTAACGGCTCGAGCAAATGGGTTTTTCGCTTATCAGTACTTACAGTGGAGCAATCTGCTGGCAATACGTCAACAAGTTTCTGCACAAGACCCGCATCTGACGAGAAGATCTTGGTGTTTGCTGATTCTTCAGATACAAGATTAGCTATAAGACAGGACGATGGAAATGTGAGCAACAAAGGCTTCTCAAAATCGTGGGATTGTTCATCTGTGATACCTAGAGTTCCAATTGCTAGTATACGGCTCAACAATATTGAATGCCTAGCATGTGCATCTTGAGCAGCAAATGCAATCCTCAAACGATGGAAGAGAGCAAACGTATGTTCTTCTGGTACATCATACTGTTTTACTAGCAGCTGTAATACAACTTTCTCCGATGGACCTAGAGCAGTTACATCTGGAATCTGGATGACTACCAATCCTTCAGTTGCGGAGATATCATCTGCCTTCTTGTCTGAAGGCGTAGCTGGTAGTTTTGTCGATAATTTACTGACTTTTATTGGTGTAGCAGCGGTCGAGACTGTTGTACCAGGCAAAGTAGTAGCTGAAGATGATGATGCGGATGGGATGGCTGTTGGTGCTGCTATACTTGAAGATGATGCTTGTGGAATAGTCGTTGTTGTTGGTGCTGCTGTTGATAATTTAGTTGTGGATTCAACAATAGAGGTATCGACTTTTTTAGGTTTTGTGGCCGTTCGGTAGAACTGAAAGGTCAGAGATGATGATTCTGAACCAGTCATTGGGGTATCGGTCTGTGATATATTTGCGAGATCGCTGGCACCACCTAGATTCTGGCTGAGTACCATCAATCGTTCGTGCGCGGATGACATTGTGGATCTTATAGAGCGTTGAGCACTGGTTCGTTGTGCAGGTCTCAACATGAGTCGTAATGTAGAAGTCAATATATCCAAGTCACGAGTGTTCAATAAATCAATCAAGTGCTAAAAATGAAATATTTAGAGATCATTCTCATCCATCTGAGATTGCATCGAGCCAACGACCATCATTAACACCAACCTCGAATGAATTATACAAGTTTCTGTTTGAAGACATTTGGTTAGGAAGAAGTCAGCTTGCGAATACATTTAATCAACCACAAGACGATCAAACACGCCATTGCGACAAATACCATACCGATTCGTACAAGTCTCCCATAAATGCCTTGTAATATTCAATACAGCCAGAATAACTTGCTTTGAAGGCGAGTCTGGCGACTCAGCAGGACCAAATCCATCAGAAGCAACATCATAACCTTTTACAGGCATAGCACTTTCTAAGATCGAGTCGAAGCGATTCAAGACAGGAATCCAATGATAGAAATCCGACTTTGGATGACACCATAAGTGTAACTGTTTGGAAATGTCTATCAATTGGACGTCTGATGCATTTGTCAAGAGGTCAATGACCTTGAGTACAGCAGCAGGCTAAAAGATATAGGAACATCATGTTAATATAGATTAAATCGGATCATTATAGTCGTTTGGTCAATGTCTCTGTCTTCTTTGGCGCAGTCAGAAAAAGCTCGTTTTGGCGTTTCTCGTTCTTTTAAATATTTCCCATCCAAAGTGGCCAGTAAATAGCAGTACTAGCATAGATTGACTGCTTACCGCTGGAGCTAACCGCCGAGGCAGTTGCTTCTTTATCTTTGCCATTGTTTGTTGTCTTCAATATTCAATCATTTGTATGAAGATTCTGAGGAAATCTAAGTTAAAACGACTCCAGGCGAAGAACAACACGGCGTGAACTTTATATAGCTTCCAGTGAATACTTACGAGACTTTTGTCATATAGACTTTCTTCTAGCCGGATGCGAACAAAGCGACCGTGACTTGACACTAGAGTCGTCATCAATCGAAGAAACTTGATCTCACCAAAGTCTCCTAAAGTAACCATTGCAATACGAGTCAAAATGTTGTATTTCATGTAAATCATATGTCTGATTATTATCAATATGCGACAATACATCCAAGATCGGCTGTGTAATCTCAGAAATCTACATGGCTTGTTGCAAAGTGTCCTTGGATGCCCATACCGTTGAATGGAACCGTGATATTAGCGTTGCCACTGTATCCTGACGCGTAGTATCGACACCTGACAGCACCGAAACAAGTTTTTCAGCCCATCGTGATACATCTTCATCACACATTCCCTTGTCTCGTCTATATCGAAGTGCTCCAATCAAACCACCTTGAGCTGTTTCTACAACCGTAAATTTGAGATCTACTAGATCATCACTGGCAGACCATAAAAGAGATGACTTGAGAGCTGCAGATGAAGGCAGTTGTAACAGTTCGGCCTCCGAGATATCCAGTCCAGCTAATTCCCTCCGTCGAATGTATTGGAAGCGAACAGGCGGTCCTTGACATGGGAGACCACCAACTTGACGTGCTACGAGCGGTGCCGGACAGTGTCGAGCATGGGCGTGAATATGTTGTAACCGGTGAATCAATTTCAACACCAAATCATGAAAGGTGGTACCAGTCTGCGGGAAGTGGATTTTCAATGGCAAGGTATTGGTATATGGTCCAATCTCATCTATATCCTTGGTTCGTAGATCCTGAGTTATACCCACTACATACTTTTCCATGCCAGCAATGTGCTATTCAAACGCGACGTGTCATCAGTATCGACATTCAGCATAAAGAAACATCATCCGATTCAACAAAATCACTGCAAAGTACCTTGAGGAGTATTGAGAATGCAGCTAGACAGACAGCGTCAGGATGAGCAACATCATCACATGAGTCCTCATCATCGTCGTCAGCACTCGAATCACTATCTACATTGTCTTGTTGCAGCTTTCGTAATCTATCAGCACTCGAGATCTTGCGGCGTCTAACTACATAATCGAATATCGACAGTGCAATTTCTCCACTAAATTGCACTGGAACAGTGCCAAATAGCCCGTCCAGATCTAAAAGTATTCCAAGTTCATCCTTGCTGTTATTCACGAGGCTAGATTTGCTAGCAGCTGCTATAGACGACGTGCTTCCAAGATTGGCTGTCGAACCAAGGCGTCGTTGAGTTCCATCGACCGATACCACTGGCACCTCTACATCTACCATAGGTGGTTTCAATACATTATTCAGTCTCATTCTCATGTCATCGGCAGACTCGAGATTGTCTTGACTCTTTCTCAATTCATCCTTCGATTGTTCTAATTGCCTCTTGATTTTTGCAAGTTGTCGTTCCAAATCAAACTTGATTTTCGTTTCTCCTTCTAAACATTCTTTGATACGATTTCGCACATAATCAGCTAGTGCCAGGACTTTACGTTTCTCTTTTGTCAAGAGGTTTAATGGGTTTAGGTTTCCTTCGGTGATGCAAGCAAAGTCGAGAATGGATATGTTCTTGGTACGCAGCTTATCTCGTGTTTCTTCCATGAGACCATGTTTGACTGTTAAAGCATTCACATCGTCTTGAGCTCCCGCATCGCCCAAGACAGTTCGGATAAGAGCCGTCCAAGCTGTCTGAGACATTCGTACAGGTGTACCTGCTATAGCAGCTGGAATAGTAACAGATACAGTATTTACACTCTCCGCTTCATCCATGGCAACTCGTTGTTCCTTCAGCTTGTTGTATTCGATTTCGAGTTGCCCCTTTCGAGTCACCATGATATTTCGTTGCTTCGAGAAGGAGGTAACTTGTTGACCTAATCGGTTGATTTCTGCTTCCAGCTTCTTCTTCTCGTGAGCGTTTACATGTTCCTGGATGGTTTCAGACACTTGGTGTTTACAAAAGGCAATGCCACGACGGATTGCATCGGGATTGGCTCTATGGTTTAGAGCTAGCCCGACATAGTCTCTGGCTTGGTTTGATTCTGGCTGATAGTCGTCATTTTTCAGAGGTAGAGACACTAGTTGTTGATGAACCTCGTCGTCTAATAATCCTTCTCGTAGCCATGCCTGACACATTCTCAATACCTTCATAAGATCTCGAACTATCAAAGATAATCCCATATCATCACATAGAGCTTGTGATATCATCATCAGCAATACATCCGAGACTGTATCCTCGAGCTTGATGTTGCGTATAAGATAGATTCGGAAGGGATACTTTTTAAAGTTGACTTTTTGAGAAATGTCAAGACAAAATCGACTAACACCAATGACATTCTTTTCAGATACAAACACCTCCTCCACAACGGGCACAGTAGTCACATTCGGCGGTATGATACCCTCAACATCAGCATCAATAATTTTTTCATTTTGAAATAACTCTGATGCGAGGATTTTATGATCTAATAGTAGCCGGGCGACGCAGGTCTTGAGAGTTCCTACTTCGGCGATCATGGGCATTTTATGACATTGGGTGATATTCCCTGGCTGATCGACCGACATTAGATTGAAGATCTCGGATTGAAGAGGAGTTAAAGGGTACACGACAGGTTTTCGTTCCTTGCGAATCGGCGATTTAGGAGCAGGGACAGGCTGCGATATCGGAACTGGAGACTGGACTTGATCCTGACGTTTCGGTTGTTCATGCTCGTCAGCATTGTTGTTGTCGTGATGCTGGTAGCTCCCTCGTTGAGAGATGATTCTGGGCGACGAAGACGTGTGTTCTACAGCCGATGCAGCCGTCATCCAAGATACATGGCCTCTGGTTCCATCATCATAGTCATTTTCTTCGTTATCGTGTTCATCACTACCATTTGACGGTGAGAAGGCCGGCCGTGAGTTCGAGACCTTCTTCTTTTGGTTGCCTGCATTGCTAATTGTCGATCTTCTTGATTGCAAATCTGATAAAGAGATGGTCGGCACCAGTGAAACTCGTTGTGATGTCGTGATGTGATTACCAGAAATGAAGACGTCCGTGTTGGATGCATGTTGAGAAGGGATACTGGCTATAGAGCTATACCTAGATATATCCGATAATGAAGCGAGACTCGCTTTGGAGCTTAATCGTGAATCCCGTAGCGACGTCGTTGACCCATAATGTTCTCCAACATTTTTGGGACGCTTCACTTCCTGGCGATGAGGTATAGTCGGTACGAGACTTGGAAGCTGGGGGAGAGCGTGGCCCGACATCGAGAGGCCGATCAGTCTCTGGATCTACTCGAATCTACGGAACTGCTTCTCAGATCTACTTCGGCGTGTTTTTACCAACTACTACTTAATCTCGCTACACGAAGGTTCGCTTGAATGAACAAAACACCATAGAATACTTCTAATAATCACTGTTATTAAGCGGCTACAATGATCTTTATACGTATATTACACACTACTACACGTGTTGAAGAACTAGATCAAAGGCCTCTACAACACCCGAACCAGTTTTTGAAGATACCGGAATAAAATCCAGACCAGTGTCTTTTGCTTCTGATGCTTTTATAACTACAGCATCGCCTTCGTCTACCTAAATGTCCACGTTGTAGAATTGTATCAGCTTCCAAGAAATGCATTAATCAAGGTTGGACTTAAGAGCTTGCCTTGGTTCCAACAAGAAGTATGAAAGCATCAGGAACAGCTCTATTGAAGACATAAAATGAGAACCTTCTTACGATACAAAAACAGCAAGAGTCTTACCCTCGTATTTCTGGCAACCAAATCTCCTTTGCTTGCTTGAAGGAGCTTAGGCTTGTCATGTCAAAGCATATTAGCACTGCCTGGATTTTCGATTGTTCTGTCAGAATTTACGTTCAACAAGAATGTAGAAACAGCACACTGCATACTCGTGAATCGACATAGAATTGTTCCATTAAAGCCTTGTATCTTGCGTGGCCAGCACACACCCAAATATTGAGAGTCCTCTGTTTACTAAAAATTCAAATTTAGAATCCAGCATTCCACAATGCTATGATGTTTCATTACTTTTCGAGGTTTGAGGTCTTGACAGTTAGATCAGCTCCAAATGAAGTCTGATATTCAGGGGAGAAAGTACTGCCAACGAGCCTAGCGGTAGTTAGATCAGCTCAGTCATGCAGGAATCCGATGATTCGGAATCCATTGGAGGCATAGAGGTTTTTGGATCAAGCACCGTCAAACAAGTTGAAAACCAAATCTCACCTGGTGACGAGAGACGTCTTCCCAGATCCAGCTGCTCCAATAACAATCACCTTAGTTCCAGCTTCCACGACCATCTCGAACGCTCAAAACTAGGAAATATCGGGTTTTCGCAAAACACACAGGAAGATGTCAGGAAGAAACCTCGACGCACCCGAAACACGTGTTGGACGTGATAAATTAATTATTATATGCACGATTATTTTGATACAAGAATCCATTTCTCTCTCGTAGACTCGTAGATCAGATTACTTAATATTCCTCCTCTTCGTCGCCCATACTGTCATCGGACCTATTCTCAGAATGATGGTAATCTGGATCATCGTTCACATCATCCTCTTCTTCATCTTCTCCTGTAATAAGCCTTTGAACACGTTCCAATCCCAAGTTTGCAGGCTCGTATTCGGAATTGATGCTAGACGGCAGGCTTGTCAGAAAATAACGATGTAACAAAGTTGAGAGCGCACTTACTGCTGTGCTTCCGTGAACAAGTCATAAGCCTTGTTCAAAGACAAATCTTCACCTCCTGGTGGCATAGGTGGGAGAGTCTGTCGTTTGGAAAGGTATAGTTGTGCTACTCGGCATAGCAGAGCTTCCTTTGGATATGCGTCCATGTGTTCTTCGAGTCTATTAAGCAAAGAAGTCCAATGTTTAGAATGAGGTGATGCAGGCATAAAGTCTTTCAGTCTTACACAGCAATCGCTCCTTGAAAATCTTGTTCCTTTTCCAATACTTCAGACAAGTTGAGGACAGCTTCCGTGCACTAGCATATTAAGATTCGTGCAAGTTTTCATATTGGATTTCATGTTTTGCAAAGAAACGTCAGATACTACCTTAGCATCCAATGATATTGCTCTCTTGAAAGCTCTCTTGGCCTTTTGGAGAATGAGCAGTCAGATACTGCTAAAATGTCATGATGCTACAGAGACTCGGACATACCATCTCACGCTTCTCGCGATCCTCATCGTCCATCTTCGTCTTTCCAAACAAAACCATGGCTTGTGGGTTGTCTGGATGTGCCTTGACAAGGCTCAATGCTGTTTGTGTAGCTTCAATTCCCTGGCCAAGAGCCAATTGACACTCAATGATTCCTGCGTAAAACCATGAGGCGTGGTAAGGATTCTTATGAATGGCTTCAAGGCTTGCTGAAAAATGTTTACCTCTCGAACAGAGCATCGAAGGAGCCAGTTCAAATGCCTTTCGGAATGACTTCAAGGCATCAAAGTAAGACGTTTTAACTTCTGGCTTATTCTGTGAGTTGTCTGCACTAGCTACTCGTTGAAGCAATATGCCTGGTGGAGTTACGTGTAAGTGATTGAAGTTTCCGACGACACTGCTGACTATACATACCTTTGAGATAATGTGCTTCAGCATACATGGGAGCCATTTCCACAGCCTTTACATCAGCAAATCAGATTCGGTTCCTTCCACAATATTAGAAAATGATACCCAAACTTACAGTGTTGACATAAAATAAGGCCTTCTCTTTATCACCCTTGAGTTCGGAATAATGTGCTAATACCAACCAGCATTCAGGTCGATCATCAGCGATACTAAACACTGTCTGTGCCAAATCGTTCACAGCAGTTGCTTTTCCTTGTTCTCTCAATAGTCCAGCATACTTGTCACAAGCTACGACATTGTCAGGATCTGAAGACCGTATACTCTCGAGCAAATATAACGCCTGTAAATCTTGTCCAGTTTCCATTTCACATTCAGCAATGTTGACACATAAGTCAACATTGTTTTTGAAGAATCTCTCCAATGTCTTGAAGCCTTCTTTTGCTTCTACAAAGTTTGAAAGCATTTAATTAGTTGAACATATGGCTGAGAACTCGGCTAGTCCCTTGATTACTTTTGTATTCCTGGCACCATCGATCTTGATGGGCAGTGACATAAAGTCTAGACCAATCTGACTGGCTTGATAACAGTTGCTCAACTTCCTCTCTGGGAACTTTAAGTCTCAGTAAGGCCAGAAATGGTTCTGTAGCTTGTGGATATTGCCTAATATGAGATGAAATCAGAAATTGTGTCCAAAAACGATGCGAAAAGGCTTACTTGATGATGGCCTTATGGCACACAATGGCAGAGCTAATCAATATAAAGTTAAAATCACAGTCCCATCCAACAAAGGACAGCAAGCACCTACCTGATCTCTCTCATCTGCTCATAGATATCAGCTAGAGCAGACCAAACCTGGGTTCGTCGACTTGTTTCTGGTATTGCCTCCAACTATCACATTGCTTTCAAAATGAGGGGCTGCGACCAAAGCAAGACTGTACAACACATACCAGACTCTTTGCCATCCTCAAATCTTGTGTTCTCATGCAACTCTGAGCATATTTTTCACGAACTTGATAATCCTTTTTCAGATACTCGGTACTCTTTTGGCCTATCGACCGTAGTCCACGTAGGACAGCCAGTGTACGATGATAATAAGTCTGCATGAATAAAGATTCGATTTCAGTATTCGAAATACTACTATGTAGCATGGCACTAACGACGGACCATGGCACGCCGATGTTCACCATTTTCTTGAAGGCAATTGGCGTAAAGGAAGAGGATTTCGAAATGGACGGGTGCATTTGATCTGTCATGTACTGGAAACTTTGATAAAATCAGTCCAACCTAATAACGAAAGATCATTTCAGTATATGGTCAACATTGCTCAATGGTGTGTTGTTACAGATCGAAGAGCTGAATCGACAAGTCCAGCATCAGCATAGCTCCTTGCATGCTGGAATTCCGTATCTAAATCGTACGCGAATGGGCACTTTTCATCGACCTTGAGCATCGTCGTCTGGGACAGTTGATATGAACTTGTTTGACAATCAAACGTGAAAGAGGACGAGAAACGTGAGTCTCAAGCGCGTCAAACAGAACAGGTTTTGATGACGAATGAAAGGAATCTATAGACTGCAATCATACACTAGGACTTGTTGGTTCTCTACAGCTGAATGACCTCCGCACCAAGCTCTCAACCATTTCACCAGACAGCTTGACTTCAATAAATAGTTATCGTGCTTTGCTCAATTCAGCTCGTGCCTTTAGCGCACCTAATAATGCATTATAAACCTTGTCTGCCGTCCAAATGGAGAAGGTCGTCAATGTCGGCATATTGGACACTCTGAGACATACAAGCTCGTTCGATACTAGGAGACCATTAAAATTGAGCTCCCTGGAGTTGATACAGTACTTTACAATCGTTGATAGCTCGAAGGGCAGCTCATCTCCTATTTCGATTTGAAAATACTCAAGTTGATCACCTCGATATTTAATAAAGTCTCGAAGAGCTCCAGCGCCATCTTGAGAGCTAGTAAGAGTCAGAGATTTGAGAGCCTCGACTTTTGCTAGCACAGGTGCTAAGGTTGTGTAGCAGGATCTCAAGTCCAAGGTCTCAATCGTACCTTAGTTTCCAGTTAGGAAGTTCTTGATATCACTATAATAAACACCAAACGGTCTAAAGGTCTTCAAACCTCGAATACCCTATAGGAACTCTATGTAATCGTCGACGTTCTCCTAGTAAATCTCGTCCAACGAATCAAACTCTATTGTTGAGCACTGATTCAGAGAGACGTTTTCGAGGCTCATATCTCTGAGGGTGGTGCTGCTATCTTCTCTGAGTGCTGTCAATACGTGGGGGATAATACGAGGTGAAGCTCGTCAAGTGCAGCTTTCCAAGTAGTTGCGAGATGCTCGTCTCGAAGCAGACAGGTACACCAACCACTGCCAGTTCTTTTATATTCGGCGCATAGTCTGGGATTGATTCCAACGCTGCTTCCTGCCACGCCAGCATGTCCAAGTCCTTGTCAACGGTAACGTCCCCATTGAGATTATGTAACGACATTGGGAGCTCACTCCATTGAAGATATTGAGAGGGTATGGCATCAACGTGGAGCCTGAGATTGACCAAATTAACGAATGGAGCGAGCCCTTTACATAAAATCAGCTGTGGTACCTTAATAGCGAGGTTGACGACGGATTCGAGGATTTGTTTCATGGACAGAAGAGGAACGAAGCGTACAAGGGGGATATTCAAGGAATGAATGCAGGTAGGGTGACATACATACCTCGACAATACAGACAATTCTACCCCGCGAACGATTTGGCTTGGGAAGCTAGAACTATTGTTCGAGTTTTTTGAGAACGAGAGAGCTCGTCACAAGACCTTCAACATTGACGCGACATCTATATGCTAGAGCATGCGAATTGATCGAAAGTCGAAAGATGAAAGATGCGAGCAAATAGACTCAGTTTAAGAACGGCAACACGCTGCTGGCTGCCTCAACCCTGAGATTCTTAATTTCGCGATACAGAGATAGAACAGGCAAAAGCGACAACAAGCTGCATCGTATCAGATCCGTAGGATCAATTGGACTAGATCAGCATGGCCGAACTACACTGCTGTTTGTGTGAAAAGGTCTTAAGTGCCGAGGACGGAAATGCCCTCTCGCTAGGAGACAACCATTACCACGTACAGTGTTTTCAATGCTCCAATTGTAGCAACGTCATCGATTTCGAAACTCAGCCGGTCTTGATCTCTTCAAACAACAAGGTAAAACATGATACATTTTGAAAGTTGATGGCGGCAATCACAACGACAAGCCATTACGTTAAACACGACTCAATCTAACTTGGATTTCTCCTCATATAGCCTCTATGTATCAACTGCTCCTATACGTGTTTTGAGTGTGGCCAACCAATTTTGGAGGAAGCAATCACCACGGGTTCTCATACCTTTCATGTCAATTGCTTCAAGTGTTCAGTGGTAGTTTGCATGAAGAATTTAAAATTTTGTCTCCGAAATAATCGCTGAATGAAATGCTCACTCTCTTAGTGTGGATCCTTCATTGAGGATTTGACGTTTGCTACTATTGACGATGTATTGACGATGTGTTTTCGCATCTTGTCATTGCCATTTCTCTAACTCTTACCGCTATCTAGAAAATACATTGCATGCCATGCACATCAAAGAGACCGTCCCAGATTGTGCCATCGATACTGGAACCACCAAGAGCTTCAACAGGTTTGACACTACAGAAAAATTGCTGAAAGCTATCAAATCCAACCAATGACACTTTCATCATAATAGCCGCTGCCCAACAACGTGACATTGAACCTCGTGTTTCAACCGTTCCTAGTGAAGCTGCTGTTTCATTTTCTGGATCCATTCCCGAGATCTTGGAAGAAGAAAACAAACATTTACAAACCAGATTATTATCCGCCGAAAGCAGTCTGCAACGAATCAAGAATATGAGTCGGAAAGCCATGGATGAATTCACCAACCTGAAAAAGGATTTAGCGGACGAAGTTGCACGAAGGCAGCAAGCCGAACTCACAACAGCAGAACTGAAATTAGAATTATCCGAGATATTTAAGGCGAACGCTAGGCTTGTCAAGGTGGACGAGACGTTAGAGGGGCTGAATCAAGATGTTACTATTGCTTTGACTCAAAAGACGGTCTTGGAGGGACAAATGAGGCAGATGACGATGCAAAAGGAGGCTTTGCAACGTGATATCAACGAAGTCGTCCATCGCCGGGATATGAGTATCTCAGAAGCGTGAGCTTTAATCTTTGTTTCACGTTGGATGTGTCTTACACCATGTTGTATCTTTCCTAGTCCAATGATGGCATCAGAACTGTCGAAAGATAGTGGCCTAAACACTGAGCTGGATTCCATAAAGTCTCGCTTCCGCGCTGAAGTAGCAGAAATACAGAAAGAACGAGACACTTTACGATCTGAAGTCTCTGAACTACGAAATGCTCGTGATGGTCTGAAAGCTGAAGTAGACAAACTGCAGTCAGAAAAGGCACAGCTACTCAAGACCACTGAAAACCTATCGGACAATCTGACACGCCAAGCAACCGTCATTGTACATAATACCAACGCACCTACCACATCTCGATTAGTTGACGACTTTACAGTGGAAGAACTACCCACACAGTCTCCTCGTGAAGAACGAGTATATCCCGATATAGATGCTCTAGTAGAATCCATTAGTAACGATGCTCTAGCTTCCATGCCAATAGGCACGAGAGCAGCAGCGACGGGAGTTGCCAATACAGCTGTCTCAGCGTCAATGGAAAGCTTGGGCTCCTCCTCACACACAGTCTCGACAAGAAAAAAGTCATTACCACAAATCCCATCGAATCCAGCATTGAGTAGTGCTGCTGCTGGTTATGACTTGACGAAACCACCCGTACATATCGAATCTTCTTCCTTGCAACCCGAGCCATCGATGCGTGGACAAGGAGCACTTGGAAATGCCAGTGGTGCAACTCTGACACCATCGCCATCATCAGCCACACAATCCGCATCTCCTACAGCCTTCAAAATGGGAAATTGGAAGGCTCATTTTGTCAAGGCTACTAAACTGAATCTCACTCCAACACCTACAAAAGCACTACCCGAATCGCCGATTTCAACTTCCGCCGATGCTACTTCTAACGGTACACCTACTGTTAATACCGTCATGCTTGGGTCTATGTGGAAGTACAAGAAAAGTCCTGGTGGAAAATCAGGTAAAATGGATTCCGAGTATGGTTATGTGACTATGAACTTACATCTTGTTTTGGCTCGATTTGTAGTTGAAGAAATTGGTGCCCTTGATCATCGACCGACAGAAAAGAGCAAACATAAGCTAATCGCTCACACATACGTACGACAAAATAAGTGTGATGTGTGTTTAGAAAAGCTATGGGGCAAGGAGATGCGTTGTGAAGGTAACGAAAACTCCTTTCATTTTAAGTTACGATTTATTTTTTTATATTTCGTCATCAATCCCCTCAAATTTTAGTTTGTGGGTATCACTCACACAGTAAATGCTCTGCGGTGGCTCCGGCTACTTGTGCTGGCACATCCCAGAAATCAAGTTTGAATCATCTTGCAGGTATGTTTAGACTTTTGATGACAAAAAAATCTCAAGCCGTGAACACCTAATTGACATCACAATGCCTTTCTAAGACACACCCACTACTCAACTCTTTGGAACCGACTTGAGCAAAGTATACAGCCAAGAAGGCCACAACATTCCAAAGTTTGTCCGACAGTGTATCAGCCATGTCGAGGAATTCGGACTTGATTTCGAAGGAATATATCGCAAGTCAGGACCATTGACTCAAGTCAACAAGCTCATTGCGGTCGCCAACAAGGGAGAGGATTTGATACTCAATGATGCTGAAAACCCAGTTGATATTATGGCCGTGACTTCAGCATTGAAGCAGTTCTTTAGAGAGTTACCTGAATCGTTACTCCCGAGTGATTTGTATGCCGAGTTTGTTGAGATGTCAAGTAAGTACCAAAGTTGACCTGCAGTTTCCTTCGAAAGTTCTTTCATGTGATATATCTGCTTTGCTTTTGTCTTATGCTGACGCTCTATTCAACGTTCAGAAACTTTTGATGATGAGAAGCGTATGAATGAGGCCATCTCCCTGCTACAACGACTGCCGCATGCTCATCAAGCTGTTTGCCAGCTCTTGTTTCCTCATCTTCACAAGTACGTTTCAACTCATGTGAAAGAAAAACTGAAACGCGATTTTCTAAATACATTCTCATATAATTAGGATTTCCCAATACAAGGAAGCCAATCTGATGACGCCTACGAATCTTGGAGTAGTGTTTGGTCCAACCTTGATGAAGAGCCCCACAGACAAGGCAGGAGCATCGACAACGTTTGATATGGCAGATTCATCAAACAAGTGCAATGTTGTCGAATTCCTTGTTATGAACTCTCCCATGCTCTTTGTTAACACCGATCTAGCACAAGATCGGCGAGAAAGTGCTCCAAGCGAGCTTGTGAGCTCCATAGCACCTGAGAGTGTACCCCAATCTTTCAAGACGTTTTTGTTATCACCGTCTCCTTGAGAGCACAATACAACTTAAATAGAAGTTTCATGAAATCTGGTATTCACGTGTTTGGGTTCTTGAACAAACGTGTGAATTTCAGGTGGCGATTGTCATCAAAGTCACTTTACATTAGAATAAATCGCGAGATGGAGTTGTTCTCGACCTTCTTTAAACCACTTTTCGTTTCTGTTTGTTTGAAGTGTGAGTCAAAAATCTTTACCAAACCCAACGAGTACATTCCACAACGAACCCGAACGTGACGGACAAAGCTTGTCTAAAAGTGCGAATACCGCATATATAACAGGCATTAGACACTACAAAGCTGGTAAATTCCATCTCTTCTAGTAGCAGCCATCGCTCATTGCTAGAACATTCTAAAAGCTGTAAAGTTAACGCTTCAAACCAACGACAACATCAACATCATCGCCCGCCATGGCCGGAAAAGATTACTATGCTATACTAAGTATGAAGATTAATCATTTCTTTCTTTCCTTTGAACAACCTCTCCTATGAAACATTCGCAAACACAAAACCACATCAAACTTCATTCCAACTAAAACTCGCTTCACCTCTTTTTAGACGTCCCAAGAACCGCTGAAGACGAAGTCATCAAAAAAGCCTATCATAAAGCAGCACTACAATATCACCCCGATCGAAACCCAGGTGCCAGAAAGGAAGAATCCGATCGCAAATTCAAGGAAGTCTCGGAAGCCTATGAAGTACTATCCGATAAAAACAAACGACAGATATATGACACATACGGTGAAGATGGCCTCAAAGGTGCTCCAAACGGTGCTGCATCTGGTCCAAGTGCTGCCGGTGGATTCCCACAATTCAGACCTTCTGCTGGTGGTCCATCACCATTTGGTCAAGCGGGATTTGGATTTCCGCCGTCTGGAGGAGCGTTCTACACGAGTACTAGTATGCCTCCTGGTGGTGGTGGTGGGTTCAGAGGGTTTACACCTTCCGCTCCTGAAGATATATTCACACAGGCAAGTTTGATGATTTTGAGCCAGTGAGTAGCAAATTACATTTCCAAGGTCCTAATCAAATATTCGCTTCTATCCTCTAGTTCTTTGGAGGACGAGACCCATTCCATACATTCGGAGGCACTGGTGGAGCTCAGTCATTCGGTCCCAATGATATGGATACAGACTTTATGCCTGGTGGGTTTGGTATGCCTGGTGGAATGGGTGGTCCTCCCAAACGACCTGGTATGCATGGAATGCCCGGGAACATCCCACCACGACCAGCACCAGTCCAAAAAGTCGTACAACGAAAACTACCACTCTCACTCGAAGACTTGTATAACGGTACCGTCAAGAGACTTAAAGTAACTAGGAAGGCTGGAGGTACTGAGACTGAAAAGATATTGGCTGTTACCGTCAAGCCTGGATGGAAGACGGGTACCAAAGTCAAATTCCCTGGTGAAGGAGATGAGTTGCCTTCTGGAGGTGCACAGGATATTGAGGTATGTTGTGTTGTCGGACTGGTTGAAATAATTGGAATACGTCGCAGTTTCAATGGTTGGAACACCTGATGTATTTTCATGCACCCCACTGTCTTCCTTTTTTTTCTCGCAGTCATCATCACTTCGTGTCTCACTCACTCTACTCTCCTTATATACCCCATAGTTCCAAGTCGAAGAAAAACCACACGACCGCTTCAAACGTGACAATGACAATCTCCGAGCCTCACTTGAAATCGAAATATGGTACGTTTTCACACCGCTCATTTAATCGTTATGGCGACCGATATTGGCGAAGATTCAGCTCCAGCAAAAACGAGGAGTTGGTGTCCATCTATTTGTTTTGGCATACACAACTAACGCAAATTTTACTCATAGGGAGTCCTTGAGTGGCTTGAACCGGACAATCCAGAGTTTGGATGGACGACCAATTACAATCTCTCATCCAGGTGTCATCATCCCCGGTCAAGAAATCAAAGTAATTGGTGAAGGCATGCCAATAAGTCGACAACCTGGTAAGAAAGGTGACTTGCTGGTCACATGCAGAGTCAACTTCCCAAAGCAATTGACTACCGAACAGAAACGAGATATAAGGAGAGTGTTTGGGAAGAATACAGAAAATCTATAAAATGTATATAGGCAGGAAACGGAAGAAAGCCAAGCGTAACACAGTATAGCATTAGCATTGATTGAATCAAAAAGGGGGATAAGGAGGGAAGAGAAAAGAAGCAGCTTAAGGGCCTCATTGGGACTTTTGTTTGTGGATTATTGTATATAGGGTGTTAGCTTGCTTTGCTCTTTTCATATGTCCCTTTGATAAATTTCTCTACAATTAGAACAAGATATTACATGCATCATATGCCTTGTGTGTGTTTGGCGTTTTGCTTTGAGGAGTGTTTGCGTATGTGCTTTGTGATCGAGTCTCGTAAACGTAGAAGTACTTCGGGTGAAGGATGTATGCAACAAAAAACTCGTTGGCTTGTAAAATTAGTATCGGAAGAGAGACTGGAACCACACCCCCTTTAGTCGACCATGATTTGTAGTAGCATGTTAAAGGGATCTTTCCAGACCAGCCGCCTATCACTTGCTTGGGGGGAGCGAGCCTATCTCCTTGTAGAGTCGTTGAATTGGGGTACCACAGTGCAACGGGAATCACCCGAAAGCTTCTACAGACCCAAGATATTTCTCTCAACATTACATTGCCCGATTTGCAACTTCAAAGAGTACACTGTGGTAACTTAACCTTTGTCGCAACGTCCATAAAGTATGGTTACGTATAAGCACCGTCTCATCCTGATGCTAACTGCCTTGTCTTTCCGCTTGCATCAGTAGCTAAACCGTGGAAAAATCTTCAGAACAAGATGGTGAGCACAACTACGGATGTGGAAGGAATTGTAAACTTTAGGGATTGTGCAGGCAGTTCCGCTAAAGGCTACAAAGCAAAGAACGGCACAATGAAGAAGGGCTACGTGTTTCGATGCGGCAATCCATCAAAAGTGAGTGATGATGGTAAAAAGACATTGAAGGAGCTCGGAGTTACGACATTCTATGGTATGCAAGAACATCACTTTTGTAGCTATAGTGCTCGCCGTGGTGAAATCCTGTCACAATTGATGCAATGTTTCGAATTTTAGATTTACGTAGTGATGTCGAAACCGCTGCCCATCCTAGTGTAGATATGGAAGAAGAGCATGGAATAGGCAGGAAACATGTTCCAGTTTACGCAAATGAGGACTGGTCGCCTGAAAAGTTGGGTTTGAGATGGAAGTTCTATGCATCCGGAAACGATGGATTCAGTGACGCTTATATGGAGATCTTACGGGCTGGTGCCAAGAGGTCGTTTGAACCATTCTTGAAGCATCTCATCTACGACGCAGGTGGTGCTGTTGTACACTGTTCTGCTGGTAAGTCTTGCAGGTCTGAAGATTATCAGACGATGCTTACACGTGTCCTTTTCGTTTAGGCAAAGACAGAACTGGAGCTATCGTAGCAATGCTTCAAGAATACATCGGCGTATCCGACGAAGACATCATATCCGACTATGCCATATCAGCAGCTGCGATGGAAGAGACCACAACCGAGGAACAATTACAGGGCATCGTAGATCGAACTGGAGGCCATTTGACCATCGATGGGGCAAGAAGGATGATGGGGGCCGAACCTGAATCTATGCGCCTCTTCTTGATAAAGATGAGGGAAAAGTATGGTGGGGCGGAGACGTACTTCAAATCGAACGTAGGACTTACGGACGAAGAGCTTGTTAAACTTAGAGAAGTGTTGGTTGTTGCTTAAAACCAGTGGCATAGAGCTTTCTGAACATATTATTAGACCAGATTTGTATGCTTTTATAGTATTATCGCCAAAGACCACTTTACTCTCATCCAGATATCAACATATTATAAAAATATCCCTCAACAAAGCTCATTGAAAAAGATGTCTCACAATCTTTTCTTGTTCCTTTTTGTGGTTGGAGGAGACTCCAGTAGCTGGTGCAGCAGCAGCATCTCGTCCAACGTAGTGGAGCTAGGGAATAGTGTAAGACGTCTTACGTTGAGGTGTGACTGTGTTCATCTTACCTCATTAGATCCAAGCAATTGCCGTAATCGAGGCTCTACAAATGAACATGCACCATTGTTTTCAGGCTCTTCCTGAATCCAGTAAAATGCTAGAAGAAGGAGTTGTAAATCAGCTAGACTCAAATGACTCAAAGCAGTCAGACACGAAACAAGATTTACATTTAGCATTCGAGAATTTGGCAATCTCTGCCTTCAAATGCTCAGCTGGGAATGGGCACAGCTCTTCTAATCGAATCACTGCGACTCGATCATTCATCTTTTTGGCTTCTCGTTCCTTGGCAAGCTCATAATACAGCTTTCCTGAAACGAATGCAACCTTTTCAACCCTACGTAGAAAAAATGAGGAGGCAAAAACAGTCAGGAGGCATATCCAGTATAATATCTAGTCACCATCGAGGTTCTTACTTCTCAGGGTTGCTGACACCAGGATCAGCCAAAACTGGCAAGAATGAAGTTCCAGGTGCCATATCAGAGAGACTGGAAACAGCAACTGCATGTTTCAACAACACTTTTGGGCCAACAACTATCAGTGGCCTTCGATATGGTCGTAACATCTAAGCGAGCGACGACACATTAGTGAACACGGGATCGCAAAGCAAGACAGCACAGAGACAGATGTACCTGACGACGAAGTAAATGGAAGTACTGCGACGGTAGTGTCGGATTGGCAACATGCATATTGACATTCGCTGGCGACGTAATGTCAATTGGTTGATCACAAAGCTTTGCAAGAACGAAAGAATCGTTAAGGAGGCGAAAAAACGCACATGACCGCACACTGGATCAACTTACTTGCAACCACCTCTCCACTCTACAGCTACTGTGCTCTGGTCCTGCTCCATCATAACCATGTGGCAAGGATATGACGATACCAGATTGTCTCAGCCATTTGGTCTCGCTTGAAGCGACATAGGTATCAATCATGACTTGAGCACCATTGCTATCAGGATCATACGGGTCAGAAAAGAAAGGAGAACAGACGTTTCCAACTCAGACTACGACGTTCAGCAACCAGAAGACAAGGGACTGAACTTACAAGAAATCACCAAACTGAGCCTCCCAGATACATAATCGATTAGGTGTTTCCCAACTTATCCCATATTCAAAGCCAAGCACAGCAAGTTCCGATAGACTAGAATTAGCAATTTCCAATTTGCCTTGCTTCTTTGCACCAGAACGCATATGGTTGAGAGGTATGACTGTCCTCTCGGTGTCTTGGTCAACCAGCATTGCATGTCGTTGGGAGAAGGTGCCTCTACCGACATCTTGACCAGAAATACGAACATTATAACCTTTTACAAGGAGAAGGGAATAATTAATTCTGGCCAAAGTTGAACTTGCAGGGTAAGCCCATGCGAAACACGTGTACTCTACCTTCAAGCATCAAGCTCCCCCACGCCAGAGCTTCAGCACTAGCCCAATCGAGTCCAACTCCTGATTCAATCTTTTGCTGTCTTGCTTCAATGTGGTGTTTGAGTAACCTTGGATGAACCACCATGTTGGTTGGTAGTGTAGTCGAGGCTTGACCGACACGCTTGAGTTGTTCAATTGCAACACCTGGAAGTTAATCAAAGCATTAGCTTTGAAAAAACATCTTCAAAAGCTCCATAACGTTGCATACCAGTATCTATGCTAGAAACTGACTCTCGAGGAATGGTCATCTTTGCCCATTTATGCTTCAGCGTATCAGCAACCGGCGTATACGTGTATGATTTTTGCAAGTGGTCATCAAGTGTAGCAAAATGATTGTCTCTAAACTCGTCAACTTGTTTTTGATCAGCAAGGACCTTTTCGGTCTATTTGAAAAGCAAGAGTCATTAGACGACAATATTACTTTTAGTACGCTTCTTTAGATATCTCACCAAGAGCTTCTCTTGATACATCTTCGGTACAGACTTGCGAGCTCTAATGTTCTTGTACATTGTAGGTTGAGTGAAAGACGGTTCATCGAGTTCATTATGTCCCATTCTCCTGTAAGCTATCAAGTCCAAAATAACATCCTTCTTAAACTTGTTTCGGTAGTCAACAGCCATCGCTACAGCTCTAGCAACATCTTCAGGGTGATCGGCGTTGACGTGTATGACGGGTGAATTTATCGATTTGGCGACATCTGACGTATATATGGTCGATCTAGCATTCATTGCTGGAGTTGTAAAGCCAACCCTAAAGGACCAGAGTTTAGACTTGAAATCCAATGATGAACGAATGACAACAGCCTGTTACTGATTGTTAACGATCAGGTGGACCGTCCCACCAGCTGAAAAATGGGGCAGATTTGACAAGCCTAAAGTTTCTTGATTTATTCCCTGCGAAGAGAAACAGAGTAAATAAGTGGGTTGATGCTGTTGGCATCACTTCGACTACCTGTCCACAGAATGCAGCGTCACCATGCAGCTGAACAGCCATTACACGATCTCCTATAGAGCAATCCTCTCCTGCTGCATCTCCTTCTTCAAATAAGTGCATTTGCCTAGCTCTAGCTTTGCCAACGGCTACCGGATTACAGGCTTCCAGGTGTGACGGGTTTGGGATCATTGAAACCTAATAACATATTAAATTATCGAGTTAGTCCATGTGAAGTCAAGTCAGTCAAGTTCGGAAACCGACATGTAGAGGATGACTAGAGCCATATGGCAAGTCCACAGCGGTACTGAGATGAGACAATACGTCGCCTGATCCAGGGACATCATCAGGAAATTCCCGGTTTCCTTTGATTTTGTGGAATAGAGCGGTTGGAGAGTACATTAAAATGTCGGTCAAAAAGTTCAATCGCCCTCGATGTGGCATACATAGAACTATGTCTCGGACGCCCGACAGATTCGCATGCTTGAAGAGAGAGTCTAGAGCAATCATCATGGATTCGGCGCCCTCCAACCCATATCTTTTCACCTGAGGAAACCTCTTTGCCATGAAGTGGTCAAACACTTCTGACTTTGTGAGGAGTGAAAAGAATCTCATCTTTTCTTCTGGTTTGAAGCGAGTCTTCTCGAATGATTCAATATACTGTGCCATCCAACGTGTCTCACTGTCGTTCTAAGCGAGCACATCAGCGAGCGTGTTGTCGTGTCAACACACACAGAAAAACTAACCGTATGTTCAAACTCGAAGCCAATTCTTGAAGTATATGACTTTCTCAAATGTCCGATAATCTCGTCGATTGTGGCCGTTTCTTTTGGAATAGAGGGATCATTTGCACTTGAGATGTGCAGGATGCCAGCAAGTTGGAAGGTCTGAGTAGACCCAGCGAGTCCATAACTTTTTGGATCCAAGGCAAGGATTTTTCTGTACATACAAATCGAGTATTGTGAGTTTGTTGTCCAAACTCCAGGATCCCTCTGTCAAAGTACCGTTCAGATTGCAAGCCCAACGGGTCAAGATCCGCATTAAGATGGCCATGCTTATGAAAAGCTTCAACTAATCTGACCAACGAGGATTGTGCATTTCGATTTTGCAGTTCAATGTCAGTATCTAGAAGAAACGCCTCAGTCAATTTGCAAGCGATGACGTTACGAAAACGATCTGTTACAATGGATTTCAACTTACAATCAGGTAGATCGACTTTCTTTGGAGATCTAAAGCCGTATATGTCTTTGTCGTATGTATACCACCGTACTTGATTCACTTTATTTAATTGTCGCGGAAGATGTTTCAACACCGACGGAGATATACGAGTCAGTATTTGGGCTGACGCCATTTCTCTTCAAAGTGACCACTACAGACTTCTCGTTTCCAAGTGGGATAGTAGCTCTGCTCAAAGACGAAAACTACAATGTCAAGGTGCAATTCAACTGTCAAACAGATCTACGCGACAAACGCGTTTCAAAAGCTACAGCCTACCATAACTTCTGTATTTGTATATTCGTGAATAAGATCTATATGTTACACGTGTATAGGAGTCAAAAAAAAGGCCGAAATCAAGCTGTTGCAGCTTCCGTCGCTATTGCAGCGTCCTTGATGCTTTGACGTAGCTTGACCAGATCCTCAAAGTTCGTCAGCTTCCTTTCAGTGGTGCCCTCGATATGAACATATTTAATATGTCCATCTCGAGCAGAATTCTCAAGCTTTTGAGGATCAGCGACAATGCCTTGCCGTGGCAGACCACGATTCAGTCCTTCTAGAAGCACACATGCTTTACAGAGACCGTGGCTTGCCATGTATCCACATCGCGTGCATTTGCCTAAATTTTTGTTTGGTAGTGAGCTGCAAAAATATAACCAAACACATAGGTAAAGGACAACCTTTACCTGGACTTGTTGGCCTAGTCTGCGATGGTAGTCCAAACGCCTCTCCTGAATGTATGATATCTATTCCAATAAGAATCTTAGCACCAAAATGATCGTTTGAGTGGTCTCAAGCGTGGTCTTACCCATAATAGCACTTGGCCTGATTGACTCCAAATCCTTCAAGAACGCTCGTGCATGACCTCGATAAGCATTAGGAGAATATATACACTCTGTTGAGAAGTAGTCCAGTTTTTTAAAGTAGGCATACCTAGTTTGACGACCAAAAAAAGTAATGAGGAGGAGCTCTTATGTTTATACTTAAGACTTAAAGTAGCAACACCTTACATGACGATCTCCTTCTCATAAGTATACTTGAATGGCTTGCTTCTAGGTATCACGTCATCTGTTGCTGTGGTGATGCTGGTACATCTTTGCAGTCTTGCAATGTCACCTCGAAAAACTATGCAGCAAAAACTGTCAGATTTCAGAATTCACTGTCAAACAAGTTCACAACGAACGACTCAACTGTTCATGAGGACTGTTTCTGCAATATCATCAGCATTATGACCAGTAACGATATGGTCAACTCCTAACATCAGAGCGCCTCGATCAAGAGCTTGTCTCCTAAATACTCCACAGAATGTACCTTGGGAAAAGCAAATGGTATTAGTCAGTGTGTGCAAAAAATCATTAATGAAAGAGAAGCTTACAGTTATTTTTTAAACCAACAGCGTTGACAATGTTATCCATTGACCACCCATACAATTCCTCATACGATATGATCTTCAGTGGTAGAGCGTATTCGTCACGATTCCTCTTTACAGACTTATGATTGAAAGAAAGTGTTATGCACGATTCATAGGCATTTAACTTCCAGCAGCACGTTATAACTCGCCTCGAGCGAATCATCCCTATAGCCTGTAATTCCTTCGTCGACCGACAGGAGGAAAAGATCTAGTCCGTACTCATGTCTTTCATTTAATAGCTTCATTACATATGCGAGTACCGTTGAATCTAACCAAAGGAAGAAGTATGTAGCACTTTTTTTGCATGATAGAAATGTCGCAAACATTCACCACCAGGCGAGGTGACACTGACTGGATAACAAGATCAGTTACATACCTTTGCCTCCAGAAGCACCTATGGCGACTCTCTCGCCCTTCTCGAATAGACGTGACTCTGTGACTGTAATGTGCACTTCGGTTTCAAAGACATAGAAAAAGCATCCGCGACATATCTGCTGTCCAGTCTTGGGCCGCTTGACTACTGCACGTTCCTTGTTACATAAGACACATATTTTCACCATCTTTTCTATCTTATGTTGGGTGTTGGGATGACTGAGTAACGCTTTGTACAGAGTTGGAAACTGAAGCGTGAGCAAAGTGGACGGCCAAACTTAAAACATCGCCAAATCAGAGGCCATATTCTCGTATTTGACGCGGATAGGTACTTATCCCCATGTTTCTTCACGTCTAATTGATGGCGTTTCGAATTCGAATCAAAAGCTCAGCGATGCAGGAAGGCGACTTGCACTTGGAAGCGCTGAGATCTCTGCAAGGGTACGATGCTAGAAGACTTGACTTCGTTATGAAACATGTCAAAATGAAAGAGCACAGTCGCTTATATTGAAAGCATCTTAATACAATGGAACCGATCTTATACTTGCCAGCATACAATCTACTCTTCTCCCTCTGCTTCATTTCGCAATTCTTGCTCATCATTAGAATCAACCCAGTGTATAACAATCAGACGTCCACGAATCCGATCGTTGTCAGCATCATGTATCAATCCAGATCCTGAAGACAATTTGACATTCTCACATTTCAAGAGATCTTCAAAGACCGACCACAAAGTTTCATAACACGAGTCATCAGTGCATCGTCGTACAGAGTCCACCAGTCCATCATGAGGCTCCAATACGGTGTCCATACTATACTTGATCTCGAGCTTTGGAAATGCTAAGTTTCGAGCTGCTGCGGCTTCGACAAGAGCGTTTCCACAGACGGTGTTACGAATGGGATTTACGATTAATGATATGAGTCGACTCATAGTTGAGATGATGGCAATCAAGATATTACAGGAAATCTCCAAATAAATCTAAAGTGAGTGTTTTCCATCTTCGAGCAGTATCGTGGTATCAAGCCAAGATCAAATGGAGCTTCAGGGAAGCCACAACGACTTATTCCTTTGAGCTGCCCTCCTCGCCTTTCCAAGAATACAGCCAATCCACCACCTACAGCATCGGATATTGGTATAATTATGTTACGTAAACGAGGGAAGTCGAGGTGGAATACGGGACGGTCAATATGAAAGCTAAGAGATTCTATTTATCATCACCTTCACCGTTCCAGCTCATTTCCAAAAGACTCTCTGTTCTAGCTCGATAGTTTCCAGCTGGAATGGTTTGCTTGCAAGTGTTGACTGACATACGTTTGACCTAAGTCACATATGTCTATCACAAAAGCAGTTTGTGGTTGCAGTTATGATTGCTGATGGATTCTTGCGTTGCATGTGGATATACTGCAACTGAAGCTGATGCAGGTTTGGCAATTTGCTGCAAATATCCAGACAAGCTTGATCCATTGTGGCCGAGCAAATAGCCAATTCTTGCCGTGTTTGGAAGCTATTGCACTCCAAAGCATTATGATAAGAGGCGGCACTATATTGGCAACGTTTTAACCTCCTATCTATACATAACGCTTCAAATGTTGTGACTGCCTAAAGGCCGCCAAAGCTGCTAGTGGCTTTGGTTGAGGCTGGCTCCCGGAAGCATGGTCCATGGGTACGAGTATCTCCTTTATATTTGGTGACTTTGTAGCGAATTCAGCAAATTCTGAGGACTCATCAGGTATATCGAGTCGTGTGAGGGTGGGCGGGGAGTATCGCATGATGTGAAGAGCCCCTATGCTGTGCGGATAGATTATAAAGGTAGCTTGGTCGCAAGCGTTTACTACTTCAGTAGCAATACTGAGAATAGTTTGATTGCGAATTTCCTTCATATCTGCATCATCGGAATCCTCCTGACCAGCGTAATGTCTGTTCAAATACGGGATCCAGCTCTGGTCGACCAGATGCGCGAGGTAAAGCGTTCGTACATATGACAGCGCCCGCTGATTGTAACGTTCTGTAGGGCCTACAAGATTTGACAGCACCAATCGTACACAATCACCCTCATCGGGCTTCTTTGGCTTCTCTTCTACAGCATTCACTTGCAGAGAAAGAAGATGATGCATTTAAGGTCTGAGGTTGAGCCAAGCGCTGCAGAGAAAAGTTGATGACTTTATTCAAGGATTGTTAAACAGAGTTAAACAAACTTGCTTACATGACCAGCTTCACAACACAAGCGTCTAACTGCGATAGGGTTCATTTCTTTGAAGCTCTTGCCATAACATTGAGTGTACGATCTGTTGCGCTGACAAGATGTTATTCCAAATTTCAATCGGCAAGTGAACCACCAATGAAAAAGCAAAATTGGGTTCAGAACGTGTTTGACAGATACTATAGATCCTCGTATGCCATGCCTTCGTTTACATCCTTATGTTCAGCAGTTGTGGTAGCAGTTGACATTTCGTTTGATGTCTTTGATGTAGACATACTACAGATGAATCGAATTGAGTAAGTGAGGGGAGAAGATTGGAGAATCACCCGTGCATATTCATTTGATTCCATCGAAGCTTTCATCTCAGAGCTCCAGCCTTGCATGTCGTCCTGTTTGTATATGATTTCAGCATTTCAGCGGCTCGAACTTGGACGCAAACAGAATTTGTCACGTCTACAGCGAAACTACTAAAGCATTATTCAAGCTTACCTGATATCAATGATGTCGCCTTACACACTTGTAGGTGTTCAACCCCTGAGCTTGTAGAAAATTGGTTAGTTGAAAGTTAGCAGTGAGACTTGTCGCCGGATGATGTTGAGAAGCACTCTCATTGACGTCGAAAGCCTTCATTAGCTTATAGAATACAACAGTACGTGTGAAAGACGTGTAATATCGTCTGTCGGGTTCAATCCTCGTCACTGCGGCAGCTTGTCACAATTGGTTGACCTTGTGCATGCAATATATTTTCTATCTCTTTTACAAATAAATCATCATTTTGAAGCCTTTACATCAATCTAGAAACAACAGCAGCTTTATAACTACCAATCAAGACATAATAGACCTGTGACTCAAGATTTACCACCATTAATAAAATCGTATGGAGAGTAAGGAGAGTCTGGTGATAGTTCCAGAGCAGTCAAATAGTGAGTTGACGAGTCTCTTCCAGCCTGAACCAGTTTGTGGTCAGGCTTTCGAGAGACGTCAGCTTTGGTGGTTGGAAATTCTGGCATGAATACGTCCGATTCCTTGGAAGGCTGTGCGCCAACCATAGGAAGTACTGGCGATACGTTTGACTCTTTGGGAACTACAGACGATACGTTCGATTCCTTGGAAGGCTGTGTGCCAACCACGGGAATCGCTTCGGCCAGAGTAGATTCGACAGTTGTTGGCTTTTCTGCAATTGATTGACTTTGCTTAACGACACGGGTGTCCTTGGGAAGCCAGTCTGATCCAAATTGTAAGTCAAAGTCTACAGCGATCATCGGATTCTAGGTAAAGGAAATATTTTTTAGCGAAGATCATTTCAAAAAAAGGTACAAATCATGACTTACTTCAATTTCCAGTTTGTCTGGTGGAGCAGCAACTGGACAAAAGGTTGGAGCGACTACTTCTTCCCTTTTCGGAGACACCTTGATTCGTTGAGCAGCTTCTTCAAACATTTTGTCGTCTTTGTATGTATCCAATAGCTCCATCACAGTCTTTTTAGTTTTGATCTCTGTTCTCGCAGCGGGGAACAATTCTACTCTGGCTGTACTGATGTTTCGAATTGGAGAAGCGTTGGTAGCAATCCTTACTCGAGTTGGTGAAATCGTGATGGGCATTCGAGGAGATGATGGGCAAGGTGAAGGACTGGCTGAGGGTGTATTTACAGGGCTGACTTGACGCCAAGGTGTTGGCATCGGTTTACGAGTTGGGACTGGCTTTTCGTAAATTACCTTTCCTGCATGTCGTTTTGGCAGTTCACCGGTTTGGAAGAAGCGACTGTTCTTGACGGGCTCATATGTGGCTAATACGTGTGGCTTGTTGGAAGTACTACTAGGATTGACAGTGCTGTCTTCGAATTTGCGTAAGATGCTCTGGACTCGTCGAGGACTTTGCCACGGATCCTTGTCAGTCCAGCGTGCGACTAAAGAGTCAAGAGTTTCTAATACGGGTTTGGAGACCATGAAGGGTTCTACAGGGCTGCGATCGGGCTTGAATAGGAATGGTTCAACTTCTACTTCTCGTTTTATGGGTGATCCTCCTACAACTTTCATCGTTGAGTTCCGTTCCATTCTTTCTATTGCGAGTGCTACTGCTGATTTTGGTAAGGTGGGTTCTATCGGTTTCCCGAGTTTTGGCACTACAGGCTTTCCTTTTGCTTTTGCTGTTGATTCTCCTACTAGACCAGCTACCGGATTTACTATAGGAGTATCTGCATTGGTATCAAATAAGACACGTTTCACACTTTCTTCGAATGGCGTTGTAGGTGTTTTCAATTCGGCAGCTGGAGCAAACATCGTAATCATCCGATCTGGAGTTCGTGGAGATCCGATTGAACTACCATTACCATCCTTTTTACGTTCTTGAGATTTTACCGACCATTGGAAGATCTCGACGGTATCCTTTTGTACGACTTCCTTTTGGTAAGCTTCAAGGGCAACATCCAAAGCGGTTTTACCCAGAGCATTCGTCAGACATGGGGATGCCCCTTTTTCCATGAGAGAGATGATGGCACCATGCAACCCAACACACGAGGCGAGATGCAGGACTGTATTCTCATGAGACCCAAACCTTGTTGAATTCAAGTGTTCTGCACATGGCAAGCTCTACAAAGACATGGGGTGGATCATGAGTTACTTCATTTTTACGGTTTTATATGATGACACACTTGTGTATAATCACTTTTGCACTAGTTTCAATTGCACATTACCTTGAGAAGGACCGTAACAACTTCCTTGTTCCTCTTTTCTTCCGTCTCAGTTTCACTCGTAGAATACATGGCCATAGCAGCAGCTAGGCCAGTCATTCGACTCCCGTCCTTGCCAATAATGTCTGCGATATGATCGGCAATTTCGAATGTATCGTCAGATTGTCGAGTGGCGAGCATCGGGTACTTTTCCAAATGACGAGATACGATAAGCGAGTTGCCTATTCTGATTGCATTGAAGAATGACCTGATGGGTTCTTCTTCGTCTAGTGAAAGAGATGCGGATGAGAGTATTAGTATATGTTGAAGTAAATGTTCGGTTGATGACGGGGAAAAACAGCATGTTACAAGCTGTTTCGCCGTGGAAGGAGACAGGAACAGGATGATGTAAGGTAGTAACATCCATCACCCTCTCTTTTAGCTCCCACCCACTCATGGAACTAGAAGCTTTCACGCTGACACAAAACACTTAAAGATTGCTTACCTGCGAGCATGGTCCAAGGATCTACAGCAAGACTATACAAAACATGAATTCGTGATATGTATAAGAAGATGCAATGATGCTCAATGCCTTTTATAGTCTTTCAAACAAATCCGTCGTCACCGTAGTCGTCTTTCATTCGATTTCACTGCGGTAGTAGGACGAGGACAACTAGCGATACGTTACCATGGCGAGATGAATACATGAAGCAAAGTCATATATACGTGACTGGCGCGTATATCCGCTAGCGGGTATCCCCTCACTTTGAAACATCATCACACAACTTGAAGATTCACTGTTGTTGCTCGACATCTTACTAGTAGTAGTTGCTCACACCTAGAGCATGTTTGCATCCAAGTGGCATTATACGTTCTTTGGTCTAGACACATTCAACAGCATCGCAACTGCAATAATATCGCAGATCTACGGTATATATTTCTTGCTACGGATTCACAAGCTGGCTAAAGCATTCTACCGTGTAAGTCATTGCAAATATTTGATCATTTAGAATGCATTCGTTCATTGTCGCGATCATGCTTTACTATTCATGTTTGCTCGCAAACCAACATTCATCAAAACATCAAACAATAGATTGCGACGGGGACCAGTGAGATATACAGGCTCATAGATGTCGCGATAGCTAATGGAGAAGCTAGAACAGAGACTTCTATACCACAATCTTCTGGAGCCTCCACTCCAACCTCCTCGAATGACACATCATCAGCAACCACTTTGATACCGTCTGACGATGGTCACTCATTACACGTGATGAATTCGGCTATAGGCAGACCGCTGGGTGTCGTGTCTCCCAAAGTCATCTTCAGAATCGGTAAGTTATTGTTGTGTTGGAACCTGTATTGGGGTTTACCCTAATTCCTTCTAGATCGAGCCATACTGTTTTCAAACAAGCTAGAGGTATTGTGAACGCGCTTCCACCGCCCTCATTCTTTATTTTAAAACCTGAGTCGACTGCAGATGGAAAGACGCCAGTTGGAACTCAAAGATGGACGATGGGATCTAGCAGTGAAGGGAATCATGGAGAAGAAACTCTTTCCCGATAGATCCAATCTTTTTACGTATGTCATCCATTTATCCTGTAATTTATTTGATTCAGTAGTTGCAAAAGACAACTTTGTCGTTTGACGTGGCACTTTTGTCATTACGATGAAATTTAAAGTTGCCGCTACATATGCTCATTTCATCCGCTTTTTGAACTGCAGCCCACACGCTACAGTTCTTAGAATTGTCGTCAACAATATCGGAGCAACTTATAATCTCTTGCATGATCTGAATGCACGAGCAGCTACAAAATACGAATCCAACATGAAGTCTTCGGAGCGCAAACTTCTGGAGGTCCGTGAGAGCAGTGGTTTTAGTTACCGCTTCCCGCCAGGCTAACTGATGTCAACGTCATAGTTATGGGAGCTGTTGATGCCAAACGAGAGATTAGAAGGTAGAATAACAAAACAGTGGCAAAAGATTGGATTCCAGGGTAGCGATCCAGCTACAGACTTTCGAGGAATGGGTATGTTTTTATCTGAATTGAGCACGGCGATCAACGACCCTGATCTAGCTCGTTTGTAGGGATGTTAGGGCTGGATGATCTACATTATTATGCCAAGAATCATCCAAAGTCGGCAGCAAGAGTCTTGTCTAGCTCGCATCACGACACGACATGGTGTGTATTACGTCTGTTAACCTTGTGGTTTGGCCTCGTCTGATTCACAAAAACTGTACCAACAGGTTCTCATTCGCCATCGTTGGCATCAACATTACCAAATTTGCATTGACTCTCGTGAGGACAAGACAAGCAAACCATTTTTTCTACAGTTATGGTATCTCGAAGGACGTGTATCAAGAGTTATATTGTAAGGCCTAAGTGTTCTCTGTAGTATACGTCCCCCGATACCACGACTGAACCACACTCCCTACCATTAGGTTATCTATTTGATGGTTTTGAACGTTTCTGGACATCTTACTCAGATACGATTACCGTCATGGATTTTTCACGTATTTTTGACAAGTACCAAGCTCGAGTCGAGCGAGAACTATGGGGTATGCAAACGCAGCTATGCTTGAACGGTTTCCATCAGTTGGGCTAACATGCCTTAAACACAGAACGACGCGAAACAGTCTTGGACCCCAACTCGACGAATTTGCTGAGGTCAAAGAAGAATCGATAGAATCGGCTGAATCGGCATTTTTGATCGTATTGATTTGTTTATATTTCCTCCAAAACATGTAAAAATCTGTTTGAAGTTTGAAGCTGTTTAACAGTTGCAAAGTTTCGAGAGCTTCGCAATGTCGAAGAAAGACCAGAACAGCAGCGTGCATATCGCTGGAGCAGTGCTCGCCTCCCTACAATTTGACATGCTGAATGAAGAACGCGAGATTGAAGGCTTCTTGATAGGACAAGTTGTCAAACGAACAATTGACGAAGTGAGCTGTTCGAGCTCAGTTAAAACAAGAGTCAAACAAAACTAACGACACATAATACCTCAACTAGATCTCTGATCATGCCCGTGACGCCTCATCACGCATAGAAACAAGAATAATAGTCACTGGCCACATTCCATCAACTCGAAAATGTTATGATATGCTAGGTCAAGTGGATTATACTTTATTGAATAGCTTGATGGCTGATAAGAAGGATTCTGTATTGGGATACTTTAAGTTTAGGAGGAATACACGTATGGACGTCTCGTTGAGGTAAAAGGAGGTTCCTGTTTCGCATGCCTTATGGATGAGGGGTTTTTTTTGCCCCTACCGCCTGAAAGCAACGACTGAACCAATAAATCACTCTCATTGACTCTTGTACAGAGAGGCAGCTGTATATGACTCGCTCCTAAAGAGGCCGGTAACGAATGTAGATCTATCGTTACTAGAATGTCAACTCTTGTGTATTGTGACAGCTCATCCTCCCGAAACATCAACTCTGACATTGGATTTCTCCTTTTACAACAAGACGGCAACATCGACGTGAGTTAATTGATTACTAAGTTGAGGATGAAGATTCTTGCAATATTTATCTCTGAGTCCTAAAAAATTCGCCGTACCTGTAGGACATTTCAGAGGCTACCTCTAGTCATTGGAAATCTGGTCGAGAGTACACAGGCGCAATATCATGCTTTTGCGTCAACGATGCCTGCACAGAGGTAAAGCGTTTGTTGTTGAGACTTCCAGGCCTCCGACAAGAAAGTAATGTAATAATCCAACAATAGTCCACTGGATGCAGCCATGGCTTCATTCTCTCTGAATTATGTACAGGATTACATCAATATCTACAAACAGTCGATTGGGATGCTGACAACAGCAGCTGATGAACTACTCGAAAGTGAAGCAGAGCTGGCCCGACTTAGGGAATTGGTTGCCAACCAGATGCAACAAAACTAGACACAAAAGTTCTTTACATAGATGTAGGAAATGTGATTTGAGAAAGAGTTCTCCCTCATAGTTGTTATATTTGTCCTTGTCACCTTGTTAAATACATTTGCTACTGTTTTTTACTCTGCTTCTACTGCACTATACTCTTGTACATTGCAACCCCAAAAAGGAATTTATTCTGAAGCAGAGTCGTTATCATCGACAGGATACACAAGTGAGAATTCAATTCTATAACTTTTAGCAAGCTGTGATATCCTCCTCACGAATCGAGATGTACCTGCTACACGATATGCCATAAACAAGGTATTATGCTTCAAAGAGACTGACGCCAACGTCTCATCACCATCAACATAATTCAACTTGCCGCTCATATTCAATGGTGATTCCTCATCTTCATCATCTTCTGCCATATCATCACCCCGCTTTTCCAGATCCGGTATAATCTGGTCATTCAAATCATATTCAAACGACAAGACTAGATCCAATCCTGCAGATTCCGGTTGGTCATCTACCAATAATGTGTAATCTCCCGGTTTGAATTTACGGCATTCACTGCTAGGTGGCGTTGTGGTACTCAGATCTAGACTAGTCATGGTTGCCAGATATTTGATAAAGTCAGGACTGACTAGCCAATCATGGATTCGTTTTACAGAGACGGACCCATCGTTACTGGCAGGCTGACTATTACTCTCACAAATACTATAACGGCGTCGATTCGGCGGTCCAACCTGCTCAAACGGACACTTTACAAGTTGGCGAGCGATGGTATTGGCAATATCAAGTTCCAAAAAATTTTGTAGCGTGATTGATGATTCGTCGAGAAAGGTTGAGATGAGTGCTTCACAGGATAATTGTTGTTGATATGCGGGATTGATTAGTAGCCACCAGTCGAAGCTGGAGAACATGTCTGGATATGATTTTTCTTCGTCGGCGCTGGTGGTGCTCATGGTTTCGTCCTTGGCTTCTTTGTCGGCTTCGGTGTCTTCTGATGGAGGGCCATGGAACCAACCGCTAAATCACGAAAAATTCAGCATCATTTTATGTACGTGCAGGTTTTTTGCGTATCACATACCTGACAGAGACACGATCACGCCTTCCCAAGACCTCTTCTACTTCATGATATGACGTTGGCGATACCTTAAAGAAGGCAATAGTATTCCATTGAGGAATTATGGATTTGATTATTTTGCTTGGTTGACTGTTGTCGTCCCTATTCGTACAGAGCGTTTAGCAAAAAACACTCCGATGCCAACTGGTAGATTGCTTACGCATCAAAGAGATTCAGACGACCACCATCTCCTTCATTCCAGTCCTTATCTACTAAATACACTATGAATGCAACACGACGATGCGTTTTGTCTGTTCCAATATCATCATCATGACACGCCAAAAAGCCCATCGGTGGATACTTGTGTCCAGATATATCGATCGTTGTTCCTAGCTCTACATTCATGAGCTTGGATATGACGGGAGCTAAAGAGTGTAGGCTCTCGCGCAGTTTGACGAGAGGTTTGACTTGTGTGATTTCAAAGTCCTACCAGAAAGAAAAAGTCAATACGAGAAATAGCAAAATTTACAAATACAAGCAAGTACTTGCATCAAACTTGTCGAAATGATACAAATCGTTGCTTTTTCTAACTAGAGGCTGTTCCAACATTGTATCCCGTACAGTGCTCAAAAATTGTTGACCAAAGACAGATTTGAGCACGCCGTGTTGGAAGGGTACTGAATAGAGGGCTCCAAAAGATAAAAGCACATCGGTATCTTCACGGATCGTTCCACTTTGAGACAAGAATTCCTCCGTCTTTTTCACGAATGATGCGTCAAAAGTGGCAGATGCTTTTGAATTCTGTTTCGGAGAAGCGTTTGTTGGAGTGGTTTTTTGCTTCTTGGAAAGTCGTAGATCGACTTCCTCGGTGTCTCGTTGCTTCCTAGTCATGGCTCTACAAGGTGATCGATCGTTTTCGTCGAGTGACTTCCAGATTCTTGCAAAAACGAAATACACACTAGTAACCAATCGGTCCTTATAAAGTAGTGAAGCACGGAATGTCACGAAGCAATTCATACATTCAAAGCATTTTAAATCATCTCGCAGACTCTAACGAGCCTGAATCGAACAACTGCACTGCAGTATCACCATGTTTGGTGCAATCTGGAATTCCACGAATACTGACTCCATTGAAGCTTGGAGGCGATCAGCCGTTAACTTTAAATCATCGCATTGGTATGTCAGAACGATGGATCTAGTTGGTTGACTCGTTGCAAACCTTTTTGGAACTTGAGCAACATCTGATTAACCCCCACGCCTTTCCTAGTAATGGCATCCATGGCCCGTCATCGTGTCGAGCTAGACGGAACGATCAAGGCTCAACACGTTGGAGACTATTACGTGCAGCGAAGCACGCCTGGAGGTCTGATCTTGTCTGAGGCAACTGCTATAAGCGCTGAAGGTGTAGTGTCCCTCCGAGCGCCAGGAATTTATACGCAAAGTCATATCGACGCATGGAGGACCGTTGTTGCTCGAGTTAAAGAAACCAATGCCGTGTTCTTCATGCAATTATGGCATGGTGGAAGAGCGTCTCATAGTGCTTTCCAACCAGACAATCAGCTGCCCGTTTCATCGTCTCCGGTAGCTATATCTGGGACCGTTATGCTGCCAAAGAAGGGGGCCATACCTTTCGAGACTCCAAGGGAGTTGACGACTGAGGAGGCATATGATCGGGCGAGAGAGTATGGAAGGGCTGCTCAAGTAAGCCAAACGTATTTTGATTAGAGGTGGACGATGTTGTATTTACTGAAAGTCCAACTTTGTGTATACTCTTAGCGTGCCAAAGATGCAGGTTTCGACGTAAGGAATGAGTTCTCTTCCATGTGTTCAACCTAATTTGCCAACAATTGTGTCAATAGGGAGTCGAGATTCACGGCGCTAATGGATATTTGGTGGATCAATTCTTGCAGTCTACCACAAACCAGCGTACTGATGAATATGTAAGTCCAGGGGTTTCAGTTTCTGGCAAAGTACTACGTAGTATTTACAAACTCACTCGACCAACAGGGTGGTTCGGTGGAAAACAGATGCAAATTTGCATTACTCTGTGTCGAGGAGTGTATAAAAGTATATGGATCATCGCGTGTTGGTATTAGACTAGCTCCGCATGGAGCTCAGGCTGGAATAGCGGATGCAAACCCGGTGGAAACATGGACTTGCTTGCTGAGAATGTTGCTTCCATACAACCTTGCCTACGGTATTTCTTGGTTGTCGCTCAAATCTGATTCATAACACCTAAATTTTGCCTTCTACACTAGTTCACTTGGTCCAACCTCCTAATTTAGTTGTCGAGCCAAAGGACTTCAATGGGCCCAATCTAGACCCGTACTTGAAAACATACCGAAACGGTGGTGGAGTTGTAATCACTTGTGGTGCTTATACACCAGCAACTGCTGTTCAACATGTCGATACGGATACAAGTGATGCCATCGCATTTGCTAGACTCTTCATCTCAAACCCAGATCTAGTCGAAAGAATCAAGACTGGAAGGCCCCTGCAACAGTACGAGAGCAGTCTCTTTTACTCGTAAGTGATGTTGCATGTGTGTAAATGATGACAACTCTTCGGTGTTCATATGAGCCGCTTCTTTTAGGGCACATTGGAATGGGTACTCGAACTATCCAACATTTAGCACGGACCCAGAAATGAAGGAATGGGGTAAATGGACGTCGTATAGAGGGACTTCAAGTCCAAGGGCTTCAATTTATAAATCGAAGTGATGACCACTAATACAAGTTTCGGTTGAGCAATATTCTTCCAAAAGCCGTTTCTTGCAATTCTTATCCTTGCTGATTGGCATGGATATGCGGACGATCCAACATTTAGAACTGACGCAAAAGTTAAGGAATGGGGCGGGCATCGTCTAGAGGGACTTCAAGTCCCTGGGCTGATGGAGGATCAGGACACGTCCGAATTCAGAACAATGCGGTATGGTACGTAGCCGTTGATAATCGACTGCTCCACAGTCTCCACAACAGTCGAAACAATGACAGAAACACCAACGTCACCGTCAATAACAGGAACAATCATTGTAGTAACAGCAATGATAACGAAAGATGAATAGGTGGAGGTGGGAGGGGTACTGAAATTGTATATTAACGGGATTGATACAAGGGGGATGAACCTGACATCCTTTTGTGAAATTGTGAGCGGGTGTGAAGTGGATAGAAGATCCCAAAAGCATAGAAAGCATCAGTAAATAAAGAAAGAATTTGCATTCATCCGTTGCGTTCACACTCTTCTCACTGAGTTATTCAGCTCTGCTCCATTTTTCAGAAAAATTCAAACAATGACATTCAAAGTTCCCAGTTTGCCACCAGGAAGGAGTCCTGCAAGAAGTGTTCCTCCGGCACCTCCAAGAGCAGATGAAATCAAAGAGGAGGCTCCAAATGCTCCTCCTCTGCCATATTCTGCGCCAGAATGGTCAAATATACCAACTCAAGGCCCTTACAGCCTAGAAGCAAGTCTTTGATCTACATCATTCCAGTTACGTCAAGCGCAATCTGACTTACAAAGTTATTCCCTCTTTAGATCTTAAAGGGGGGTGTTCTGATCGAAACGAAATTGATTGGTGAAAAAGCGTATTTGGTGGTTGGTGAGCTTTGCTTCCTGAAGCCATTTAGTGATTACGCCAAGAAATTGATGATTCATTTCAAATTTATTTCGTATTGAAACTAGGACGCCTGCCAATCTGTGATATCGAACTTGAACACGCTTCGGTGTCTCGCTACCATGCTATTATTCAGTTTAAAGGTGATGGTACTGTGTATCTCTACGATATTTCTGTGCATGGAACATTCATAAACAAGGTGATTCCCATGTTGCATCAGCTTGCGTCGATCGTACAAAGTAAGCTCACATCGTTTGCTTTTCAAAGAAACAAGTGCCAAAGCAACAGTACATCACGATTCGCAATGGAGATCAGATTCGATTTGGTCAGAGGTAATGCCATGTATGTCGATTCCCCTAGAATCATTTTCTCACGCATCTTGCTTTCTCAAGCACTCGGCTTTATGTGCTAAACGCTCCTCATGATGAGGAAGAGGAACAGCAGCAACAACAAGCACTGCAACTGCAACATCAGCAACGAGTCAAGCGTCAACTTCAGCAACAGCAGAAACAGCCAGAACCAGAACCTGATCAGGAAGTCTCGTGGGGCTTCCAAGAAGACGCATACGAACTCGAATCCCTTGCCGACGACACCCACATCAACGTGGACGACATATCCCCCGACGTGTATTACGCGCGAGACCCGAAAAAAGCACTCGTAATATGGTTTGAAACCCAAAGTAGTGAACCAACCTACGAAGTTTCTGAAGAAGGAGGTGTATCTGGTCAAGGACGTACATATACAGCTCGAGTAACAGTACCTCTAGATTCTGGCACCACATTAACAGGACTCGGCAAGTCAACACGTAAACGAGATGCAGAGAGACTAGCTGCTTTTGAAGCATGTGCCAAGTTAGACAGGGCAAAGTTGTTGCGTGCTGAAGATCGAAAAGCGGCACGTAAACGAGTTAAAGAGGATGAAGACGATGATGATACTTATTATGATCGGACGGATCGACGTGATTTGAAGAAGAGGAGGGGTGATGATGCTGGTAGAGCTGTCGAAACAGCTGAGTCGTTGTTTGAAAAGAAACGAGTGGCTCTGGAAGAAATTGAGACATTAGAAGCTCAGATATCTATTATGGGTGGTATGGGTTGTTTATGGGCTTCAATCTTATGTTGATCAAAACTGACAAGTCATTTATTTTTAGCTTCGCAAGTATCAACATCGTCAAATGACGACGACGATGACATGGATGCCGTGTTAAAACAAATGCAATCAAAAGAAACCGTCGCTCAAAAAGAGGATGAAAAGCGCCAGTTGATAGAACGTGTATCTTCGCTTCGCAAGGAAGTTGCTCGTCTTGAACGAATCATCAAGGCATCCAAAGTCAGGTTAGTTTTTGCCCAAAACAAAACTCAAAAACGTACGCTCAATTGCGACTAACACAGGAGTTTGTAGTCTCGAACCACCAAAAGCACCTACTCCAACTTCTAGCAAGTCGCAGCAGATACCAGTGCTTGATAGCAGTAAACCGAAAGATATGCTCCCTCCACCACGAAAGCCATCTGCTAAAATGGAGGTGGAACATCCAATAACGGAAACAACAGTACATCAGCAACAACATGCGTCTCAGCCAATCTCGGAATTCAAGTCTGAATCTAATGATGATGTGGATATGACTCCACAATCAGAGCAGCCGGTGTCTCAAGGTAGACGTCGATTTGGGGTCATGACTCGTGAAGCTGTCGAAGCTCAAAAAGTCTATGTCGAGCATGAAGATGTGGTGGATTCTGTAGGAAAGGCTGGTGACGAAGCCATGAAGGAGGCTAATGCCGCGTATGGTTATTGAACCTCAGCTTTATCTTTTTTTGCATTCAATGTATTATTAAATTATAATTTCAGAAGAGAAATGCAATATTACCGTTGCTCCTACATACAGTTCCGACCACAATGCAATAAAGCTCTAAATACTATAATACATTCTCAATGGCGTTTAGAAGTGCCAACTGGATTGATCGTGGTGCCTGCAATGCTCCATTCAGCATCACCATCCGTGTTGGCTAGAGTGAAACTTCGTTGTTCTCCTGTTATAGGGGACCATGGTGCAGACGGTGAGATGGGCGATGACATGCTATTTACCGATGTTCGTGGACGAGCAACTATAGGTCTTGGTGGTGACGATGTAGTTATATAGTTGGCATCAATCGAGTTCCCAATCGAGTCATTACGGTCTAGAAGTTGATCAACCTGCTTTCTCAGTTTAGCTGAGAGGGAGGCCACACTTCCTTGAAGTGCGCTGAGTTCTGATCGGTCGTTTCGAGGTGGTAATGGGTGTGGAGCTGGAGATGATATGCTAGCATGTCGATGACTTTGAAGTTGAGAAGAAGATGGTTGCTGTGATGCTGTCATCCTAGAGTTATTATCACTGCCATTTACATTATTGTTATTTATGTTGCTGGTGACTTCACTACGCCGAGAGTGACCATCTGGGACGGGTGTTGCAGCAAGCTCACGCGCACGTCGGTATTCACGGGCAATACGATCAGCATCCATTTCACGTTCTCTCAAAGCCTCTCGTAGAGAACTGACTTGTCGAGCCCACGATTGCTCAGAGGCAGATAATTCAGAGCATCGAGCTTCAAGACGGAATTTCTCTGCAGACAATTCCGATACTTCTACGCGTACTCGAGCTGCTTCATCCTGTAATTGAGATGCTCGTGATGTCTGGGTAGCTAATGCAGCTCGTAGAGATGATACGTCCTGTTCCATGGCAGCACGGGCAGCACTAAACTTCTCCTGTACCGACATGAGTTCCTCCTTTTTACGAGACCTTATGGCATCACGATCACGTTCAGCTCCATTGAGTGCACTTTGAGTGGCTGATAGTGCATCTTGGGTCTCGGCTAGTTTAGCATCACGGTCCCGTAATGCCATACGGAGTTGTTGCTCCAATTCACGGAAGGAGGATACTTGAGATTGAGTTTCTGATAGTGCTCCTTGCAAATCGTTGATACGATCTTGCACGGCAGTCAGCTTTTCTTTGGATTGCTGTCTTATATCATTACGTTCCTTTTCGACAACGTCCAGACGAGCCCCGAGACCATTTATACGGTTTTGAGCATCATTTAAATCCCTATTACGTATATTCAAGTCGGATTCCAGACGGGCTCGGACATTGCTGAGTTCGTCACGTTCTTGACGGACAAGAACCACTTCAGAGGAGAGCGTAGCTAAATCTCGATCACGTTGCGATAATTGTGCTCGTAGCTCTGAAGCAGCATTACCCAAATCAGTTAGGTCTTCACCAAGTCTGAGTAATTCACCTTGTTGACGACGGATTTGGGTACCTAGAGCTTGGTTTTCACCAGTTTGCTCAGAGCATCGGGTAGATACATCTTGCAAATCACTACGTAATCGGTGTTCTACGTTACGGAGAGTGTCTATATCGGATAACAGTTCACGTTCTCGTACTATTAGTCGTTCTACTTCGCCGTTAGCACGACGTTCACGAGATGACAGCTCTTCCACTTCGGCAAACAATTTACGTTCACGAGATGCAGCATGGTCTAGATCTTCAGTATAAGCCTTCTCACGTTTGAATGCTGTTTCTAGATCTTTCTTCGCCTGTTCTAGAGTAGGTTTGAGAGATACTAGGTCATCAATCTCGACATTCTTTTTAGATAGAGTAACATTAAGAGTCTTGATTTCTTCATCACGTTGAGCAACAAAGTGGTCTAGTTGCAGAGCTTGTACTTCAAGCTTCATACGAGACTCCTTTTCGGCCTTCCAATCAGCTTCTTTACGTTTGATTTCAGAATCGAGACGTTTGTTTTCAGATTCTCGAGACTTGAGTTCTACATCCATGGCTTTACATTCGGCTTCACGGATATGTAACTTGTCTGCTAGCTCACGGCGTTGACGACCAGTTTCAGTACATTGCTTTTCTAGAGCACTAGATCGTGCTTCGGATTCAGTCAATAATCGTGACAATTTAGAAGCCTGACTATCTAATTGTTCACTGGCATTCGTCCATGCTGCCGATTCTCGAGCATATCGTTGTTGCCAGGCGGCAGCTTCACGCATAGCAGCTGTACATTCTTCGGTCTTCAAGAGGAGAGCTTTTTGTAATGTTCGCTGGTCTGCGTCATGTCGGCGTTCGTGATTACGAGTTTCGGCTAGATGGTTTGCTTGCAGGGCCTGTACTTCGGAGAGCAGCTTGTGGTATTCAGACTCGAGGTGCAGATATTTCGACCTCTCTTCTTCCAACAAGACCAACAGAGTCTTGTCGGTGCTGTAATACTGTGTATGGACTATAGGTCTTAGTGAAGGATCTCAAAGTATAGCTTTTTAGAGCATAAAAACAAAAAAAAATTAAACCAACCTTTGCACGAGACTTGTTCTCTTTAGTAACAAGTTTACTCCACGGATCCGCACTAGTAGATCTACTAGATCCCTTCACCAGCTTTTCCCGTTCCTTTTCGCGGTCCCGTTCCCTCTCACGTTCTCGTAGTCTATCACGTTCAGCCTCCAATTCCTTTTCTTGTTGACGTTCCTTGATCAATTTCGATTTTATAGAAGCCGACTCGTTCGTGTCGAGAAAGGCGTGTTTCCCTTCACGATCTACTCTGACTTTACCACGCAAACCACCTTCAGAAGTGGCAAAGCATATATCATCGACGTTGGCGGTTGAGAGTCCAGCTTGAGGTAGGGGAGCCCATGCAGGTTCAGACGATGTGAATTTGTTATGTTGATGATTGTGAGGATGGCTCATTGTTGCTGAATCTAGTTGGCCTATAGACAGAGATCCAGATATTGCTCTTGTACGAGATGTTTTTGATGGTTTTATCTTTGACGTTGTTGTCGTGTTTGTATTATGGCTCCTATTTAAATCGTGATTATTTGTGTCGGCTGTTGTCGAGTATGTAGATGTGGCCAGACTGGAAGAGAATAAATGTCGTTCTGCTTCCAACTTGCGTAAGCGCTCCTCTCTTGAAGAAGTCGCAGCAACACCGCCTCTGGTTGCCATGTCTGACTCGATGCTGAATTGGAGGGAATCTCGAAGGTTGTCAACAAGTTTGAGGAGATCAATGCGAGTATCAAATGAACAGCAAGCTCTATAGCTTTAATTCAATTTATTTAATAAAAGAACTAATATTCTACTCGTGAGATACGTTTAAAGCCGAACAGAACTGTTTTCCAAGTAAGTTTTTACACAAAAGTCCTTGTGCAAGGAGTTCTAGTCCACATCCAGACAGTTCGAAAGGCATAATCTATTTAAAATATCTGCCAGAGCATAGCGGTACTCCTTGACCGAGTGTGCAAAAGCACACACAAAGGCTTGACAACTTGTGCCTGCAAATCCAAAACTACACAATTAAACTTAGCAATTTCACATGCCAGCAGCAAGCTGGATGAACCTTCACAGGAAATATTCCTTTGCGAAAGCATATTTGAAATGGTTGATCCAGGTAGCTATGAATGAACAACCCTTTGCGCAGTTTGGATTTTCTCCTAGATCTGTGTAATCAAGCTATACGTGTCAGTCCCTTCAGGAGAGACTATTTATTTCCCGCGTATAAATGCAACTCGATTAATGCAAGCCAACACAGATTTTGCAAAGATCTATCCAGAAGCGCCTTTAGCAACCATGGCTGATACCGGATCTCGCCCCCCTTCATACGACAGAGATGGTGTACCCGATACCAAGATTCATATTGAAGCCAAATCAGGTAACACGGCGTTCCTCCAGAGCCGAATGACTTTTTGAATCAAAGGTGTTTAACATTTGTTTCGTTTCCCCTTCTTAGCCGACCATATCGCCAAAGGGACTGAAGTCCAAATTGTCTTTCAAGATCTGTCCTACAGCATTGTAGTCCCAGCTCCAGTTCAAACGAGCAAGGGCCCATTTGCCAAAAAGGAAATGGTCACCAAGCAAATCTTGAGTAAGGGATGCTTCAATCTTGTGATGAATGACGATTAGCTGACTTTGGCGACTTCCATATTGTAGAAAACGTCAATGGAGCCTTCAATCCTGGACGCTTGACTGCAGTCATGGGTGCATCAGGTGCTGGTAAGACTTCTTTGCTCCAAGTCTTGGCTGGTGAAGCTAAGCAAGGGATGGTTGAGGGTAGAATCCTCCTCAACGGTGAAGAGATAGTAAGCAAGGAGATCAAACGTTGTTCAGGTAAGCAATTTGACAATACGAACCAACATGTCACATAGATCAACTTACTGACTGATGCCTCCTTTTCCAGGCTTTGTTTTCCAAGATGATGTCATCCTCTCGACCATGACGGTACGGGAAGCCATCACTATGAGTGCACTCCTCAGATTGCCATCAGACTGGACCCTTGAGAGGAAGCACGCGAAGGTCGACGAGACAATCCAATTGTTGGGACTTGAAAAGGCTGCTAACACTATCATTGGAGACACCGAAACCAAGGGCGTCAGTGGTGGTGAGAGGAAAAGAACTGCCATGGGTAGGTGTTGAGTCAAACAATTAAAACTTCTCCAGATGCACAAGTCATGTCAACAGAAATCGTTATAACAATCACCACTTTTTTTGTCAGCCATGGAGATGATCACAGAGCCACAAGTGTTGTTCTTGGACGAGGTAATTTGTTGAATGGTTTTGGTGGTATTTCAATGGTATCTGAGCCAACATTTCTATTTTAGCCCACATCTGGTTTGGACACCTTCACCGCTTACGCCGTGATCAAAATACTATCCGAGTTGGCCCATGCAGGGCGCACAATCATTGCCACCATTCATCAACCCAGCTCTGAAATCTTCCACTTATTTGATGACTTGGTTCTCATGGCTGACGGCAAAGTAATGTATGCTGGTAGTCAAGAACACGTGGTCGACTACTTTGGAGCACAGTGAGTGATTGACTGGTCTTTTTAGCTCTTGCAATCAAACATGTTCTCATCATCTCATCACTACCACTGTTTTTAGCGGTTACCCGTGCCCCAAGTATTCCAACCCAGCCGATTATCTCTTCATGTCTGTTCTCAACAACACTGCCCAAGAAGTCACAAGTGGGGGCCAAGTAAAAGAAAACAACAAAGACCGAATCGAAAGATTGTTGGGCGTTTTTGATAAGAGTGACGAGTTCTCCTTGATCAAAAAACAAGTCGATAATCCTGACAAAGGCGGTGTGTTGGTTGGATCCACTAAGAAGGTATATCCTTGTTGTTGTGGAATTTTATTAAGTTTGCGTCTTCATTGTGGCAACTCTAAAATATCTGCCACATTCTTCTTAAGGTCTCCACTTTCGCGATCCAGTTCCCATACCTACTTCAAAGAGCAAGTAAAAATGCTATAAGAAATCCATTGATAATCAAGGCTAGAATGGCTCAAACTGTCGTCATTTCATTGATTATCGGATTTTTGTTTCTGAATACTGGTTCGACGACCGGCCAAGCATCAGTTCAGAACCGGTGCGGTGGATACTTGTGCCTTGACAGCCAACCAATTCTAACGGCATTGTGTTTATAGTTCCGGTGTTCTCTTCTTTGCCTCAGTCAACAACGTCATGAGTTCTTGCATTGGTATTCTCTCGATTTTTGGTGGAGAGAAAACAGGTAAAGAAAACGCCAAATTACATCTGCACATAATCACAAACGACAGCACACTCATCCGTTTACACGTTTTTACAGTCTTCACTCGTGAACACGGTGCCCAATACTACTCCCTCCCATCCTACTTTATCTCCAAAACATTGGTTGAAATGCCGTACCAAATCCTCTTCCCTTGGGGTCAAGCCACAATCTTGTACTGGATGGTAGGCTTGCAAAACGTTGCAAGCAAGTACTTCATCTTCTCCTCTTTCGTCGTCCTCTCATCTGTGTGTGGTTGGGCGTTGGGAATTTTCTTTGCCTGTATGTTCAGTTCTTTGCCAGTAGCTTTAGCAGTCACTCCGTAAGTACTCAGTATTGGATTCTCAGTGACTGAATCACATTTGACGTCTAATTGTCTACACCCTGAAAATAGTGTGATCTTGATGCCTCTGATGCTCTTCTCTGGATTGTTTGCCAATCTCAATGCTATTCCCATCTGGTTGAGGTCAGTTCTCAATGACAATCATGACTTTGCCAGTCAACTGACAAGCCTCCTTCCACAAACAGATGGATTCAATACATTTCTCCCATCAAGTATGGATTCGAAGGGATGCTTAAAAACGAGTACACTGGCATTCAGCTGTGGTGTGCTGGCGCTCTTCCAGTAGATGGGTCCGTTTGTTTGACACAACAAGGAATGGATGACGGCTTGGGCATTTGGGCCTGTGCCCTTATTCTCATTGCCATGGTTCTTGCTCTACTTGGACTTGCATATCTCTCGCTCAACAGCTTGGTGTCTGCTAAGAGCAGCAGCACCGCAAGCTACAAGAAGAAGAAATGCACCCCATTTGGTAAACAATCTTCAGAGAGCAAGTTAGGATCCCCAAAGAAAAGTGAAGCCCTTTGAAAATCAAACCTCAAATCTGTAAAACCAATCATCTATATAATGTCAGAGAACAATAAATTCCGTTGTTTATCAATCGATGCTCTCAGATGGCGGCTCTTGTATTCTTCTGGTATATCTCCTGATGCTGATCCAAAGAAGCCGACCTTGGTCAATCTTGGAAGACCGAGTTCATAGAACGGCATAAACCTCGAAACGAAGTCGATGAGTTCAGAGTCTGACATTCCTGCGTCAGGTTTATTCAGCTCCTTTCTCATAGTATTTTCAGCCTGGTACAGATGAGTTTAGTGAGTGATTGAAGCACTGGATTTTTTTTTTGATTTCAATACCTCTATACGCCAATCGTAAACCCAATGTATATCCTTGCAACAGATATGCACAAAGGTATCAAACATTGGATACCATTCCCTTTCCCAAACACGCGCACCCTCGTTTAATAATTTTATATGCTCAAATGAGTGTTTCCTTGTCTCAGAGTCTGGGTCTTTTGACAATGCCTTGTATGCAGCTTCTAGTTCTGTCTCGGCTAACGATTTGAAGCCCATCGACCACCCCTCAAAGAGTATGATGTGAAATGGAGGTTGCACGGTTGTCCAGGTCGATGGTGGATTTTGGTCGCCCTTCCCGTCATTAGCAGCCTTGTTGTATGACGGTATAGGTGTTGTACCATTCTGTCTAAGTGTTTCTAGGGTTCTTCTGCCTAATGTCAACAACACGTGCGTGTGTCTCAGTAGAAGCATTTTAAATAAGGGATTCTAAGGCTTTCTACCTAATGCAACATCATGTGTGCCAGGATTTCCTCGTAGTTCAACCAACTGTGTTGTTTGACAAGAAAGGTATAGTTTAGAAACAATGCACCCTTAAGGTCAAATCAATCAGACGGTGCGAATAGAGCACGAGTATGACCTTGTTGCCAGGATTTGAAGCAGCAACTTGGGTTTGCTTTTCGAATGGCAGATACAGATCATCCAACGAAAAGGCCACAACGTTCAAACTGTGTGGGGCAGAGGAGAGGCCCGCCGATATATTCCTCACTAGAGTCGTCTTTCCAGCGCCTAAAATGTCCAAGTTAGCGGGTGGATGATGAAGCTTTTGACATTTAAAAAAAAACGGAGGGTTTCATTCAACCTTGAGGGCCGCTTATTCCAATTACCAGTGGTCTTGCAGGTAGAGATCCAGGTCTGAGCTCAGCATACCATTTGAGAATCTGGGCAGTCACCAATGAGGCAGTAGCTGACGGTCCTCCCATTTTGGTATATCCTGAGATTTTGCAGTCAGAAGTACGCAGGTTCACCTTTTGATGTCAACAGGAACCATATGGGGAAGCTGCATCTTCGTGTCAATTAACAGATATTACCAGTATTTCACGATGGCGTCCATGTATGTTCACTCATTTTCGACACAATTCCAAATCGCAGTCGCATTACTTTGTAAGGGTACTTGGTCAATGAACAGGCGATAAAGGACAAATCAAAGGGGTTCAAGCTTTAGGAACTACGATACTAGTATGTCCTGATACGCCACAAGCCGAGATCTATTCAATTGGGTAAAAAGAGACGAACTATCACTTGATGAGCAATTCGCGAAAGCGCCGACAACAAGCCCATTCTTCATAACAGTCCTCTACTCGTAAATTTTCAATATTGTAACAGTGAAACGCGTGATTGACTGTATCAGTCTAGTCTTAGCTCCCCTTCATCATCGCAGCAACCTATTCTTCTGATCTTTTGTGCAAAACGATCCTGGTTACAACTGGCAGGCCCTGATAGAAACTATGCTAGTGCCGTCGGCAGATGCTGCCATCTTCTCAACAGTCGCAGATGCTACTGACTCGGGTATACACACTCTATTCAACCATTCACGTACAAACGAATCATAGATTCTCAACATTTTCCCAATTCTAATAGCTGTTGCCAGAATCGCAGATCTCCTGACACATCCCGACGATCTAGCAAATAAATTAGGAGTGCTCCGTCGTCGTTTTGCTGCTGAAAAGGCAAACATTGATGCCCAACTAAAGACGTTGGTTGAGGGTCAATTAGATGATGCACGACGAGGGGTAGACACCCTATTCAAATCCCAGGAAGAGACCGAGGTCGTAAAATTAAATCTGGAAAGGATTGATAGCCTATGTGCTGATGCTCAAAACACCGTCAAGAACTATGCTCGTATCAAAAAGGTAATCCATGTGTCGTACTATGGTTTGTTTTTTTGCCTGATTGAAATCAACTAACAATAAATTAATATATCTATCCTGACAGATCTCCAGAACACATCAGAACTTTGTAGCCACAAAAGAAATCGTAGAGCAATTTCAACGTCTGAATGCTCAAATCACTCGTATACATAAACTGCTAGAACGTGACTCGGAAAACCTAGAAGGACCAGCCGAAAACCTATTATTGATTCACTACCAGATCTTCCAACTCGAGCAATTCAAAAACTCGACTCTGCAACGTAGTAGAGGTGGATCTGCAGATGTCGTATCCACACTTCAAAATTATTTCCGCAAAGTAGATCAACTCGTCGAAGAATTCGACTCTTATATGTGGAAACTAGCTAAATCCGTAATTGACTTGACAAAGTCAGGCCGTATATCCACAATCGTTAGAATGGTCAAGATTATAGAAACAGAGGAAAAGGCTGATGAAGCTTCAGCTATGCAAATCGTGTCTAGCCCGACAAGTGCTGGTAGATACGACACCACATATCAACGACCGCCGAAATCCTATAGGATACGATTCTTTGATGCTATACGAGATACCCTACGACGAAAGTTTGATAGCTTACATGATCAACACAAGAACGAGTTCCCGCAGCTGCTACAGGCTCTCAACTTTGTCACGGATGATTTAACTATAATACATGACGATCTAGCACCACGGCTACCGAAAAAGTATAATACCTTTCACTTTTTCGTGCTCGAGTATCACCGAAACATTTACGACGTGGTAAGATAACGCTTCATTCATTCATTCATGAGGATTTTCTTGTATTGGGAAGAGACAGTTGTGGAAAATCAGCCATCGCTCTGGTTCAGTTGCAAGAATTGGCCGTTTGATTGCATAGCTTGTGGTTTCCATGAACGACAATTTACCGTTTTCTTTGCAGATCAACAAGGTCATCCAAGGATCCATGGAAGCAGGTGCCATACTCCAGCTGCTAAAATGGGTCCGCAACTATTACGAAGATATGAGCGCCCGTCTCGGTGTCGGAGAAGAACTCTTAGAACCACGACTCCTAGACGGCAAAGAAGAACAACTCGTGGAAGAGTACGTAAAACTTATACGCAACAAGCTCGCTGAATGGATGGGCAATCTCCTACAGTCCGAAACCCGTGAATTCTTCCAACGTAACGCATACCCAGATTCCGATCCCGCCAATGGCAACTATTTAATGAATGCATCCATCATCATGTTTCAAATGGTGAATCAGCAAGTCGATATAGTAGCTGCCTCCTCACGTGGTAAATTAATGTATGATGTGGTGTGTGAATGTACGATGGCACTGGACGAGTTTCATAAAGCCTGGCTAAAGATTCTAGATTCCGAGTATCAGAAATTTGTAGAAAAGTCTCCTGAACTCGCTGAAGGCTTGCCTGAATACGTCATGGCGCTGGCCAACGATGCATTCCGAAGCAGAGAGTTCTCTGAAGCCATCATAACCCGTATTGATGCTGTAGTCGACGACGAGTATCGCCCTGCCGTGAAAACCAAACTGAATGGAACCCTAGATGGATTCATGAAACTAGCTACCAGAGCAAACACTGTGCTCATCGATATAGTACTAATCGAAGTAAAACCAGCCCTTTCGCAAATGCATACGAATGCATGGTATGACTCTGATCCCATGAGACCGATAATAGCAACACTCGAAGACTATTGCAATGATTTCCAATCCCATTTATGTGAATATCTGTTTACGAAACTCACTGCTGATTTACTGGAACGGTTTATTGTGGTGCATATTGAATCGTTCCGGAATAAGGGGGCTAAATTCAAGTTTCCTGCTGCTACGGAACGCATGAAGTGTAATTTAGAACAGGGACGAGAGTTTTTCTTAAAGTATAAGACTGCCAAAAGGGTTAATCAGTCTTTTGATCCAGTGGAGAAGCTGGTGGCGTTTGTGTGTAGTACTGGTGGTCTGGTAAGCAAGCTTCATCCTTTCATCAAGGCTCTTTTTTCGCCACTTAAAATCTTTCCGTTTCTTCTCATTTATATCTTTGTTGTACAGGCCTTCCTGGACTTTTGGTCCCTGTATAATCCATACCGTGATTTACCACTCTCGTTTGTCGAAGAGCTTATCGTCAAGCGTGATGATCTAGATAGGGTAGCCCAAAAGGAATTGATTGAGAATATTAAGAGTAAAGTCGCTGAAGAGGCTGCCAAGACCAAGCACATCACGCCCACTGTATTTAGCAAAATCACTGTTGGCAAGTAGTAAATAGTGTTTAAAGTATCCGTCTGTAGATATTTGCATTTCACATCGTAACATCGTAAAACCTTTCCAATACCGGCATCATTATTTTTCTTCAATTATGTTTGATTTGTTATTTTCTAAAAGGACCACACCCGTGTATACATATATAAAAAGAGTCATTTTGTTCAAGTGCGGGGTAATAGGGCCTAGACCACCAAATACAGAGGCAACTCATCCAATCCACCACCGCCATCTTATTTTCATATACAAGTTCCAATCCATCATTTACGTTGAGCAATCAAGTCATCAACGATATCTTCTAAAGATCGATTACGACGCCCAGCACGAACACGAATCTGTTCATCGGTAATGTTCTTAGCAGTCAGTTTTCCACCATCACCACCAACGACAACAAAGATCCCATCCTCGTCTGCTACCTGAGTTGCATTGGCAATAGCAGCAACATCACGTCGTCCACGTCCTAAGAGAGCAGGTGGTGGAGGAATACCCACAGTCTCGGCCAGCTTCTCAACTCTTATCTTCGAGGTTAGATTGCGCACCAGGAAGACATGCTGTACTTCAATAAACCACTTGGTCCACTTGACAATGTCGCGAGACTGATGTGCAAGCTTTTCACGAGCATGCTTGCGAAGCCAAAAGCCACGGTCCTGGTTGTTGTTCTTTTTGCGCATATCGGCGCCCTTCAGTTTGGCGAGACGATTCTTTTTGCCTAACATGAGAATGGGCATAGCCAATGCGTAAGCAAAAAAGATGTACCTAACTGAGAAGATTGTTTTGCATCCAACCGCAAACTCACCAAGAGCAGTGTTGTCTTCTTCCTTGACTTCCTCCTTCTTTTTGTTGTTGCCCAGGAAACCTTTCGTGCGAATGTGTGAGTACATGCGGTCTAATAACGTCAAAGAACTCAAGATCTACCTCGACAATTGGCTGCTCCACACAAACAAGGCAACATGGGACCAGGCAGGAACGGTTGGAATCGATAGTCATAGGTCAATTCAGTACCCGGTTCAATATCTTCGTCAGCAAAAAGTCCAATACAGAATTCACCACCAACAGACCTACAGATGATACTGGTGGCTAAGTCTACGGTAACGCAAAAAAAGCGAGTTCTTGTAGATAATTACCATTTCTCGATTCGGCAATTTGGATCACATGAATGGTTTACAAAACGAGCATCGGTTCCTTTAAGGGCAGCATCAACCACTTCACCATCACCATATGCCAAGATATAATAATTCGTCGAGTCGGCATAGTCATTCTCCATACGGTCATTATAAGTCTTTGCAGAGATGATTTCACCACAGTACTCAAGGACTAGCTGGTTTCTGCCAATATCTTGCATAGTTTGCAAGCCATGCCCACGACCACCAGTCTAAGCGGAGGTTGTAGGAATGTTAAACACAACCAAACAAAACTTTATGATAAGTATCAAAGATGTGCATACCCAGGCAACCTTGAGCTTCTTGACAAAGTTGCGACGCTGGAAGTTCTGATTAGTACATTTATCACCACATGGGCAGCTTTCTGGATCACATTCAATGAACATGCATCTAGGAACAAGTGTTCAGTTTGTTGAGTTTGCGATCTCATTGAAACATTTTAGCAAAAAAGAGAGACTTCCGAAATCGTTTTATACCTGTTCAGACAGTTTTCACCACATGCGGGAGTATCTTCATCTTCAGGGACTTCACATCGACAAACTGCGGGCTCGGCAGCTTTTTTCGCCTTGCGATCGACGAACTGGTCTAAGTAGGCAGATAGATGGTCAGAGATCTGGTAACCCAGCTCGAGGGCAAACAGAAACACGTACTACGTTGCAACTTGTAGAAGCCAGTGGGGCCTTCACGTCTGGCGGGTGCCTTCTTGGCCTGTAGGCAAACCAAAACAAAATCATATTAGTTGTTAATAAATAGAAGTAAAACAACACATCAACAATAGCAAGAAGGCTTTTCAGAAACAGCAATGCACTCACCAATTTGGAGCCACCTTTAGCATCAACATACATCATAATATCAAGAGGAATCTGAAACTCCTTTTCAGTATTCATCAAGGTAATACCAAAGTTTCGTGGCATAGGAAACTGGAATTTCTTGACTGTCTTGTTGTTTGGCGATCCACTCGAAGCACTACCATTGTCAGCAACCAACTCTGGTTGAGCATCACCTTGCATCTTTGCTGTATCATCTTCTTCTTCTTTTGCTGGTGATGACTGAGCAGTAGCAAAACGACTAGACCTTCTTTTCCCTTGACGACCTTCTTTTACTACACCACCACCTTCAACCACTATTTCGACAGGGGCCTCATCCTTCATTTCGTTGGGATCTTCAATGACTACTACAGCGTCGAGGATGGCTTGAGCTGCTGCTTGAGCAGCTTTGCCCTTGTAGTATGCAGAGTAGAGACCAGCGACTAGATATTCTTTACGATCCTTGAGACGTTTGACATTATCTAGATCATCACGTTCCCATTCAGCTTCAAGCTCCTTGTAGGGCTTAAATTCTACATACTTTATACCACCAACTTCTGCCTCGTCATCTATCTTGGCTTTCTTCCTGGGGCTTTCATCAGAGTCGGAGGCAGCAGACTCTTCGTCTACTGCTACTGTTGGAGTATAAGCGTCTCCCAATCTCTCTGCACGTTGTCTCATAAACTCATTATAGGCGAGATGTATGGCTTTAGGGTCATGTTTTGGTTTACGACGTCTACGAGCCCGTTCTTCAAAGTCTTCTGCCTCACGTTCAAGCTTATACTTTTGAGCAAACACCATTAGTTCATCAGGAGAATACCCAGCTACACTATAATACGCTGTGAATGGGTTGAGTGCAGGCAATGGCCCTAATCGACGCAACAATTGTTGCTTTTCCGCAAGATTCAGTTCATAAGGCTCTTCTACCAATTCAGGAGACGCTGATTCTTCCCGTTGCTGAATAATGATTTTACGAAATGCTTTAGGCGGTGCTCCAATAGTACTACAGAATTCATCCCTCGTGTTTCGTTCAAAGACACGGAACTTGACGGCATACTCGAGAGAGTCTGCGCCCAATTCCCATCCTTGGTTGACTGGAGCATCGAACACTGGAGGCGAACTAGTCAAGAACTGCAATGCTTGTTTTAAAGCAGGTGCAGGTTTCTTGACCTTGTGCCATCGCATTGCATGGCTTTTTGGGAATATTTTATGTGGTGGTGGTAGTGTCGTATATGGTCGTTGCTGTTGTTGTTCTATATAAGGTGATATAGATGTTGCTGGAGAAGGTGAATCGACGTCCATGGGAGTAGCGGAAGGTGTCGTTCTAGAGTTTGATTCATTGTCATCGTCCAAGGCAGGTTTGTATGAAACTGGGATGATGATTCTACGAGCTCGTGATATAGGTTTTGTTTTTGGCGAACGAATAATGGCTGGTATATCTCCTTCCTCTTCTGCACTATGTTGTTTGAAAAAAACGAGTCAAGAACTGCGCTCTCAACACAACATCAAATGGTGTCGTTTGATGTCAATGATCCAATGTTCAATCTGGAGATTCGACTCCATGAAGTTCGTAAAGTACTGACATTGCAGAATATAATCAATTTGAATCTACCCTTCTCACTCCAACATTTGCATCTTCATCATCGAGCTTGCATCAAACAAACAAAACAAGTGCATGCAAATACGAGACTGTTTCTTTTGGACTTACATGGTGCAATCAATAGGTTCATGAACAGTATTTTGCAATGTCAACATCCTTGAAGCTCGCGAAGATACAGAGTTAAAACTATCGACGAAGATAGACATGGAAGCAATCAAAAAGTTGACGAGCATTCAAAAAACAGAACAAAGGCTGTCTTTCGCGCATATCTCAGACATAAATAGATTCCGTACTGGAAATCACGTTAATCTCTACAAGAAACACGTCGTCTGAGTCGCAACTCTCATTCATAGCGACGAACGTCAATGTCGTTAGCCAGGGCCTATAAGGAACATCAAAATAAGCAAACAAACATTATCAAGCCAGAAAGAGGTATGTCATCATTAAGGTTATTTACTCCAGTTTACAAACATTCAACCGTCATCTTCCACAGAACACTTGAAATCAGAGACCAAACATGCTGTCTCTTACGCTGTAGACTCTTTATACGATGCAGTCAACCTTCAGTAAGCTACCTCTCCCACACCGATCTCCATGTGTTCGTCAAGCTCAACATCAAACATCAACTATCACAACAGAGTCTCAAAAGCCTTCCAGATTCAACGTGAATTGGAAGCAGAATCAAAACGATTAGAAGCTGCTGCCGTTGAATTCTCAAAGCAAACACGGTTATGGTTGGCACTGGTGAATCAGTTCAACGATGGGCTCAAGGTATTTCAGATTGCAACTTCACGCTGCTATCGAGGATTTGCGGCTTATGCAGGCTGAACGCTGCATATTGTCAGAGCCCCAAGCTTATACTCTGCCAACCTTAGGAATTGGGAGATGTCCAGAACTGGTCTGGCATTATTGAAAAGGACGTTAGATCCATTGTGGGCACTATGGAACGTGTGGCCGGAATTGCTGAAGAGGAAGCGCTGGGATCATCTTCTGTAGAGCTTGTAGAGACTAAAGCTCTAACACCACGGAGTGTCTCATGAGAGAGGCATGACTAGGGAGCGGTTAGTAGTGACAACATCTGTAACTTTTTCCATTTGTACACATGTAAACACATTGCAACCGTTGTTCAAATATCACTTGTATTATTATTTTGTTTGCAAATCCAAAAAAGAAAGAATGATTTTTGTTTTTAGACACAAGTACATACATATTACTACACTGTTTTCAACTTTTGATATAACTCCCACACTGTGATCTTGTCACTTCAGTCAGATTTTTAATTCTTTGCAACTTTTTCGTGATCCTGTCACTCCAAACTGTTTGACCCTTGCCTATTCAGAAGAACAATAGTGTCAGAAGTGATGAGATACCTGGACCCAATCTGCTGACATGATATCAACGTCTGGTATACCTCAAACAAACACAACTAAAACATCCACTTACTCATCATCCATGCCGATATCATCAAAGTCTCCCGTTTCAACGAAAGAGCTACTAGCAATACCACTACGTCGTCGGGTACTCTTCAATCCACCATCAGCATCCAGTGCATCAGAGACAGCTTGTCGGAACTTCCTACTAGACTTGCTTCGAGGTGGCTTTGAGTATGGATGTTCTGCAGCCCGTGCGATAGCTGGTAGCAACAATTCGTCGTCGGGCAATGTCACATTTCTCATTGTGTCGAATGGTTCAACGGGAGTTGATGGAGGAGCGGAAGGGAATAGATGGCTTACACTAGATAAAGATGGAGATCTACTGCTTGTTTGATGTAAATTAGTATCTGCGATCAAACTGTTTGACAGCAAGTCATAACAAAGATACATACCGCAAGACATGAAGTTCATTCATGGCACTAGGCAGAGTGTATGAAGATGCGACACTTGACGGCGGTACAGGTGGGAATACTGGTGTATCGATTGACAAGTCCAGCGAGTCTCGTTTGTTGTACAGCGGCATCTTGGGTGGCCTTCCAAGTGCCGGAGTATTAGGTGCTGAGGTCGATAATGCCTCTGATTCTAACGCATTACTCAGTGATTCGGCTCTGAAGGGATATACATGTGAGGGGAGATCCATAGATGTTCGATCCTCAGAGACGGTAGACCATGCCATAGATCTAACTGATGGCACTCGGGAGTTGTTTCGGGAATTGTATGGCGTTGGCGCGCCTTGCATTATAGATGGCGGGCCACTGCTATGTTCGTATAACTTGCTAGAGTCGTCGTCAAACCTACTATGCTCATATACTTTACTGGCATCCTCAAACCTATTGTCATATCGACTATCATAGTCATCGTCCATGGGGAACAAGTACGAGCATTCCTCTTGCAGTGATGGCATGATATCGGCGCCAGGTAGCTGCAATGGTGGGAGATCTGTATAGGCAGCCGGGACTAGAGTGGATGCATTGTCGAAGTGCATGACGTCGTTCTCTTCATGGGTAGAGGATAGGTCATCAGCTAAAAGGAGGGAATCCTCATAGTCGTTCTTTTCACTCAAAGTTTCACTTGTAGTGTCTCCACGTGCTAGATCCAGTTTCTCGGAAGCAGGTAGATGGGACTTGCCCTTCAATTTTCTGCCTAGAGTGCCTATAGCCTGACCTAGGTGGGCTACCGCTCCGGCAGCAGTGTGTGAGCTACTGCCTGCAGTATGCGTCGAGGATTCAGACGTAGTTCGCCCACGGAAAAAGCTGAAGGTTGCGCTTTTTTCTCGTTGGCGAGGGCGTTTGACGGTAGCTAGAGTTCAATGCATGACGATATATTTAGTTATAAATATGATGAATTCAAACAATTCCATTCTGGACCTACCATGTTCCTCCTCGACGATAATTGGAGCAGCCAGCACTTCAGATGATGCGCTGGGTACAATTTCAGGAGGCTCCAGGACAGTCAATGCCTTTGGGGATTCAATGTTACTACCAGGAACTTGATGGCCGAGCATTCTAGTGGTTAATGGATGTTAATGGAGTGTGATGGTTTGTGTGGACGAAGAGGAACAGTTGGGTAGCAACAAAATGAGGTAGACAAGGTTGCCTGATCCAAGCAACAGCGGCCAAAAAAGTATGCTGCGTATCGACGATATACCTTTTGATCAGAGATTTAGTGTCTTAGTAGTGCCTGATGCTGTTGTTCTCGTCTGCAATCCTTCTTTATTTTCCCTCCCTTTTTCAAAAGTCGACTTCCACGAGCAATTGGTTTCAACCACCTATGCAGTCACCACGCACCAGATCCGCAGTACAAGTAAGAAACTGAGCAAGCCATAAAAGAACACGTCACTGCTTTTATTTCGACGAGTTCTTTGAACTTTCAGACTGGCGATTGCACAAAACAAGGAAATGGGCAGCTGCTAGCTAGCACCTCTGCTGTATATTACCGCATAATGACAACTGAAGATAATCTAATAAGACGCGTTTCGATACGTGCTAAACCGTAAAACTGGGGCTGTCATTTGTTCATTGACTCGTTAACAGGAAATCAATCACGAAGCGTTCGACTCATTAACAGTAAACTCGACGACAAGCTTACCACATAAGCTCCAAGCAGGGAGCCACATGTCGGGCCAAGAGCCACCTACTTTTGCTGAAATCCCTCCCCCGGCTTTCAGTGATGGATGTGCTGAATATTATCCAAACCCAGAACGATTCATCCCATCTGACGATACAAGGTTATTTCGCTTCCTTAACAGCATCAGCCCCGAGCTTCAGCGTGCCTACATCTCGCATCCTAGAGCTTTGCCCGGCTATGACCCCAATATTCATGGAGAAATCGTCAGGTTTGCCCCAAACGCTAAATGCCGACAGCTCCCCGATGGTTATAGGATGTTTGAAACGAGGAGGCAGCAAGATAGAAGTGCAAGTGTCACTGCTGGCACTCCAGGAGGACCTTCTTCTGCTACTGTACCCGGGGTTGAGACAGCTGATATTGTAGCACCACAACTACGACCGACCACACCTATCAATTCATCACCTGCAGGACTACAGGCGCATGATACCTCATCTCCTGATGGTGTAAACGATGGCAAGTTAGATGGCACGGTACCTGGATCAGAAAATGTTGTGGATCAAACGCCATTGTCACCATCCGCGTCCAATAAAAGAACGGATTGCTATATATTTGGACACCCACAGGGTAAATTCAGGTAGAGTTATCCATTTTCTGCTCTGACAGCTGTTTCACGTCTTTGGTGGTTTGCTCATTTTGATTACCTTTTGCTTCCAACTAGGACGTTGAAGGAGTTTGGTGTTCACTATATATGGCTTATTAGCGATCCGACTCACAATCCTGTGAATTGTCAATGTCAGATATGTGCAATGTCTGTACGAGCAGCCCGTGGTTCACATAAGAAGGTCAAGGTGGAAGTAGATCCCAAAACTGACGAGGAAATGGAGGAATCAGCTGAGAGGTCTGGTCCGGGAAGTGAGACGGGCGAAATGCATCTCACGGCTCAAATGATGGCAGATCTACATCATCCGCACGTAGCCAAGAATCCGTCGTCTGGTGTCTTTAAAGGACGAGGCAAGGGTTGGAGAAAAGGAATTAAAGGAGATGTGAGGGTGGTGAGTCGCTTGGCTCACTCAACTAGTCTGTCTGTTTCGCACAGAAACACAGAATTTACACTCGTTTTTACAACCTCATAGTTTGGCGAAGAACATCTGGATATAACGCCTCCACTTCCATCAACACCGACCGGACATGAATCAACGTCTCCATCAGCACTACCGCCGCTGCCAGCACCAACATCGGCAACTAGAAAACCACGTGCTAAACTTGAACCAGTAGTAGCAGGCACGCCACTCTCCGATGAATATGTTAAAAAGTACAGAGAACTACAGACACGAGTCAAGGAAATGGAAGCTGAGAATGATGCTCTCGCTACCAAACTACAGTCAAATAATGAACGGATTTCAGCGCTCAGGTTTGAGAAGCATATATTGACGGAACGGCTAGCTACTCATGAGAGTGGACCGTCTGCACTTGGACCTGTTAGTGGTATACCATTTGCTGGTGGTCCATTTAGTAACAGTAGTAGTAGTTTCATACCTGGAATTCAGCATCGAAATGGAAAGGGTCCTTCAGTATCGGAGGGCTCGAGTGAGATTCCAGAATCACAGGATGGATATTCCCTGGATGAAGATGTGAGTTGGTGTTTATTTTTTGATATGAGTTTGTTGGATGTTGAGGTACATTGTAGGATGTTGACCTCGTCCATCCTTCGTATAGGGAGATCTGGAGCCTCATGCTAAGAAGAGACGGGTGTAACGAGAAGATGGGGCTCTATACACATATGTTAAAAAGCACATAGTTGTTTGCATGTACACACTCATAAACGAAATAGTAAACCAAAATTGTCAACAAAATCGACGCGTCATTTGCAGTCAGTGTTGGTGCTTCAAACGACAGATCCATTATGAAACTGTGACGTTTGACACCTAAGCTTCTAGTTCGTGTTTCGAATTTTCCCCAATTTTCCAACTTTGGACATGCATCTCGCACAGCCTTTCCAACATCCAAAAGCCGCAACGACAGTGCGGGGGAGGATAAGACTCTATCACAGGAGAGGGCCGCCTTGTGACTCTGGTAGCCGACCCAAGGATTGAATCGAGGATGCCGTTTTATACCGGTATATCAGGCTTATGATGTTGCCTTCCTTGATTTGGCAATCCCTGTGTACTTGGTTGCATTTAAACAGAGTCATTTGCCCTTATAGCATTGAGTCGCTGCTGGCACATTGACAAAGACAAGCATTGCTCATCCCCTGTTTCTTTGTTGATGGATTGGCAGGCGGCAGTGTCTTGATTTGGACTCGCTCAAACAACTGAATCTGATTGCATAACATATAATGGCTAATTTCGCACATATAATAACTATATAGCAGCTGCTCATACCACAGAAATATAATAAGACTCTTCAACTCTCACACTTAACATATCCTTCAAAGCAAAACTATCAGTCTATTCAACCCTACAAGTACTCCTGCAATTCACTTCATTCGACACTACAATCCTATACCGCGATGAGATAATGGAGCATCTATACTCGGGATGTACCTAGGATACGATCCCAGCACCTTGACAACACCATATTCCTCCAAATTGGCAACCGCACGGGCAACAGCCGTATCACTGGTCGACCCATCAACATCGATATACAAGACGTATTCCCAAGGTGTGGACAAGGTGATTGTCCTAGCCGATGCGCGAGACTCAATCTTGGAGATACTAGTTGAGAGGTTTACAAGATTGTAAGTTTTCTCCCATAATCTGCCCCTTTTTTGGCAACGAAACAAGCCACCCTCTTACTTCAAATCACGTAACGAGAAACACGACAATGCCCTGAAGAATGCACCTGGAATATTCTTCAACACAACAGACACGGATGTTCGAGGTGATTCATGGCGTTGCGGTTGGACTGGTTGGCGTCCAATCAAGAGGTATCGTGTGACATTTACGTCGTCTTCGATCCCGACTTTTAAGAGACTTGTCAGGCCGTATCGTTGTGCTGCGAGCTCACTGCAAATAGCAGCAGCGTTGTGGAGTGAGTTCGTTTGGATGTAGGACGCGGAGCCAGCAGTGTCTATGTCACGAAGAAACTATTAGTAAGGCAAAAAGCAACGAAAGGATTGGTAGAATGCCTTGCATGGTGCTTGCATGGTCGTTCATACTTACCAAATCCTTGAATGACGTTGACATTTGTCAAACTGCTCAGAAACTTGGAGCACTAAAGAATATAGCTGAGCTTTCATACTTCGTAATACAGCCTTTAGGTGAAGCTTTTACCTGTTGAATGACTTCAGACTGACTTCGAATTTCACGAATGTTCTGAAGAGTGGCTCCTGGTAATGCAGCTAGCACATGAGTTTCCTATACAATATTAGAGTTCAATGAGTTAGAGATGCAAAAAATCCTATTGCAAGAGTCTACAATTAAGGCTTAACTCGGGATGACCATTCACCAACAATAATTAGTCCAGAAGTCAACAGTAAATCATAATTCTTGTGAAATGTCCCATTCATAGAGTTTTCAAATGGTAGCTAAAGAGTTTGATCAGTTCAAACATATTTCATCCAAATGCCAATCAACGTGATCGTTCAAACTTACAAATGCGAGATCCACTGTGCGGCTATTGACAGCTTCAAAGCACTAAATATTGTAATTAATTGAGATTGGAACTAGCGTCTATCTGTCCTTTTGACAATGTCACGACTTTAGTACCTTTTCGAATGTTTCAAGTCCAATTGGTTCCAAAGCTCCTAGCTGACCATATTGACCACCAAGAGCGATTAACGCGGCTTCCGAGTATGAGCCAGAGATTCCTTGGAAAGCGGTTTTGGGCATTGCGTCGTGTCTGGGCGTACTAATGATCACGATCTCTAACTTCAAAGTTCGTCATGTGCTATACTTGAGGAGTGTACGCTATTCATAATTGAGGCCGCACGCGTTCTGAACGTGTAAATTTACCTGATATTCGCGTTAAACCAGTTAAAACTCTCGTCCTTCCAAATGTGTGCAATATATTTGGATCTAAACCTACATACGTTCCAAGGGCAAAAGACCTAACACAGACATCCCATTTCCTAATGCAATACGTGATGCCTTATACACCGCCAATCTAGCAATAGCTGTATCCTTGTTCTTTTCACCAATAACCACCAACTCGTTCAATGCCGACGAGACTGTATGTGACAGCTTCATCAAATACGTGACTATGGTGGATGGCTCCATATTTCGAGATGCATCTATTATGGCATCGGGTAGTTGTGAGATCATGTCTATTAAAGGTCCCATTTCCTTGTCGTTTTCGAGATTTGATAAGGAGAATTTGGCTGGGATTGTCAATCCTGATCGACGTTCAATGGAACATAAGCGGGAGTGGGCATACTAGAATGAAAGAAAGAATCAGCGGAAAGATGTGAAAACTTCAATCATTTGCTGTAGGTTGCTCGTATTTTTTGGTCTCGTATCCTTTTCCCCCTCCACTACTCAAAAATGTTATCATAAACGGCTCAACCAACCTGAAGATATGGCCCAGTGTCACCTTCAAAGGCAAGCATACGGTCCATGTTAAATTCATAATCCTTGTTTCGACGAGCAGACATATCCTGAATCATAACAGCAGACTGCCCCACAATGTCAGCCGTCCTTTCCGGATTCTCAACCTGAGCATACTTCACTTCATTGGCCTTCATCAAATCATGCATTTCATCTTTGACACTATTCAAGATATCTTCAAGGAATACAACAGTACCCTTTCGAGTACTCATATTACCATCCTTGGATTTAATCATACCAAACGATATATGGGTGCATTGTTTCGACCATGATTTACCCATGAGTGACAGTATGGTGAAGAGTTGCTTAAAGTGCAGATCTTGTTGACTGGCCACCACATAATACATGTGATCAAAGTGGTAATAGTTGTATCGATCAATAGCAGCTGCGATATCTCGAGAGAGATACAGCATACTGCCGTCAGATTTGGTAATGAGAGCTTTTGCGTGTCCATATGATTCGAGATTTACAAGTTCCGCTCCTTGGGATACTTCTAAAAGACCCATGGCTCGCAGGTCCTTCAGTACATCATTCATTTCGGCCAATGAGTATTGTGACTCTCCAGAATATACATCAAATCCAATATTTAATCGGCCATAAGCAAGCTTGTACTATGTTGAAAATCTTTTAGACTCGAATGAGATCAGCATAAAATTTGATGAACTTACGGCTTCAATACTCAAATCACGCATTTGCTGCCACACTGCCAGAGCTGATGGATCACCTAGAGAGGGCAAGAAATGTATGAGTGCATATCAGATATTTGGTCTTTTATTCTATCTAATCTCATTTCATAGTATGCGCACGTACCATCTTCCATTCTCTTGAAGTAGGCACGTGCAGCTTCATTGATTTCCTTATATTGTGGAGCTTCCTTGTCTTTCCCCATGTCATTCTACATAAACGAAAAATCGTAAGACCTGATACTGAAACAACAAACCGTTTGCCAAGCTCAGTCAATGGCAAACACTCACATTTATCTGCACATAAACATCAAACAAGTGTCGAATCGGATCTTCCTTGATCTTGGTAGCACTTCCATATCGATCAAATCCAACAGCCAGCACACCGTACTGTTTACCCCAATCACCCAAATAGTTGATCGATACAGTAGCCCATCCGTTAGCCTCCAATATGTTTTTGATAAAGTTACCAATGATGGTACTTCGTAAATGCCCTAGATGGAAGGGCTTTGCGATATTTGGACTACTAAACTCTGAGATGGCCAATTTACCAAATCCAGATGCATTTCGACCGTAAAGGGAGCCAAGTTCTAGTACTTGCGGGATGACACGGTCACGTAAGACGGTGCGGTTTGTGACAAAGTTGAGGAAGGGTCCTAATGGCTTGCATGATAGTATATACTCGTTGGGTGTTATCTGTGCGTGATTTGAATTGGGAGTAAAGAGAGCAAAAAAAGTCAGTCACACTAGCAGAAATCATATGTAACAACTGCAGCAATTACAGTTATCACAACATGTCTTACTTTTTCAGCAACCTTCTTGCATATTTCTACAGGATTACCGGGCAGCTGTAATCGAGGTATAGGCACGGCAAAGTCACCATTACGATTATCAGCAGGGACTTCGATTACAGGGCGAATAGTGCTGATTGGTAGATTGAGAGTAGCAGATATCTGTGAGGCAATAGCATGTCGAAAGATTTCCAAATGGTTGACACCCCTCAATGCTAATTCTATATCATGTAGTGCTTTTTGCGTAGATGGGGCTTCTTCGACACGGGCCAGCCATTTATCATATGCAGCGTGCTTTTTGACTCCGTTTGCAGTAGCAGGTGTTGTAGCTGTGGTTCTCTTGACAAAGTCCCAGGCCATAAAGTCAGCAACCGTGACATCTTTTACACCATCCATCAACATTCCATGTTGGGAGTCTATAGTTTGGATCAACTTGTCTATAGATATTGGAGTTTTACTGTCTGGCTTGACAGCATCCAACCAGACATCAGTTTGAGCTTGAAGTGCAGGTGACAGTTTCGTGCTTAGAGAGCCAGCATGACCGTAGAATGCTCTGGCAATGAATCTGGCGATGTTTGATTTTCCCGAGATGATTGTCTTTCCATTTGGCTGGGATGCATCACGGATTGTTAGGCTTGCAGGAGCCAAGATGTCATAAGTCAATCCAACACGCAATGATGGAGCTGTGGGTTCCTGTTCACGAGCATGATAATAGGAGGCTACTTCGGCATAAGGGATCGAATTTGGAGAGAAGGTCAGGAAGGCGACTGCCTCGTCATTGCTATTCTGGGTTTGTGGGAGAGGCATTCCAAAGCCAGTAGTAGATTGTAGTCTATATGGTAGTACTATATGAAGCGTAATAGATGTCAGTAAATGTCGTAATGGTCTTGCTTTTGTATGTACTAGTCTCATTCAATTGCTTCCATCAGTTCGTGAATAAAACTATCGAGTTAACGAAAATATGTGCACCGAATAAAACACTAGCATTATATACGGGGAGACCCGAAATTGAGTTTACTACGTGTTTTGAGACGTTGTGAAGCCCATAGAACGTGATTTCGCGTCAAATCGATCGACAAGAGAAATTTGATGTTCTGATGATCGTCGCAGCAGCGACCAGCACCGTATCGCTTCAGATCAGGAAACAGTGAGAATTGAGAAATTTCTTAGATCCCAAGCAATTCCTTTATTTTCTCAGATTCTTCCTGTTCATCAGTCGACAAAACCTTCCACTACAATAATAGAGTGCTTTCCGGGCGATTAAATTTTGGGCCGCAAACCTACTTTTGACTTTATCTGAAAGCTCGATACGGAACCTTGGGAGCACTTGAATCCTTGAATCTCAGCTACTTGTAGGAATCTTCTCGTTGTTATCTTGGTCGCAATCTGAGTTTCAAAAAAAACGTTGAACCAAACATTTGGCAAGCATTATGATCGTCAAAGTCGGCAAGGGCCGCCAAGAGATAGACATGTATTATGAGCTCTCGGGCCAAGGAAAGAGGAAGGTCCTCTTCATCATGGGTGTGTTTTGCATGTGATATTTGTCCATCCACATTTGATGATGTGGCAAAGGCACTTGTTTGACAAGCTGACGACGAGTTTCGCTTGATATTTCGACTTTCAAATTCATTTACATTCAATAATGTGCGGTCTAAAACAAAGCTGACCTTTTTTGCTTTTACTCTGAACTTTAGGCTTTACGTCAACATGCTGCCAATGGAAGAATACTGTTAGAATGCTGAATGAACGCGGAGGATACGAGTGCTGTATATTCGATAACAGAGGCGTCGGGCACTCGGGACAGCCAAGAGGATTATACACGTAAGATGAGGGATCGACATCAGCGGTCGCAACTTGTGAATAACTCACCCCTTTTCTCCTTACTGCAGAACTAAACTAATGGCAAGAGATACATACGAGCTACTCCAGCATTTGGGATGGACTGAAGATATCTGCATCGTCGCCTGTAGTATGGGAGGCTTCATTGCTCAAGAACTCTGCCTCCTTGCCCCCAAACACACATTCAAAGCCATGTCAGTACGATTGGCAATCACGTTAAATGAAATATATGCCTAATCAACCCCTTCATTCACCAGAATAATGACCTCAACAGCATCCTCACCACCCATGTCGATTCCTCCAATAACGACACTACTGAAGCTTATGATACACAAGAAAGGAACGAAGGGCGTCGATGCCAGAATAAGAGCTGAAGTTGCTGCTTCTCTACTGATACCGCCAGCATGGGGAGCACAACCTGTAGAACCTCATCTGAAGACAGCTTCTCCTGATGCAATGACAAACGTTGAAGCTATCGTCCAGATGCTCATGTATGAAGCAGCCACAAAACCACCTCAATCGCAAGCAGGATATCGCGGACAATGTGGGTGTTGTTGGATTCAAAGTTACATTGCAGTAGGCTAAACTAAATTCTTATTTTACCAGTCAATGCCGTTTTCTTTCACAATGTGTCTCCAAAGAGGTTGAGAAAGCTGGGAACTCTTTCTCATTTTCTTGTCATGGCAGGCTCGGTAGACAGGGTGGGTTTTAATTGAAGGTTTTGTTCCGCTCCAACGTTTGTTGTGTTCTACTCGGCACATGGATGAACTTTGAATTAACCTGTCCCTTTTCAAACTCCCTTGTTAGATCTTATGGCCTCGAAATGCTGCTATAATAGCCAGACACATGAAATGTAAAAGGATCTTGTTCGAAGGCAAAGGACACGCCTTACACCATGAGCTTGGGGACGAGTTTATAGATATTGTGACTTCACATTTCGATAGCGCATTCTCGGAATTATCTGAGGATAAGGTCCAAATGTAGGAAAAGTTTGGGGAAAGCTGTACATGTATTATTAAGTAAGGACGGAATGATCATGCTGCTGAAATGCTTTTAAATAATAGAGATAGATCATGATCCCCCATGGTACTTTTAAGAGTGCATCAAGGTGTCTTGCGCCACAGTTTTTAAAGAACTGAATTGACTAAACTTTATTCTCAGCCGTGAAACCCGGTCCCTACTGACTCCTTTCACATCTTAATAAACACCTCCACACCTCATTACTACTTGTTGTTCGCAAACTTAATGTAGTATAGTAGGATCAATTTGCATATATATCAGAGCAATTGCGGCTGACTCGAAAGTACCGATGAAGGTTTCCCAACTTGTGAACGATGATGATTTGGCACCACCTTCAACCAGTGACACAACACAAGACGGCAGGTTAGCCCTTCCCTAAATACGTCGTTATTTGATGAGTTTCTAGAGTATCCAGAGCTTTCTTACGGAGTTCTAACTCTTAAGCCATTTCGTCTAATCTTTAGTTGCAAGATCCAAGCTCTTGAGGACGTTGGCAGGCACCTCAAGTTCAAGAAGGAGATCTATGATAAAGCAAAAGGTAGGACGCATCCTTAGAATTTGCGGGATTTTTCTGATCTCTGAAAGAAAGGTTTTTGGCCGCAATTAGCATCAAAAAGGTTTTTGCAAGTTATTGCCATTGAAACCGCAATTCGTGCACTGGCTGCCCCTCAGCCTCAACTACCATCTAATACACTGGCAGCCATACCATTGGAATTTCTGGTTAACGCTTGCTTTGGTATGTGTTTCTCGTTCTTATGGTTAGGCTTTTTGGTAACCCAAGGCTTACTGAAGCTTGCCGCACTAGATATATACGATGGCGTGCCACCGTTGAGGATTATGCATAGGCAGAGAGCTATAGAGCTCTCACCCATGTCTTGTGCAGACGCAATGCTGTATTTCGCTATATGCGCTATTGGTGGTAAAGCCCTTCACCAACGACGGCTGCAGCATCAGGAGGCCTCGAATGATGATGATGGATCCGAAGCCTATGCTAAGGGAGTTCGCATAGCTCTACAGTCCGTCGACCAACCGTACACTCTGGACAATCTCACTGGTTTGACCTTTCTTGCTGAATACGCATACAGTAAATACGGTTTTTGGGACGACTTGGACATATTACAAGCATTTGCTGATCTTTATGTTTTATTTTCATTCTTTAGACGTTTCAGATTCTAGGATGTTCAACGTTTTTACTGATATAGCTATCAACATGCAGCTCGAACGAGAATCAGAACTCATACTATCTCAAGAACATGTCTCACCTGTGGAAAGCGAGAAGATGCGGCGCGTCTGGTAATAATCAAAAAAAAATTGGAACGTTCCACCAACCCCGTCACATACCCACCAAAAAATAATCGTTAGGTGGTGTACATACATTTCTCATGCACATGGGAGATTGTCAGAGCAAAAGTCTCCGTTATGGAGTCTGGAGCGAGCTTGTCAGATGCCGCTACCTGGAAGCTTAAAGACTCCTGGGTGCAGAGAGCTGTCAATGATTACGGTTGAGCTGTGGATTCTGTGGATTAGAGCTGGTCGGTTTTTGCATCTATATACAGTTGATGGTGAGCACTTCAATGCAGGCCGTTTTGATGCTGTGACTCCTGTGAACCAAACAGGCCTCTACTTTTAGACAAGCCGATATGGGAACTCCCGTCACAAACATGGATACCCTTCTTACAGGGCTTGGACTACTCTGAATACGAACTGGCTTTTCCAGCCATGAAGCAAGCGATTTTGAGCATGACGACGAGACTACCACCGCTGGATCTCAAGGCTCAACTTGGAGACTTTGAAGTAACACTGGTGTATGCCCATACGCTAGTGTACTATGCTTTGCTGCAGTGGTATCTCCCGATGACCATCAAAGCCTTTGCTCACCAAAGATTCGTTGACTCTTCTATTGAGGCCCGGTTTTGTGGCATACAGCTGCTGACGCTGTTGAAACTTGCAAGTCGTTTGGATCCCACCTTTTCGAAAATGTACAGGTGCCTCCTTACGGTGATCTATGGTAAATTCCCTGCCGACTTCCTGCCTTCCGGAAGAACTTTCAGCAATTAACTAGGATCGCGTTGACATAGATGCTGGTGTAGCAGTCACTCTTATGGCAACCATAGAGCCACGGCTGTTGGGTCTGGCAAAGCAGTATGTAACAATATTGGGTCAGGTGAAGGAACATAGAACCAGAATGGTAGACTCGATGTACCAGAAACTGCAGAGCCTTGTGGTGGGAGTTGGGACAACACTTTTGGCTGAGTAGGCAAAGATTAATAAGTAAATATAAAGAATAGAGTAATAGATAGTAGATAAATATATTAAGTAGACGATACCATTTGGCAACTAAACAGATTTTTAATTTGGTCTACCGTTTGGCAACTAGAGTGAACTCGTCTAAGGCCAATCGTGACATTGACAACATGAATCCAAGTCACAGCGGGAAATCGGCGGAGTCGTAGAATTAGCACCGTGGGTTGGGGTTGGCTTTATTTGACTGTCTAAATGACTACCAACCAACAGCCTGCGGTTTGAATGCGTCTCTCGTCAAGCTCGGATGCACGTGTTTGTACAAACGTCGTGGCTGGTCTGGATTCGACTTCTGTACGTATCGGCAGCCATTTAGTTTGCTTTCTGGTCAACGACAAAAGAGCAGCGGATGATGATTATGGAATTCCAAGACAGCTCCGTTTGAAGAATGACTGGGCCGATCGACTGAATCACTCCACAAACATTCACACAAGCAGAAATCCGTACCGTCGGGGCATATTTTGGAATATCTGAGGTTGGAGTAAACGGTTGCCTAGTCGTCTTGGCTCTTGCTGTAGCCCTGTTTTCAGAAACTGTAGGGGCGAAGGGGTATACCGAATATCAAGACGAACTAGTCCTCGTAATTCAACATTCTTGCCGATCTTCCCGTGACCACACCTTTCATGTTTGTTAATCCTTGATGTATGCTGATACAGCTCGTATACCAAGCTCAGAATATTGGAAGATGTTGGAGAATCTCAATTGAGGTGTTACATACCAAACATCAGCACTGCCTTAAGAAATGGAGACGAGTAGATGAGTAGATCAACTAACGTACTCTAACGTGATTCCTACCGTAAAAATGTCTCAGATGTTTGCATAGTTTGAAACACTTCAGACAACAGCTGTCGCGTAATTTTTGCTCACCACCACGGGTAGCACTGCATTCAACGCGCCGAGCGAGCATTACGATCCTATGTGCGTCTGAAACAAAAGTGTTGAGATCCCGTACTCGTTAGGTTGCGTCCAAACTAGAAACAGGCAAACACCCCATACTCCAGAGGTTTTTGCTCTCAAGCAGAATCTATTTCGTTTATACCCTCAGTGGCCCACCCGTCACAAACTACACGAACACTCATCCGAATACTTTACTGAAGAGTGCAAATGCTCTGCCACTTGCTTCAGCATAAATTCGCTTTATGCAGGCTTCCACTCGCTGGGCACTTGGAGGGTGTGCTTCGACCTCCATCATGAAGCAGTTTTGTCTCAAGAAACCAGAGCGAATGATATTATCATTGACCCATTGGCGGATGATGATGGATTAAACCTTATTTTCACATGATGCTTGGTATTTGACTACTTGACTCATGGGAGTCGACAGTTTCTTGGTTGCCAGTCTCGTCCCTCTGACCACTGCTAGACACCAAATCCATCCCGCATGCAATAAGCACCACCTGCTTGCCATCAACTCCAGCCCGTTCGAGTTTAGGTCTCCACTACAAGATATAGAAACTGTGAGGTGTATGCTGAGTTATGGGCAATACTTTTGCAAAACATACAAGAGACATTATGCGACCGAAAGCGGCACGACTGGATCCGTCGAAACACAAGACGATAGCGCCTGTGATTTGCAGACATCCCAAGTCCAGTGGATGGCAAGTTGGCACGTGTTGCCTAGCTGTGTCTTGTAAGCATACCGAGACCCGAATTCCTTCAATGTCGTATATCATTTCATTGTATGCAGTAAGTTCGTACGGATTGGGCTGTTGTTGCTGGTGGTAGAATGGAAGCCCCAATGAAAGTACCAAGTACCGCACAGGAGTTGTTTGAGCATTCCCTCACACTCTGCTATGGATTAAGCTGGTCCGATTCGACAACTGGGGTTGCTGCTTCAGTAGGTTTTAGAAAGGTCGAGAAGCTGGAGCCTGGTTGGCTATTGTAGAATTGTAAGCGGACATCAGTCCCGTCTTTGCCAAATCATCGACCTGGATTTGAGATTTGAGATCTCTAGGATCACAACAGTACACCCAAAACATATAAATCACATTTAACCATTATTTTTTGGCCGCCGTCGATTTTGTAAAGAAAAAAGGGCACTCATAACAAATAAAACAAACAATAATTCAAGCTGAAAATGCGACATGATCTTTGGGATGTTGGTCTGTTCTCGCTGACATTCTTGTTCAAACTCAGATACAATCTTGATCAATGACAGAGCAAACAATGACGATTGAAGCGGTAGCATGCCTTGAAGGTAAGCGCTAGAGTCCATACTTGTTGAAACCTTAGGAGCCCATTCTACAGCTTGCAACAAGAGCTTACCAACCTCCAACTTTTTCATCCACAACACATCGAACAGGACATACGGAAAAGTCGGTGTGGCATTGTGCCTGGCATCCTGTTGGATCTCCTCCCGTGATAGCAACATGCAGCACCGATCGGTCGATACGATTATGGAGGCCAGACCCAACATCAAACATTTGGAGAGAAGTTGCTTCAATAACAGATGCTCAGAAGCGGACTGTTCGAAGTGTCTGCTGGTCTCCAGACGGTAAATACTTGGCTTCTTCTAGCTTTGATGCTACTACTGCTATTTGGGAACGTGGTGCTGATGGAGGTATGTATCTGAAGGATTAAGTTTGGGACTTGCAACGCAAGCTGAATCAAGTTTTTATTAGAATTCGAGTGCCTTGCTACATTAGAAGGCCATGAAAATGAAGTTAAGAGTGTAGCCTGGGCATCGTCTGGAACGCTGCTGGCTACATGTAGTCGAGACAAGAGTGTTTGGATTTGGGAAGGTACATACACTTCCTTTGTCATTGTTTTTGCACAATCTGACACCAGGCAATCCTCAATAGTTGTGGGAGATTCCGATTTTGAATGTCTAAGTGTACTGCAAGAACATACGCAGGATGTCAAGATGATTTGCTGGCATCCAAATGAAGAGGTGACAAAAAGTCGCACTCTCGCATACTGGACTTGAGACTCATTTGACTCAATACACACTAGTTACTGGCATCTGCAGGATATGATGATAATATCAAAATATGGCGAGATGATGACGACGATTGGTATTGCTCAGATACATTAGAAGGTCATACATCAACAGTTTGGGGTATAGATTTTGATGGATCTGGTGATCGATTAGGTAACTTTTATTATCAGAGCGATCTCAAACTACTACGATACTGATACCTTTTGGAACTAGTCTCGGTCAGTGACGATCTTAGCTTGAAAATATGGAAGAGGTCAACCTCAGGAAGCACATTCTCAACATTTTTGAGCATGTCTGGTAAACGACGTGATTCCAAATGGAGCTGTATAGCAACATTTCCTGCACTACATAGCAGATCCATATATTCAGTGTCGTGGTCACCTCACCACGGTCGCATTGTTACGGCTGGAGGCGATAATGCCATCAAAGTATTGCAACTGACGGAATCTGTTGATGGGAGTGCACAAGTGCAAGTAGTAGCTAGTATAGAGAACGCACACGGAATTGCCGATGTGAACTGTGTGAGGTGGTGTCCTCAAGCTGAACATCAGGATTGGTTTTCGAGTACTGGGGATGATGGGTGCGCTCGTGTATGGAGTTTGAAAATATAGATTCTGTTGTAATTTTGCACGTACCTATTTCTAATATAAAACCACGTCTTGCATTCGAATGCGTATGGTCTGTGTTTCTGGATTTTTTTTGGGCACAAAATCTTCAATCTTTCAACACCATACACGGAAAACCAGTTCGCAGCCAAGAGAGGTTTAGACAGGAAGCTTCCAAACTATATATAGTCGCATCAGCAGTGTAATTATTAAAGGATCTCCGTAAGATAATGGCTTCAGATGAACCTCCACGGAAAAAGAAGCGAGTTTTCGCTGATGGCCCAAATGATGCAGGATCAGTCCAAGTATCAACTGTATCTGCACCATCGCCATTGATTGCTATATCTGGAAGTGTAGTCAACCCATATCTAGCCCATCTCCAACGCCCTGCACCAACATCAACACCATCAACCTCGGGTCTCATTCCAGGCCAAACTACAGCTGAGCAGGCTGTAGCTCTTGAAGATGGAGACATCAATCCTTATAATGCAAGGCCATTTACGAAAAAGTACAAGGACATCTTGAAGAAACGTCGTGATTTGCCAGTGAACAAACACAGAGACGAGTTCTTACGTTTGGTACATGAGAACCAAACTATAGTCTTAGTTGGTGAGACTGGATCTGGAAAGACGACTCAGTAAGTTCTACTCGCCAGTGTTAGGAAGCTTTGTTATTGTGAAAGAATCGCATGTGTCAAAATATAAGCTAATGACTTGTCTTTTTTGCTGTAGAATACCTCAGTTCTTGGTATACGACGAGCAACCTCAAAAGAAGGGCAAGATGATTGCCTGTACACAGCCTCGTCGAGTAGCTGCCATGTCTGTATGTAAACGTGTTGCTGATGAAATGGATGTCACAATGGGTGAAGAAGTCGGGTACTCGATTCGTTTCGAGGACTGCACATCTCCTAGAACAATCCTAAAATATATGACGGACGGTATGCTTCTACGAGAAGCCATGACGGATCCACTCTTGGAACGATACTCGGCAGTTATACTAGATGAAGCTCACGAAAGGACGCTAGCAACAGATATCTTGATGGGTCTCATCAAGGAAATAGCAGTCAAACGAAACGACCTTAAAGTAGTAGTAATGAGTGCTACATTAGATGCCGGTAAATTCCAAAAGTACTTTAATAACGCACCGCTGCTCTCCGTCCCTGGGCGTACCTTCCCTGTCGAAATATATTATACTCCTGAACCAGAACGGGACTACCTCGAAGCTGCTATACGGACAGTCTTGCAAATCCATACGTGTGAAGATCCTGGAGACGTCCTGCTCTTCTTGACTGGTGAAGAAGAAATTGAAGACGCTTGTCGTAAATTGAGTGCTGAAGTTCAACAACTCATAATTCAACAACCCGAGGCTATCGGAGAACTAAAAGTAGTACCACTCTACTCAAGTCTTGCACCAGCACAACAACAACGCATATTCGATGCTGCTCCACCAGCTAAAACACCAAACGGACCACCGGGTCGTAAATGTGTAGTATCAACCAATGTTGCCGAGACGTCCCTTACAATTGATGGTATAGTCTATGTCATAGATCCTGGCTTTGCAAAGCAAAAGGTATATAATCCACGTGTCAGAGTCGAATCTCTATTAGTGTCACCTATATCGAAAGCGTCTGCTCAACAACGAGCTGGTCGAGCTGGACGAACACGGCCTGGTAAATGCTTTAGGCTGTATACAGAAAAGGCCTTCCTCAAAGACTTGCAGGAACAGACATACCCAGAAATCTTAAGGTCGAATCTTGGAACTGTGGTCTTGCAACTCAAAAAGCTCGGCATAGATGATCTCGTCCACTTTGACTTTATGGATCCCCCAGCTCCAGAGACATTGATGAGAGCATTAGAACAACTCAACTATCTGGAGGCTTTGGACGATGATGGTAATATGACACTTGTAGGCAAGCAAATGGCTGAATTCCCACTAGATCCTCAATTTGCCAAAGCCCTCATCGCATCACCTAAATACCGATGCTCGAACGAAATATTATCAATAGTAGCCATGTTATCGGTACCTCAAATATTTTTACGCCCTCCCGAATCACGAAGAGCAGCCGATGAAGCAAAAGCTCAATTCATCCACGTTGATGGTGATCATTTGACACTTCTCAACGCATGGAACGCATATAAAGAAAACATTGGAGATCCTCAATATTGTTGGAATAACTTTTTGAACTCGAGGTCTCTCAAACAGGCTGATAATGTCCGAGAGCAGCTGAAACGAGTCATGGATCGTCAAAAGATTGCATTGATTTCTCCTGAAGGAGAAATAGATGATAAATACTATAGGACAGTTAGGATGGCTTTGAGTGCTGGCTTTTTTATGCAAGCAGCACACTTGGAAAATAACAAGACATACTTGACCAACAAGGATAACCAGATTGTTGCACTCCATCCGTCGTGTACTATGGATCATAAGCCAGAGTGGGTAATTTATAATGAATATGTCTTGACATCCAAAAACTATATACGAACCGTCACTGAAACCAAGGCTGAATGGCTTATTGATGCCTCGGCTTCGTATTATGAATTGAGTAATTATCCCAACTGTGAGGGAAAGAAGGTACTTGAACGTATAATGACGAAAGGAAAGGCTGGAAGTAGCATTGGTGGTGGTGGACGACAACAGCAATATGAACCACCACAGAAACAAAATGGAAGCAAGAATAAAGGCCAGCAACGTCGTTATTGAAGGATAAAAGATTATAGAGGAGGAGTTTTAGAAGAGATACGTGCAAATATATAAAGAATGTTTTTAACTTTATAATGGACCACCAAGGCGAACGTGTGGTAATGGTATTGGAAAAGCAACTGGGCGTGCTACCACAGGTCGAACGCGTTTTAATCCCTTAGATCTTAGAGTCTCATGTACAGCCTCTTGTTGCAACTTCTCGTTCTCTTCTCCTTGTTGCCTATTTATTTCGTCTTCGGGGTCCTCTCCATCACCGCCAGGGTATTCGACACTACGAGGAGTGGCTCCATCTACGTCGCTATCATGATCCAGTTCTGGAATTTCATCAATAGTATCATTTGCGTCCTGGTTTGCATGTGAGAATCCAAGTTTCTGACAAAATTCAAACACAATCGCGTACCCGCCCCAAAGTATTTCCACCAGGTATTGGTGAAGGAACAGATTTCTTTGTATATGAACGCTTGGAATCCCACTTCTTTGGTGAGACTTTGGCTCCCATTACTGCATTATTCGCATTTGCGTAGTTGAAGCAGTTTCGTATGGAGCGGGTTGATTTCACTACCCCTACTGAGAGGGCGGCCATTGCTAGGACAAAGTAGTTGATCGGTTTCATGACTATTTGTCGTGTGGTGTTGGAAATGTGTTCGAGGTGCGTTAAGTGCTGTGTTTTGTCGTTCAGATGTGTGTGATACGATAGGCCTCCAGTGCAAGATGACGGACGATTGGTACAATGAATTGTTGATGTAATGATGAAAGCAAATAGTAAGAGTGAAGCGGTTTCCATCAATGTTTCAAACCGTGTTTCGCAACCACTGTTTCACCATTGCGAGAAGGATAACTTACTTCAGACAACACAAGAGGTATATCAGCAAAATTACAAAAAGTATTTACAAGTATCAGTATATGTACATAAATGTACGTATAACCCCAAAGTTCCTTCACATTACGAGGGGGCTCCAAAATCATTGTTTCCAACAGATTCATGACGATGTGCAGCTCTCAACCATATTCCCAAACTCTACTATGGCTGGATCACCGACTTGTGCAAGGACCGGCCTCCAAACTTCCCACAATCGATCAGCCATTGGTTTTATGTAATTCGATTGTGGTGAAATTCTCACAAACATGGATAGGATTTGATGTAGAGCTTGTTTTGATGCGTCTGGTTGGTTTGTGTATACGGCTGCTAGTGTTATGCCGGCTTGTACTGCAGGCTGTGAATAAGAGGAAATCGTTAGAAGATAGTAGAGTGAACGAGAACCGAATGACATACCCAGACATTTCCAAACGAGATCTTGACTTTGGCCGGATTCATCGTCGACAGCAGTTCTATATGGTTTGCGATCATCATTGCAGCAGAAGTACAGGTGCTGAAATGAGGGTTGTGTTCCATTCCTTGGTTGTTTGAAGCCAACATGAAACTCAGCATTCTAAGAAAGAGACGAGTCATGAGAATGTGATCTTCACAATTGACAATCTCCACTACATACAGTCCTCGATGAAGCAACAGAATCGCTCCATGGTAATACGATTGAATCATGACTTTCACATATCGATCTTCGTCGTCACCCGAATAGATATCCTTAGCATCAGCCGGTATAGCTTGCATATACGTATCTAACTGATTTCGAAGTATCCTAACGACGTTCTCTCTAGCAACCATCTCCTCCCGCTGCATAGCTTCCGAATGCAGCACTGACATGCGTAATGGTGAACCCTCCCGGTGAGATCCAAACAATTCTTTTTCAAAATCCACAAATCCAAAGGACAGTTTACTATACTCTGATATCTTTTCCAGCACATACCCAAATCCAAGTATGTATGCGTAATAATCGTGCGACAGTTGTGGATCGCTAGTTAATGGGTATACTGTTCCCGGAGGATATATAGAATCCGGATCAGCAGACTCGAATATGACTTGTTTACATGGCGTTCGTGTTGTTATCGACTGACTGGCAACCGACGGAGCTCTATAATCAGACCATATGGCCAGCATACGATCGTGTATCATCACACTCCAAAACAATCTACGTATTTCCTCTCTCTCGACAAAGCTACGTGGGCGACAGTGACTTGTAGTCACATAACACGAAAAGTCCGTATCGTCCGTCTGTGAATTGACTGCCCTTGGCCATTCGTCTGGATCACGTTCAAGACTCAGCGTCTGACACATCCGTATTGCCACCATTGCAAGCATGCTGGCCGTGCTTGCGTTTCCCCTCCTAGCCGTGTATCGGGATATTAGGAGCACGGTTTGGAGCACATCGATGGTTGGTTCATCGTCGATTAACTTAGAAATCATGCCGCGTGCCCTATAACAGGTAATTATAAGTAACTAGGTAACTTGTATCCTTATGGGCGAGAGTATGTACCAGTTAATAAAGATATCTCCCAATTGATATATCGGCTCATTGTCCTTGTAATCTTGAAATCGAAGCTGTGGTACAAGTGCTGCGACTTTATCCATTGAGCAGACGGTGATAACGGTTAGCAGTGAGAAGTTGACATACATATCACTACATTATCTACCTTCTGGACTCCTGAGATACAGCGCTAACAGAGTTGATGAACGATTAGAGCGTTTGTTAGAGTCACTGCCACGTCTGTACTTTCTACATACCACCAAATCCAATAACTGCGTACAAGAGATATGGTTGTATCCTGCCTCGTTTCAGATTACTGAAAAAGTTCTTTGGTTGCAGAAACAGGTACGGCAGCGTCGAGTTTGTAAATGTAAAGAAGAAGAGACACAACTGCTGAATTGTGTAATTTGTGAGTGGCACAGTCAGAGGAGGCGTTCTATTCAAATTGTAAGGGTTAAAAATCCTTGAATGGCACATAAAGAACAAGTTTGTCTGCGTACCTTCGATTCAATTTACTGATTGTCCCTTGCGATAGTGGCAGTGAAGGCAGTGGTCTCGGAATGAGATTAGCAGTAGATAACTGCTTATAAAGCTCGTACTTTCTTCTGGCAAGCATCTCTACCTCTACGACTCGACGTTCCAATAACTGGATATACCTTGAAATCCGTCTTGAGTGTCAGTTTCTATGCCACATCCGACACGTTGTAATGAAAATCTCACATGGGTTTCTTGTGCGCCCCATTCTCTTCATCAGAGGAATCAGGCGAGAGTCTTGAATTCTGGTAGAGTGGAATTGTACTATCGTCAGTAATTGCTCGCGATCAATCGAAAACCGTAGGGCAGGTTTGTAATATGACACTCACTGAGGCACGACCAACATGTACGTTGCAATATCGGTGCCCAGAATTGTTTTGCCTTAAATAACTGCATTCTTGACATTGATCTGGAGGCGACGACGAACGTGAGATCATATCTCGCATCCAAACGATAGCGACACGACCGTTTGGATGGATTTTTTGCTAGCTTTGCAACTCGGAGTCATGGATGAAGTTGTCACAGAAATGAGTGGGTGGAGAGGGTAAAAGGCTTTGAACCGCAGTAAATTGCTGTAAATTGCTGGTGTCAGCGTGAATCACACAAACCGCTTGAAACAGGGTTAAAAGGACGTCTATTTGCTGCATTACTGATTTCTATACACCGTTTAACGACGAAATAACATCATCCAATAGATCTAAAGCCTCCATTTCTCCCCTTAATGCTGTCACGATGTTACTCTGTTTGTGGCTTGGGTGGTGCTTGGATATGTGACGTGTCGGATTTACTTTTACGTAATCCTCTGAATTAAGCTTGTTCTCCTCGAAATCACTCACACTCATCTCGGTCACGACGTCCAGCAGCCCTTTACTCATTGAGGTATCATCCTCAAACAGGTAGCTAGCATCAAATAGTCCTAAATTTGGCGGAGGCCGGATTGGTTGAGGTGCTACTATCGGATCCGAGCGACTCTGTGACTTATGCGGATGATGGCGTGATGATGGAGGCAATACTTGCGATGCTGGAGAGCAAATCGGGCAGGCTGCCATTGCGACTGGGCAGCAGATTGGACATATTATGGTAGAGCTCAAATCTGTGGGATGAAGTGTTCTTGCTGTTGGTGAGACTGGGCTCGGTAAGCTGGTTGTTTGGTGACGATGATCTTGCTGGTGGTGTATCGAGTCCGAGTGGGCGTTATTATTACTATGGTACTGTGCTTGTATTTTTGGTCGTGGGGGTATCGGTGGAGACTGTTGGTAGTATGCGTTTCGAGATGGAGAGGTGGTAGCGTCCTGTGTATATGGCATTCTATTCGGTGATGTGGCTTCATCCCTTTTACTTGGTTGTTCTTCCTTTTGATCCGTTTCATGCTGTGTATGACCGTGATGTTGCTCCTGTTTTGTTGCCCGTTGCCTTGATTTTGCGGATGGCTTGTCGGTATCCCATACTTGACGTAATCGGGTTCGTATTCCTTGCCCTGCTCTTTGCAGGCCTTCATCATACTGAGCAACATCCTCGTCGTGATGTCCTCGTGCGACTGTATCACTAGGCAGCACTGAATGCTTTCGTGATTCTGCTAACAGCTGTTCCACCATGCCGTGTACTCGTTCCGGGGATTCTCGTGAAGTTACTGGATTATCGGTTGGTTGTTTCGAAGGCGTCTGATATGCTGGAACGACAACTTGCTCTAGTTCAATCCTTGATGCTTCAGCCTTCCAATTAGACAGTGGCATTGACACTTCCTGATCGTCCTCTACATCATTTCGAGCTACAATATCTCTTAACAGCGAGTTGAGCGACTTGAAATCCGGTTTGAATGAAGAATCAGATTCTAACAGCTGTTCGGTGATTGACGATATCCAGTTCATGGAGCTAGTATCAGGACCTATCGATGTAGTATCATCCTTGGCATTGACACTGGCCGACTGATTCCTGTCTTTGGAGTGCTTTTCTGGTTGCGCGGCAGCTTGCTTGGCCTCGGCAGTGTGCGGTACTGTAGAGGTCTGTCGAGCTAATATTGGCATAGAAGAAGATACCTTTTTAGGTGGTAATCGTCTAGGTGACAGTCTATAGATAAGGAGTGGATCGTCATCGTCCACTATGACTGGACGACCTTGCGGTGATGGTGCTCTTGGAGGCCTCGCTCCATTCAACAGAATCCGCTGTGATCTAGGAGGACTTTGCTGTAGCATCGATACCTCAGACAAATCGCCAAATAGTCTGGCAGATGATGCATCCGAGTGAAGACTCTGCTCCTGTGCTTCAACCGGTTGCTGCCGCTGTATTATCGGTTCAGCTACCAGCACTGGGATATTTAAAGAAGCGGCTGATACAGCTGCAGACCGTGTCAGTCGAGAATCCATTACAAGTTGCGTCAATCTTGCAACTTCAGCCTAATATACATATAAAAATGTGAGAAAGGTTCCCAAAATCCCTAACGGTGATTGCTTGTGTACTTGAACGGCCTTCAGACGGTCCTCTGCAGAAACGGGACTTGGAGACGGGTTGGCGATATTTGCCAGAATCCTGCTCTCTGTCTCGTCAATCTCGACTTCGTATCTTTTGAGAAGGGCTTGAGCACGTTTCAGTTTTGCAGACAAGACTAAAGGTGTCAAACGTGAGATCAAGTTTGAGAGATAGTTTCAAACAGTTCTTTAGCGAAAGATCTGCTTCCAACACCCCTCACCTTCATTCTCGACCTGAACATCAAAGTCAATCTGCTGTAATTTCTTAAGTTCGCCCTCCACCCTTGTCTTTTGAGCACGTTCTGTAGCAGCGTCTTGTTGTAATTGCTGCCTCTCCGCCTCTATTACAGCCAATTGACGTACTAGTTCAGCTAATCTTGTTCGCTCCACAGTTAGGACATCGTTCGTATTCAATGTGCCAATCGAGAGTGATGAATTCAATGGTTTACGAAGGGATCTCTTAGAGCCAAACTTTGAAGATCTAGGAGGCTTCAGATCTGGTACGGACAATAATACAGCAGATGGTGCTTGCAGCGTTTGGTGAGATTCCCTCATAATTGAAAACGGTTGCGACAGGTTCCTAGGCAGATGAGTAGGCGTGTAGACCCAGCGAGGAGAGGACAGATCATTTCTTGAGCCTCTTGCTGACATTCTTGCCGGCGAACGTTCAGCTTTGCACCAGCAGGTCTAGGATTTATTGAAAACAGTGATCATGTAAACTAGAACGAAGAGGCGATGATATGGACGCGTCAAATTCACATTTTGCGGTCCATACTCCATACTACATAAATACACGTATGTGAATGATAACACAGAGCGACCGACATCAAAAACCTCAACGTTCACAATTGTGCAACTTGTCACGAGCTGAAGTTCTTGGAGGACGAGAGTTATCTCAAGTAAGGCAAGCCCGGTCAGAGCAGTTTCAAACTATTGTTTATAATTACAGAACTCTAAACGACTCTTCTGCTAATAACAGAATGGTCAAACCCACAGGAGGAATGTCGATCCTCGTAGGCTCAAAAACCACACCATTACTTGAATGTACTATTGGGGAATACTTTGATTGGGTCGCTGACAAGCACCCTGATTCCATTGCTTTTGTATCTAAACATCAGCAAGTCAAGTGGACATTTGCCAAATTCAAGACGGAAGTGAATGCTGTCGCTAGAGGGTTGTGGAGATTGGGCATAAGGAAGGGCGATCGTGTTGGAGCCTTTTTGGTACGTTTCTTTCGTTTGGAAGCTACATCTAGCACTGGATCAAGCTTTGAACAAACACATGGCCACACTTGTCTAACATATTCCAAGTAGCCTTCATTGGTTGAATACCTGCTACTACTGTACGCTGCTGGGAAGATAGGCTGTATATTGGTCACAGTCAACCCGGCGTATCGAGCAGGAGAACTTTTGGACGCCCTGAAGCTCGTTGGTGTGCGAGCTCTGATCTTTGTACCATCGCTACGAGGCTCAAACTATGTAGATATGCTCAAAAGCATCATCCCCGAACTGGCGTCTTCTGCACCTCATAATCTGTTTACTCAGGCTATACCCGAGCTTCGATCGTTAATAGTAATCGACAATGCTCCTTGGAGTGGTAGTCAGCCGTTTGACTTTGCAAGTAATCCCTGGGCTGTGAATTGGAAGGATGTTTCTGTGAACAATGCTAATGCTATAGAGGAAGCGCAATGGCGACAAGCGGCACGGTTTTTGCAATGTCGAGATATTGTCAATGTTCAGGTAAGACCGAGAATAGTAGTTCTAATATACCTTGTAGCATTACAGGTCTCTTACTAAACTCATTTCTTTCGTACCAGTTTACATCTGGAACCACAGGTCGACCAAAAGGCGTTGGACTCTCGCACCGCAATCTACTGAATAATGGGCGCCTGATTGGTGACAAAATGAAGCTCACAACTCGAGACTCCATCGTCCTTCCAGTGCCTTTATACCATTGCTTTGGCCTCGTGTTAGGAAATCTCGCGGCCATGACACACGGAGCAGGCATCATCCTCCCTTCCGAATCATTCGACGCACTCTCCGTCCTAAAAGCCATACAATCCGAAAAAGCAACTGGATGCCACGGCGTGCCAACAATGTTTATCGACTGTCTCAACCACCAGCAGTTCTCTCAATTCAACCTCTCATCGCTCCGAACGGGTATTATGGCAGGCACGTCTTGTCCAATCGAGACAATGAAGGAGTGTATGAGTAAGATGCATCTACGTGAGATTGTCATTTGTTATGGAATGACCGAGACGTCGCCTGTGTCGTTGGGGACTGCAACTGATGATCCATTGGTTAAGAGGATTGAAACTGTGGGCCGAATATATGATCATACGGAAATTAAACTGATTAATCCTGAAACGAATGAGATTGTGCCTGTTGGTCAGGACGGTGAGGTTTGCACACGCGGTTATCTCATCATGGAAGGTGGATATTTTGGAAATGAAGCTGCTACCAGAGATGCCATTGATGCCGATGGGTGGTAAGATCAATCAATCGATCGTACCGTGAGGCGTTGTTAACCGTATTCTTGACATGAGAACCTCCTTCATAGGATGCATACTGGTGATGTTGGCGTAATGGATTCCGAAGGTTATGTGAAAATCAGTGGCAGAATAAAGGTTATGATCATTCTGCTTTCTCATTCGAGCACGCACACTGGTTATGATGCTTCCTTACTGAACTTGACTTTCCATTTCACACACAGGACTTGATCCTACGAGGAGGAGAAAACGTAAGAGTCTATTGCTTTGGTGGCGTACGATTTAGCCTCAAAGCTTACAAATATCGTCTCTCAGATATCCCCTCTGGATGTTGAGAACTGCATCTTGGGAATGCATCAAGTCCTCAACTGCTCTGTGGTAGCAGTGCCAGATCCAAGATTCGGAGAAGCAGTTTGTGCAGTGAGTACAACATAAGCTGTGTTAATTTGTTGTAGTTGCCATGCGCAAAAAAGTCCCGTCGATAGTGTACACTTGTAGTGTACATTTGCCCTATTGTTTTGAGAATGATGGACTTTCCAGAAAAATCTCTGACGAAAACGAACCAAACAATAGGTGGTCATACTCAAGGAAAATGCCAAACTCACAGCAGATGACATACGAGCTTACTGCCGCCAGCATATCTCACCACACAAGATACCTGCATACATCTTGTTTGAGCAGACCTTACCTGTTACTGTAACGGGTAAGATTCAAAAGAACGTGTTGAGGGTTGATGCTGCCCAAAAGCTTGGGTTGGTGAAAGCTGAGAGCAAGCTTTAATAGACACCTATCTCGTGGTATTGCAAATCTTTCTTTTTGTGCGAAGGACTAGATAATAATAATACACGTTCTAGTAATACCGTTCGCTACGAGTCGACGATCAAGCGTCTTAAAAGTTAGGAACTGCGATTAAACGTTGCAGGTTGCATTTCAATCAACGTATTAGTATTTAAAATTACAATAAAGCTACACAGAAATTGCATGACGAGGAAAGCAAAGCAATTTCCGAAACCAGAGCAACTAAAACACTCGATAACCTAACAGTAAAGAAGCATATTAGTCACATTCTTCAACCACGTCAAAATCCAAGACATTTCACCTAACGGAAACCCTCTCGATATAGGCCACCCATCACGACCTTGACGATTGACTAATGGCTGATAGATCCTAGTAATGCCTAACAATAGTTGTTTGTGGTGTCAATGGCAAGCTCTGTCGACCCCCCCCCCCCCCCCCTTTTCCAAAAAAAAGTCAAGAGACGTTGCGGTTTTACCTCTCTGACCCAACAAGAGCAGCTCTCCTTTGTAATGCCTAGAATACGAATACTATCAGTATGCAGCGAGTAAGCAAGAATCATACAGAAACTAACCTTTGAAGACCCCAGATACTCTCAAACGACTGTGTTCCAACATCGAGTCGACCGACTTTATTGGCAGAGTAGAGTATCTGTCCAGATTCCAAGTCCAAGACTATTTGAGAGATGTGTCAATACTCAGTTCGTTATATCAAACGTCGGCTTTGTTACCTTCAAAGAGACCGTTGCGCCGTATTGAATAAATCAAGGGATGTATGGCATAGAAAGTACAAATCTGAGAATCCTGAGTTTCGAGATGTATACGTTTAAGCACCGGAAACAGTTCAGATCCATCAGCATCATCATTCAAAACTGAGAATCGCTCAATCCCAGATTTCAATGCTCCACTCAAATCCCATACTACGACTTCATTACTTCCATCGTGAGCACCACTCGATAAGGAGACGATGCTCAGCGATATGGGTGGAATCCATTCTCCAGTCTTTGTCCGATCTCGGGAGGAATCTAGGACTGCTATACCCCATACTGGCGTACTGTGCATTTGCAGTTTGATAATTGCGGCGCGGGTCCATTCCCAGGTACTCGTTTCAGCACTCCAGCTTGGAGGATCGAATCTCCATACAGCTATAGACGAATCTCCATGACATGTTATGATAAGGTCGGGGGAGTATGGGTGTGCTTCCATAATACATGTCAGCTCAGAGCCAATCTCGATTGTAGCTAGAGCTTTTGTACAAGTTGGCGAGACGAGAATGGCAAGTCCGTCACCATTTACTCTCCACCCTACTAATATTACCCAATTAGAGAAATGTCCGGGCGAATCGAGACCAGTAATGAGCTCCCATCCTTCAGCTTTACTCAATGGATACGGGAGGACTCTTTGACCACAGAATTGCTCTAAAGGTTGTTCAACAATTGAGTGAGTGACTGCGAAAACACTTATCATCCATCTCTAAGATACATTTTCCGTCGGGCAAAAAAAATTGCGACAACAATGAAGATGACAATTCTGCTACTGTGTATTCACTACCACAAGCTTCCAGATATAGTGCACTACTGCTCACTTCAATCCTCACCTTCATGCAAGTCAGTACTCCCTATTGGTTGTCCATTAACAATCGAATACCATTCAATCCTCTGAAAGCTAGAAAGCAAAGGCCAAACAACCATCAGTCGATCTTTACGAGTATCAAAGTGTTTCAGTTTCGGCTCATCCATCAACCACGGTATTGTCACTATATTCTTAACCTGGAAGGACGGCAAGCTAAAAAACATACAATCCATGCTAAACCCCTCGGCTGCATCGCCATGCAAGATGGTTGCGCAGAGGACATCACTTGGTGCTGATGATGTCTCGAAATGGTAGTCTGGGAGGATGCATGATACCATATATAGCTCGTCGCCTAGACCTCTCATCTGATTTAGTTTTGCAATCAGATTAGAGTCAGAAATTGTCTGATCCCAACTATTATTCGGTCGATGGATTTCTACGTCTCCGATTCGATCTAGAATGCGTTCATATTGCGCTATTCAAAGGAAAACAAAAAGGTTAGCAGAGCCTGAATTCCTGTCAGACCAGAGCTTTTCACTCACGTATATCAAGAGCCTCTCGAACATTGGGAGTATTAAACATTCGATTACTAGGCATCGCACTTCCAAGGATGTCCCATGACTTGTATAATCTAAAAGTATGTATATACTCCTCCTTCCAGTTGTGTGGAGGTTGACTGGGACGACGATACGGGATGCTCCTACCGATTTTCGTCCAGCGACTTTGAAATGCAGTATAATATATGGTATTCGAGTTGCCGATCTGCGCGAAGTACTTGTTTACTAGCGACAGCGACAATAGAGGCTGCAATGTCTCTCCTCTAGCGACGGTTTTAAAGATTTCAATCCACAAGTCCTCGTTCAGGCCACACGGTAGTGCCATATGGTGTTTGCTTTTGTTTTAGTCTTGTTTGATGACTGTGTTCAAGAATGAGATGAATCGAGGTGCCACTAGATAGTGCACAACAGCGATATAAAGTAGTCCAAGGACGATAATACGGATCAATGAGGCTGGGATGTCGAATATGAGATCTTCCACCACTAGAATCCCATTGAATGTGTTAAAAGGTTGATATGGAGACAACCCTCATGACTGAAAACCCGTCAGGAATGGAAGAGGCTGCGAAGCGTATATGCTGTCAACAAAACAAACCATGAAAACTCACCAAGAGTATACGGAATAAACGAGTATGGTTGAATCGACGTGACGTGTCTTGGATTTGGGACACCCGTATAACTCAATGAGATTACCACGAATCGTTCCTATAGCCATTCAGAAGCTGTTTCAATCACAAAGCGAACCTAATTCCATTGGTAAACTGATCGCAAAATCATACCCCCTTATGAGTTTGAGCGACCTCGATGGATATACTGGCAGGAGCCTAACACAGGGACTGACACGTCAACCACGAAATATTCCCTGCTGAATAAAAGTGAAGGCAACATACAGTTCCAGGAATAGATACTCGCAAGTGCAGCTTCTTCTTGTCTTGTAATCGAGATGTGTTACAGAGTCGATAGAAATGTGCAGATTTCAGACTGTATGGTAAGATGTACCTCGTCTGAAGAGGTGCGCATACAAGTGGAAGGTCTCCAATACTATACAATGTTGACGAAATTGAAATCAGTTGACTTGCAGACACACTTTTGAACTTACAAGAACTTACATATTTATCCCGATTGTGTAATTGAGCAAGAGCGATGGTCGTGTATCAGAGTCTAGAACGAATTGTTCGTTGTCTGCAATGCAAGATCGACCTAATAGCAGCAAGAGCACCGCGTACAGAATCCAATTCATATAGGACGCTGGTGTTTGGAAGGACAGAAGGAGGGATAGCAGTGTTGCAAACAAGTTGCAAGACCCAATGGTTTGGCCTGCCGCTACTCAAGATTTGCTCTGGTCTGGTTGATGACGCGTCAGGTGGCTCACGCCTCTCGTTAGTCGCGTTCTAACCTCCTAAACTGAGTCGACATTAGGTCGGCCTTCCCTTGAATACCTTGCCAATGAGATTCTCGTGTTGGAACTAAAATATATTACATGGTTTCTGCATTTCTACTATACTGACTGCTGCTCGTCACAGCAGTAGATCCCCCACCTATCTACTTTTCCTTGGACTCGATGTCGTCCTTAGCCACTCTCTCCGCTGTAGTCTTGGAAGTTGTTTCCAATGCACGATTCACAATGCTGTCCATTGACTTTCGCGCCTTTTCTTCTAATCGGGCCTTTCGAGCAGCATCCTGTATACTATTATGAGTAGCCTCTATCCTTGAATGTCGATTTCTCGTTTCATCTTCTCGTTGACGCGCAGCAGCATCACCACCTTTAGCTTCATACTGTTGCTTCCATTCTCTGACCAGCGGAGGACCTATAGCAGGAGATGCTGGCTCAAATGTTCTATCAATATATGTTTTACTAGCAACACGACCTTCCATAATCAGACCCAATGCTCGTTCCCGTTGCTCGGATGGCGTGTTGCTACTGTGCCGAGATAGTGCGGCGTCAATGCTATCGTCTGGTTGGAAGTCGACTTTGATTTCGGTAGTGCCGCGAACCACATCCATGGCGGCTGCAATTTTAGCATCTAGATTGGCATAGGTGACGAAATCTGAGGCTGTATGGTATAGATATAGGATGTCTGATAGCCTGTTCTCGGTTTCGTCTGATACCTTGTTCAAGTAGGTAGTCAATCGTCGTTGACGACGTGTTCTTAAAGCATCATGCCATGCTTGTCGTTTGGCAGCTAGTATCGGATCCTCCTGTCGTCTAGTTCCATCTATGCTATTGGATGGACTGTCACTACTACCACTAACAACATCGAATTCATCATTCGAAAACGACGAGGAAGAAGATGATGGTGATGAGTGTACAAAGGACGAGAAGTCACTTTGCTGGTCAGCGATGTACTTTCGCATCGAGTCTTCTAGTTTCTTCTTTTTTGCGAATTCAGCTTCTTTGGCTTGATGAGCTTTGAATAGTGCAGCTTTGTCGTCTTCTTTAATGTCCTGCAGCCACTGTCTCCTCAGAGCTCTCATTGACTCTCTGTACTGGCCCCTTGGACTTATTTTATGGAGGGATATCGTGTCTACATTAGGGATGGATGAAGGAGTTATAGCTGTCTGCGACGATATTTTTGCAGGTGGTTTTGCGACGGTTGCATGAGGAAGATGGTCTAAAGTTATGGTCCGTGGCGGTATCCTAGACAGTATCTTGACTGGCTTACTAGTGCTTGCCATCTCTACGTTGATGGCTTCCTATATATACTATTGAGCTTATGTGTGAACGTTTGCTTCGAAAAAAAGAACGAGTTTCAACAATTACACACGTCACCGCCATAGATGAACCGCGTTCCGGACGTGCCTCGTACGTATATTTATACAAGAATTACGTCTTGCTAGTCCCGATTGTTGGAGTTGGAGTGGTCATTGACCTCATCGACAAATCTCAACATCTAACTTCCTCTATTCATCGCTTCTGTCGTTCAAAGCTATAACGCTGTCTATAGAGGTCGTATTTGCAGTCGTATTCATACTGTATTCCATACGCTCATTTGAATCATGATCACGAGCGAGGCTAACGCAAAAAGGGTCAAAGTTCACATCACCTCAAACCACAATCATCAATATTCTTCGGATCAGGATTTATTGCCTGTTATTGACTGGTCCTATTTTCCATAACATGAATTGCAAAGCACTACACAAAGATTGGAAACAAGTCAACGTTCAAAAGCCATCCTTTCCACCATAACCACCACCATAGCCTTGTGCCTTCTTAGGTTCCTTCGTTAGCTTATGTTCCTTGTGGTGTTCCTTGATGTAGACTGGTACCTTCTCGTAAACTAGATAGAGAGTTGGCAGAGACGTGAGATCTAGCAACTACCATAACTTGGCCTGATTCTGACAAATGAATTATACACTACAACCCTTACTTGTGACGGGCACCTTGACTGGCACCCTTACTTCAACTGGCACTTCAACAGCCTTGGTTACGACAGCCTTTACAGTCTCGGTTTTGGTCTTGTATTCAGAAATCTTTTCTGTCTTGGTGATGTACTGAGGGACCATTTGGGTTGTGGTCTCTGTCTTGGTCATATATTGTGGGACCTTTTGAGTCGTAGTGACGTACTGAGGGATCTTTTCAGTTGTGGTTATGTATTGAGGGACCCTGACATATTGAGTTCTAATTGCAAAGTGAAAGCAAACGATTTAGAACCACAAAACCGGAGCATGCTCTTGAAAGAAGCAAAAGAGTCAACTGTTGTGCCCTTACTGAGTGACTAGATACTTGACAGTAGTAGTGACTACATCTGTACTGGTGATAGGAACCTTTACCGTGTGTGAGACCTTTTCAGTTTTTGTAATGTATTGTGGGACCTTTTCAGTTTTGGTAACGATCTCCTTGACGCATTGAGTTCTAATTGGGAATTGGAACGGGTAAAGGGACTAGTTAGAACTCACAAAATGATGCCACAAAATGATTATGCTATCGAAAACAACCAATCAAAGAGAACGACAATTGCGAACCCTTACTGAGTTACTGGGTACTTGACTGTAGTAGTGACCACGTCCGTAGTGGTAATAGGAACCTTTTGAGTAACTGTTGTTGTTGTTTCAGTAGCTTTCTCGGTTTTAGTGTCGTATTTGGTGATTGGTTTGGCAGTTTCGTAGACAGTTGAAACTGATGTTTTGGTTGGGATGCTCTTGTAGCTTGTTGTTGATTTGGGTTCTGTAACCACCTTCTTGTCCTCGGCAGAGACTTGAAGAGAGAATATCATAGCCAATAACAAGACGGATGTCTGCAGAAACGAAAACGGGATGTCATTGGTGTTGTTAATTCATATAGAGAGCCCGTTCCAGTGACGGTACTATACCAAGATCTTCGATTCCATTTGCCTCTAGCTTCAAGGAGAGAAAGTGAATCTTCTTGAAAAGCTTGATATGTATATTTGAACTCAGAGAAGCTTTCTGAATGTCTTAGAAGTTGAAGAGCAACTGCAAGCTTGTTTTTATACGTTCTTGGGGGTCATCGGTGGGAACAGCCAACAAGCTCCCACAATTTGACATGTGCTTGACATGTGCTGCTATGAGTCAGTACACCTCTTATATAACTGCGAAATCGCCCTTCAAGAAGTAGGGAGCTGACGTATCTCGTAAAACAACTGTTACTTTGTCTTAACATCCGATGAATACATCCTTTCTCGTCTAAATGATCCAGATTTTTATTGAGGTATCTTGCTCTTGGCCAACAACAGCACTGTTGGCCAATACACATCAACAATCTGGTCCATTGCATTTGGACCCAACTCGGTCAGAATCTTTTGTTTGATGCATTCGAGTTCGTCTGGTTGGTCTTTGTGAAGCTCTCGATAAGTCTTGTAGCCAGACCAAGTCCTACAGTATTCCAGAAGGGCACTGACAGTCATTGTTTTGGTCACTGGACTTGGAATGGTTTCGGTTCCCAACATGATTCTTTGTGCGAGAAACGGTTAAACTGATGATGGCGCTTCTTACGCAATGCAGACATTCACCTGTCAGAAAATTGAAAGTATGGTTCCAGTGGTAATCGAGCATACCAATCATCGAGAAGGTGCCGTCGCTTATCAAAATATTCGTCCTAAACCACACAAATGGAACAGTTAACAGTGGTTCAAACTTACATTTCGCAATTCACAACAATTCTCACCAGAAAAATCTCATTGAAATCATTAACGAGTCTCGTAATCTTTTCTTGATCCTTCACCACCAGCATAAAATACCCAAATACAGCCAACGTCCCATTCGGTTTTAGTATCCGTAACGCTTCGCGTATGAATAGCTGCCAATCAAACCAATGAGCTGCTTCGGCTACAGTTATAACATCCACAGAATTGCTAGGAGCAGGAATATTGGAATCTCGTCCCTCGGCATATTTGATTTTGGGGTGTGGAATCGCGGCTAACCGTGGAAATGGTGTTAGGGTCAATGACAGCAGGGAAAAACTTGAAATTTGCAAATCCAGATACCTTTCAACATGGATGCTGAGAGGTCAAATGCAAGAATCTGGTTGAACTTGGAAGTGAGATCTAAAGCAGCTTGGCCAGTACCGGTTGCCATATCCACTGCTATGTCAAAGAGAGCCGACGAATCTTGAAGCAGTTTGAGATTAAAGTCAGTGTGGAGCGTTAAGATGTTGACTTAAATCACGAGTTTTGATACCAACCGTTTTTTGAATGGAATGTGTAGATCCGTTCATAGAGTGATTGCCCATAAGTAGGCCTGGATTACCGAATGTTAAATATGTTAAATGAAGATGTCGGTGCGCCAAAGATATAAACAACAATGATGTCCTCAAACCTGAAATCACGATATCTAGCAGAATTGAAATCAGCGTCAATGAAGCTCAATGACGACATCCTGCAGATTTGAATAGCAGAAATGTGCCTGTTTAAGTGCTAGTTGACGTGCTCTGATAGTCAGCACTGAAATTAGGATGAGCCTTGTTCTGCCGTGATGAAGGAAATTTCAAAGAATGTGCGTGCGTGACGACAAGGTGACGTCAAAGTCTCATGCCAGAAGGCGCATTAATCCCGGTGGATTCGGAATCAACTACGCGCCGCGGCAACTTTTCTCGCTTCCTTATAGGACTATACTAACTGTACGTGTTTTTGAACCATGTTTCGACGCCTGTCGCCACTACCACACACACAAAAGCAGCAGTGTCTATTGACGGTCACTACAAGGTAAAGATACCGGAGGTACAAACCAACTGACGTCTGAAGTGCAAGGATATTTCGATCATGGTTTATGTGGCTCATCTAAAAAGAAGGGCAATGATATTTCGACGATGGTTTATGTAACTCATATCAATAAAGAACTTCTTGAAACGTATTATTGAACAGTCATTTATGACTACTTGCCAACCTTTGCATGCTTTCCAAGCAACAAGATTGTTGGCCAATATATATCCAACAATGTATCTTTTGTTGAGGTATCTCCAAGAGCCTTCATCACCTTAGCTTGTAGATCAATCAAAGGATCGTGATCTGGATGCTGCTCTCTGTAATTCTTCCAAGCGGACCATGTTCTCATATAAGCGAAGAAGGTCTCAACTGTCACCGTCTTTGAGATTGGCGAAGGCATGGATTCAGTTGGCAACACAATTCTATAAGTGTAGATATCAGTCACTATTGACAAATCTTGGACGTATCTAGCTACAGCAACAAGACCCGATATAGCATTTGCAGTCAACCTCATGTCAAAGGTTTTAAGGTTGTGTGTTAAAAAGATTCTTACCGCTCTGTAACAGCAAAGTAAGGTTCGAGTTTCAAGTCAGCATAATGAGCATCCAAAATGAATCTACGAGTGTCCCAGTACTTTTTCTAGTAAGTGAAGAAGAAGTTGTCAATTTCGAGACGACGATTTACGATTCGACTTTTGTCTCTTACCATCACATTGTCATTGTAGTCGTTCACCATATCTGTCAGCACCTTGTTCTTGTCGACGACAAGCAACGAATATCCCCAGACAGCAACAGTCCCATTAGGCTTTAAAACTCGCGATGCTTCTTTACAAAATCCATCCCAGTCAAACCAATGGGCAGCTTGTGCCACGGTCAGCACATCAGCTGAATGGTCTGCGACAGGTATGGTTGTATCGGAACCTTCAGCATACGTTATCTTTGGATTTGCGACAGCAGCTAACAATGACATAGCCGTTTCAGTTCACATTGCTCCACTGAAAACAATCAGCTCCCTCACATTTTAACATTGTTGCAGAGTTGTCAAAAGCGTAGACGTGCTTGAATTTGGGAGCGAGATCCAACGCAGCTTGACCCGTTCCAGTAGCTAAATCCACACATGTGTCAAAACGAGCTTCAGGCTCATGGCGCGTGTGGAAGTCATAAATCAGCTTATAGAGGCTCTGATCGTACGTGGGCCTACGTATTGGAAGTTGTGATATGCTCTTTGGTAGCGAAGAACTTCAATGTTTCAAACTCAGCGAAAGGGTTGATGCAGCACACCATGCCAAGTTACCTGTAGTCCCGATAGGCTGATGAGTTAAAGTCCTTGTCTCCGAATTTTGTAGCCATTGTAGCCAGTGACCTTTTGGCTGTTGCTGGCAGCAAAGACTTCTTGACTGGATTCAACAACTGGAGGAATTTGGACGCAACTACGACGCCCATACAGTTCAACGACGTATTCTGATATCTTAAATTGCTTGCAAGTCACAGTGTTTTGAAGAAGATCAGAGTCTGGTTATAATGAGCCGTCATCAAGAGGATTGAATGTTGGTCATCGCGTTTTCAAAAGTCGTGGATAAAAATCCAATCCATGGAACCGTGACTTGTGTGTCGAGATCAATCAAATAATCAAAGATAAATTTATATTAACAATAAAACAGTATACAAAACGATTCAAATGTGGTCATTCATACAGGTCATTGCTCTATAAAGGACAGCTACATCAACAGATTATTGATCGTGCCGGACGTTCCTGACATTGCCACACCAAGTATTTGCGTTGCAATCCTTTCCAATATTTGACGTCGTTGAGGGCTGGACAATTTTGTGAATGCATCATAGACCGATACACCTTTTGCGTCTCGCACTTTGCCTACAAGACTCTGGATGTTTGAGATTCGTGCATCACTGATACTACAAATGTTTGAGTCGTGTACCTAGTGCTCCACCAGCAGCAAAGCCAGCCACAGCGCCAACCATGTTTGCTGTGATGAACCCCAATATTGCTCCTTTTGGTTTTAGATGGTGAATTAGTCAAGTAAGTGTAAGGAGGTCAGTAAACTAGTGGCAATAAACACCAAGAGAATACAACTTTATCTCCGAAACGCTAGTTCGGAAACACTAGTAGTTTACCAGAAACAGCGCCAAGTGTGCCGTAAATATGTGAAGGATGTTCGACTTCTGGTCGTAGTAGCTCCGCGAATACGTCAGCAAAGGTTCCGTTTGCATCGACTTGCAATGGTTGAATTTGTTGTTGATCGTTTGCTCTTGCTGAATCGTAGACTCTCCTTCTCGCAGCATCACTGAGTTGAACGCAGCGATTAGCTTGTGACAGTTTGAAGTGATTGCGATCAAGCCAATACCTCAAGACGTAATAAGCATCGGCTACAAGCCTGAATCTCTCAGTTGCATTCTGATCATCAATGTTCCTGTGAATAAAGGGGTTAGGACATCATCTAGATCGTGAGAGGTAAACCTTGCCAATTAGTAGACAACAGGTCATCATTCAACTACCTTTCAGGATGCCACCTAGAAAGATGAAATCAACCAATGAGCACATCAACCTCGAGAAAACGAGGAAATCAAGCTCTCTACATGGTTGCTCCATCTGGTGAACAAACGATCGTCCTATGTGAAAAACATACCTGATTGCTTCTCGTATATACGCGCCTCGAACCTCATCGGAAGTTGCTTCGGGCAGCAGACCCAATACATGATAGTAGTCGGGAGCTTCGTCAACATGGGCCACCATTGCCATTTGATTGCACAAAAGCGGATGCACTGTTGGGCGATGCAAGCGTTTGTGGTATAATCTACAAGAAAACAGCGGTCAGAATGCGATTTATAGGGGAAAGAACGTCAGGGAGTAGTCGCGCTTACATAGATCTCTATCTAGTATGTGTTGGGAATAGTTGACCGTTCTCCAATACGAGAGTTGCAGAAAGAGGCGATGCAATCAAGTCCAAAGAGGAAAGTAAGAATATTTATACTCCTATGAGGTCAGATGAATAGGCTGTATAGACTTATGGTAGACTGAAACACGTGCAGTGTGTTCGAATCGCAACCTTGAGGTTTTTGCACTTGAAGTTTCAAGAGTTGCAACTGGGAAGAGCCAAATCAGAAGAAGGGAGTTTGACGTATTATGTAAACAGAATCCTGACACGTACATTTTGGATCCTTTATATCTCCTATTTGCTATTAACTATGAGCCAGCAATCGCAACAAGCAGCATTGGTTTTGCTGAATCAAATAGTAACATCGCCGTCTCCAAATCCAGACGCGTTGATTTCCCTACTGCAAAATCAACCAGAACTCATCCCTGGACTGGCTGCCGTCTTGGCTAGAATCCCTCTAGTTCCGACATCAAGACAAGTTCGAATGTGTTTTCTCAAGATTGTAGACGACCTTATTACCGTCCATCAGGGCGATCTATTTGCAAGAGCTGACATCATGACCGGTACATATTCATCTTTCTTTCCCACTCTTGTTTTGTATACACTCTATTGACCTTTGCTCTCAAAACACACGTACTAGTTCCCTTGACTCTGTGGATGCAAACTCTATTGGCCATGATTGAAAGAGAGGTGGATCCTCCTGTTGTAAATCGTGCTATATTGTGTCTGACAAACATTTATCCCTTCATCTTCAAACTCACGTACGTGTACAATGAAGCAAATACTCGCACGACTATCGTAACTAAGTTCACTCTAATAGATGTCAAAATGTGAATGCTCCGTGGCCTGAAGTCACTAAAATGAAGCAACGGCTGAATGTATTGTTTGCAGGAGGAAGTGATGGGACAAAGATGGCAGTCATCAAAATGTTTCAGGTTCTGGTGGTGGTTCAAACTCCTCGCGATCCTACGGTAAAGCATGTCCCCAATTAATATAATCTGAACTGTTTCTAACATCTTTAATCAGGTGACTGAGGGACAGATTGGCCTGGACTTGGTTCCACAACAGCATCACCCTCATCTCAACATTCAGGCTCTATACGCAGAAGCTGGAGACTACTTGAACATGTTGGTCGCTCTCATATCACAATCTTCTTCCGCGTAAGCAAATCTATTGCAAGTACCCTCCTCAACCGGATCTCATACCCTCACTTCCTCACAGATCGAGTGGAATTATGTCTGCGGTGGTGAACTGTTTCTTGCCTCTGCTAAGAGCAAGGCCACAGTTCTTGTCTTATATTTTAGGAGTGTTCAAAATCTGGTATACCGCGCCGCCATCTGCATTGACACCATGGGAATTACGAAATGCAGAGAGGTCAATTCGAAATGTGCTTATCGGTATATCAAAGTAAGACGCTCGCATTCCAATTCGATCTCCTGTATTCAATCGTACTGATGTTTGTCTTCATCTAGACTCGCTGCTGTGGCGCCTCACCAAGCAGTTGTACATGATGCTATAAGAACATTGACTGAACGACAAGAAACCACAAAACCTCGGCCACCAAAACGAGCAGCTCCTAGTTTGAGCTCATCAACCTCGAAGCGTGCTCGTATCGATTCGCCATCACCTGCCGTAATACCTCTGGCAGAAGCCAGGCCATCAGCTTCAACCACACCTGCCGCTATAGATGTAAATACGTTACCATTATCCCTGGTTGTTGATACCATATTTCACGTTATGAGGAATATGCTTGATGAACGGTGGCAGTCGGCGATCGCGGTAAGACATTAATTCACAGCAATATCCTCGTTTTTTTTTTTTGGCTTGCCCAATCAAGTTTGCTAAAAGTCAACACTTCAAATCTTAGGCTTATTGTCAGGCATACAATCTTCCACTACCACCAAACATGTCTCGTGGAACTGAAATGGCAAGAGCTTCATCAGGTTCAGGACAAACTGTGCCTATGAATGTGCCAATAGTAGCAGCCAAAGAGGAATCAAGGCCACGAGAGCCGTCACCTCCTCCTAGAGTACCAGATACGCCGCCACCAATTGGAGAGCCTCAAGAAATATCTGACTTGATTGTATCTAGTATAATAATGACCAAAGAAGCAAGAACAAGCGCTATCATAGAAGCATTACAACGTGTCTTGTATGCAGAACCTGTATTAGATCATGGAGCTTCTCTCTCAGAAGCCTCTGCGGCTGTTGGTGTACATTACACAAAGAATCCCAAGCAGACTTTGGGAGCTGCTCGTGATGCTTGGATGTTGATTGGTTCACGAGTCATGGCTATTGTCGATCCAGAGATTTCTCAAGCTGTTAGAAGTGAATTATTGCGGTTTTTTATGGAAGATTGTCGCGGCCGGTATGTATCGATTTCAGAGTTACAATTCTTTTGGCTGAGCGAAACTCACACGGTTGTCTTGATTTTCAATTCCTGCCCATCAGATTTGATTTCGCCATTCAATGGCTGTTTGAAGAGTTTATGAACGACCACAAACACGCAAATGACGCTGCATATGAACCTCAGTATTCTATATGGCTAGGTCGAGTGTTGACCGAGATGAAAGCACATCTCGACGTCAAGGATCGTACCATTGCTAAACTGTTATTGGATGTACCCAGTGTCGATGGTGAAGAAGTACGAGAAGCTATCAAAGGATACTGTGAGGACTCTGAACGAGTCAAGATTGGCTTGTCTACCATAGTAGACTTGATTCAAGTTAGACCTGCTGTTCGAACTTGGGCTCTTGAGGTTTTATTAGAGTATTGCATAACACAAGGTTCGAGAAAGGAATTCTGATGGCTTTCTTTGTGCGTCATAAAACTTACATAATGCGTCGCTTTTTTTCCCTACAGAAACCCAATTAAGGAAGCTCTCTATCGTATTGGTGAAGCGATGGGTCCCCGATCACCCATCATTGGCTCCAAGGATTGAAGAGTTTGCTCTTCAGACCTTGCGAGTTCTCCTGACTTTACCCAACAAGGAGGACTCACAAGTGAAAATGGAAGACGTCAAAATGGAGGAGCATGAAATAAAGAAAGAGGATGAGTGGTCTCGAGCAGATGTCGTTAGACATCTTGAATTATATTTCGCCTTATGTAGTCGAAAACAAGAATTACTGCATCAGTAAGTTCGGCAAAAAAAATTACGCTTTGATCTGCTGGAAACGGTGAGTGTGCTTTACTCACGGAGTTCCTTTGATAGAGTCTTGGTGATATACAAGTCTCTTTCACTGCCAATACGGAATGTGATTGACGAAGAGATTCCTGGCCTGATCAAATCTATGGGTCAAGGCTCTCTAAAGCTCTTAGAAATGCTAAAAGTCTTTCCTGATGGCAGTGATAATTTGGCTCTCATAATATTACAAACACTGACAAAAGATGAGAAGCCAACTCCTGCATTGGTTCATGTCATCAAACATGTACTGAATAGTGATCGTGGAGATGGACGTTGGGCGATTAGTATCTTGTCTGGACTTGATAAGGTAACGTTCGTTTTTTTGGACTACCATAAATGAGTCTGAAAGTCTAACAATCCTCCCCATTTGACAGATGGACGTGCTGAGTTACTTGCCAAAGATAGTATCACTCCTAGATGGTAGTCCTACTCGACATGCACTAGTAAAGGAAGCCTTTGCACGTCTTGTCGACGTAACAGTCGCAAAAGAAGGACTTTTAGGAGGACCAGTTACAACTCTAGTTGGAGCCGCTCCTGGTGGAAGTTCGGCTGCTGCTTCTGCTGATATGGCTGTGTTTGCACCGAATCCAAATCCTGTATTAGCTGCTGTCACTACACCTGCTGTTAAAGGAACTAGTACACAGCTCACGCCTACAGAGCTGCTGATAACTCTACATCGTCTTGAAGATCAAGTTGGGCTGAAACGAACCATGGAAGGTATGTTACACGAATCCAGTCGCTGTTTGTTTTTTGGTCCCCGTGGTTGTCTTCAACACGCTCTACTTTCTCATAGCAACGCAAATATGCTTTGAAACCGCCAATGTATTTAAGCAAGAAGTACTAGCCACCACACTACAGACCCTCGTAGAATTACCAAAAATACCCAACCTCATGATGCGTACAGCTCTCCAAGCAATCAAAACACACCGTGGTCTACAATCCTTTATGAACTCAATCCTTGTCCGTCTCATATCTCGTAAAGTATGGACTGAGCCTAAAGTCTGGCAGGGCTTTGTCCTATGCTGTGCAAGTCTCCAGCCAACATGCTATCCAGTCTTGCTCACCATGGAACCAGACCGATTACGAGATTTCTTGACCATGTGCTCCAAGAATGAGAGACGGGCTGATGGGACTAGTAGTATCAAGACTGGATTGAAGAGGTATATAGCCAGTGTTGGAGATCGGGATCGAGCTCGTACTCAGGTGCAGCGATTAGCTGAGGTGTTGAATGAGGAGGTTGTTAGTAGTAATAATAATAATAGTCAGAGCGGGAATGCGACTCAGGTCGCTGCAGAGACTCCTACAGATGGTGATGGGAGGGAAGCGACTACACCTCAAGTTGTGTCGGTATCATAGAAACACCTTTGCAACGCAAAAGGTTGATTTCGTTTGAGTTGTGGTGATATCATTAATATACACACCAACATGTACCTTCCTTTTAAAATGGGTTGAAATGCGAGTTGGCGCAACAATACTACCAACCGTTTTACTTGTGTCCAAAGAATTGTATTGTGTTTTATTGCTTATGGGTTTAGGTTCTTTTTTATGTCATGCTTTACAAATTCAGAGTTTCGAAAAAAGGCAATCTATATCTATACATACTTTCGTATATTTTGTTACTTTTTTTACTATCTGAGGCCTCAACGTTCGTCGACGATATAGCAAAGACACTAGTCAATAGTTCTTTTACCATTCTCCACCGCGAGGACTCAACTTCAGAGGGAGGGGATCCAAGCTTTGTAATATGTTGTTGAGAAGCAGCTGCCAAACCCAATTCAGCTAGGTGTCTCTCTTTCGGGCTTCAGCACCCAAACTGGTCATCAGCCTATTGCATTATAGAGTGTTAGGGAATGCTCACAACAGCAACTGTGCGATTGATTGTACTTACATTGGGGCTTCCATTCTTCTGCCAGCAGCAGACCAATCAAAATGGAGTATTTCCGTATACAGTTCCAGACACAGTGAGAGTAGCCGTGATCAGAGCCGAGCATTCAGCAGTAAATCCTCTGCTTTGCTACAGCACTATGACAGCCGTGCTGAGACTCTCCACAAACTACTTCTCGATGTGTACTACTTTGTTCCGTCTGACTGTGTATAAAAGAAACATCCACAAAGCCTTAATTTATGAAATGGGCACTGCAACATAGTGCCGATGTGGATTGGTTTGGTTGAGGTGAACAGAAACTAATGTTTTCCTGACACCAGCGCCTAGAAATAAAGAAGGAATCAATGTGTGCTCAAATAAAGATAACAAAAACATCGTAATTCGTACCATTCCAATAACTGAAAGTTAGGTGACCAACCCTTTCAACACTCTCACAGACAAACATGAAGCTACGCGACGCAAGTGTCGAATCTGTATGTCGGCTATCAAGTTGGACGACAACCTATGGTATGGAGTCGCGTGAGTGAATGTCCATACACAAATTGTAGCAGCAGCGAGATGTCCAAAAAACCCTTCCAACAAGACTTCATCAGTCAAAGCGGCAAAGAGATTGTCTATACCGCAAATACTGCCGCCATCACCAAAGTATGTACCCATCAATAAGCCTCGACTGAATTTAATTGGAGCAGACTTATTGGCCACATGTTGCATCCGTGATGACCTTTTTACAACGATGATGTGAGACTGCAATGACGTGATATGGTGAATAAAACTTGCAATATACTGTAGATGTAAAGCTTTAACGTTGGGTCGTAAATTGTAATAGCTACACTGGTGGTGGTGGTGGTAAAAAGGTAGAAAGTAACTGGCCTTTTTAAGCTTTCAAGACTTGCTTTTTGGTTCAGCTCCACTCTGCAAATTGGATCCTGCGCCTGTTCCACTCGCTTGACCGCCTTGGAAGCTAGACACGATAACGGTTTGCTCCAAATTCAACTTTTTCACAACTGGAGCTAGCTAGATTTTCTAATTGTAGGAACGTATTGCGAGGATTCGATTAGAGCGGCCGTGTAATTTATCTAATATTGGTAAGAATTCCTTCAACATCACCGTCATCATTCTCCACGTTGGCAAGGCAATAAACCAAACCTTGCACACCGAATTCACGACTTTGAGTGCATCACATGGTGGAGGATCGAATCATAATTCGAATCCGGACCTGCCCGAACACATCTTACAGGATACGCATTCGAGTTTAACGACTCTCAACCTCGTTGTTATTGTTCGGCTGCAAGGTCAAATATATGGCAATTCGTCAATTTGGACGTCAATTCTATAGCATTCTGGTTTCGGGCTCTGACTTTGGAGCGGTTACCCATGTCAGAATCGCCTCCACAAACGATTTTGTGGTTTCTTGGACAACTTCAGCTTGTAGCAGCTATGCGTCGTTAAATAATCTGATCGGCATGGAAGAATGTCGTTGCCTCGGGTCTGTGCTGATTGGAATCCCGAATATATTGAGAACCAATGACCTTTTCTTTTGTCAGCAACTCCCTTTACTCTTCGAAATGTCTCCGTCAGAGGACAAGGAATATTGCTACCACCAGAATCAACACCCAAAATCATGCTGTGTCGCCCTTCTGGTTGGATTGAGCTCTTTACGATACTCACAACATAATCGAAGATACGCAGCGAGCACAATGTATGCTCAACCGTAACTGCGTCACTCTAAAGGTTGATTTACCGAGGCTAGATGCTCTTGTGGAATAGGGCTTTGACCTTCTTGGATTTTCCGAGGCTAGATGCTCTTGTGGAATAGGACTTTGACCTTCTTGGATTTTCTGCTCTTTAAGCTCAGAAGTCAATGCTGACTCCCTTTTTTGCCTTTTCGCTTTTCCCTAGTTATCAATATGTCAAGCAAAACATCGACCAAATTGGAAATACTTATTATGATTATTATTATTATTTACAATCGGACTATCAGGCAAAAAGGATATCAGGACAGAAGGACCAGAATCGTGACGTTTAAAGCTGTGGTCACCAAGATTGTCGAAGGATGTGTAAAGGTTAAGGCGCCTAGTCAAAAGGTAAATATCATGGCTGCTTTGCTAGTTGATCCCCTTGTTGAAATTATATTCACATCAAATCACTTTGCATCTCAACCTCACACCTTGAAATGTCTCAACCTAGGTTGCCAGTTGTTTCCGATCCACATCAACGTACCTAAAGAGCAACACGAGAGCAATGGTGGTTTAACAAGATCGAAGCACGCTGTCGTGGGAGTTATGGGTGGAAAGAGTGAAGTCAACCACTTGGAGAAAGGATGGTTTCCCCACCTACAGTCGTTTTTGTGCATTGCCTGTATTGACACTGGATGTCAAAAGGTGATAAACCAACCCTGTTGAATATCATTTGCACTACCATGATTGCATCGTGGCTGGCTGCTACATGAGGAGTGGCGCCCAGACCTGCCCCGTCGTATTTCTAAGGATGTGCATTCGAGTTCACGACGGTGCGCAACTCGACTGTTGTTGTATTGGCATTCGGATCAAAGGACAACTTGAACGAAACGCTATTATGTCGTGCCGAATTATATAGCATTTTGGACTCGGGACTGTGACTCTGGGATGTTTGTCATGTCTAAATACACTCGTTACGAACGACCTGGTTGTTTCCTTGACAGATTTCTTCACGTAGCAGTCATAATTATTCAAAGATCTGCTTGACGTAAACGCGACTAGTTGATACGGGAGTGCTATTTGGGCTGCGGCTGTGCCAACTACTGGTGCAACTTTTTGGTCGGCCACTCCCGTCTTCTTCAACAAGTTGCTTCAGAAGGCAAATCAAACTGCCACCAAGAGTCAAGCAATAAATCGTGCTCTTCTGCTCCTCGGGGTGGTTTATGCTGTTTACGAGCTGCTCAAGTAGACGACCTAGAGCCAGGACAGAATGCTGCTTCCCTCTCAATTTCCGGGGGGCCGGATAGACGTAAGACAGCAAGTTTCTCAGGACTTTCGCTTGTGTTTTTATTTCTGTTTCTCTTATAAACATTGTCGATGTTGACCCTTTTTCTTAGACTTTCAGTTTTCTCTGGAACTCAATCGTTCCAGGGCACGGAAATCAAGACTCATACTATAAGTCACCAAGACGGAGAGAATTCGTGAATGCTGGACGAGAATCGAGACTCTGTAAGCTATTGTCAGGTTGTTGAAGTGCCCCAGTCTAAAGCCACAATCATGGCTGAATGTACTGTCTGATCCCTTTGTGCAAAACGGCATTTGCATTGAATCCTTTCAACGTCTCGACGACTTATATTGAACTATATCAACTTAGTGTACGCGAAGATACCAAGTCCACATCAAAGAGCATAAGGATCATAAGAAGCCTTGTTATGGTGGTAGCAGGAACGGCGAAAGCTTCCGTGGTGGTGGTGGTTACCTTGGTAATATACTGGCAGGGCAAGAAACAAGAAGGATGGGTCAGAGTTGACTTGGGACCCTTCAGTTTCTAGCAGCGCTGATTGTTTTGGTGATTCGTGGTCAAAGTGTAGAGTCAACACAGCTTGCCTGAAAGACAAACTCGTATCCTGACGGTTTTTTCGCTGCTCCCCGTTATTGGTGACGATGAAGGCGTCCTCGCAACTTGATTATCTCAAGTCTCGAAACTTGGTCAAAAAGCCGTTCACAGACTCTAATTTACAAGGTGTAGTGTTTATTGCTTCGTCCTTTCCTTGCAGAAAAGGGTGCTTCATACGTTTTCTTATACTACAAATTTGACAAATCATTTATAAACATATCGTTCCTCAACCACTCAAACCACATCATTTGCATATAACCAAAAAAGCATGAGAAAGTCCTCCTCTCAATAGTATCAGTCCTTGACCACATTCCTCTTACGACCTGCACTGACTCGTTTAGTAGTCATCTTCTTTGCCTTTGTAGCTGCAGCTGGTGCACTACTACTCTTAGTCTTCTTTGTGCTAGATTTGGCAGCACTATTAGCAGTCTTCTTCTTCCTTGTTATTGTTGGGTTTGCAGTAGCCCTGGTCTTTGCCTTCTTAACGACTGCACCGCCAGATTTTCTTGCCCTTCCTCCTCGCTTCGTCTTCAAGCCAGGACTCTTGGCGACAGCTTCCTTTAGTGTCTCGTGGAGTTCTTCACGGGCTCCAAGCAATGTTCCTTCATATGCCTTCTTGGCAGATGCATACTCTTCACTAGCCTTCTTGGCCATAACGACATATTTCTATTATATGATTGTGTGACTGGTTAGGTTTTTGCGTCAAAAATCTAGGGCAAAACCCAGAGATTTAAAATATCCTAAAAGGCCAAGCATATGTTGTCTCCAAATCTTTTATAACTCCTCTACCAATACCAATTCATTCGAAACAGACAAGTCTCCAAAGCCGCAAACAAATAACGCACACTAACCTCCTTATCAGAATCCGTCATCTTCTTCCACGTAGCACCCAACAAACTCCCAGCCTCCGACACAGGCAACCCTTCCAACGACTTTCCCAACACTCTAGTCTGTGCATCAGAACCACTAGCCCACACCTCCTTGAAGAAGCATCCATATGCCGAGAGAGGATGAGCGGGAGCATTTGGATCTTTAAATTTACGAGGTGGAGATCTCTTTGCTGGATTCAATGACTTCAAGAGACGGGTACGGTATTGTTCCACGACTAGATCGAGTGGTGATCGATTTGCGAGGTATTTTGATAGGTTGTTGTCGTATATTTTTCGTAGTTCTGATGCTTTGGCCGAGTATTTCTAGTGTTGAGATGGGATGACAGGAAAACAGGTATGTGAGTGCATGTCACAGAAATCGAGTAGAAGACGAGCGCCAAGATACAGGATCCTCGCTTCAACAATCGTAATTCCTTCTGAAGCAACCAAAAAAATCAGCCTGACCAACCTCTTTTTCAGATTCATCCGTCTCCTTCCATTTCTTGCCAATAGCGTTAGCAATCTGTACAAATGTCGGCTTGGATTCCCCAGAAGTCAAGTCATCCATAATCTGTTTACGGACTTCCTGAGCAAAGAGGATATAGGCTGTAGGAGGTCGTTCAGGTACACTGGATTTTGGCAGTGCCTTGAGCTGAACTCGAGCTACTTTGGCTTTACGAACAGCAGCTATTTAGAAAATTGAAAGTTAATGCATTGTTCATTTCTTATCGATTTAATGTTGTTGCCGTCTTGATTCGTAACAAATGAACACGTATTGAATTTTTGTTGTGATGTGGTTTGATGTACCAGACACATACCTTTCTGATGATCCTTGTCAGTGTGATCTCCACCAGCTTCATCCTTTGGCGTAGTAGTAGTTGCCATATATCTGTATTCGAGACTCCTTCCATGGCTCACGTTCTTGTAATTGCTGTGGTTGCCAACACTGACTGTTGATGATCGTGTCAATACATTTGATGACTGGGACCACCATGGAGCAGCTTGCACAGCCCGACCTGCTACTAGGCGAGACACAATCATGATCACAATCAGATCTGTGTCTGAGAATGCGTCTTTTGCTGTGTGGGGTTTTGATGCAAAGCGAATCAAGTGGGAAAGTCAAGATACGGTTCTTTCTACCAGCAAAGACAAGCTGGTAAACGTGTATTTCGAGTATAAGAGCGCGTACAAAATCTCAAAACGGCGAGAAACACGGTCGAAAAGACGCAAGGCGAAGCAGAAAACAACAAAGTCCAAACATCTGACGAAAACATCGCACAAGTATGTTAGTGTATCTCTCAACTTTATTACATTTATAAATTTTGTCATGGTCTAACAAATATACCATCATAAACCCAAAAAAATCCCCTCCTCGCAACCAACACCGTCCAGCCTCTCCCATACTATCTTGCCTCCTCCATACTACCTTGCCACGACCATCAGCACGCCATTTACCACCTGATCTTCAGTAGGATGGAGGTGTTCGGGGAGGCCATTCGTGGAGGTTGTGGCTGTGGCTGGAGTTGCACTGGTGTTTGATGTCGTTGATGCTCGCTCATGTAGATTGTCCTGACTAGCTAGCGAAATCTGAGGTTGGATAGACAAAGCTTGTTAGACGAAGAATCATCGATTTCCTGTCACCACAAACACATACCCTGTTTGCAAACAAGACAGCATCAACAACCTTCCTAAATCGAGATTTAGCATTCATCAACTTGGGTGCCAGATTAGTTCCATTCTCGGGTGAGTGTTCTCCTGCTGGCAATACAGTATTCACTGGTACATCCAGTTCCGTGACTGCACTATCAGGCGCAACGATGCCATTCCTGCCAATCATGGGCGGTAGAGATGCCAACCAGGGATGTTCTAGTGCTTGTCTGGCAGTCAATCGACCATGTGGATCAACTACAAACAGTTTTCTTATAAAGTCTTTGGCGTCCTCAGACACGTCTGCCCAATATTCGGTGGGTGTAAAGGAGAAATTGTTGGATAGGATTTTTGCCACTTCTTCGTGGTGTGATGGGGCATCAAATGGTGTATATCCGCATAACTGGAGGGTTGAAGACGAGGATTGTGTTAGATAATCTGAGCACCGTATCTCCGACACGTGAGCACTGGATGTGGCGGACTAACCAAGAAGTAGGTCAAGACACCTATACTCCACAGATCTACTGGTCTACCATGACCACTCTTCCTGATAACCTCTACACAAACCGCATGGTGTCAGATGACAATACTCTGCCAACTCTTACACCATCATGTACCTGGCGCCATGTATCCAGGAGTACCACACATGGTCTTGAGAGCTTCAAAGTTACTCTCTCCCATAATCTTTGATAGCCCGAAATCAGCCAAAACCAATTCATCCGAGTCCTTTGATCTGAATAATAGATTCTCTGCCTTTATATCCCGATGCACAATGTTGTGCTCGTGCAGATACGCGACCGCATCAGTTACAGTCCGAACCACTTGAGCAGCGTTTTGCTCATAGAAGCATCCCTAGATGAATAGTGAGAACGAGTAAATGGAGAAGGAAGCGAATTGGAAGCCTACCAATTCACATATCCTGTCAAAGAGTTCACCTCCGGTACACAAATCCATCACCAGATATACTATAGAAACAAGGAGTCAGAAACAAGCTGTTTGTGTTTGAATACGAATGGTACTTGCAATTATTGGGTGTTTCGAAATCTACAAAGGTATGATAGGGTTAGCAAAGCCGATGATATGTGCCAACAACACTCCTTGTCTTACAGTCCCATAATGTGACAATGTTGTGATGCCCTTTCGACACCTTTTTCAGAATGTCAATTTCGTTCAAGATCATATATTCCTTGCCCTGCATGAGCTTCTTTGATATGATCTTGCAAGCATACTTTTGGCCGTCCTTGATATGAGTCGCTTCCTTAACAGTAGCATATGAGCCTTGACCAAGAGTCTTTCCAGTCTAATACACGAGTAAAAACAGGGGGGTTTAGTCTCCAAAACGTCAAAACGGTTTGAGATTCCACCAATAACAACATCAGGCGATTTCAAATTCCAACAAGAGGCGAAAGAAGGCACAAATATCATGGTATTGAGTAAGATTGAGTCAACTTACTCGATACTCGCAAGGAGAGAGCGAGGCAGCAGGTGGTTGTGGTTGTGTTGGCATGTTCTATACTTTATTTGCTCGGATTCGGATGGCGGTGTTGATGCGAAAGCAGAGAAAGAGAGACCTAACAGGGAGGCCTTTAATCTACAGTGAAAATGTGCCGGCTGGCGTATCTCTCCTCCTTCTCGCCCTGTTGCGAATGTGTGTTGGCGTTGTGCGTAAATACTTGGGACGAGGAAGCACTGCCTGAATAGTAGAACTGGACGTGATTTCTTTCGAGTCCATCCTATTTTACTCGTTGTTAGATATCTTGACCGTGTCAGTTCTATTAAGGCTCTTCAGGCGACACGTCAGGGAAGAAACACGTCACCAATCGACCTTCTTGTCCTTTTCCTCAACTAGACAGCCCTTCGATAGGCAACCTAGGGGACGAGATCGTATCTTGGTGCTACAGCTGAACAATGGCGTCTTACTTTGGTGAGTTCGCATTGTGTTTTTGCGTCATGCGAGTACATTTGGAGCTCAAATTTACAATCATTAACGTTTCCTGCTGTTTAAACCTGAATCAACCGCCAATGTGCTTGCAATCTTGCTGTAGCTCGCTAGTCATCTGCAATCCACTAACACTCTCCTTCTCTCTTTTTCTGTAGATGATCATTCCATCGAAGACCCAACCAAGAAACGACAGAATCCTACTTCGTCATCAGCGCTCAATCCAGATGTATCCGACTTTATGGACCACACCAATGAAGGATCTTCTTCATCTCCTTCTTCAGCTTCCAGATCAAATCAAGATCAACTAAGCAACATTCAAGACCTCTCTAGAATGTTTGCTGGCTTACGGGACCGCGGTATAAACGAACTTATGATGGGAGATCTGCTACGAGATCTACAAGTAGACATGATGAACGGCGTTGGATCTGGTAACAAGAAACCACCTGCAAGCAAATTTTGGGTAAAAATGTTGCCGACCGTCAAAGTTGCTGCTGGTACTACTTGTGCTATATGTGTGGATACGTTTGAAAAGTCAGCGGTCGAGTTGCCGTGTAAACATCTTTTTCACCGTGATTGTGTTAATCCCTGGCTTGCTATTGTAAGTGATCTGCAAAGGTGTTGCCTTTGTGGACGATGTTCATGTTCAGGGTCTGATCTACTTCACTTGTATATTAGCATAATACGTGTCCTATGTGCCGCCGAGAGTGAGTTATGTGGGCAATTTCTTACCAATGAATCACCTTCTAACTTTTATTCGTTTTAGGTACCCTGTAAGTCGAGTACTGTAGCCAGTGTCTTCTTCTCCTATTTGTCTGTTGTTCTAACTCTCATTCCTGTTCCAATTTCAGACTGATGATAAGGTATATGAAAAGGAGCGTAAGGAGCGTGAGAAGGCTGCTGGACACGTGGAAGAGGAAGAAGAAGAGTGGGATCCATTATACGGATAGCGCAATATATATAGAGCAATAATTAAGCAAGTCTTTTGTTATATGCACAGTATTAAAGAAATAACAACCTCATACTATGTTACAAGTCTAAGGTCAATCGCTGCCTCAACAATCCTTCAATGTTTCGACCTTCATAGTCCTCCATAGCAGACATGGCTCCAACTTCATTAATGAGAAACCTGATCATTGCAATATGTCCTTCTACAGCAGCTACCAGTAGTGGAGTATGGCCACGCAAGTCTCGAATCTCGATTATAGCACCCAAGTTGATCAAAAACCTGTAATTGAGTGGTGGAATTGAAGGCTGTTGGTAATGAAACAATAACGGGGACTTTCAACAATACTGACTTTGCAGTTTCGATTCTCCCAGTAGCAGCAGCCCAATGCAATGCCGTTCGTCCATACACACGGTCAGTCAACGAGATGGCAGCCATACAAATAGACAAGGAGTTTGGACCCTTTCTGTCAGCATCAGATTCCTTCCTTTCACCATTATTTCCACCACCATCATCAGACTCTCCATTACCCAACACCTCACTACTAGGCGCGGCCTCATTATTCACGGGATGCATCAGCAAACCCGTGATAACCGATAGTGGTAGACCGAATTCACATGCTCGATGTAATGGTGTGCTGCCGATTGAATCTCGTTGCAAGATGGAGCTTCCGTTTGTGATGAGGATGTTGATTAGTTGAGTTGCGAGGTGTGGTGGGTGGTAGAGACAGCATGATATTGCAATGTGCAGTAGAGAGTCCCATTCTGAAGGATATGTGTCTTGATTGTGGTGTTGTAGTAATAGAGTAAGGATGGCGACATGGCCATTCGCGATTGTGAGTCGTAGAGGGTCGAAATGAGGTATTGATGTATCTATGGGGAAAATTTAATACTTCAATTCGATTGCGAGGATAACATTGAAAAACAAACGACACAAGTTTTCACCATCGATAGTGTATGAAACAGCACCGAGCAATACCCGAACAACCTCTTCATAACCACGGTGACAAGCGATAATAAATGGAGTACGTCCCTTCCCATCCTTCGAATTCAACGCCTTACTCAACACATCTTCTACCAATTCGGCACCTTCAAACCGAGATATTATAGCACATATAGAAGATACAGATCCCATCCAAGCAGCATAATGAGCCATAGTCCATCCACGTTCTGAATCATGCAAGACTGCTATATTGCTTCCAAGAGCGTTCATAGCGCTGGCTACGAGACGAGAATACTCATCGTTGCCATTCGAGTCGTCGAGTGTGTCCAAGTTCAAGTATTGCATTTGTAAGTCGTCAGTGCAGTACATGGATAATCCCGACATGGATAGTGAGCTTGGGATGTTGCCTATTGGTGTAGCGTTTACTGACGACGATGGTGGAGTCAATAGTGAAGCTTGAGCATCATTGATTAAGGAGCCTACTGTTCCTTGGGAACTATGATTACGACGATATTCTTCCATTTTGGTACTCTGTTTAGGTTTAGTGATTTGAGAGACTCGATGAGTTCGACGTAAACTAGGGTAGGAAGCCACTGCTGCATAGTTCAAAGACGTTGTGGTACTACGAGTATCGATGTGTAGTGCATAACCGTTGGGCTGGGCAACTACTTGGTGTTGTGGTGGTGGGTGATTCGCAGACTCCAAAAAAGCAAATTCGTTCAGATAACTCTGATCTGCATCACCAACACCTTGATTTACGGGTTCGTGTAACCAAGACATATCGGGATGCACATTCTCATTATATTGCTCCTGATAGTCGTCCAACGTGGGGCCTGCAGCATCAGTACTAATACTGGTATTATGAGTTGGTGACGTGTCATCTGCAGATGGTAGAGACCCAAAGAGAAAAGCAACTGCTTCTATTGTCGCTGAGTCTATGGGACGATCGGCCATGTTTGCTCAACGTATTCGAGAACGATGGGAGCGAGAAGATACGGATGCGATAAAGTCTCGGTGATGATCATCCACCAAGTATTGACCCGATTGGAAAGAGTCAAGTTCTCGAGGAAGAATTTGCAGTTCAGTGGTCCATAAGTGAATAGCTTACGCACGACAAGAGTCAGACTTGACTGTGGGAAGATGGTGTTCAAATCAATCCCAAGGGCGTTTTGAATGTTGGCGTGTAGACCACACAGGAGCACAGGGAGTACAGGCAACGGAAGAATACACTTATAAAATAATAGTTATCTTGCGTAAAGGGTGAGGTTCAATCTGAATTTGGCTCAAAACGCACACTCCTCCAAACACCAAAACCTTAAGTGAACATACCTCTGCGCTTCTGCGGCAAAAAAGCTCAGTCTGTAATACGTACCATGATATGTAGACTGTAGCAGCTTTATAGGACATCCATAACTAGCAGATACCTCTCTTCTACCTTTGGATCCATTTGCTCTTGTAACTTAATACAACATTATGGATGGACTTGAACGAGGCTCTCCCGAGCAAAAGTCAGTAAATGCAGAGAATATGGAGGGCCTTGATTATAGTCTACACGGCCATCGTCTATTGATTGGATCCCTCTTCCTGCCATATACCTTGGAAGAGGAGACATTAAGTTCTCCCACAAACAATACGGAAGCTTCATCACCACGATCATCACAATCAGCACTATCATATCCTGATACATCTCCTCATATTCCTCATATAACTACTCGTCGAAACACCAGAACGTCTACCTCACCTGCAACAAAACCATCAAAAGATCATCCCGATGCACCATCGCAATTCACGGTCTTCCCCTCGCCATTAGGAAACATTGGCTTGCAGAACGCTGTCAAGAGTGTCTCGGATCAGTTATTAGGAACTGTATATTGGATTGGCTTGACGGGCTGTCAGTCTGATACTTGGAGCGATCAAAAACGCGAAGTTGCTAGTGCAAAGCTTTACGAATACGACTGCCTTCCTGTTTTTGCAGGTATGCTGTCGTTGAGTAGATTCAGGACAAAACGCCGGTACACATCAACTACTTCTACTTTTAATAGGTGACGATGAGACGGAGGGGCATTATCATCAGTTTTGTAAACAGGTAAACATCCACGCTACGAATGTCTTCCTTTTTCTGGCGTAGTCAGTTACGTGTCCCGTTCACTTCTTTCAACCTATCAAAATTACAGGTGCTTTGGAAGCCATTTCATTATCAGCTACCAGAATATCCAAAGGCACAATCGTATGAAGTCAGAGCGTGGAAGCACTATGTTACTGTAAACGAGAAATTCGCTGAACGAATCGCTGAAATATGTCGAGAAGGAGACACAGGTAACACCGTCAGGCAGGTCCCTTTTTTCTCGGAGCTGTACTGATCGCGTATCTACCATCATTTGACCAGTGTGGATTAACGATTACCATCTGATGCTGGTGCCATCCATGCTTCGCAAACGATTGCCCACCGCTCGCATCGGATTCTTTCTACATATCCCATTCCCAAGTTCTGAGATCTTCAGATGTCTACATGTTAGAAAGGAGATCCTGGAAGGCTTACTAGGCGCTGGTAAAGATCAAGCTCAGATTATAAAGTTTAATGAGTTACTTTGCTTAGCTTTGTTCGCCTCGATTTAGACCTAGTTGGCTTCCAAACATATTCCTTCATGAGACACTTTCTCATGACAGCTACTCGAATACTGGGTGTTGAATCGACCCCTAGAGGCATCCTTCTGGACAAGTCCAATGTCACTGTTGGTATATTTCCAATCGGTATGTTGAGTCATTTGAGGCTGGATATCTTCAAATGTTTAGCGGTACTGAGTGTATTCGATTTAATGCGCAGGGATTGATTTGGTTACCCTCAATGAGAAGAGAGCCAATCCAGAAGTGTTTGAAAACACGGCTACGCTTGCTCAAAAATATGCCGGAATGAAAGTCTTGATTGGTCGTGACAAGAACGATTATGTAAAGGGTGTTCGGCAAAAGCTATTAGCTTACGAACGCTTCTTGCAACTACATCCTCAATGGATTGGCAAGGTACGGTCTCTGCACATGCCGTATTTTCCGTGCACCTATTTTTGGTTGTTGCTCACGTACGTCTTGATTAGGTTATCCTCATCCAAGTGGCTCTGCCAACAACGCAAGCCAATGAAACCGAAGCGCAAGTACAAGATGTTGTTGCTCGAATCAACTCCAAACATGGATCTATCGAATATATTCCAGTAGTGTACTTCCAACAGGACATATCATTCAGCCAGTACTTGGCTCTATTGACTGTAGCTGATGCATGTCTCGTCACCTCATTACGCGATGGAATGAATTTGACTTCCCATGAATACAGTATGTCTTTGTATCAGCTTGGATTTCTTCTAGACTATGCTCAAGTCACTTCTCTCCTTGTATAGTCGCCTGTCAATCCAAAAAGAAGTCTCCTCTCATAATATCAGAATTCGCTGGTACTTATGGATCCTTTGGTGCTGCCATACGTGTAAATCCATGGAATGTGACCGAGGTGGCAGAAGCAATACACGAAGCTCTGATAATGCCAGTAGAAGAAAAGTCCACCAGATGGAAGGAGTTATATGACCACGTCAGAGCCAATTCCGCCCAGAACTATGTCACAACGTTTTTAGGACAATTAGGTCGAGTCCACGAAGAAATGCTACGCACGCTCGGTGGCTCGATACCAAAGTTGCCTACTGATGTTGTGTTGGCAGAGTTGAGATTGGCTAGAAAGAGAATGTTTGTGAGTACAACATAGTTTTTCGCAATCGTGACTTTTTTTGGCGTTCAACAAGCTCACAAAGGTTCGGGAACCTAGTTCTTGGACCATGATGGAACTATAGTTCGCTCTGGAGGCTCCATCAATGACTACATACCTCCGAATCGCCTCAATGATCTTCTTCATGAGTTGACAGCAGATCCCAAAAATATTGTATATATCATGTCTGGTAGGACGAAGGACGCTCTATCAGAGTTTATGCATATACCGCATCTGGGGTTGAGGTATTACCTGGAGTTTGTAATCAAAAAGTGCTTGATCTGATTTCTTTGCCTGTTTTTAGCGCGGAGAATGGTTGCTTTGTAAAGTGGGCAGACAAGACGACTTGGGAGAATATGTTGCCGGATATCAACATTGAGTGGAAAGCAAGTGTTTTGGAGATCTTTGAGTACTATACAGAGTACGTATGCCATTTTGCGGCATTTGGTCTTATCTTCAAAAAGCTCATGTTTCAACATTTTTAGTCGAACGCCAGGAAGTACTATCGAGCAAAGGGAAGCTTCAATAAGTACGTACGCCAATTCAGGCTCAAAATGTGCATGTTTTGAAACTTCTGTCTTTAGTTTGGAACTTCTCCTTCGCAGATCCAAGTTTCGGGGCCTGGCAGGCGTCCGAATGTCAAAATCATATCGAGTCGTCTCTCTCACCAGTGTATCCCATCCACTGTTTGTTGAAACGAAAATCATTGGAAGTCGTTCCTAGATCGACTAACAAGGGCATAGTCGTAAAACGAGCCCTTGAGCATCACCAACATAGTGCCTCGACTGTTCGAAAGCTACATACTTTCCCTAACCCGTCACCAACGTCGAAACCACAGGATTCACAATCTCGAAGTCGAATCAGCGCCATGTGGCTAGATTCTGACCAGCAACAACGAGAAGAGGCACGTGGGGTTGCCGAGCCTGTAGAAACTCCGTTGTTGTCAACGTCGCCTTCACTACCAGCAATAGATCTGATACGTGGTCGACGTGATGGATCCGAGCACAGTTATACCCATAGTCACAGCACCAGCAGCAACACAAGCTCTACACGAGAGCATCATAATAATAGCAAGCATAAACATCATGTGTACCATCCCACTCAACATCAGAAACCTCAGGTAGCCTTTCCACAACCGTCCCATACTGTACCCGTCGATTTCGTGTTTGCCATAGGAGACGATAGAGCAGACGAGTACATGTTTGAGTACTTGCATGAGCTCGAACGTGAATCGTCGTCAGCGTCAACCACTACAGGAAATGCAACGCCACAATCTGAACCAGTCGACCAAACCGATATAAATAATAGTCTAGTCATGACGCCATTGCAATCACCTATATTGCAACCCACTATTCCACGATCACCGATACTAGCTCCCATACCACGATCACCACATGTAGCTGCTGGTGACGAACACTTGCCTACTACACCATCCAACGTGCATCGTAAAGGAGTACCTCATAGCGTATTGACTGTTACTGTGGGTAGTAAATCATCTAATGCTAAATGGTTTCTGCCAAATTCCCTGGATGTAGTTGCCCTGCTTGACACTATTTGTGAAGCTGTCAAGAGTGAGAAGCATGGAGCTAGTGCTGCATTGTTCAAGTCTAGGCTCAGTAGTGATGCAGAAGGTTGGGTTGATGAAGACGGAACGCCGTCATCTGCTAGTAGTAGTTCTTCTGGTGGAAAAGGATTGGGGGTTGTAAATGTCTGAAACAAGAAGAAACACAACACACATCTGGGTTTACATAGTGTAGAGAAGAACAGAAGTAACATGTGCTTTTATAAAATTATACGAGTAAACAAAAGAAGTCATCTAAAGTAATACACAAGACATTTGCTAGACCCTCCTATATTGCTGTTGTTGTGACCTCTACGTGTGCAACATCTACGTGATCTGAGATCAGGATGGTATTGTTGATATTCAGTCAGGTAATCGCGTGAATCTTTACTATTCTCGTATTGCTCTTTGGATCCTATACCTTAGAAACTTAAAACATTTTGAAAACACTTATAATATAGACTATGACAGATTGCATTTGGTAGAAACCACTATTGCTATTGTTGCTGTTGATTTGGTCAACTACTGAGGTGATATGCGACATGATGTTGTTATTGTACTATGTTGCTTCGTTGTCGTTAGATTCAGAAGCGGCACCAGAGAGTTCTTGTGGGAAGACTATTACGTGTGTTAAGGGGAAAAAGCCAGATTCAGCACGAGGAGACCATTCTGTCTGAGTCTCGTTTGCAGCTAGTAGCTTTGTGCCAAACGCCCACCTAACAAGTAATACGGTTATCAATCTGAAGAAAAGCAGGAACAGGTAACTGACGCACATATCAGGGAACCAAGACATGGGCACTATCACATCCCCAACAACCAGATTAAGCTCATCCGGTCTCCTGGCCTGATAATTTTTAAACACAATGTACCGCGGAACATCCTGCGGTGCTTCAGTCGTTGGACTCGTAGCAGTTACATCACTCACTGCACTACCCTGACTCCTTTGCGTCATTCCCATCCTCTGCCCCTCTGTTATCGCACCACTAGCACCCAGCAACTGTGCAAGCTGGCTACTACTCATGTCCTTTTCTATCGGCGTTGGAGACCGTTCACCAAGATCGTATCGTGGTGGCTGCAACTGGTTGCTGTACATGTTATGCGCCATTAGTGCGGATGGTGAATGTTGCAGTAGAGAAGCTTCTCTGCTCGTCGGTATGGTTTCTATCGCTTCGTATTCGTCGTTCTCTGGTGTTGGTGAGCGGGGTGGTATTCCGAATACTCCTCGTTCTGAATATGGTATTTCAGATAAGTTTGTTGCAGATGCGGATGGTGTGGAAGTAGGCCTGGTTCGTTGTGTGAATCTTTTGGAGATTGAGGCCGACCAGTTTTTGGGCATGCTTGCGACTTGTGATAATCTGCGACTGGCGACAAAAAAAGAATCAGCAATTGAGGAGGTTAATTGACAAATTGAGAAGAATGATTCAAAATTTTCAAGACAATTGAATACCTCATATCCGGATACCTATTCTCACTCTTCCCCTCGTTGGCCAGTCTCGACTCGTGAATATACAGGTACAGTCCAGCCAGAAACAGTGTGAGGACAATCAATACAGCCAAAACGATTCCAGCGATAGCTCCACCTGATAGTGGTGGCGATGCGGTAGACTCTGGTGGAAGACAGGCAGCACAGGTTGAATTTATACTACAGGAGGTGGTTCCGCTGCAGCACTGGAATGCCGTCGAGTCGATACACTGTCCGCTACAACATGTTTGGCCTGATGTGCACGCTAGTGATGAGTTTGCGGCTATGTTCCATGATAAAGAGGATAGTTAACAGGTTGATATCTGGTTTTTGTGTTTCGAATCACAGGATCTTGCCACAAACTTACAACAGCATGATCCTCCAGGTGGCACACATATACTTCCACACGTGGCAGATCCATAGTCACCACATGTCCCCGTAGTGCATCCCGTCGTCGTGCAGGTTTGGCCAATAAGACACGTATGATCACCACAGCACACTAGATTCGAGTCTATACATCGTGGCGGAGCACCACACCATCGGGAATTGGCTCCACATGATGGAGTTCCCGTCGATGCGACACAACTATATCCTAATGAAGCTGTATTGTCTACAGCGCATTGACCACCTTGGTAGCAAAATACTTGGCCGCTGGTATTATGGTACAGGCCTAAAACGATGGTGTAGATACATTTAGATCATGGTGTAGATACGTTTAGATCTCGGGTTTATACGACAAAGACAGAGCGATGGAGATCAAAACAAATTGTTCTAGATCTTCAAACAGCACTTCCGTGCGGCAGATATCCAGAGATGATCAGATCGTGGAATGTTGTTGATAACAAGTGCTCACCACAACAGTTGGCTGTGGAATTCATGCAGCCTTGGCCGCATGGAACGGATGTTGTCGGGCACAAGTAATAAGGATTGATACATGTGTTTTGAAGAGGCCCGCACAGTTTAGTTGCATCTATATATCCACAAAGGGGAAAAGGAGTGTGAGGTTTTGATGTTACAAAAAGGAGGCCAGTTCTTAGAGGTAGCACGACTTGATAAATGACAAGGACCGATCTCTTGATTGAGATCAGTAAACCTCCAAAAGAATTTACCACAAGTCCAACCAGCTAACAGAATGTATGGGGTATGTTAGTTCTTGCCAACTTTAACAAGCAAGAAGGAGAGCAATTAGACATACCACACTGGGTGAGTCCCGACACTACATGTACAAGACTGGTGACTGTCAGGACAATTGTCACTATCCTATTCATTTTCCACACTATGGAGCCCTTCTTCTTACAGACTTGGTTGGGTGACAAAAACGTTAACGTTGAATCTTACCTAGTCCCCGAAATGACCAGTTGCAGGTGTTCAAAGGACACCATCGCCATCTAATGCTCGAAATAATTGAATGTGCGGACTGTCTCTTTGAACGCACGCTGCTCCTGGAGGCAGTGCCGACTTGCCAACATCACAATCAATAAATAAAGTATGAATAGACGAGTCTGGCATCATCAAACATACAAGAAAGCATCAAGAAATCGAACTCTGTGTACGATTTGACCGTAATTATCACGGCGGTGCAATGATCGATAAGGAACTGCTCTGCATCGCTCATGAAACTCTTTATAGCCTTTGTGAACCTAACGTTGTCAAGCCGTGCTCAAAAGCTTGTGAAGAATTGAGTTTACTAGCCATTGAATGTAACGGTCTCAAGCTGGGCTAAAAGTGTGATACTTTGAGTATCCAAAACCGCTGACAAGGAGTGGACTACACGATGGATGCTTAATCCTGCCTGAATTCAATACTTGTCAGGCTTGCACCTCGTCAAAATACGAGGACTCAACCTGAAACATGGCAAGCTTTGGTGCCAAATTATCGAACTTTCGTCACCTACGTGCTATACCACTTTGCTCACTATGCAACCCTAGCCTTGTGTTCCCAAGAATTCGAAACAACCTACCACGGATTGATATCACAGCTGGATTGACATAGTATTTCGTCAGGATCGGTGGTTTAACTTTGCTGAATCGCTAAAGTGATGAATGCATAGACTAATGGTGTAGTAAGCAGAGCGGTAGTGGGTCCTCTTTGAGGGATGATGATGTACAGGAACCGACTACACCTCACGCTGTGGCGGTATCATAGAAGCACATTTGTCACTCAAATTTGAGATATGGTGACCTTATAAACACCAACACAGCATCAATCATCGGAATTGGTTTCAAATACAAACTGGCCCAACAATAATAATCTAACCGTTTAACTCGCAAGTAAAAGTTTGTATTGTGTTTTATTTCTTAAGACTGCAGTTTCTTTACCTGGTTTTGTTCTACAAAATTGAGAGTTTCCAAAAAGTCATTTTAAATCTATACATACTTCTGTATGCCCAATATGCAACCAGATCGCCAATGGGGTTAACATTTTGCCTGGTCTAGCCGTCAGAAATTCCCTTTGAACGTTTGTTCTCGAACCCAAACACAGTTCAACCATTATATCCAACCTCTTTCATATTCCTTCTTGTTTTTACAAATTATTTTACAACGATGTTTCTATACACAATTTCCTATTTTCAATCTCAAGGCGCAACATCTTTCCACAAACCATCCTTATAACACACTCACCAGCTATACAGGTATACACCAATTGAATGGCCCATGCTTCTAAATACGATATGCTGGATGAAAACGAGTGCTGAAGCCAAACACCACCATGTGGGCCAATAACTTTTACGAGGTTGAGCTTTGCATTCGTGCATCAAGTCGAAAACATTCTCAATACTGATGCAAAGCGCCTTCGCAGTCTTGTTGGTGGGCCCTTGTGTGTGGAATTTACTGTCTGAATAGGCCACCAGCAACATTATTCCTGCAAAGTTCCAAGCGCTCACACGAGTCTCGTCCTCGAACTCTGATAGCTGATTATATACCCAGGCCACGTATATAAACTTGTGAAGCCTTTCGGTTGACAAGTGCTTTACGAGTATGCGAGCAATGATTGAGATGATGAGGGTTTGTTCCAATGCCATACATGTCGAGTATGTCATTGTGTATCCCAACACCTCGGTGAATCGATAAAAGGCACTAGCAACCTCGATCACACAATTCACATCGCTGTTTGATGGTGGTGTGGTGACGGTGTGGAGAGCCTCATGAATGATTTCTTTCATGCTCCTGTGGATTATGTTTGGTTGAGCGACTCTACGTCGAATTTCATCTGCGAGTTCTCTATTGCCATTCAATCTGACATGGAGATGATGAGATTCAGATGAGTTCCGTTCCAGTGTGGTTGATGATGCAGCGATAACGAGTTGGTATCTGGCAGTAAACACCAACACGAGAGCTTTGGCAGGGATGCATACCGAAATATGTTTCCTGTCTCTGTGCCATTGTCAAAGATGTGCTTCGCCATCTTGACTAGCGCGACTGGAACTGATAGAATATGTCCACTGATGCCCACGTCTCGTTTGGGGAAATGTGTAATGATCTGCCAGAATGGAGGTGAAATGGAAAGTAAGCTTGATGCGACCAATATTCAGAGTAATGAAAAATTGAAATGAATCAATTTGAGGTAATGAGCAGAGGCTTGCCCGTCCAATCTCATCCTTGATTCTTGGAATATTGTCCAGACCAAGTGAATTCCAGCACCAGGTCAAGCTATTGCACGCCATAACTGCGTCTCGACATATACAATATCAAAGTATCCTATGCACGTTAAAGGAAAGAAGCAAGTTAACGCTACTCAACGTTAACCTCGAATGCTATTTTAACAAAGGTCGGTATGAAGAGCTCAATGCGGTCCGGCTGATGGTTTCCCTTATAGAAATAATTATAGATATCCAAATTTCGCGTCAGATCACTTATAAAAATATTTAAATATCCAAATCTGACCTAGTCCCCTCTTGTGACTAAGCTGTATGGAATGTAGCGACTTGAGAGCACAGGAAGCAACTTTTACGTGATTTGCGCAAGATTTAAGATTTAATCATATGACGCGTCGACGTAGGCTCCAAAGTGCTCGATCAGCTCTCAGACAACTCTTTGTCCAAACATTGCATTTCGCTGTTTATGAGCTACGGGCTTCTAGGGCATCGTCGCATAGTAATCAGTCTATTATTGCGTATCTCCAACAAGTAAGGATCTGTTCCCTTTTCTTCAGGCATCACTATGTTTAATCAGTCTCTAAGCTCAAATAAAAAAATCGGTATGAATTTCGTTTGAGTCAATCGTACTAAGAAATTCCTAAATATAGATTCAATCCTTGCATCAAAGTACATCAATCTATACGCACCATGATTGATATCAATCTGTTACGAGTCGACAAGGGAGGAAATCCGGACTTGGTTCGAGAATCTCAGCGAAAACGAGGAGGCCGTGTCGAACTCGTCGATGAAGTCATTGCTCTGGACGATGAGTGGAAGAAAGGTAAATATCTATTAGGAAATACACATCCTACTACTCTGGGACGTGCTGTTGGCTGTTTCAACAATCACTGACAATGTTAAAACACACATGCATCGATAGCTCGATTCCAGGCTGATCAGAAAAACAAGGAAATCAACGCAATCAACAAGGAAATCTCGGCATTATACAAACAAGGCAAAAAAGACGATGCTGCTACACTCATCGCAAAAAAGACGGACACGGAAGCTCAACAAATCCAACTGACGAAACTCTCTGATGAAAAGGAAGTCATCTTGAACAAGAAACTCACTCTTATTGGAAATATTGTGCATGACAGCTGTGTAGATTCATTGACTGAGGACGATAATGCTGTAATAAAGAAGTGGTGGCCTGATGGTCGAACTGAAGATGCTGAAAGGCAACGACATAAAGAGCTAGTCAAGGAAGATAAAGGTGTACCCGGTTTATTGCCACATCACGAAGTGCTGGCTGGTATTGAAGGATATGATGCTGCTAGAGGTATGATGTGCTGGTGGTCAGAAAACGCATATTCGCATCGTGCCAATATTCTGTCGTGTTTTTCTTCGCTCACAAATCAAATCTCTCTGTCAGGTGCCAATATTGCTGGTCATCGAGGCTACTTTCTAACAGGTCCAGGTGTCGACTTTAACTTGGCACTGATGCAATATGGTCTGGACTTTTTGGAAGAAAGAGGATATACAAAGCTATGGACTCCCTTCTTCATGAAGAGAGAAACTATGGCCAAGACTGCGCAGTTAGAGCAATTCGATGAAGAATTATATAAAGTCGTGGAACGAGAACCTGGAAGTATGTATCCTTTCAGGATTCTTCAACTAGACCCATGTGATTTTTTTGCTGTATGCCGCTGATGGAATCAATTCAAACCTTCATAAATTCTCATAGCCAGTGAAAGCAAGGAAGACAAGGAAGCGGAGGAGCCCAAATATTTGATTGCCACTTCTGAACAACCCATCAGTGGCTTCCATGCTGGTGAATGGTTTTCAGAGAGCGATGACTTGCCAAGAAAGTGAGTATTCTTGCCTTCTGTAATATCGCCTCTGGATAAAGGTGTCGTCTCACACATTCTTTTGTTTCTTTGAAAATTTTCTGTTTAAAAAAACAGATACGCAGGTGTCTCGACCTGTTTCAGAAAAGAGGCTGGTTCAGCTGGTCGTGACAATTGGGGAATCTTTAGAGTTCACCAATTTGAAAAGATTGAACAATTTGTATTGACTGATCCAGAAAAGTCATGGGAAATGCATGAAGAAATGTTGGAAGCAGCTGAACTATTCTACCAAAGTGTATGTGCAAGTTCCGATGTCATGATTTTTGTTCGTTGTGCTTAAGTACGTTGTATTGACAACCCCTTGTCACTCCCCATAGCTTGGAATTCCATATCATGTGATTTCAATCGTATCTGGAGCACTCAACAATGCTGCTGCCAAAAAGTATGATTTGGAAGCATGGTTCCCCTTCCAAACTACATACAAGGAGCTAGTGTCATGCTCCAATTGTACAGATTACCAATCTAGGAGGTTGGAAATTCGATATGGTGCCAAGAAGGTCAGTAGAGCAAAACATTTGTGCCTTCAACTACATATCAAGGATTGAGACTCATCGCATTTCGCTGCACATCTCATGCAAGTGATAACCTTGACTTTTCCATACTAAAGATGCTCTTTTTCTTGCTCTAGTTGAATGATACTGTCAAGAAGTATGTCCATTGTCTGAATTGTACACTTACGGCCACGGAACGTACGATATGCTGTATTTTAGAGAATTATCAGACTGAAACCGGAGTCGTTGTCCCTGAAGTCCTTCGACCGTACATGAGAGGCAAGTCCTTCTTCCCATACAAGAAAATACCTGGTGCTAGTGCTGGTAAAGAGGCTGGTGGTCATCTCAAGAAGGCAAGAGCAGAGGAAGCGATGCGAGACACCTTTTGGTATTCCATAACTCATTGAGGCTTTTTTTGCAGGGCAAGAGCAAACCATAGAGTATTGGTGTTGTGATTTGTTTACAAACGAAAATATAGATTTCGTGTCACTACTTTCTGGTCTGCGTGTCACTTAAGAAGTTCATAGGACGACATGGTCCGAGAGAAGTGTGAAAAATTGAGCAGCTCAAAGAGGGTAGTGGGAGCATCCTTCTGGATGAACGCAAGATTTTTTTGCCCGAAGCATTTCAAAAGCTGCCTCAAGGTGAAACACACGACGAGGATGGACGGGTGTTGCGGGTGCTCTTGCATCGCCGCCAAAGGTTCTGTTTGACCTTTGGATTGTCACCAATCTCAGGCAATTTGTAGGTTTGCAAGAACAGGTTTCACCACCAAACTCATCTGTCGACATTATCGTTAATCAATTCAAATTGGTAGAGTTGGCGAGATGGATGTCACTGGAATGGCTCATATATACGGGAGCGAGACGCAATGCGAGACGCAACTTTCTGAGAGTTGCCAAACTGCGAGATGCCAGAGATTTTATAACTCTAGCAACGATTTTATCTACGGCACGGTCTCCATCAGGGGGTTGGCGCACTAGCGTTTGAAGGTATGAATTAATACAAGTGGAGAGGAGAAGAAGAATCATTAAATGCATTGAGGTATATGGAGGCGCCTCCTTGCTCAAGTGAGTAGTATCTTGCATTGGAAACCTTACAAGACGGAATGGGAATGTTGGTTGAGTCAATATCTGGCAAATAAGAATACAAGAACAAGATACGAATATCAGCTATGCCAACTCACTACTGCAGTAGAAGCTTCTTACTACAGTCTTCAAGTTTTGCGCAAACTTCTAGAACATTGAACATTAATGGAGAACCTGGTCGAGAATTAACGGTCGCGAATTAACGGCCAGCAGAGAGATATGAACGTGACAGGGCCAGTTCAAAGCCGTATTACATCAAACGAAGGGCAATTTGACGTGACTGATATCGACGAACCTGACGCTGTACTGATGCTTTATTTTTTTGCTCGAAATTTATAAACAGCTGCCGCAACGATGAACAAGCAACGAGGATGGAGGACAATAACAGGAATTTTTACCTTCACAGCCGGAGTAGCTGTAGGACTGTTTGGATCATCGTCGATATCAGACATTTTCAAACGAAACAATCGAGAACAGCAACGTTCGTCTGTGGCAGTAACAACGGACGACAAGGAAGACAAGCATACAATCATAACTCCACGGGATCAATATGAAGTCACCATTCCTAATATCCCAGAGCACTTTGATAAATATGGATTGCCGAAATCAGAGAGCATCATTTCACGGTCATCGTATGTGACTTCAATTAATTACGGGAGAAGGCAGCCTAATTGGGTACTCGAAGTCATGAATAGAGAGTCGCTGGAGCATAATGTAGACGTGAGCTGAATATTCATTGGTGGCGTTCTCTCCTTTTTGTTACATCAGTAACACGATCATTGGTTCTGTTAGAGGGAGCACACCACATTCATCACAGACACAGATGTGCCTCGTTTATGGCGAGCTAGAAATCTGGATTATTTGAATTCGGGATATGCTCGAGGTCATCTTGTACCAGCTGCCGATTCAAGAACTTCGCAACAAGCTTTGAAGGACACTTTCTTACTATCGAGTAATATCATTCCACAAGATGCCAAGGTGAGTTCATGAATTCATTGTCTCGTTTCCGTCCTTTTTTCAGACAACCCAACAACGTCTTTGCTACGCGCTTGCTAATTGTTCATTTTCAAATCAACCTCTAGAACAACATGTGAGTTGTGCTGGGCTGCGGTTCCTTTCAACTGCTATCGAGACTTATGAATATGAATTTATTTGCTAGGCTATACTGGAGTCGTGTCGAAGCATTCGCCCGAAGCTTGATTTTGGAGAATGAATTCAAAGAAGCATACATCATGACAGGCCCGATATGGACATATCCAGATGCTCATATCGAGAAACCAAGCGAGGCAAACCTCATCGCCAACAACGATAATAGCAACAACCATGACAATAACAGCAACAGTAACAATGCTAATATTAAAACAAGAAATATCATCCGCCAAGTATCATACCCAGTAATTGGAGAATCGACAATCCACGTCCCAACACACATATTTAAAGCCATACTAGCCATAAGACAGAATGAGGACAAGGAGGAACCCTACTTTGCTGCTTTTGTGGTACCCAATGCTCCAATACCACCATCGAATGGGTTGTTAATGTATAAAGTATCTCGATCTAGACTAGATTCTTTGCTGGGGTTTAGAGTCTTTCCCCGGCTGGAAGGTGAAAAGGATTTATGTGTTTGGGATGTTTGTCGTTTAGGGAGGAATTTCAAGAGGAGTGCCAGAGTTGTTGAAGCTGCTGATGGTTCTACTGTGGCCAATGCATAGAGCAGGATACGTCTAGAAATATTATGGTATCGTTTATGTATATGTATGATTATGATGGTAAACAGTTTTTATACAGATCAAAAGGGAATCATTAGTATTTACGATTTTGGCTTCCACAATTTTAGGCCTTCCTTATAGCCAAAGCCTCAAGCCAACTCTGACGCCTAGGTCGGTCCGCCGTCTTGCTCAACTTTAGCATTTTGGCACGCAGTCTCTCCTGATCGGCTTCCGACACCTCAATTTGAGCACCATCAAACAAATACTTTACAAACTCTATATCGGCATCTACTTGCTCTTCCTGTGTACGTGCCAGAAATGACGTGCGACGTGGTATAGTGCTTGAATCTGGAGTTTGTGGTATGCTGGTTGTTGATCCTGTCTTAGCTGTTATTGCTGATATTGGTGTGGATGTATCTGATGATTCTGATGTTTGTCTACTGCTAGATGCTGTTATGGTTGATGTGGATGTGGTGGAATAATTCGAGTGTAGGACTTCGTCTTGTGGTATGGTCTCTAGAGTCAGTGACCTTGTGAATAGATTCATGGATGATGATGTTGATCTCGACATTCGGCCCATAATGTTTTCTGATATGCTCGATGAGTGGTGTGGGTGCTCGTTACTACCAGTTGCGGTCGGCCTGTTAGGAGGTGATAATAAATCCGACGACGATTGACTGCGGTATGATGGTGGCGGTACTGCAGCACTGATAACATTTGTTAACGGTGTTGACACTGCTATGGAACCCACGAGTGACGATCTTGGTGCAGAGTTTCGCACGCAGATTGGGTTTGCGGATGGTCGTCGAACTTTCATCACGGGACTTGGTTGTTGAGTGATGTACCGTTCATTATTGGTCTCTGTCATGCCGTTTCCTGGCTATCGTGAAATCTATTTTCTGGGGTAGTATCTCTTGATCAAAATCTACGCCTTCTTTGAGGCTTGGCTGGCGAGTTCTTTTACCAGAACATGGAAACTCCCAAACAAGACACGGTGGTTTATTTCGAGGCGATCCAGGCCACCCAAGCAAAATCCGTACTTTGCGCTAATGCAATTTCAGTGGGATTGATTTTCAGTCCTGAGTTAGGACTGGGTTTGTAGAAATAAGCCAATCAGGAGGGAGCCTTGTTTTTTTGTTAAGTTGCACGCACGCATCGAATAGTCCAGTTACGCCAGGCACAGCGTAGATTTCTCGTATCTATGCAACCGTCTTCGTCAAATGTCTCTGTCGAGATTTGCTCGAAAAGCAATATATTTTAGAGATTCTGTACAACAGGGTAACAGCCAATCTACAACTTGTTCTGCTCAACAATAACACCACTCTCACTATTCTCCATAACCCATTTATCAGTCATTGCACTAATACTTGCAATGACAAGCTCGAACTCTCCCTTCTGTTCACCAAAGTAACTCTGCATCATTATACTAAAGCTGGTAATCGATTTGTTCTCTAATGGGGGAGCATCATTCGAGATCTTGCCTCTATAATAAGCCTGAAAGGTGGAAAAGGGGAAGTAGTACATTCCGTCTGATCCATCAGTTGTGGTGAAAACGGCCTTATATTCAATCGAGCTTTCAACACGACCATCAGGACGTTTAGTGAGTTCATTGTTTTTGATATTGAGGGCGTATTTCTTGCCATCGCCTCGTAATATGCGAATTCCAAGCCCGTCATATTTGGATAGGTCGAATGATTTCCCGGCTGGAAGTGGTGTTGTTCGTTGAGAGGCAAATCCTGCTCCCCCTAGCGTTTCGATGTCGAGGAAACTAGTTGTTGAGAGAGGGGAGTCAGTCTTGAACGTTCACCACTGTGAGTTTCCTAGCACACTAACCCATGAAAAATAGCAGCTCCTCCATCTTCTAATACAGTCAAATGGCTTTCTGATTTGCCGCCTAGACGTAGAAAAGTGTTGGCCTCTGAGATAGCACAGATTGAAGCATGCTTTCTGTATGTACCTCTGACTCTATCATCCACAGTCTCCCAGTCGGCTGCATTCCACATGTTGTCGCCACCATACAAAGACTATTCATACAGGATTTGAGCATTCCCATGATAAACCAATGCTAAAACATTGTGAAATTGCCTACCAAGTCTGATTCGGTTCTCTAAATGTCAAACGTAGAAACTTGATCAGATGTTGATGACAATCGCAGTGAATAAGCAATATGGCTCAAAAAAGACCGTTGGAAATGATGGCTCTCATTGCGAAATAAGATATTCATGTCGTCTTTTACCAAGAAACGTGACGACAGACTGCAAAGTTAACCAAACTTACCTCAGATGCGATTCTAGCAGCAGCCCCTCGCATGGAGGAACCATGCCCGCTAGTAGAGGTAGCTTGGACCATTCCGCCGACGAGACACGCGACACCTATTGCCCCTAGAATGTATGGAAAGTACGAACTCGACACCATCCTTGTTGTTCTTGAAGTTTGACGTAGATCAAATCCGCGAAGGGAATCATAGACATACCTCGATAATACTGCATTCCTCTCAGACAGATGTATCTAGTGAGTATTTATGGCCCAAATCGCACCGATCGAGCATTCAAAACACGTTGGTTTGATCATAAAACACCGCACAAACACAAACTTAAAAACTTATCAACATTTATTGGGTTTTTTGAGCAATTTATAAACTTTGATTGAGTGCAGTAATAGTATAGTGTTGTCATTTGATTCTCTCTCCCTTGTGTTGTACAGAAATAAAAAAACTGGTTGTGGTTACTGTTACAAAGTACGACTCCTCTACTCCTTCCCCGGTTTCCTTTGTTTAACTTGGCTTTTCTTTTACAGTTTGTTGACGTGGTATGGTTGGTTATACTAGTAAGGTGTGTTGGTGCGGTATGGTAATCGGTGGTAAATGTTGTGGGGGTTGGTAGTGTGATGATTTACATGATTTCACAACGTGTCTTCTTTGCCTTTTTTCTACCATCTCCACCACCACTCTTTTTCAATTCATCTCGAATAGCTCGTACCAAGGCATAAAAGGCTTCATCAACGTTAATCTTATTCCTGGCAGAAGTTTCCAAGAAGCGACAGTTGTATTGTTTGGCAAGTGCTCGTCCTTCATCTTGAGACACTGATCTTTCAGATTCCAAATCACACTTGTTTCCAACAAGCACTACGGGAAACCAGTCTCGTTCCTTGACTCGCAAGATTTGTTGGTGGAAGGTTTGGATTTCTTCAAATGAAGACCTTGAAGTCATGGAATATACGAGTAAGAACCCTTCTCCTGATCTCATGTACTGCTCTCGCATGGCAGAGTATTCTTCTTGGCCGGCTGTGTCCAGGACATCCAATAGAGCAGTTTCGGAATCAATGACACATTGTTTTCGGTACGAGTCTTCAATGGTTGGGTCGTATTCATCGACGAATTGAGATTGGATGAATTGAATGGTGAGTGCAGACTGTAGAAGGTTGATTTGGGTTGATAATGAATGGTGTTGATTGAAGGATGATGATAACGGAATGAAGATACGCGTCAAATGATAATAATTGTAGAGTCAATCCAATAGAGTAGTTGAAAATAACATAGAATGAAAGGAACATGTCAATGATACGTTCATTCGACCTGCGTTCCACATTCAAATGGCAATATCGAGGAATCCAATAATTACCTTGCCGACACCTCCTCCTCCGACTACTACAATTTTGTACTCCTTGACCAAATTCATTCGGGACATGGTGTAGATATCAATAAAACACGGTCCCTTTGGATTTAAACGTTCGTGTAGAGCTTCCTTGCAGCTGGATGTGATTCAGAAGCGAGGTTAGAGCCTTGTTCAAGAGCCAAGTCCGTATCAAAGAAAGGTGGGCATTTACCTCTAAAAATATAGGTTATATAGACTGTGTCTCTCAGGCCTTGTCTCTGTCTCTCTCGACGCCCGTTTTTACGTTTACTGTTCAAAAAAACTTGAATTGTGAATTTTTAAGGGTAGCTAGATTCAATGGGTTAGAGCGCAGCTCATACACCCCGTAGCGCTCATTCCGGTCGATACATTGCAAAGTAATTGTTGCAAGCTACGAGCCATATTAAACGTTTTGGACTCTATTCTCTCCTTCTTGAGTTTCGTGATGGCATCGAGCGACTCGTAAAATTGGGTTTTATGAGGGATCTCTGCTCTGGAGATTGAGCTTGGGATAGCAATCGTCAATTCCCAATATAGGTTGATATATCTCTCCCTCCAGTTGTCGGGCCAAGAATATGTTGTTACATTCGTTAGTTGAGGAATGATTTATTCTGTGGTAAAGCGAAAGCAATGTTATCTGAGAATGGTATAAGGATTGGAGAAGTAATCTGAAGTAAATTGTCAATAGATAGGATATTCTGCTCATTTCATCTCTTCGCCTCTCGAAATACGCTGGATCAAGTTCTAATGTTGGCCGCACAATGAAAAGTTTTCTCGAACAGTCTTTCAGTTCCATACTCAACACACTCCAAGAGACAAATTAGGGAAGATACTTATAATTTGAATACATGTTCGCCTTTTCAATCTCTGCAAGCTTAAGTACAGAAAGAAAATTCATTTTGCGTCACTGGTAGAATTGTTGATGATTTTTTTCCACTTTCCACGACAATCCTCTCTTTGCGTATAGTTCCTATTGGAGGCTCCCAGAGACAGTACATTACAGAAGATCTTGTCTGGAGTTACGACTGATAACACACCGGTCACGAAATCGCCTGTCTCAAAAGTGAACCGAAATCGACAGAATACGCGGAATCCAAGACATGTTCATCAGGCGCCAACACTTCGGATTCCTATTAAAGAAAGTACGGGGGACACAGGAGCTACCGTAGGCTTAGCGGCGACTGTCCCTAACCGGGCCAAAGATTCCATCCCTGAGTTGCTACGTGAATGTAAATCATTGGGGCGAAAATGAATACGGCAATGTATTCGAAGGCTTCTTATTTGGCCATTTGGTCCCTTTATAGAATGGATCCATGGATTTAAGGGAGATATGGCCAACTGGACGACCAATTGTGCTGTGGAGCCAAAATCAAGGTGCAAAGTTTCCGTTTCACGATCGACAAGGCATGATGAAGAAGAAACCATAATAAAGCTATAATCCACTTTCATCATGGTAGTTGACGGTGGTGCATCCTGGGAAGCGTTTGTAGCAACGTGAAATAAATTGATCTTGATGCTATTGCTGACGCGTCACAGAGCTTAGAGAGCAATTCCGACTAATTCACGACAAATTTGTCTCTTCAAATCGACGTAACGATTAGGGATCGACTCAGATTGGTGATAGTCTAATGTTACGCTTCTGTTTTCAATGTTTGGACGAGGCCTTTATATCAAGATCACAGGCAAACGAATTAGATCTAGTCCCCTATGAGTTTTGCATGAAATTTGACACAAAAATCTGACGCGTCATTACCATGACTTAGTGTGTCCTCGTCTCCATTCGTTCATCAAACCGCACTGCGCTTCTTCCCTCACATCAAAAAACGATAGGATCAGTCACTCATAGAGCCATGTTAGCAGGAGACTCGAGTGACTTTGTCAGCCCTCGCAAGCAATTATCCAACAATATATCCAAGCTGGCTCTTGACGAAGACTGGGATGATGTCGGAGCAATCACGAAAAGCAAACTGGCTTCTTACAAGGAGGAAGCAATCCTAAAACATAATCCAAAGAGATTCGTATTGTTTCCAATTCAATATCATGAGGTATTGTATACAGGATGTATTGATGTGTTGTATTATTATTTGGTTGTTTCGCATTCAACATTTGCTCAAGTTGCTGCTTCTCGGTGAACATTAGTCTGACAATCTTCAATCCATCTTAGATCTGGCAAGGCTACAAGAATTGTGAAGCCAAATTCTGGAGTGCTGAAGAAATTGAATTGTCTGATGATGCTGAAGGTATGCCTCCATCACCTGAACCATTTTGAAATTTCGTTTTTGTGCTCGTGGGATTGGTGGAGTGTTCGCTTGCATGACCAACACGGAGACGAGACATGAGGATCATGAAACGACAATGATTCTGTCAAACACTTTTATATGTTCGAAGCATGGCAGATCCACCAGCTAATAAAACCCTCTCACAAATTGTGTCCCTCACAAATGACATAATAATACCATTTATTAGGATGGAACAAACTCTCTGGCAAAGAACGGACATTCGTATTACAATGTCTATCATTGCTGGGTACCGGAGATGGTGGTGACAACATCAATCGACTAAACTCGGAAATCCAAATCCCTGAAGCTCGTTGCTTTTATGGCTTCCAAATCATGCAACGACATGTACATCTAGAATTGATTGGTGTCTTGACTGACTTGTTTTCGACACGGCCTGATGATCGGGAGATTGGTCTTACTGCTATTAAAGAATGTATGTATATATGCGGCAAGAGCAATTCGTATAACCACGTTTTCCCTTTTTTGCCTACACCATTTGAAACTTAGTAACATTTTTCAAACGGGAATCATAGTGTCGGCCGTTCAAAAGCGCTCAGCTTGGCTTGCTACACATGTACTTGAATCCGATGAACACTTCTCAAACCGTAATGCTGCTGTTGCCATATTTATGAATGTGTTTATGTGCACTATCGGTGCTGCTCTACTTCACTTGACTCGTCCGGGTGAAAAGAGAACGCATTGTACACCAAACACCCCTCTGCCTGGTATGATTCGAGCTCTTGCGAAGGTAATGTAATAGTGCGTAATTTGAACGTGATTTATTGCGCTTGGCTTGTCAGAAACCACCGGATTGATCAAAGAAAAAAGAAGCATTCCATACACCGAATCGTGCTTATTTATTTAATCCCAACAGGTGCAACGAGACATTGATACATACGACGCATTCTGTAATCTAGTAGCTCGCCACATGGTGAACCGCCCGACTCAACAAATCATCCACCGTCTCACAGCCGATGCAGTAGCAATCGAAAAACAATTAATCACTGAATTGTTTGGGCTCTTTGGCGGCTCTGTCAAACTCGTCTCTACAACGCTAGACTTGGCCCGTCTGACCAAATATGTAGAAGTGGTTGCCGATCGTGCCCTTGTAAGACTAGGATTGGCCAAATTGTATAATACGGATCCTGCATCTGCATTGCCGGAGATTGATACAGTGTTGAAGGAAGAAAAGGATAAAGAGGAGCAAGCCTCGGGAGCTGTGTCTACAGGTGCAGTTACCAAGACGGATGCTTCTATGAATACGAGGCAAGAGTTTTCTATTAGTGAAGACTTTTAGTACTGTTGTGGGGACAAAAAGGCCAAATACATGCATGTATAGAGAGGCAAATAGGTTGGAGCCATTCGGGTGGTGGTTGTGAAGAGGCACATATATAGAGAGGGACAGATGCCTAAAAAGCAAAGGGCATGTACTATAGGAAGTTGTATTTACAAAATATCCATGTTCCAACAAAACGAAATACGAAAACAGTATCATCTTTAATAATACGTGCTAAGCTTAAGTTCGTCACTACAACTTCCTTGTGATGGTAACCCTGGTATGGTCATGATGACACTATGTTCTGATTTTCTGTTCCCATGACGTTCATAGCATATTCATCCATAGATCGAGAATCTTCCACGTCAGCGTAACGCTTGTAACACTAGCCTTATGCCTTCAAGTGTAAAAGTTGCGTTTGTTGATCTTGATATGTTCTTGTCGCAAAAAGTTGAATTAGTATCGATGGCGCACAGAATCAACCCAATTCGTAGAGCACCGCATGCTAGTCAACACGAATTCTATCACTAATGTAGTAAACGTTTCAACATATTCAATATTCCTGACGCTATACCTTGAAATGCATACCACATTTTCTTACAGCTTGGATGACGGTATCGTCACAATGTCTCTCCAACGTCCTAATTCGTGTTCAGTACGCCCAACAACATTCATTTCACCTTCATCCATAGATCAAGTAATGCTTCTGGCACTAGCCTCGTTCCTTCCACCTCATCTAGTCATACATACTTTTCAGACATCAACGTCTCCCTCTCCATACTCCCAAGCACCTTCGACTCCGCGCTTCAAGCTCTTCAGCCAGCTGGGTCCACGCATAATCTTGTATTACTACCTCGTCGTCTGCACCTAATCAGCAAGTATACGAGCGACATATCTCCATGCACGGTCTATTGGTGATGTGGATAGGAGGACTTGTGAGTTTTTGGAGGGTGGTGCGGAAAGAGAATACGAATCGAGGCAAGAAATGGTGCTGGTTGCCATAGGCCAATATAGCGATAGGGAGGAGGTATGCAAAAAAAAGATGAACAAGTAGAGGATTAATGGTCGTTGCGAAAGCTGATCAACGTTCAGTCGGCCGCTCTAACCACGTGGGAAAGCCAAAACAGAGAAAAATGTCATGGAAGTGGATGTGGTCCTTGGTTGAGCCATGATTACTGATGGCATTGTAGTTTTGTGATGCCTGTATGTAACTCCTCTACGAGAACCGGCTCCAGGGTACAACTGCGAAATTTCCGGATCGTCAGATTCCGATTGCGGTGGTAATGTCGGCGTGATTCCAAACTTTAGGCTAAAAGACTGCAATACACTCGCGGTCAGCCAACGCGTTTTTTGGCCACCAACTCAATATCAAAAGCTTACCTGACACTTTGCCCATCCCGCCTCCACACTCATCAAATCATCTACACATCTAGCAACACGAGTCTCCAATCTTGGCACAGCACTCTTCTGTGCTGATCAACACAGTTCCAAAACATTCATGTTCCAACATAATCCAAATACGAAAGACAGTTTCATCTCATATTACTTGTTCAAAGATCACCTTTGTTCTACAATTTCTTACAAAGAAGAAGACGGTATGGTCATGATATCGTCCAACGTCCTTATTTCGTGTTCCGTGAGCCCCACGACATTAACGGCATATTCTTCCATAGATCCAAAGGCTCCTCGTAATGCTTCTAGCACCAGCCTCATTCCTTCAAGTCTAACAGAATTTTTCACTATCAGCGACAAAAGGCCGCAAGTATTAGTGATTAGCTGCATACCTTTCAGTCATCAGCGCCTTCCTCCCCGCACTCCCAAATACCTTCCCACTCCGTTGTTCAACTTCCTCGAGCCAGCTGGGAACTACCAGAGAATCCTCCTCATCGATGGCACTTGTCAATGCATACTCTTGTGCAATTATATCATCGTCTACACCCAATAATGCGTGTATTAGTGCTACACACGCCGAAGCGCGGTCTATCGCGGATGTGGATAACAGGACTAGTGGGTTTTGGTGTTGCGCGAGGAGCGTCCGTATTGAGATTAAGAATGCAGATGGTGCGAAGCAGAATATAGCGAGGAGGAGGTAAGCTAAAACAATGGCAGTGCCATGTGAATCATGTGGTCGTGACTGCTGGCGTGTTTTCAGTTAAATGCTCTTACCATGTGGTATACCTAAATCAAGGAATTGATGAAGATGGTAGTATTGTTAGAGCCTTACAAGTCATTCCACACCAGTAGATACGTGACTCTTTTCCCCCTGTACCTTTGTTGGACCCTCTCCTTGACCCGGCTCCAAGACACACCACAGCGAAATCCTCTGGGTCTTTAGCGTCCAGTTTTGGTGGTAGTACGACATTGAACCTGAGTATTGATCTAAATAGATAGTCAACAGGTTTGAAGCCATTTTTGCAGCTTTAACTAGCAACATCAATTTACCTGACACGTTCCCCACCACCTTCCTCCACGCTCCTCAGATCACATATACATTCAACACCACGATTCTTTAACCCTCTCAACACACTCTCATCGCTCCATATTTTAGGCGTGGCACGTAAAAGCACACCATATTTCAGCCGTTTCGCTAACCGCGTCCGATACCCACCACACGTATCACGTATGTACTTGTCTGATATCCGGTACGACACGTTTTCAGAAGTCCAGAAAGACGTTAGGGAAGTCTCTTGAATATAGGTCCAAGATTTGATTTTGGAAATTAGTTGGGATTCTGTTTGTATGTGTGAGATAGTGTGGTTGGTGATTGTTGATATGAGTGGGTTCTGGGATGATGAGGAGGAGTGCTGTATGAAGAGAGATGGAAGGGACGTTGGGAGTGTGCCAGAGATCTATGTAACGAATGAGGTCATTGCCCATCACAATGTCGTTGTTTTGGTTGGCCTTACAAGAACATCAGATGGCAAATCCACAGCGACTAGGAATCGTACAGTGTATTGATGCAGCATGGCGTATTGAAGAGCAACAACGGCACCTATGTTATCAAAGATCAAAGTGTTACAGAAACGACCCGCTTGAGGCAAATAAAGGGCACTTGGGCATAGCTATACCATGACTAATTTGCAAATCTTGTACCTTCAGCATGTCCAATAAGCATGTAAACTCGCCATTTATTCTGGGTCAACACCTTGATCGCGTTGTCCAACACATTCGTGGATTCCTGGTTGCAAGAGTGACAGTCAGATAGGTGATTCAACATGAGTTGTACCACTTCACAAACCAAAAGTTCAAATATATCCAGTTTTCGTGACGATATACCTTAAAATGTAGACCATCACTACTCGTAACACCATCATTGAAATCCAGATGCAATCTCAGAGCGTGTAAACTGAGACCTCGCGTCAAGGCAGGAAAGTACCCAGAGTTCTTGGATCCTAAAGATTACATGGATTCGTAAACGTAAGCTCGTTGCACTGGTTTGAAATCGTCACAATTCGTTTGAACAAAATCCAAAACTTTCAACCACGCTCACCATGCTTCCCATGTAGGAAAATCACAATCTTTTGCTCCTTTCCATCATCATAATGTGGATCCACGTCATCATTCGGCCTCGTCTCAATAACACTTCCATCTGGCAAATCATACAATGGCATCGTTGTCTCGTTCTGGTGTCAAACCAATTGGTCGCAAATCGGTGTTGTAAACGTTTGGAAGCTAGAGGATTCGCTACTGCATCTGGATTTACACGAGGTAGTGGAGTGACACCATCATTGGATGTGACGACACCATCAGCACCGTCACCATCAACACCAAAACCCTCACCAACAGCATCAGCTGCGTCAAAAGACAAGAGTGTGGCTACTGCTACAAGGACGAAATTACCAGTGACATTCGAAGAGAGTGATCTTATTGAACGATTTGTGAAGGGCACTGGACCTGGTGGTCAAAAGATTAACAAGGTGCAGTCTTGTTGAATGGCTGTATTCTATTTGCTCGGGCTAAAGAACCTCTTTGATTCCTTTGGAATAGGTTCGTAACTGTGTCGAACTCGTCCACAAGCCAACGGGAACTATTGTGTCGGTATGTACCAAAGAAAACCGCACTTAAAATCAACGAAGATGCTGAGATAGTTGCACTCGAACTCACCACCATAACCATATCCACCCTTTCTATAGTCTCAAAGGTTTCGAGACCTAACCTCAAACAGAAAAGATGCCCGCAAACTCCTGAGTCTGAAACTGGACGACATGATTAACGGAGAGCTATCCAAAAACAATGTCCAGATTGCTAAACTGCAGAAAGCTAAAGCCAAGGCAAAGGCTAGAAGCAGTAAGAAATCAACAATGGATGATGAAGAGGAACGTGATGGTGTGAAAACATAGACTAGCTCTTGTGTCTGATAATTTAGCTATTGTAAAAAACCTATACATATGTAAAGATAATAGTAGTTACAGAATTTATAATAGCAGTGTTCAATCATCATCGTCATCAAGCAATCTCTTCTCCAGTTTCGGAGAAGGAGCCCCAACTTCCTTCTTAATCAACATTCTGGCCTTGAGTTGTTTCGGGATTATTCCAAATCGTTTATCAAGAGAGTATTTGACTGATGCATAGTCTGTTGGTGCTTTTGGCCATTTTTCTATGTGTGTAAGTGAGTGTCAATTGTCGACGAGACCAAAAAAAGGAATATGTATTAGATACTTACGCATCATATCATGCATGGTTGGTTGCTGTTCTACCTGATCAGCAGGTATAGGGCATTGTTTGAGATGAGATTGTACGAGTTCCTGTGCCAGAAACCCTATAGGGAGTTGGTGGGCGTGAGTTCAATAGCAACAAAAAAAAAGTGTCTCACGTATGCTCTCGTTCAAACCACAAACCTAAACTCAGCAATGCCTCAGGAGTATACGAATGGAATTTGGGCCGTTTGTATTCTTCAACGGCTTCGTTCTGTTCATCTTGAGCACACAACTCTGCCGCTCTTGCGTTGATAGCGTTCAGCAGGCCCTACGAGATATGAAAGTTGACGTGAGAATGCTTGCATTGATAGTAGTAGAAAAGGAATATGGTCATACACCAGTTGGAATGTCCAAATGTCTGATGTTTGGCTGATGTCGGTCATCGTCTAATAGACTTAACAGATTAGTGACTGGATGGCAATACAATCGACTACAGCACTACATACCGTCAGCATGAGGTCTCTTGCCATTGAGCCTGGTTTCAAGGACTTGTTGAAAAGAGTCTCCTCTCATTCCCAGTCCATTTCTGCCATCTCCTCTCATCGACAGTCCATTTCTGCTATTTCGTCTGAACTCGGGAGGTTTATAGGCGACTTTTCGCGTTAACGTGTCATTTGGCAGTGCGTATATACTGCCTTCCATGTTTATATGCTCTGACACGTCCTAGTCGTTAAATGTTGCTGCACTCTTTTTTTCCCCTTAGCAAGATCAAGATTTTACAAAACACAGTTACATATATAGCAATCGCTCAGTTGTAAAGAGACATCTCATACGAGAGCCCATAATCCAAGTACTTTAGCTAGCAGAGTATCGTATACATATGTCAGGCAAGTTCACAAAGCTCATCCAAACATGTCAAGTCTGAAAAAAAAAACTCGAAACTAACAGACACACGATAATAGGACGAGGAGGACGCGGTGGATTCCGTGGAGGCGATAGAGGAGGCTCACGAGGTGGTTCGAGAGGAGGCTCATCACGTGGCGGGTTTGGAGGTGGAGGAAGAGGTGGTGGATTTGGTGCTAGAGGTAAATTAAAATTCAAGCATCTAGCTATTATAGAACGCAGACGCTCGCTATTCAGGAGCTTTGGATATTTACATCGCCAGCACATCGATTGATTTAGCTCTGACTCGCAGCTGCCTAGTCTCATCTTGTGAACATTCTCCAGGTTACTCACACACACACATTATAGGAGGAGGAGTAGCTAAACGAGGAGGCGATCGTGGTGGCTCACGAGGAGGTTCACGAGGAGGTCGTGGTGCTCCACGTGGTGGCAGAGGAGGTGCTAGAGGCGGTGCAAGAGGTGGTGCAAAAGTCACAGTAGAACCTCATACTCATGCCGGTGTATTCGTTGGTCGTGGCAAAGAAGACTTGCTCTTGACTAAAAACCTCGTACCTGGTGAATCCGTTTATGGTGAAAAGAGAATCAGTATCGAGGTAATGTATGGGTTGATTATATTGGCCTGTCCTGCGTGGATCAGTCCTTTTTCGCTGTGGCTGACGAGTCTCTAATAACATCATTTTTGTCAACCCTTGTAGAATGGTGATGGTACCAAGACTGAATACAGAGTCTGGAATCCCTTCAGATCAAAGTTGGCTGCTGGTATAATGGGTGGTCTTGATAACATACACGTTAAACCGGGCGCAAAAGTCTTGTATTTGGGTGCTGCAAGTGGAACAAGTGTCAGTCATGTCGCTGATATTGTCGGACCTGTAAGTGTGCTGTCGCTGGTCAAATGGAGAAACGAGATTGCGTCTATGTTTTGTTGCAGAGCAATTAATAGCGCAAACCAGCGCAACAAAAACGGAACTGTCCCGTGAACACTAAACATATTTCGTTCCACCTATGCTCACATCTCATACATATATCTTACAGGAGGGTCTAGTCTACGCAGTCGAATTCTCACATCGATCAGGCCGAGACTTGATCAATGTTGCCAAAAAACGCACAAACGTCATCCCAATCATTGAAGATGCTCGTCATCCACAGAAATATCGTATGCTGGTTGGAATGGTTGATGTTATCTTTGCCGATGTCGCTCAACCCGATCAAGCTCGTATCGTTACAATAAATGCACACATGTTTCTGAAGCAAGGTGGTCATGTTCTTATTTCAATCAAGGTATGTATAAAGAGTCAGTAGGGTTGTGTTGAATTGATGTGGGGGAAGAAGGGCGACGAACGAGGCATATGGGATGAAATTGTTTTTGAAGGAGAAGGAGAATGCAGATGGTCGAGCCAAAAAGCGCGTCGTCCATTGTATATTATGGAGGCAACAACGATATAAACATTTCTAACAAGTATTGATACTATCAACACGCACTTACCACCTTTTCATCACTAGGCCAACTGTATTGACTCAACTGTAGAACCAACCGTCGTATTTGCCCGTGAAGTCAAAAAGTTGCAAGAAGAACGTGTCAAACCACAAGAACAATTGACTCTGGAACCATATGAACGTGATCACGCTTTGGTTGTGGGTGAATACAGGCCGCTGAAGAAGAAGAAGGAATAGATTCTAGATACATTTACACTCCCACGCTAAGGTGTCTTGAGGTGATTCATCATCACAGGACACTCTTTTATCACCAACAATATTAGTCGCTGCTTTTTTGTTCTCTCCTTTTTTTGTATTTTTGCATGAAAAATAAGAAAGTTTGCTTCATTTTAAATCTGGCTTGCGGTTGGTTGTACTTGAAGGCGAAAGCGAGAGAGCAAACGCCTGATGTATCATTTAATGCGAAAGCGAGACGAGCAAAAATAGTAAACTCTAGATTCCCTGGATGAACTTCTATTTCTTTACAGCTCGCATCACCAGGTCTTTACAGCCTCAAATCTTGTCATGTCAGATACGATTCGGCCTGGATTACCACAGGATGTTGCATACACCTTATTCAGCAATGCCGTTGAGTATTTGACTGCGTTTGGTAGATGAAGGAAGGATAAGTAGAAGTTGCGTGGACATCCTTTTTTGCTTTCTCGAGAACAGAACTTTTTGCTTACCATTGTGAGTTAATCTCGCATCAGCGAAATATCTGAGCAACGTCTCTGTTTCTGATTTTGAGAATGATGGGACCTAGTTGTCAAAAGAGCAAACGCTCAATGTTCTGTCGAGACGTGCAAAACAATAACAAAGCAGACTCTGTGATTTACCTGAACACTGGTAAATGAAAGCTTATTCACATTGTTATCATCCTCCAGTTGCTGATAATGTGACATTAGCTCGGTCTTGATGCGTGGATTTGACGAGTCTGTTGCACATACAACCACATTCTTTGTCTACACAGAGAGAGAGTTAGTAACAAATGCAGCAGGAGGTTAAATCTCATTAGGATGTGCGAAGTAAAGTTTACCTTTTTTGCAACACCAGGCCTCAACAACTCCCTAAACGCCGAAGCGAGCCTAAACTCTGAAGCAGGTATCGCTTCCCCGTTCACATCCTTGTACAGACTCGTAGCGAATAAACTGTTGACTTGGTCAATAGCGATTAAGGTTTCTGGCTTAGAATCATCTGCCAAGAAGGCTTCCAGAGCTTCGTGAGCGGATTCAGGTTGTGTTGATGCTTGTTTTAGTGATGATTCAATGTCTGGATACTGCGAAACGTAGGGATATGTCTATTAGTATGATCCAAAAAGAAAGACGGAACAGTATTCGGATTACCTCTTCTAACGTCTTGGCATTAACACGCAATATACCTCGTATGATACCGACTGCTAGATCCGGTTGCTGATATTTGGCATCCTGTTGTCGTACGTATGGGGCGGTTCCGTTAATCCATGATGATGGATTCGGGAGATATACGACCATCCAGCCTAAGGAGTATTGGTGCGAGAGGAGTTGGAAGAGTGTGGCGCTCTTTCCGACACGTGCAGGGCCATCTATTGATGAAAGACAAAAAAAGGCTTCAACATCAGAAATGAATTGACGTCTAGCTGTTCAAATACAGGACTGGTGGTTGTGCACCAAGGAATCTACGCGCTATTCGGCCAGCTTGACCTGGACGACCAGCCATACCACCTCATGGACTATTGGCTTGAAGTTCGAGTTTTACCTAATATTATAGGATCCGTATCAACAGCCATAGATTGCAGCATCTCAATCATAAAGTTCCGTGCCAGCAACGCAGGCTGAGACACGAGATTCATTTGAGTTTGTAATGGTTTTGGTAGGGTGTTGATGGGGAAGGCTCGCAATTGCTCTGGAGGTATTTGAGCGACTTCTGAATGTTCCCGGCCTTCATTCACGTATTGCTGTTACAAGCACGTGAAATATTGTCAGAAGCTGAGTAAGATGGGAATGTCGCTGGTGAAGCTTACTGGATTCCATATTGGAAGCATGAGTTGGATTTTCGAAGGCTCTTCGACTGGTGGTGGTTCCTTCAGTCGAGATTGAGAGCCTGATGAGGGAGCCCGTATAGATGATGGTCGGGCTAATAGATAGGTTTGGAAGATGCAGTCACCAATGGTGTAAACGGCGTCGCAGATTGAGAAAACCTCGTGGTTTGAATGTCTTGAATATAAACGTTGCCAATTTCTGTCGTACCTCTGGTCATAGTAGCCATCGTCTGCCTATGAAGGCACGTAAACGACTGGAAGGGTATCCTCGCTATAGTATTCCTCATGGTTGATGGGCTTGACAGTTTTCGATTTTTTTTGTGAGGCCAAAGTTTCACAGTGAGTAGATCAAAACCCGATCGCGCTTAGGTGACCATCGAGGATGTAAATTCGCGAACTTTTGTATCTATAAATAAAACTGTGCACCTCTTCCTTTCTATACAAACAGGAACAAGCCATGTACATTGCAATTTGGAATTTCGACGCGAGATTACTCAGGTTTTTACAAGCGGTCGCTTATAGAAGAGGTGCATCACTGGGAATTATAGAGTATTTAGAGAATTGGAAACGGTTTCGACATGGTCCTGGGTCTTTTACAGTTCTCATTCAATAACTGTCTATGTAGCAAATCACAGCAAGCAGCTCAAGGTCATTACAAACGGGACTAGGAAGGCGGAAATACTTCTTACTGGGTTGATATTTAGCATATATCCACATGAAATCGTCGATCGACTGTTGAGTTGGAGTTTTGAAAGCTAGCGACCTTTCTTGAAGCAACAAAAGGCCAACCATGCCAGCGGATTGGACTCTGATCTTCCCAATGATTACTGGTGAGCTACTTGTTGCATCGGCTTAGCTGTCGTTAGTCTTGTACGGTTCGAGATTGTCAAAGTCATCAACACATTTCCCATGCTTTTTTTCAAACAGGCTCCACAATGGCAATCCAGGCAGCTAGTAATGGATCTCTGGCCAAACTTGTGGGATCAGGCAAGATCTATCCGAGAAAGTCAGTCTTGTGGTTGAACAAGTGCTGATCGTCTTTCTTGTAGCTTTTGGGGCAGGCTTCTTCTCATTCGTAACGGGGCTACCAATTCTATTCATCGTTTGGATGATCATGTCGAGAGGACAGTTTGATTTCACATCCTTGACCAATGCCGAGTATGATGCGCATTTGTTACAAAACATAAACGCTTAACTCTAACCTTGGTCTCATGTTCATAGGTGGTGGTCATACATGGGTGGCTTCCTCGGAAACGTATACATGATTATGATGTGTTTCCTCATCCCACGACTTGGAGGTGCTATCGTCTTAGGAACATCAGTAGTCTCACAGCTCGTTACCGCAATCATCTTGGATAATTTTGGATTGCTTTATATACCCCAACGGCCTTGTACGCCGTTACGTGGGATTGGAATATCGCTTGCGCTGTTAGGAAATGTGGGGATTATGTTGGCGTCATTAGCATATGAACGGAGACTTGTTGCTGCTTTACCGAGAGAAGAGGAGGTTAAGATTGATTGCTCTGTTGCTGAGGAAGTTGTGGATGCTACTAATAGTATACGACCGTCGTCGGTACTGGAAACTGATGCTGAAGAAGGAGATTTGTCTATAAGGCGGCAGCAACAGTCTCCTAAACATAATGAAGCGAATGGAAGTGCGACCCCTGCATTGACGAATGGGTCTATAAGGAATAGTCAAGCTAGCCCACCGTCCAATCATGTCTTGTCAATACCCATTGCCCTGCCGTCCGTGCTGGATTGGAGGCTAGTGTTTTCAGTTGCCGGTGGAACATGCTTAGCTTTGCAGGTATGTTGCGAAAAAAAAATTCCCATAATACTGGAATGCCAAACATTTGAAGCGTGTTTGGAAAATCATTGTGGGCTTGAAGAAGATTGGAGTTGCAAAGCCTCCTTGAAGAGTCTGTAAATTTCAAGATGCCTCGCGGAATGTCATGTATCTGAATTGCAAATATCACTGATGCACATAGTTTTGCTTTTTTGCTTAGGCGGCGGCCAATGGAAGACTTGGACTGGTCACGAATAGCAGACCATTTGCTGCTCTTACATCTATATTCCTTGGATGTTTCCCACTATGCTTCTTGTATCTTTGGGATTCTAATATGACGAGGACGACTGATTTTAGACGCATTTGGAAGAGTATGTGAAGCGTCTGATCTTGTGTTTTTTTTGCACACGTCAACCAACTTTATGCGCTTTCTAGATGGGAAATGGTGGATGTTTCTTGGAGGGCAATATGGAGCACTTTATATGCTTTCAACGTCGTTTCTGGTTCAAAGGCTGGTAGGTGATTGTTTTGCCAAAAGAAACCACGATCAAACCTACTATGCGTCATTGACCTCAACTTCCACTTTAGGGGACTGCTATAATGCTAGGAGTGTCTGTAACTTGTATGCTTTTTATGGCTACTGTTTTGGATCATTTTGGAGTCCTGAATCTGCAGAGGAGACCTGCTACAATTGGTCGTATCGTTGGCGTTTTGATGATGGCTGTCGGGATTATCCTCGTTGCCATCTTCTAGAAACTGAATCTGAGCTGCTGCAATATTGGTAGGCGCGAGTATACCTGGTAGGTGGTGGTTGTGGGTGCTCTAGTTCGCATTAACGGGATCAAAACCTTGTAAAGTTCTGAAACCATGTGGATTAATATGTAGATAATCATAATCAGAACAATATAATTACTTATTAAAAAGAATTCGAAGAACAAAGTTTCATCGAGATTCATCACAGCTTTATAAGAGAATAATTGATTCGAATCTAGTACGCGTTCACGTCACAAGAACTACGATGCCTCCTTCTAAATATAAATATATCGCCAATCCCAACACCTCGTCCTAACATCTTTCCAAACCTCAGCGAATCGTTAGGAACATTAAGAATTGAGCTAGACATATTGCAAAGTTACTCGCATAAGCACTCCAGCATAAAATTACTCAGATTGAAGCTTATTGCTGCCGCTATATCTCTCTGGCAGGTCTACGATGCTTTCAGGTAAGAAACAAGGTTCGATTTCTTTTGTTTCCCAGTAGTTCCGAGAGGTTTTACGGATGAAAACGAAGTCTAGTCGATGATTTTGCACTATATCATACTGTTCCAAGATCCTTGAATATCGCGATGGCTTCTATCAGTAGCTCTTGACCAACATCAACCAAACGTTTACCAAACATTTGCTCACACATCATCCCATCTCTTTCAACATGTACAGAATCAGGCCTGACATCGTCAATCATCACGTCATTCTTCAACGCTATTCGGAATGCAAACTCCGATATCGTTTCTCGCTATTTGGAAAAGTACCCCGTGCTGGCTACGCGTCAGTGCGATGATACATTCGAAATCGCCTCTCATATTGCAGACGTTGTGGGAAATGACGGAAGTGGAATGACTGGACTAGCAGCTGCTATGGCCATGTATTCCTTGAGTGAAACCGAGAAGGAGGAAAACGCACGGTTGCGAGTTGTTGGTATCTTTGTCAAGGTATGATGTCGGCGCTCCGAGACATCTTATACTGACCAGAACATACAAATAAACTTACATGTCTTTACTGCCCTCTCTGAAGAACCTGCCATCAGCAGACTTCTTGAACTCGACTCGTTTTGGATCACAACAAAACACTGTCCTCCATCTTGCCACGGCTATTGGATTGCATGGGGCCATCATAGCACTCATGAAGAGAGGTGCTTCTTCATCGTTAACCAATGCCTCTGGCAAAACAGCTCTGGATGTGGCTCATGAAGCATTCCAAGACGATATCATACCAAAGGATACTATAGACATTATAAAATGGTTGGAAAAAGGCCAAGAACGGAGAAAAGGTGGTGATGATAGTACTACTTCGTCGGGTCCTCCACGTCTTCTCGGTAAACCGCAAATGTCGATGGTGGCTCCTGCAGCTGAAGTCAAGACGTCTACAACACCAATCGGCCAACATATGAAGGTCGAACGTGTATTGTTTGATGCTATACCAGACCCTCCTATAGCCGAATCGAAAGGAGAAGCCTTGCTGCCAAAAAAAGTGGTAGAACGACTAATACCAGAGCCCATTGAACGAGGACCTGCTGTAAATCCAATAGTAGACGTTGTAGAAAGAATGTCAGCAGCACCAGTCGTAAGTGAAATTACGGAACGAAAAAAGGCGCTGCAACCATCAGTTTTCACACCTGCTATTGGAGGCTTCGAACTCAGACATGTTGAGCCTGCCACAGTCGCCAAGCCCGCCGCTACGTCAGTCTTTCTTGCTCCTCAGCTCAGGCGTGTAGAGCCTCACGTAGACTCGAAGCCAAAATCAAATATAGTTGAAGATACCAGGGCTGCAAATACGCCGAGCGTAAGTCAGCCTTGGGCAACTCCATCTGACAAGAACTTCTGGCAGTCTCCTGGTCGAGTACGTGACATCAAACAGGCACTTGCGTTAAATGTCAGTACGTTGCAATCGTCTAAAGATAATCCATATGCCGCGGTGTCTTCAGATACGAGCCAACCCAGAAATAGTCGCTTCTTCCAAACTGGCGAATTGCCTAGGAAGCCTGGGACGTTATACGTTGATAACAAACCAGTATATGCTCGCAAACCTATGGCCACGCCATGGCGTCAGCCTGTGCCTCGTATAATCATCCCTACATCAACAACAACAACAACAAATCCAAATCGCCAACCAAGTAGTCCCACAATCTCTTCACCCCCTTGCGCTTCGGCTAGTACTCTAGCACCGTCTCCCATTGGGTATTCTGGCAGCACCGTATTACCATTGCCAAGTCGTCCGCCAACTTCAATACCCAGTCGTCAGCCAGTAGCATCGTCTACTCGTCTGCCGGGAAGTCACACACAAGCATCAAGTCGTCCACCTGACAGTCTCACAATGCCATCCGCTACAAGTACATCTGCTTTTCGAGGCACTTCCACCACTAAAGTAGAAATGGCGGTAGCCAAAAAGGAAGTACAGGATATTAAGAATGCAAAGGATCTGGTCGCCGCAAATAGGAGAGATCCCATGCTTGAAAAGCTCGCTCAACGTCCGAGTAAACTAAATGAGGTTGTCCCGAGAAAACCAGAAGTAGTGTGGCAGACATTTAGTCCATTGCCAGCTGCACCATCAAAGCTCGAAATCGATGTATGTAATGCATAATGAGATGGCCTCCTGTATATGAATTGCTGATCTCTTATTTGGATTTGATTTAGATTCCACATGTCTCCTTTGACTTGAAATTTGGATTGGACTGGGATGAAAAACGCAACAATAGTCTCATGAAAACAGATCAACCTGTTGCAGCAACATCAAAGACTGTCGAGTCTACTCGGGGCGAGAATTTGAAGTCTTTGGCCGATATTGTCAGAAGAGGATGGAACGTATCATCATTAGTTACTATGCCAGAATTGCCAATATTGAACGGTGAAGCATCTCGAAAGCCAGACCAAAATTTGGTTCAGGCTCGAGATGACGATTCAGTTGATTTGATCTCACTTTGTGCATCATACTCTAGCACAGCTGGTGGTACTCTTGGTTGATCATTGGAAGCTATAAATTGCAGTTTCATAGAAATGCTTCAAAATTAGAATCTTTGTAAAAGTTGAGGATATTTTGCATTGCCAAATATACATTAAAGATTGAGATGATTCGAATTGTGTGCTTTTTCGGCGCGTGTGGTAGTTGGTACTTTCAGAACTGAACTTGGGCTATCGCAGGGCATGAAGGAGTTTAGGTTCTGTAAAGATCTTTAATCGTAAGAGTCTGATAAATGAAACAACAGGATCAACGACACATCAACACTTCCAACACACTTCTCTCCTCCCCTCCCTATCCTCTCCTCCTCTCCCTCCTCATCAACATCTACATTCTCCAATCCTTTACCATTACCGGCCACGGACACAAGATTCGGGAACAATTTATGCAAACTTCTTTGGAGGCCTTGAGCCTTTTCGAATTCGAGGGTGGGAAAGACTGCAAGTTGTTTGAGATGGTTTGTTTTTGCCAGGGAAAATACCACCACGACTTGCATCGGCTGACGGGAGACAAAGTCGTCTGAGTTTTGGAAAGGTCGTATCGGTGAAGACATTTGATTGATCAAATTAGTCTTAGGCACTTCAGCTCCACTGATGAGCGTGAATCATACGACATCGTCTTCGAACGGACCCAGCATACTTCTTCCAGAGTTTCCGAATATGCTTTCAGAGCCCGATCAATTTACATGTTTGTCAGGTTATTGATGACGTAGAGTTTGGAAATAGGGGCAGTGCTTTACCTTCCAGAGTTTGCTGTGGTACTGAATGCCTTCCTGCAATAAAGCTCTTGCAACCGACATCTCTTCAGTGAATTCGACTCATGCGAATCTATTTGAAAAAGGAATATTAGGAGAGAACTCATAAGATACGGCTTTCACCCAAAGTACCAAACTAGCGCACAACGCGTACCTTTTAGCAGCATCACCTTTCTCATACGTGAACGAAGCACGAAGCACTTTTTATGTCTCCGTAACACTCCAATCGTCCATATATGTCGTCCAGGGAGGTAAATTCATCCATCTACGTGAGGTGCAAAAATCGGGTCAGCTTTGCACTTGCTCGTCGTCAAAACTGTTCTAAACACATACATTCAGAAGATAAAAGCAGGATTTCTTGGAACGAGCCACCTTTCACAAGTCGTTCTCTAGTTCAAAGGATGTAAAATATAACGAAATCAAGGAATGATGGACCGTAGCATGTTCAGAGGATGGATATTCGAGACGCCTACCTTTCGTACCAAGTGACCGATTGAATATCTGCTTTGACCTTTTTGTTTTCTGTGTGCCGAGATGTAAACGACTGCGTCAACTAACTGGGAGAAGGACGAAGAAACGTCTTCACTTTTTCGTGTTTTCCGGATCCTATGACTAGAGAAGCACTTTAGCCTGGACGCGTGGATATTCCAGATCGATCCATGGTTACCTCGATTTGACTTGAGTGCTCTTCTCCTCGTCACGGACAACTTGTCCAAATCCTCGAAACACAGAGCAGGCATTACATGTCATTCCGATATTCTTATGCTCGACTCTTTTGTCATTGGCTCTAACAGGATTGTCATTTCCCATATGAAGCTATGGTGGACTGGACTTTGATCTTTCCTATCCTGACTGGTAAGCATTGGCTTCTAAAAGCTTTTCACAAACTTTGGCACTGGTCGCAATGAGGTGAAGCAATCAATGTTATCGCGTGGAAACGAATCAAGCTGACGGAAATATTGCAGATCTTGGAGAACGCTGATACCTAACCTGCAACATTTCCACGATTACTGGTTTTAGGGTGACATTGACGTTTTGTTCATATAGGATGCCTGCTATCTGTTCAAGCTGCAGTCAATGGAGATCTAGCAAAGATTAGCGGATCGAAACTGTTTGCTGTATTTGTTTCATACCTATCTGGAATACCGATACTGCTCATAGTATGGCTGATAGCTTCACGAGGGGGAGGAGGACAAAATTACGACTTTGCAAATGTAGAATGGTGGGCATTTGTTGGCGGGGCACTAGGGGCTCTCTATCTGGTATCAAATGTTGATCCTTGTGTCGTTGTGTCTAAGAAACCTCACACGTTCAAGCAATAGACTGCAATGCTCCTAGTCATTCCTCACGTCGGAGCTGCTTTAACTGTGGGAATCAGTGTCGGAGCACAGCTCATATCTGCAGCTATTCTAGATGAATTTGGTTGGATGTACATACCTCAAAGGACATTTACCATGGGTCGTGGGTTTGGAATCGCGTGTGCTTTGATTGGAAACTGTTTAATAATGTTTTCAGCCTTGTCGTTTGAGGCTCGTCAAAAGGCGAGTGTTGTTGATGAGGAGGTGCATATTCCAGATGTGTTGGTGAATGAACCCGACGAGGATAAGAGGATACCAGTGATACAACGGATAGATGTCGAGGACGGAGATTTGGGAGTACAGGCAATCTGTCCAGAGGAAATCTCGATACCTAGTGGTCAAGCAGATAGCAAACCAATACTTCCAGCTGTCCCCGTGTTGGATGTTGTAAATGTATTGGATTGGAGACTTTTTTTCGCCGTAGTTGCTGGAACTGCTCTTGCTTTGCAGGTAAGTGATAACCACAGGATAGCATTAGTCCTCTGAATTTGAGCTGATTCAAAAAAACTTTAACATAGTCAGTCGCAAACGGTCGTCTAGCAAACGTGACTTCAAAACCGTTTGCAAGTTTGTACTCGTATGTATCTGCCACGATACCATTAGCCGTGGGGTTTATGTACGAATCGAGATGTCTGACCGGTACAAATTGGGCCTCAATTCGCAAAAGTAAGACGTTTGCCCAGTCAGGTTGTAATTGCGATGTTCTCGAATCTCTTATTTGTGGCATTTAGACGCCAAATATTGGCATTTCACAGGTGGATCCTGTGGGAATTTGTATATGCTATCTGCCACTTTCCTTGTACAGCAACTGGTAAGATTATCAAAACTTTTTTTTTTTTGAAAACAGTCTCCAACATATAATATCCTTAGGGGACATCAGTTATGTTTGGTTGTTCAGTCACGGCGATGTTGTTCTCCTCTCTAATTTTTGACCATTATGGATGTTTTCACCTACGGAAGCGGATAATAACGCCATTGAGAGCAGTTGGAGTGGTCGGGATGATTGTTGGTGTCGCTCTGGTTACTGTCTTTTGAAGCCATGCCCTGATACGTGATCTGCTACTTAAAAACACGTACACTCATTTGCAGACGTAGATAAACTAGTTTATGTAATTGTAAATACTAACAAGCTACTTTAATCGACACCTTCAGTTGCAGATTCATCAAGTGTTTCCGTCACGTTAGCATCCTTTTTACCTTCCTCTTCCTTCCCGAATGCTTTCCTAGCAGCATCTCGTGCAGCAGATGGATCAGGCTCTCCAAACACTGGTTCACTCAACCTCTCAGACTCAACAGCATCGTCATAATGTTTGGTCAACTCTTCAAGCGAGAACTCGCTCACATCTTTTAATTTTTCGGTTTCCCCATTCACCATCCTGAGCACACAAAACAGGCCCATATAAGTTGCAAAGGAGCAATCTGAGTCGTCTTTGGGGAAGAAACTTGCTGCTTCAAAGTATTCTTTGGTTGCTTGTAGTAGCGAGTCCCGGTCTTTAACGGTGCTGGCCGTGTCGAGGCCTTTAGCCATGTGGACTCCAGCCATGGCTAGATGCACATATGCTCTGTGATATGTTATGCATGGGGTGATGTATGATACTGGTTTGCCTGTTGTGTCTTCCTTGTCTAGAGATGATAAAACTGCGGTGCATTGCTCTTCTACTTCTGCTAATGTTTCGTCAGATTTGGTGGCGTCGACTATTTGGGAGGAGAAAAAATGAGATTCTCTACAGTAATGTTGTTCTCACTATTTCGGAAACAACGTACGAGAACGCATCATAGTGCCTATGAGACTCAACCTCATAGCTCGAATCATCCAATCCTAGAAAGAATACATCCCATCAATCGATCATGCTCTAAATGTGCTCTTCCATACACTGTATAACCAAATACCTGAACTATTTGCCCTCGCTTATCCTCATCAAAGAGCGGATCAAGCTCTTCCTGAGTCATAATCGACAGATCAATACATCGTTTAAAGTACATTTTTGCTTCTTGGAATCGTTCCATCAGTTTGAATGAGTGACCAAACATGAATGGCTAAAAACGGTTTGTATCAGTACGTAGACTCACGGAGTTACAAAGTGATAAAACTTGTACACATACTGCTCTTATAGACATGTCCATCACATCTTGAGCATTCTCCCATCCTTTCTCAGCGAGTCTCGTTTTGATTTTTGATAGAGTGTCAGCAATCGGAGTGTTTGGTGGAATAGCATCTTTCAACGACACTTCGAAGAATACGCAATGTTGTATCATCTAATGCAGCAACGCGTCAGCTTGAGTAAAATAGCGAAAAGGGAAGATACACTCAAGTTTCGGTACCTGAAGATCCGCTTTCGGTTCAATGACAAAGAATGCTTTCTCAAACATCAATACACCATCACTCAACATTTTTATCACTCCACCATTCTTCACTGACTCTGGCACCTCAAAATCCCATCTCCCATTCGTCTCTACAGCCTTAATATTGCGACCATAAGCCATACCCTTTTGAAACATGTTGCTACTATCCCATAACGTCATTGCAGCCGAATCAGGCGCCCGTTGTAGCAGATGATCGTTGGTTGCTACTAGAGCAGCAAGTCGAATAGCAGGTAACTGATCCCTCAACATCCTTATACCAAGAGTCTTGTCCAATGCACTCTTGGTTTCTTCGTGCGCTTGCTGCACTGTAGCGTCCTTGCCCTGCTCTAGAGCTTTTTCGTAGGCTGCTCCTGCTTCCTGATATCGATATAGATTGTTGAGAGCTGCACCCTTGCGATACAGAGCTTTCACGTTCAAGGGATCTAATTCTACTGCACGTTCCGCCATTTTCAGAGCTTCTTCAAACTTTTCCAACTAGAATATAGATGTTAGATCTGAAATGTACTCGAAAAGGCGAGGGATGCACTCGGATATAAAACACAAAAACTTGAGAGCAAGATGTATCAGAAACGAGCACTTTGAACTACCTTTAGGAGAGCTGCGGCATTATTTGAAAGTATCGTCACATTGTCTGGATCCAGTTCCAAAGCCTTTTGGTATGAAGAGGACGCATTCTCATAGTCGTGAGCTACAAAATGTCTACCATGTTGGAATGTTTATGTGAGCAGACCTCACAGGGAGATGAAGCACATGATAGAATGGACTACAAACTTACTGGTTCCCTTCCTTCTTGAGCGCTTCCACCCGTTCGCTCATAGTCTTCAAAGTTATTGCGTCAGTGCGAAAATGTGGTCACAAAAAAATCAACGTCAAGCATCGACGAATTACAAGCGATGGACAATAGACCAAAGATTGTACAGCAGCAAAGCCGTGTGCCAGGACCCCAACGCAGGCCACCAAGCCCATTCTCCTTCAAGATTATGATGATACCTTTCACACTCTTCTCCGTGGCCTTGTATCTGACATTTCGATTTTACAATATTGATACATTCGAGAACAGGCCAGCTGGAAGTCGTAGAAGGCCAGCTTGATTGCTTTGATGGACGCAAGCAGGTACGGGAGTAAACAAAGTTTTGCATCAACGTTGAAATCAGTCAAAAGACAAACAACATGACCTTATGTACAAATTGCTCTATTAATCCACATATCTACACAATATAACATAGTGGCACAGCTCTATATCATCAGACCAGTGAGATCCACACTTATTTGATAGAGCCTCGTCGAATTATCTGATTTGACAAAGGGTGAAGGAGTCCAGATTCTCCCTTCCGCCATGTATCTGCCACTTATGTCCTCATACTGCGGATCTAGTGCTGCCTTCAGTATGCGAGAGGCACCCTCTATCGGCTCCGGCATCAACCAAGTCAGGGGAGTCGATAGTACCATCTTGGCCCACTTTGTATGTCTATACAGTGAGGTTGCTATGACTCCTGGATGCACAGCATTCACTTAACAATTATAAGATAATAATGTCAGTTGTGATAAGATAGATTTGTAAATATTACTCGTACCTACTACACCAGATGATCTCAGTCTTAGTGCCAACTCATGAGTAAACAGCATGATTGCGAATTTGCTCATGGCGTAGTTGCCAAGTCCCGAATAAGCAGATTTGCTGGTGATGGAGTCAAACGTGATGGTGTGGGCTGCATAATGAACGCTTGACGCTACATTGACAATTCGAGATGGGGTAGATCCACGTAGGTTGTTTAGCAGCAGGTTTGTGAGATAGAAGTGGCCTGTGTGGATAGATCAGTCATGGATAGAAGAGTTGAAACTCAGGGCACTTGGGTTCCTGACATACCTAAGTAGTTCGTAGCAAACTGAGCCTCCGTTCCTCTTGCATCTCTACTGAATGGCGTATTCATAATTGCTCCATTATCTAAGTATCACAGGTATATGAGCGCTCAGGCCGTAAACTGAGAGGTTGTAGACCATTTCGAACATTTCGAGACTCACTTATGAGCAGATGCAACGGCAGTCGTTTTGCCTGAAAATCGGCAACAAACTTTCGTATTGATGCAAGATTCATCAAGTTCATGTCCAGTCCTTCCACATTCACGTTTCCTGTCAAGTTCCGTATTGATTCAGCGGCCTTTTGCGATACACCTGGCGGATGGCTGGCTATTATTACGTGGTATCCTGTTCGAGCAAGAGCGTTTGCACATTCAAAACCAATTTGGCCATTCCCTCCTGTAATGAGGCAGACTTTGCCAGCCCCATAGGTGTTTGCGATGAGACTAGAATTAGACAGCCAAGTGTTAGTTAAAACACGATCCTTCATTGATGCATCAATTTGATTTGATTTGCGTACGTTTCCATGTCAGAAAGCTCTGTTCGTGTATTGGTCAGTCGCCATAACGCGATCCATACACATTCGACTACAGCAAGAATGATTACGACGAGCCAAGTTGGCAGCCATGTCAGTCTTGTGGAGATCGCTAGTTGAGCATACTCTAGAATAGCGTGCGGTGGTGCTCTTCCACTGATCATTCCACACTCAAGACTCAAGAAATCAGAAATCACGCCGCTGGACAAGGACTGAAACAAGAGGTTGCGACGACCTGAACAAGACCCAAATTTGAACTTGTGCGGTACTGATTGAATTTATATTTCCTGGACTGCCTATTGGAGATGGATCAAGTAGAACAACTGCAATTTCAATGTTGAAGAAACGGCAAGTCCAAACATCCAAATAGCTAGTGTCGAACACAGTTTCTAGATCAGAAGCTCCATCAGAATCATTTACAAACGAGCCTACTTGATTGTTCAGTACTCGAATACGCCAGGATTAGTCTAGAACGACTTTTAGCTGGCTAGTTTTGTGGCCGAGTCAAATGTCAGGTTTTATTCTTTCTCCAGCCAGCGGTCGTCTCAGGACCCCACTCGATTTCGTCCAACCGCTACAAATCGACTAGATCAAACGTTCAACATTCAAGACAATTATGAAGGTTACCGTATCCGTGGTTGCTATTTTGGCCGCTCTGCCTGCTGCTTTCGGGCACATGGCAATGTCGATTCCAGCTGTTAGAGGTTACCCAAACAAGGTCCAACCTTACGATTACTCTATTACGAGTCCTCTGGACTCTACAGGAACGGTATGTTGACACGATGTTTCCATCCATGTCAACAAGATCAACTGAACTGCCACTCGACATTTTTCTGACCTTTATACACCAAATTAGAGGATCTATCCCTGTCAGGGGAAAGCTCAGGGGCCACCTGTAGCAACGCTTATACCAGGAAGCTACGTGTCTGTCGAAATTGCTGGTGGGTGGTCAAAGCATTTGGGAGGGTTGAGTGATCGCTCACATTGGATTTGTCTTGACTCACATTGGAATTTTCTTGTAGGCGGTGCCAGACACAATGGTGGCCATTGCCAATGGTCGATCTCCTATGACGGCGGTGCGAACTTTGTAGTTCTGGATACCATTATACGTGATTGTCTATCACCTGCTAGCTCGTCAAATACCTATGATTACCAAGTCCCACTGCCTGCTGACTTGCCTGGATCTCGTAGGTCTTTCATGCTTGGTTTTGTGCTCAAAGAAATCACTTCTGACATAATTACCCTTTAGCAAACGCAATCTTTGCATGGTCGTGGATCAACTCTATAGGGAATAGAGAGGTAAAACGAAGCCGGACAATGGTTCATGATCAAGACCATTTATAATAACACTTCGTAAATTCTACTAGTACTATATGAACTGTGCTGACGTGGCCATTAGCGGCAGCTCAACAGGCAGTCTCACAGGCCCCCGCTTGTTTGTTGCAAACCTCCCCGGCACACCAACAGTCCCCGAATTCCCAACAGCAGACTCTAACGACTCGTCACAATACTTTGCAAGCCGGGACATCATACGTGTATCACCCGCAACTCCAGGTGCTCAAGTGATAACCAGTGGAGGTAGTGGTTCCAACACAGTCCAATCAGCTGGACCAGTATCAGCACCAGCTCAATCTGCAGGACCAGTATCATCACAGGCCAGCCCCGTAGTAGCAGTAGCATCTCCACAGGCATCGGCGGCACCAGTCGCTCAACAATCGCCGGATGTGACTCAGCCACAGGCGTCAGCTGGTGCTGGAACACCAGTAGCTTCAGCAGTAACACCAGTAGCTTCAGCAGTGGTTAGCGCGCCGAGTCCGACAGTATATAGCTCAGATGGACAGTGTACAGTCGGAAACATGCAGTGTGTAGGCCTCTATCAGTTTGCTACATGTGCTCCGGCGTTTGGCGGTGGTGGGACTCTTGTTGTGAGACCTGTTGCGCCTGGAACTATATGTAAGCAGGTGGGAAGTAGTATCATTATGGACTTTGCTTAGAAAAGTCCGATAAAAAGACATCACAATGTACAACTTGTATTTGAAGAAGCCTCATTCATCAGCATGCGCAATACACATAAATATTCTACAATATTCATCAATGGCGCCATACCTTTGGGTCTTTAATGAAAACATATATTGCATGAAGGGGCGATATCAATTTACAAAAGCAGCGCTAGTTTCGTTCATACACTCTCATTTTCATGACACCCTTCATAGGCAGGGTCAATGAAGGTGTGTACGTTATTGGTTCGTTGGACTCAATGACAAACTTGAATCTCGCCAATAGTAGACAAATCACCGTAACAGCTTCCACCGTAGCTAGTTGCTGTCCCAAGCAGAGTCTCGGGCCATGATGGAAGACAGGGTATTTAGACGATGATTCCTTTTTCAAGTTGCCATTTTCATCAAACCATCTGGAAGGGTCAAACGTATGGGCGTTTTCACCCCAAATGTCTTTGGATCTTCCCATAGAGTACTGTGATGGAGTGTTTCGAGGTTAATTAAAGCACGTTGATAAGAGTCCATATCAACTCACAGGAAACCAAGACACAACAGTGCCTGCAGGCACATGTATTCCGCCAGGAAGGGTATCGGCCTTGACAGAGGTCTTTAAATTAGCAGGTACAGACGGATGTAGCCTCAAGGTCTCGTAAAATCTAAATGAATGAGATGTTTAGGCAAGCTGTAGTCAGTCTATCTCATGAGTGGCTAGTACTACTTACACTGCCGTGGTATATTTCAATTGGGGCTGATCTTCATAAGTGGGGATACCATTCTTGCCCAAAACACGTTTTACTTCCTCCACGATTCGTAGTTCCACCTCTGGGTGTTTGGAAAGCTCATAAAAGGTCCAACTCAAGACATGGCCGGTAGTGTCACGACCTGCTATAATGAAACTGCACGAAAGTTGTTGATCAGTGTCGTCACTCCGCTTAGTCACAAGAAGTACAACTCACTTCAACACCATTTCTCTCAACTCAATATCAGTCATATCAGCTTTCGTGCCGTCTTCGTTCTTGGCAAAGTTCATAAAGTAGTCGAGCAAGTCTAGATGCTTGTCATCTGCTTTCTTGCCAAACTTTTTCCTGTTGCTGATTACTTCGTCTGCATAGTCTGTCAACACTTTGGAGTGCTTTGCAATCAATTTATCACGTCCAACTAGAGGCTCCCATAAGCCAGGAAATGGAGAGTTGAATCTGATAGAACGAAGAAATGCTTGTGTGAGAGTAAGATCAACATGAAAAATACTTTCATTATGGCACGTACCTGTCATTGATGTAACCCTGAGCGACATCAAAAGATGCCGCAAATGGAATCGGATGTTGAGGATCAAGCAGGGAACCAACAGATATTCCAAAAGCGATACTAGAACGAGGCAGTCCGTCAGATAAGCTTGCAAACCGCCATCGTAAAACAAACTAGATAAAGATTACCGTCCAAACGAGTCCAATGTAAATGCGAAAAACGTCTGATTGAGAGCAACTGGCACTTCATCTTTTGCTGCACCAGCTAAAAAGTCTATAAGGACATTGGCCTCTTCCAAAAAGACTTCAGCGAAACTATATCTAAAGTTTTTTCCAGTAAAGAGGTTTGATGCAAGCTTTCTGGACCTCTTCCATTGAAATCCGTCCACGGCAAAGATTCCATGGCCAAGCAATGGCTCCATGATTTTCTGGAACCAGTCTCCCTTCACCCAATTGTCGAAATTGCCCCTCAGAATGTAGTCCACAATAACAGGATCAACTGTTTGGACAATACCAGCAGGACCCCAGTTGGCAACCCCCACAAGAGGATCACAGACAGCTATCACACAATGAAATCATCAGTGACATGATTTTCAGAGGGTTTAGGCGTCAGGGAAAAGCCTCACTCCACGTTGGACCATATTCGACCGACACTTGATATATAAAATCGTGAATATGGTCATAATGCTTGATCATATCGGCGATACCACCAAGAATCGGAGCCGGTGGAGTATATGGAATGCCTTTGACTACGGGCTTTCGACTATGGTGAAACAAGAATGTCAAATGCATGTTTTGAATGTATGATCACTGTGCAAACTTGATATTCAAAGGGCAAAGATGCCAACAAATTGAACTGTTTTCAAATGAATAATCAAATCGGATGTTAGATTACCTACCTGTTCAAGTGCATGGCCAGTGCTAGACCAGAAGCACCCGTGATTGCAATGCCAACAACAACACCCACGCCGATTGCTACATTGTAGAGCAGGGATGATTGTTTCGATTGCCTTGTCATGACGATTTGATGCTCGCGATGAACGATATCTATCCTCTTTACAGGCTTGCTTTGATCTAGTCAGTTTTTCGGCGTAATCGACTAAAACCGCCGCAAGAGGACGTGTCAGTCAGGGACAAGCACATATATTGTCGCGGGTAGCTTGCTCACTACGACTGGATTACAATCGATTGTATTGCCTTATGCCGTCTGTATCTGAATTGTAGGAGCGAACTTCAAACATCACCGTTTGGGCCCATTTTATGCAGCAAAGTCGACGCGTTTTTCGGTTCAAATCAATTGGCTGATATTCTACAAAGACAAATCTACCCTTAAGTCACCTCGTTTGTTGTGCATTTTTGTTGTGCGAACGTGAAACTTGGAAGTGCTATGTCATGGCGAAAAAAAAATCTTACTTCAAATACTGGTCAAGAAAATCAGTCTATTTAAGACGAGAAGAGAGACACTAATCGGTTATCGATGAGTGTATATAGGACCTACGGTATTTTGACCGTAGTGTTTCTTCTCATTTGTTATTGTTTCCCGACCACGGAATCAAAACACTGTAAGAAAGTTGTCGATGACCCAAGGACAGAGAACGCACCAAGCACAGATCTAACTACGATCAATTTATCTATTAGATTCTAAACACTCTAGGCCAAGTAGACGGACGGCTCCAAGCAACTCTTTTTTGCATCTAACGGATGTTCACGCCGGTAATGGTGTCATCGCCCGACGATTCGCTTGCCTTTCACAATCTAACACGAAATTCCAACGTCAGATCCATTATATATTCAAGGAGGAAGCTTCGCTTCAGCATGTCATAGGCGGCCTGAGGAATTAGACGAACACTTGATCACTGAGAACGATGACCTAAAGAAGAAGAAGAAAAAGGTCAAGAAACCATGGAATCCTCATGGTACCGGTGAGCAACGAGGCTTTCTTGGTTGGGGTTTGCGCAAGATACGGAAGCTGATCTGTTCACCATTTCTCATAGCACGGAAATTTGGATCCCCAATGTCGGGCTGTGATTCTCCAATGATATTGGTCAATGAAACATTTAATTTCCTCTCCCAATATCACGCCGAAAGTGGTGTCGATTTCGTAATTTGGACTGGTGATAACGCTCGGTAAGAGCTTGCGCGTTTTGCAACAACGATGATGTCTACATTCATGTGACAAAAGCTGCACCTTATCTGCCTAAAGTTTTCCTTAATTATTCATGCTCTTTCATATAGACACGACCTTGATCCAGCAGTGCCTCGAACAGAAGCCGAAGTATACTCCTTGAACGAACTCGTAGCCAAACTAGTATCAAACACCTTCCCAGGCATACCCCTAATCCCATCCCTTGGCAACAATGATCTGCCATTCCACAACAGCCTGCCATATCAGCCAGACGGTTCATCACCAACACTAAACTTTTATGTAAAACTATGGTCGAAATTCATCCCAGAAGACCAACACGATACATTCCGGAAAGGGGGCTATTACGTGTCGAGTGTAGCGCCTGGATTATCAGTTGTAGCTTTAAACACTTTATATTTATGGTCTTCTAATGATGTTGTGCCTGATTGTACGTCTTCAAAGACGGCTGGAGGTGTGCATCTTAAATGGCTCGAGAATGTGTTGAAAGATGCCAGGGAATCTGGAATGACTGTTTATTTAAGTGGTCATGTACCGCCTAATGAACTACAATACTATCCTACATGTTACAAGTGGTATGTCTGAGTCAAAAAAATATTTATTGTTCTCATTCACGGAATCACGTACACATTCATTCGCCTTATCTGACTCTTACTTACGCTTTATCGTTCTCTCTCTCAGGTTCAGTTCTATAGCAACCGAATACTCTGACGTGATAGCCGGACAGTTTTATGGGCACGTAAACCTCGATCACTTTTTCTTTCCCCTCGAATTGGAAGACTCAGATGATCAAAGACTAGCTATATCGTTAATCAAGAGTGATACTCCCGTATCGGATTACTTTGATATGATGCAAGGACGTCATATTCGTAAAAATGCAGTGCATGATGAGCTATTGACCAGCCTACTTCAAGTGCCAGCATGGGACGTATCTATCACAGGACGTAATTCGCCATCATGGTTGAGATTATATGCTACCTACTTGCTTCACCAGTATGATCGTGTGTGCAACATCAAGGTATGATTTGAAGATGCTAATAGCACGTTTCTTTTGCTATGCAGAGGCGAAACATTACGCTCACATACAGAGGAACTTAACAACCTTGCTTTATTCGATATCTCAATGCTTACGTCTCTCGTCGTCCACTCGTTAGGAGCCAGCTGGACATCCAGCTGTTGTGCTAGTTTCTCCTTCTGTAACACCCGCATATAATCCATCCCTCCGCATCTACTTTTACGAACCACAATCAACCTCCACATCCTCCCAACAACACGTAATGAAAACCAGCAAACCAAGCTACACCCTAATCAACTTCACGCAATACTTTGTAAACCTGACACGAGGCTTTATCGACGACGGAGACGAGGGCGGCGATGACATTCGTATTAAACCGCTATTCGAAGAGGAATACTCGTCGCACGTGTATGGTATTGTCGGTGCCGATAACAGGGATTGGATTGAACTGTCGGGAAGGCTGACTGGGAACAACAAGAAACATGATGCTGATGGAGTATCATTTGCAGAGACCAAGAGTGAAGCCAAGAAGTTACAGGATTTGTACTTTGGGTTCTTTACTGTTAGTAGTGGAGTCAATATGGATTCTGGAGGGTCGTAAACAGTGTAAATAACGTCACGTACATAAGTTAACCCAACCATACCCATTTTTATATCATCATTTTAGCGGCCCCGTCAAGTTAGACTTTGAATTGTAAAGTAAACATTAGTCACAAGTCATTCTTTATACCATCCTTTTAGAACATAGAACAGAACACATAATTATATCCCAATAATCGTGCCTTTGCGACCTTAATCAACGTGGACAGACGCATACAGGACTAGCGAACCTCAACCACCAGCGTTAGCTTCCATGCTCTTGTCTCGACATCAAGTCAGGCCAGTTGTTTAAGAGCAGTATGCAGCTATTCGACTTGCCTATTTGCCGAGAAAGAAAGACGGAAACGATAACCCGATAAGCGGCGCCTTGATCGATGATCTAAAGCTGCATGGTCAACTTCCCAATCGATCGAAATGTTCAGCACCCAGCCGTTTCGCGAAGCTTGGTTGGGAGATATGGCTTATTATTCTTTTTTTTCAGCAATACAGTTTATGGAAGAAGGGGGAATGGTTCTATAGATCGAAAGGATTTAGCTTTCATCGTCAACATCCCGAAACAAGTTTGACAATATACCTAATATCTAATCCTTTTGTTCAGCAGCAGCCAACTTGTTCTTCCAGTATGCTCCAGCAACAGGGATTTTGCCTAACAAGACCCAACCATGTCAGTAAACCTGCCCTTCCTCAACTATTTAAACAAAGGCATGTTTGATGTCTTACTGAAAATATCTGTTCGAGCCAAAGGAGTAGGCTCCAAGAAGAGCAGTGCAGTTATGCCAGCGAATGCTCCCCATGCAGCCAACGTTGGTGCCCTATATGTATGAGATTCGTTAGCGCCAATACATTGAAAAACAACAAATTAGTGCAATTTTATCCATTTCTTTACATGTTTCGAAGTTTTTGTCTGTTGAAGAGAGGAGCCATTTGGAAGAGCCATGGAGGCCTGGTGGTCCATGCTTGGGCGAGCATTTTTGATGTATTTGAGGGTGGTGATGTGTTTGTCGGAGCAGACGTAGTCGTGAGTTTCCAAGAAAATGAAGACTTGCATGCAACACTTTTGTAACGTGTAAATCACGTAGTTACTAGCTTAAAATGTGGAATGTACCGTTGAATTGGTTTCAGCCTGCACAGGAAGTTACACTCTCTATCGAAAATTGATTCCATCGCTCCTCAACTATTACATCCACGAAATCAAGTTCCTTTTACAGGGAAAGAACAGAATCATACTCATTAACACGTACATGGCTCGTGTGCGCACTCGTCATGAAACTTTGTATGTCACCTACAACTTAAGGCGTCGTGACTTAACGCTCTCAACTTCAAGTTCATTCGGCGACAACAGTTTCGCGAGAAAAGAGGAGAGAGAGAGAGAGAGAGAAGCTTGACGGACTTAGGCCCTTGTGACGTTTACTGGTGGGGAAAAGGTGAAGATTCAGCCTTCTTTAAGGGTGATGCCTGACGACTTGTCGTCGTCAATTACTTATTAGCTTCGGCAACAGTAAACGTCTTTTGCCTTGTTACTTTCAAGTTGGCTTGTGTCAGATTTGGAATCAATGGTATGTCTTGTATCGCTCACTTCATACCATGAGCTAGGACATGCTTCCAGAATCGCTGACATTGGAGTTGCGGTATTGTTGTTGACAATATTGGACATATTACATAGAGCATTGTCTCACATACACCATATATAGTCATATTTAATATAGTTCTACTATCTCCTGGTGCTGATAGACCATAAGTTTCGACTGCACCGATTGGCTTTCAAGGTTGCTTCGACGCTAACCCAATTCGATGCAGTGAAGCATAGCGTAGTTTCATTCTGCGCGAGATTCTGCGCGAGAGTTTCTCCCTTTGAAGACGAGCTGCAGTAAAGGCCTTTCCTCTTGATTCGCAAACGCAAAACCATATGAACAGTCTCTGAGGCTAAAAATAGAGAGTCAATGGAGAATCTTAAGGATACACTTTACTATTAAGTATAGAACTACAATAAATTTCAATGCACCTCACTCTATAAAAAGTCTCAACCGTTGGCCATCATTGGCTTGTCACCACCATCCTCACCATCAGGTTCACCAGCACCCTTTTCTTGATCTGCCTGGCGCATTGGCTCAACACCATGCTCCTCCTCCTCTTGCATCTCTTCACCACCACCATCGTTTTCACCATCACCATCATCTTCGCCGATACCCTTCTCTTCATCTCCCTGCTGCATTGGCTCGCCACCATCCTCTTCGTCCTCTTGCAGCTCTTCACCATCACTTTCCATTTGTACATCCTCCTCACCATCATCCCCTTCATCCATTTTCGCAAGACGCAAATCACGTATCAGCCCCTCAGCTCTAGCAGCTTCCAGCACAGCACTAGCCATAACCTTCAAATCTGCATCTGCAGAATCCATGGCTTGATCAAGATAATGAATTGCCAATGGAATATTCAATGGTGCCCCCAACGATCCCGTCAATAGACATGAAACGATGGGTATGAGACATGTTTCGTCATGTTCTGTTTCGTATGAAGATATGTATAGCAAGTATGGAGTTGGATCGTGGGGTTCATCATTGTCGTCTATCATGTCTGAGGAAGAGGCGCCTCTAGAAGATTCGATGGTTGGTAGCGGATGAGCAGACAGAAAGTCTGCCAAATCACGTAATCGTGGTGTGGATGATATTTTGGATGCTCTTAGCAAGAACTATTGGGAAACCAAAAAAAAACGTTGTTAAAAGATGCATTATGGGAAGCCCAAGAAACGGCTGTAACTTACTTGGAATGCTCTTCTCAAATCTACAGGCACACCATCACCCGTCACAAGCATATGAGCAGCAGAAAACATGCCCTTGACATCATACTTTTCACTAGCAAGTGAATAAAGTTCCAGTGCCTTAAGTTTACAATCCAGTCCTTCCTCAGAGGTGATTCTACCATCCCGATACAAGTCACCTAGAGCTATTAAAGACCCAGCATCTCCTAAAGCAGCAGCACGTTCTAAATGCTCTTTAGCTCGATCAGCCAAGATACATAAAGCGGATGGCATTGGTCGAAGTGCCATTGCCATTAACTGAGATTGAGCTTGCGAGTGTTGTTGTTGTGATGTTGGCGTTTTAGGCGATGCGCCATTCAACGGATTACGTCTAGTAGGTTGTTGTGGTGTTGTATTCGGTTTTTGCGGTGACACAAAAATTGATGAGGAAGCAATCAATACTTGCTCGTAATGAAAATTGGCGAGTTTAATCGTGGCATCAGAATCACCGAGCGAGACAGCATATTCCAATAACTCTTCAGCTTTTTTAGGATTTGCGGGTATGATTCTCTCATAGCCGTTTAAGAATATTGAGGCTGCTTGATGGGTTGATGATATGTCGCCCATGGCTGAAGCACGTAACAAGAGTTTTAGACATGTAGCGTGTCCTGGATTTCGTGATGTAATAGTATCATCATCAGGATCAGGATCATCGTCATCTTCTTCTTCTTCTGACGTGTCATCGTCGTCGCGATCAGATTCTCCTTCGTCTGTCTCGTCATCAATCTTCTTTGGAGCCTTTGAAGAGGAAGGCATTTCGCCAAACTGCCAATGCCAAGCAGCGAGTCTCTTGATACTATCTAGTTCATTGGTTGCTGCGACAACATGTGTCAGCAGCTTGATTGCTTTATGGGGATTATATCTTGCTCCCTGCATAGTAAAGAGTATCTCAGATTCCATTGGTATGCGACTGAGAGCAAGTTGAATGCCATACTTCTCCAGTCCAATAACAATTTGCCAAACTCTTGAGTGATGGCATGTGCTTTTGTCGAGCTCCTTCCTTATAGTACTATCGAATGTATGGTCGTTTAGATCAATAAATGCAATCATGATAAATCTGAATATATTTCATACCGAGAATGCCAGTTCCTTGTTGATCTTGACTTTTAAATCTTGATGACCATGAAACAAGCAATCACCAACAAATTGCTGTAGTGACGGATGCCGAGTTTCATCAGCTTTCGAGATGGCGTCCTCGAATGAAAATGGCAGGGCCTCTGATCCTGTCATATCTCTCTTGCTTCATAGGGCTTATGGAAGTCGTGTGCTTTTCAAAATGATCGAGTTTGATGATGTTGTCGCGTAAGGCCGAGCAATCAGATTTGCTTTTTTTTAAGGAAGAAATCTTGTTCCTTCGATTGCAGCAAGGACTGTTACCATATGCTTGGAAGGAAGAAATCACGTCAAAGAGTGCTCTATTCACTCACACCGCAACGGAAGGCGTCGGTTTCAACACGTATAACCGTTAATAATTTATACTTTGTATTGCATTGACCCGTGAACATCTTAGTTAGACCATAAGTATTATTCCTTTGTCAATTGCTCAACTTCCAACCAAAACACAGACTGACGTGGTAAACTACCACCAGACCTCCAACGGCCGAAGGCAGACAGCAAATCATAGCTGCCAAGCAACAATGCCCCCATCAACTGAGAACGGCGTCGAAGAAGTGGACCATCAAGCCGCAACTGAACCATGGATCTACGTCCCCAAACCAGTTAAACACGTTCGTGTGGTGAGTCATGCCAATTGTCTACTGGATTTGAGTTAGTCAAGCATATAAAAGCAGTTATATATGCTCCAACTTCGAGACTGAGCTTCATTCCCTGTGAAATGGCATGATGCGTGACTTTGTGTCGCACATCGACAATCGCACTGAAATCCAATTTGCTCTTTAACAAAATGGAGGAATTTAGCTTTTTCTTACTTGTAAATTCATGAATTTAGATTTGCATTGGTGCTGGTTGTAGTGGAAGTAAGCGTGGACGAACTGCTGAGCCTGTAAAGATTGGAACTTTAGATCTCATGCTTCGTTTTCTTCTAGTTTACATGTCATATGCTATACCTCGCAAACTCAAGAACGTGTCCCTCAAGGTGTATGAGAAGAACGCCGACCTTGGAGGTGAATCCATATTTGATCTGTTATTGGTGACTCTGGATGCTCAACTTTTTTTCAATGGTGGTTTAGGAACTTGGCTAGAAAATCGCTATCCAGGTTGTGCTTGCGACGTACCCGTAAGCTCTACCAAAACATTCACGTCACGCTATTCCCATATCGCCAAATCACAAACCAACACTCCTACTCTTTTCGTCATAGTCACACGGCTACTCATGGAGTTTCGCACTAAACCCAGAATGGAGTCGCTTCTACTCCCAAGCCGAAGAAATCTGGAAGTATCAGAAATCAGTCGCCAAGAGATTCGATTGTGAAAAGTACATGACATTCAACACGAAAATCAATGAAGCTGTCTGGGACGACAAGCGTGGTGTTTGGACTCTGTACGGGATTAATGAAGTCACATATGATCGAGTCAAGGACGAATGTGAGATCTTGATATCCGGAATGGGTGCTCTGAATACTTGGCGATGGCCTAATATAGAGGGGTTGGATTTGTTTGAGGGGAAATTGATGCATACTGCGCTATGGTAAGAAGTCTGCTTGGAGGGCACACAAGTCTTGTACGATTCCTGGGATGCGCTTTACTTTTTTGGCTTCATCAACTCAACATCCTTTATTGACTGCTTCAAACCTTCCAAAAAAAAGGGACACGAAATACTCTCTCGAAGGCAAACGTGTCATCGTCATCGGCACTGGAGCATCCTCGGTCCAAACGGTCCCCACCATTCAACCAATCGTCTCAGAACTAATCTTGTTCCAACGTCACGCTGGGTGGATTCCTCCACAAGCCGATGCCACTGGAATGGCTCAAGGCTCCAACTTGGAATATACAGAGGAGCAGAAGAAGTACTGGCGTGAAAATCCTGATAAACACAAGTGAGTATGAATGTCAATCTTGGTGTTGTTTTTGGGGATTTTTCATTGTTTCAATTACTAACGCTTATCAAATGAAAATGAATAGGGAGTTCTACGGTAAAGCGCACTGTCAACTACTGCACCAGACAAACACATTTCCCTTACTCTTTTACAACTTTCCAACCAGAAAACTTCAACGAAGGCTATGAAACCTTCTTCAAGACATTCATGATGAACTCTCCTGAAAACGTCAATTGGCAACGTGATGTGACAAACTATTACCAAACTATTATCAAGGATCCCAGTATCCGAGAAAGGTTACTGCCTTCGTATGGTGCGGTTTGTAGCCAGCTGAAGTCGGATTCTCTTCCGCGTGGGACTTACACCCTTCACACATTTTGATACCCAAACTTAGAAATCGGGTGCAGACGAATCACGCCCCACACAAAATACCTGCAAGCTCTTCAACAAAAGAACGTGAAACTAGTAACTGCCGGTATTAAAGAAATCACTGAAACCGGAGTCAGGACTGTTGATGGCAAGTTGTATGAGGCTGATGTTCTTGTAACGGCAACTGGATTCGATACGTAAGTGTTGAAATTCAAGGTCAAAATTTGACTTGTCAGTCTTGCAGCGTTTGGGGCTTTTTTTGTTGCGTCTATTGAACTAACACGACCACGATTTCAAACAGATCATTCATCCCACGAGTCAAAATCGTTGGCAAAAATGATATTTCTATTCAAGAGGCTTGGATGAATGTAGCTGAAGGCTACTTGGGGTATCAATGAACCTTTTAAACCAAAAACTCACGTATTCTCAGTCGAAATGGTTTCACTGATACGTCAACTCCACACGTTTTAACAGAACTGCAGTATGCGGCTTCCCCAATTACTACACCATCCTCGGCCCCAACACCCCTATCGGTCAAGCATCACTCCTTCCATATATGGAGTCTCAAGGAGACGTGAGCGTGCTATATATACCACAAGTTTTATTGTGCGAAATCCAACACTAACTCAAATCCTCTTACATCACACCAGTATATCATTCAAATGATTTCCAAAATGCAAGATGACGCAATCAAATCATTCGATCCCAAGAAGCAAGTCCAGAAGGAGTTCAACGAATGGACTCAGTATTTCTTGCTAAGGACTGTTTGGCAAGGTGGTTGTGCTAGTTGGTATAAGACTGATACAGGTGTGTTGAGTGTGGTCGTGGTTGACTCCTGGAGAAGAAATCCTGAGTAACTCTTTTTTTTGTAACAGGTGCAAACACTGCTATCTGGCCAGGTAGTTCGGGACATTTCAGAAACTTCATTGTGAAGCCACGATTTGAAGATTATGAAATTGTGTATGATCACAAAAATCGATTTGAGCATCTTCTTGGGTGTGGTCTCACTCGATGATGATGATGAGGTGGGGATGTGTTGGTGACATACGAGACTGTCTGTCTCTATACATGGTTTAGTGTTTGCTTTCTTTGAATACGTTTTGTAGTATTGTGTTGTCAATGAAGATTCAATAGGTCAAGTACGACTAGCACTTTCGATAAGGCGAAGTTGGTTTGATCTTACGCGAACACACAAGACAACGATGTGCTTTTTATACAAGGGGGTTTACATTTGAAATGCGACAAAGACTAATATTATATGCATGAAAGAAACAACACAACACCTCACATCTTGTTCACTAGCTGCTTTATGAAGGGCTTATGATCACTATTGATAAATTAGGATTAACAGATGAGAATTGGAAACTCATTACAACTTATAACAACACTTTACACTTACAGCATCGGCAGCCCATTCGTTCTCACGACGGATCTGTTCTTCTTCTTCAGCTGTGAAGTCGTTTTCAATGTTGAACATTTCACGGATCTAAGGGTCAAAAATATGTACATGAATAACATTGATCATCATGTCCATCATCGACTTGTAACAAGTCATCAGCTTATCATCACTTCCACGTGTGACAACTCATCATCCCCATTGATGAATCATCGCATTCCATCAAATCCAATCAAACGATTGTATGTACAATAGAACTTACTTGTTCGGGACTCTTGCCCTTGATCATATTTGCGACGGTTTTGCATCCAAGGTCCAAGAGAGGTTTGATGTCGAGATAGTTAGCGGCTAGGATGATTTCAAAGAGTTCTTCATTGTCGACTTTGATGAAGGCAGCATCCCATTCATCAATATCGTCAGTCTTTTTGCGAGCAGAGTCGAATTGGTCCTTGTCGTCTTCTGGTGGAGGTGCAGCATCATCCTTGTGATGTCCACAGTATTCAATGACCTAATTATAAATCATGATGAAATTGATTAGTGTATGTAAAGGAAAGATGTTTCGTTGTTGTTTCAAGTTGGGTGGTTTGAGTGTTTTGAAGTATGTCAAAGTGGCAAACCAATCAAGTCCAATGAAGCGCATCCAAATAATGGAATGACTTGATGGTACGATTGATAATCATATCCATTTTATCCCTCTCCACCCTTAATTAACAAACATGTCCTCGTAATCCTCCCAACGCAAAGTGAACTGTTTGATGTGCAACACTCAAGCAACCCAAGCGAAGCGATGATAACAATGAGCGTGCGTAGACAGATAGCATGATTGTTGCCTACCTTGCCAAGGATTCGACCAGATACGTTTGGTAGAGGGACAGGAGTGTCGCTCTCTCCAACATCTTCAAGCATATTCTTCAAGAGCATACTACGCTCGGCAGTAGTCTTTTCAATGGTGAAGGTTTGATTATCCTGGGAGATGAGTTTGACTTGAGCCATGTTGGAGCTAGGTGTTCCTTGTCTATGTGTTTGTTGGATGTTTGCGATCTTGATCCGTTGAGACACTAAGGTCAAGTTGGGTTTTGAGAGGCTCCTTGATTCCAGAGCGGCAACGCGACGTGCTGAAAGGCGAGTTATTATTATGCTAATAATTAAATTAAACTAGTTTGGCCGCGTTCAGTCACAAGAAAAAGTTCAAGTCACGTCGCGAGCTTGAGTGGGATTTTGATCAAGAATCGAGCATTCATGGGTAAAGGGTGATTCTGCATGGGATTCGAGCATTCGATTTCCCCATTGCATACGCTGCAAGTATAAAACGAGTCAACTAGCACTTGATAGAGCAAGCATTGAAGTACATTCGACAGATTTTATTTCGTACTACAACTAAACTTGTTGGCGGTATTTGTCAGGGCAATTTGCTTTGACGTTCTATTTCATGTGTTTCGACCACCATGCAAGCTACAGAGTAGCGAGCTTAGCACCTAACTATATCATAGACCATTCCGACCATCTCCCGCATTGTTCTCGGGTACCATAGGATCTTCAGGACTACAATATACCTCGTTCGTATCCATGTTTCTGAGCTGTGACCGGAAATCACGGGAAACAAACACAAGATATGTCTCCATCAATTTATCACATGCGTCCCAGAATGTTGACACTTTATGAGCTTCTTCAACACCGCTCAAACTCTCCACCAGACTACCAGCTTCAACAGCAGTATTCCAACTGTGCTTGATTTCGAGCCTAGCAGAGTTTCGTGGTGGTTTCAACGCACCTTGATGGAGTGCATTACCAGATATTGCACGAGTTTTTAGATCCAGATTCGTCAATTTAGTCAGAGTGGAGATGATGGCAACAAATACATCCTCTAACAGTCGCATTCATCCAGAATCAATACTTCGAGGTTGATGGTATGCTGCACTATGATACCGATCAAACGTGGCTCCAGCACATGCTGAGAGACGAAGACTTTTGAGTTGCCCTCCGCTTGAAGAGACAAAATTTGCGAATTCGCCTCGATTGGCATCTGCAGGTGACATATCTTCAGTACTTAAACTACGAAATGGCAGATGGAAGACGGACGGATCAATCTTCACGACTTCATCTTGTGGACTGTTGTGGGCCTTCTATGAATTGACCTTCTGACAGAAGATGGGGCAATACAGTCTTTGTAAACGTCACGTGATTTGATTCGAGGAGGTTACATACTTTATACGGAGCGATATCGACCTTTTCCAATAAGGAGTTATTATGTCACGTGATTTGATTCGAGGAGGTAACATACTTTATACGGAGCGATATCGACCTTTTCCAATAAGAGAGTTATTCTTTCATTGTTTCATTTGCTAAACCCGTACAAGCAGTAATTGGTATTTGATCCATCTGTTCGCCGCAGTTTCTATTCCACATGCCACTTCTATACAGCTCTCTAAGCGTCCATCGGACCCTCTGCACCCAATTGACCATTGTTAGCACCCAACTGACCATCCTCGTAGTTATCTCCCAACACACCGTCTTCAGGCCCAAACGGACCATCTTCAGGACCACGATGCACCTCGTTCGTGTCCAAGTTTCTGAGCGGTGACCCGAAATCAAAATAAACAACGACATTATATGTCTCCATCAATTTATCATATGCATCCCAGAATGTTGACACCTTTCGATCATCTTCAACACCCTTCAAACACTCTACAAGACTTCCTCCAGCTTCAAACCCAGTATTCCAACTGGGATTGATTTCGAGCCTAGACGACTTTCGTGGCCGTTCCAAACCACCTTCAGCAATAGCATTGGCAGATATTGTACGACTTTTACATACCAGTTCCAGGTTCGTCAGTTTCGTCAGAGTAGAGATGATGGCAACCAATACATCCTTTGACAAGTCAAAGTTATCCAGAGTCAAGACCTCGAGGTTGATGGCATGCTGCGCTATGAGACCGACATCAAACGTGGCTTCAGAATACGCTGAGAGACGAAGACTCCTAAGCTGCCCTCCCTTCGTAGATAAAAATCTCGTAAATTCACCTCGATTGGCATCTGCTACTGACATATCTACAACAGTCAATTTACTGAATGGCAGATTGAAGATAGATCGATCAATCTTTACAACTATATCTTGAGCAGTATGAGGGCCTTCTCCGAATGGGTCTGCGTCTTCCTGATCTTCTGATCGTGGATGAGTCAACACAATCTCTTCCAAGCTAGAGTGGTTTGCTTCGAGTATGGCACATATCTTATACGAAGGGAAATCCACTCTCGTCAATACAAGGGCTTGGAGGTGACGTCCCTGCTTCTCAAAGCAGTCAAGATGGTTGCAATTTATGAGGACGTTATTGAGCGACAGTTTACGTAGCTTACTATATATGTAAAATAAGTCAACGTGATTCCTTATATCGACTCCTCTGAGATCTAGCTTATTGATGGTATCTAGACTTTTGGCATTTAGAGCTACTATGAGAGGGTCAACAAGAGAGTGACCCTCCATTCCAGAATAGCTTCGATAAGTGAGCGACTCGAGTGGCTGTCGTTCTATAAAAGTGGCTATAGCATCCCAAGGTTCGTTCCTGTCGTATGACAACATCCTCATATCTTTGACAACAGGAGACTTCGCTGCGAATTCCTTGAAGTTCTTTGCTTCAAATAAACGTGGAGAAATGTCAAGTTTGGTAACGGTAGCAGGGAAGAGACCTATTACTGGCCCAACGGAAGGGAGATATACATGTTCTACATACGTGGCGTTGGTGCAAGAAGCGATCAACTTGATGACCGCATCTTTGCGAGATTGATCTCTGGCAGCCTTGATAAAACGATTTCTGGTAGCCAAAACAGGGGTTCGACCTTCTGCGAAGGGAGAGTACAAATGATATACCAGTGACTGCAATCTGAGAATTCGGACTTTAGAGAAGACATTCTGACTGTAAGATGTTGACTTTTGCAGATTCTCCAACATGAGAAGAATACAAGTTGCCTCAGAAGGTTCCTTGGTTTCATTTGTGGTAGTGCAACGCTAGTAAAATCGGAATAACGTTAGTATGCAGTCACAAAGTCAATACGCCGTCGTCCAGAGAGTCCATCACGCAGCCAAATGATGCTACGAGGGAAAATTTTACATACATCACCAATCTCATAATATAAGTGCTTGACAGCCATGGAATTCATATCTTTACACGTCCTTGCCATTGTATTGAGAGACGACTCTGCAGCCATTGATAGTATCATATCCCATATCTCGTTCGGCAGATGATGTTCTATACAATATTTGAAACCACATTCAAATGTCAAAACGAGAATATGAGGAGAAGACGTTGATGCGAAAAGCAAATTTGAGGTAGAAAGCACACGTAATTCGATAGAAAAGCACCAATTGACACGAATATTACAGTTGAAGAAAGAAACCATCTGCTTCTACCTTCATTCATGACCTGATTTTCAGCACTTCCCAGCATCTCAGTTTCGTTTGGCATTGATGCAGAGCTAAACGTTTATATTTGCTTAAAACAACATGCAAAAGAATAGACAATACATTGATTTAGTACGTACCGAGATAAATCTGAAGCCATCGCATCCGATTGCGAAGATTTCTGCATCTACTGCCTGGAGTGATTGACACGGTGTCTGTCAGCAAGCCTTTCCGGTATTCACGAGGGACATGCTTGATGACTTTTCTGATCGAAACGAGCTCAGAAAACAATTGGCGGATTGACGAATGAGGGGATGAAGCTGCTTCGTGACTTCTTGAAGTTGAAGGTGTGCCGAACGTGATTTTCTGAGTAGTTCGTTGACCAGCTGCGCGTCAGTTCAGGCAACATAGAAATATAAATTATATCTAATATTCTACTACTAATTGCTACTTTTTTCTGGCTTGAATGAAATAAGTCGTTCCAAAATGATAATTCTTCAGCTCCACAATTTCAAGTCCAGCCTCCCTAACCAGACCTTCAATCTCACGATTCCACCAGCAGCCCCATCGTTTAGAATGACTGTGAGCTTCTTTATCTAAAGCCTCGGCAATAAATGCATAGCTTTTACTAGTACCGTGCTCTAGCAATAGTACTCTACCATCACGCTTGACAACTCGATTCATTTCCTGAAGACATTTTACAGGATCCGGCATACTACACAGCCCAAAACAGTCGACTACTGTGTCGAACGAGTTGTCTGGGAACGGAAGTGATGAAGCGTCAGCTACAGCCAGTTTGATTTCTGGTAGTGCCTTGTTTTGTTTTGTCTCTTTCATTTTATAATATGCGACCTCCAACATGTTGGTGTTTATGTCGGTCATAGTCACGCTGTTGGTGGGAGGATGTTTGTAAAGCGACATGTTTCGGCCTGTTCCAGCTGCTAGTTCCAAAACACGACCCTACGATTCCACACTTTTGCTGATCAGCATTCAAATCCTGCTCAGCTCCATTTCAAAGCATCGTCATCAAGCGTACCTTCGCAAGTGCTGTAACTTGCTTCCTCCTCCTTCCGAGTCCCATAAAGAACTCATCCCACGAAATGGCATCATCATACCCTTTTGCAATATCGTCATATACAGACACTTGCAATTGCTGGAACTTTGGATCTCGAATAGTGGGCGGTGGTAATGGTATTGACTTGAGCTTGTTATAGTGGTAGCTGCCATACGATGCTGTGAAGAAGAGGAAGAATCCACCCGTGACGGATATTGGGAGATTCCTGAGACGTTGTAAGCGAGCGGTCATTCTACTATGTAGTGATGTGTGAGAGCGAGCGATACATGTGTTGCTAATGCATCTGCTGATGTTGTTCGCGAAAACTTGTTTGGCGACGTGTGGAAAACACAGTAAAGAGTCAAATCACGTGTATATGATGTATACGCGAGGGTGCAGTCATCATAACCATCTCTGATCGCTCAGATGAACCACATTGCGCCCCAAAAAACCAAAATTCCAAACCAACAACACGAGGACTCACGTTGCAACGAAGACACCATGAATAGCAATAGTAGCAGTAATAGCAAGCTTTCGATGACTTCTCCGTTACGTAGAAACAATTCTGGAGAGACACGGTTGACTACGACCTTCAATGTCTCAGGACAAATGTTTGAAGGTACGAATACTTGAACAGTGGACGTCAGTTGATGCGGGTTTTGTGGGTCATAATTGGTTATATGAATGCAATTTCAGTGTATTGAACTTGCTATGGAAACAATTTTGTTGCTTTGTATTGCGCCAGTTTTAACCCTGTCACAAATCAACACTGTTTCTAGTGAGCAATGCTCTCCTCAACAAATTTCCAAACTGCAAGCTCTCTATAATGGCTAACTCCACACGATCTATTGCTATTACGGCTCCTTCGTCAAAGTCTGATTTATTTGTGGACCTGAATCCTTACGCCTTTAATGTTGTTTTGGACTACATGAGGTAGATACCCTAAGCATACTCCGCTTAATGATATTCATATTCGAATATGTATCAGGAGCGCCGTTTGGGGATGCTCGTTTGCGATGCAACCTGGAACCCTACTCTGCCTGTGTTGAATCTTCACGACTGGACTGCAATCCTGTGACATTGCATATCGTTTACCAATCTCCTTTCCTGTTAGATACGGAAAACTCTACTGTCCGAGAAACGTCGCCAAAGAAGTAGTCGACTTGCAGCTCCGAGCACTCGACATTGAGATAAAAGCTGAAGTTGTCGAAATCGACGCCGACGACCTATATCCAACGACATCTTCAACAAATTTCAATATAAATGCATCAATAGAAGATCCAAACCAACCACCGCCATACACACCAAGCATATCAAACACCTATAATCGTAGCGACACAAAACAACCCATATCAACATCGTCCTCATCATCAGTACAGGCTCAGGTACAGTTATCATCAACTAGCAAACTCGAAAATCTGATAGGAGGCTGGCTATCTCCGATAGTAATCACACGGGCCAAGCGTGGGTTGAGAAAGCTGAAATTCTTGTTTGTACCAATGGGTGTAGAACTCACGAAAATAGCAGGCTTTGAATCTCTGTCGAATGATGGTGCACCTATTGAGATAGTGCATATGAATAGGAGTCATACTGAGGACTCTGAGAGTGTGGGTGATATAGTCTTTTTAACGTCATCAGGTACGCCAGAAGAGTTGGCGAGGTTGCTGGTACTTCGGACAGGGATTGTGAGGGCTGTACCAGAACTGCCAGAGATATTTACAAGGACTGAAAATCAGTTTGGAACTACCGAGTCGCAACGGCATCCTGCTCTCCTACTACATGTAACTTTGGCTTGAAATTGTACCAAAGTATGGTCAAACAGATATTGTTATAAGCATTTGTTACTGCGGTAGTACTTACAATAAAAACACACTCTCACAACTATATAAAATCCGCGTTTTAATTCAACATGTTAAAAAGAAGAACCCACGTCCAGTATGAATCATCAGATCAAAGCGTTCTCATCCCTTGATGCCATTCACTTGTTTGGTCGGTACCGGGGCTGGAGCTGGAGCAGTGGCTCCCTGCATGTTAGCCATCCAGGCTGGAGCAGTGATGCCTGTTTGTTCTACGAGAAAGGGAGCGCATCTGTTAGGATTACCTCGGGCCATAATCAATGAGAACAGCGCTATACCTTGAATTGTAGTCAAAAGAGGTGGGATGCTTTGAAACACATCTCGAATAGGTCTCATCGTGTCAGTTTCTAACGAAAAAGCAAACATTGGAAACTAGCATATCGCTGTTGAAAAGCATACAAAAGCACATACCACCATTTGAAGATCCAGTATTCCAAACGGTAATCTTGGGTTGCAGCCCCCGGATCGCTTCAGCATTCGATTTGGCCAGATCCAAGTACAATCCCTTGTCCAGCATCAAGTAATCTAAAACCGCTCGTTCACTTCCAAGAGCTTGCTTCAGACGGTTGAGACCAGATGCTTGAGCTTCATAGCTAAAAAACAGCCAGATTTCCATCACAATTTGTTCCTACAATCATCATGAAGAGATGTGCTTGAGACTTACATTGCAAGAATACCCTCTGCTTCTTTAGATTGTTGATACAGCTTTCCCTCGGCTGTTTTCGTGCGCTCATACAGCTCTCCATCGACTTGTCGTTGTTGTTTGTATAAAGCAGCATCGGCCATAGTAATCGTTCCTTCAGCATCGACCTTGGTTTTGGCCAAGACATCACTTCTCTGCTTTTCAAGCGTCATGGCAGCCAATTTGATTTCAAGTTCCTATGTGAGTATAATATAGTTAGCAAAAAAATATATGACTGAAGAGCAACGGCCTTTCGTACCTTTTGGAGATCAGCGTCCACGACTTGAGCTCTCTTATCAGCTTGAATACGTGCTAAAAGCACACTATTGTCAATTTCAATGTTCTTCGTAGCGAGACTTCCTTGAGCTTTAGCAACATCGGCCTTCTTCTCATTCTCATAGATGACCTTTTAGGAGTTCGAATTTGAGTTTACTGATACGAGGGTTTGAAAGCACGGTGGCCTGATATGGTGCATACCGTGTCTGCTTCGATTCTAGCTTGCTCTCGACGCGTAAGACCAGACCGTTCCTAATTAGATCACGAATTTTAGGCTGTGTGGGCAAAACTACAAGGCTATAGTTCTTTTTTTTTATACCTTTTCCCCAACGTCTCCTCGGTATTTGGCTTCAGCGACGTCCACTTTGGCTTGATTGACGACGCCTTGCTCTGTCTTCTGTCTCAGGAAATGGAAGTACTCGGATCCGGCTGTGTCCTAAGAACGAAGGTTTTTAGCGAGCGATGCTGGGTATGCGAGGTGTCGATGAACAATGGTCACGAGGTTAAGCTAGAGTAGCTGTGATCACTCACTTGGAGCTGCTTCACGTTGGCTATAGTGTTGAAAAGGTGGTTAGATCATGGTTTGGCACAACCATCGCATGATTCACTCTCTGGATCGAAACACTCTGGATCGAAAAACGGCTTTCTCAAATCAAGCGCTCCTACTCACCGTTATAGATGAAGAGCCCAAATTGATCTAACTGATAATTTGAGAAAGAACTGGTTAAGCAATGGGCCGAAAAGTAGGTGCGATCACACCAACATACCTCGCTTTGCACATTCTTGATAACTTGCTCCTTAAACAACTTCCTCTGCTGAAAAATCTCCTCCATAGTCAGCGAAGCAGCAATCACACGTGTTTCCCCCTCTATAACACCCCGAACGAGCTCCTCCAATTCATTGCTCTGGTTATTTTTATCAAACGATCCACTCAGGAGGCGTGCGTACTTCTTGAGCGCATCTTGGTCTTGATCTCGGGGCCCGATCGTGAAGACAGCGGGGAGTGTAAATTCTAATTTCTCAGCGCTCATAGCTTGTAGCGAGAGAGTATAGTTTACCGGGGACACACTGAATACAGTGACGCGTTGGAAGGGATACACCCAGCATTTCTTGCAGAGATAGATGTCCTCGACTCCCATTCCAGTTTTTATGAGAAATTCATTTGCCTAGGTGGTTAAGAAACAGACATTGTCAGAAATTGTGTTTTTCGTTGATGTTTGGAGATGTGATGATTACAGAGATTTAGACGATAGTTCCAACGAACGCTACTATAGATAAGTGCTCCGAGAGGTGTTATCCACACTTGCGGTGAGCAGATCTCTCCGCATGCGCCTTCCCTCGTCAACCTCAAACCTCAACAAACAACCAGAAACGCGCATCCGTCAAATTCAACCAACAACTTACTTTGGCGACTATGAAGGAGGGGAATGGAGACATTTTCAGATATTGTCACTGCCTTTCCCGAGTCTTTGGCTCTAATTGACACTTTTGTTACTGCTGAGAATTCACTGCCACACCGCGCTTTTGTTTGACTGTAACTGAAACGCTGGCTGGAATCCCGAGTCTACCAACTGAACGTGACTGACTGGCTGATTTACACAGCTTTGAAGCCTCGAGTCGTGTCCATGCAAAAGGAAAGGTGGTGTATTGTTGCGTGGTGAGTTATATAAATTACAAAATTACACGGTAGATCGTTCAAAGTTGATTTTCTCTAAAAAGTCAGCAGGAAGTTTCAGCCTGCATCGACTCTTGAATATAGACAGCGTCTGATCTCTCACAATATCCTCTACGGTCCTCTCGTTCAACATCTGGCGTCGACGAGCCTCTATCTCCCCAAGCGAATTCTCCAGCCTCAAATCACGATGACCAGAGAGCCGCACTGTCGCTAAAGACGTCTTCTTTTCATCAATCTCGTCAGAAACGACCTTGATGCATCGGTTTATGAGCCTATGTGTTGCAACGAAGTCAGTTTCGGTCATCCAAAGCAAGTTCGATCGACAAAGCGACCAAAGGCAGCTCTCTCCTGAGAGTTAGAAGCGGCTGGTAGACTCGTACCTCTCGCGAGACTCGTAAGCGGCATGAAGCTGGACTAGAAACATTTGGCAAGCTTGATGTGGATCCTTTTCCCTCATTACAGCGTTTATCCTACAATTGAAAACATAAGTTCCATGGTTCATATTACAAATGGACAGTACGTTTACTTGCTTGGGCACAATATCGTCGTCTAGTACTCTTGCATGTCGTAGAGTTTGTTTGAAAAGACTACATATAGAAGTGCCGGCCAATAAGTAAGTTAATATGAAGAAGAGCGATCGGGCAAGGTCATACCTAAAGTCATCGCATATGCTGGGATCCTCCTCCATCTTCTTTGGTCTGTTGGGCTACTTACTTGTTAACACGAAGCAATCTCGAAAAGTTCGCAGTTCACATCAGATTGTAGGTTCTTAAAACGGGCAGGAAACATTCATTTCACGTGATTTCACGCGTTCTAGATCTGAAAGTAGCCTCCATTGAGTCGACAACTTTGAGCTAGGAACTTGCATGCGTCACCATCTTTCGTTGCCATCAAAAAGTCTGTTGATACATGAAAAAGCACTAATTGTATTCTAATCTACGGCGCATCAAGAGCCTATTTATCACTTCAGAGTATCAAAATGAGTGCTTAAGGGCTGTCTGTTTGTGAATCGCCAAGTCGTCTAGTTGGGAACATCCATTCTGTGAATCCGACGGAGCAAACAAGGCTTCACATCTTCTCTCATAGCATTCTCAACAAGGTATACAACGTGACGACAGATTCTGCTTTGATTCAGAACGTGATTCTCTGCCTTACTAGAACTAATCGCCAACATCAAAATTTATCAGCTAGACGCAAAACGTCAAAAATGAAGAGGAGGACCACATCAAAGTCACTTGCAGCATCGTCTGAGCCCGATAAAAACTCTCCAGTCCATGTCACGGACAGGATCTACAAATCACTGGACCTGCTACCCGAATGGGTGTTATCACGGTCTAACCAATACATTCTCAGCCACTATCGAACAGTGACATACTCATACACCAAATGTGCCCATTCGCTATGGTACCTGCATAACGAATTTGGGAATATCTGGACGCATTTACTTGGATCTTTGGCTTTTTTGATTTTATTTCTCGTCACGTTTGGATCCACGACTTGGACTGAGAATTGGTCGACGCATCTGCCTGGATTCACGCTGCCTGTCGGCCATGTGCCATTTATACCACCAGGGTTATCTTGGAGTCAATTATCTGGTGATAGGTGGAGTGATGTCACTGTGACTTCGGTGTTCATGTTGTCGGCAATCGTCTGTTTGGTACTGTCGACTCTGTTTCATCTCTTTTGGTAAGATTGCAAAATTATGTCCTGAACTCTTGAACCTGTGCTGACAATTTTGGCCTTCACAGCAACCATTCTCCTGGAGTGTCACTTGGCTGGAACCAACTAGACTATTGTGGGATTGTGGTACTAATAATGTATGTATAGCATCATCTGGAAGCTCAATCTCAGTTCAAATTCAGTTCAAATTCAAGGATTTCAACTCTCGTTTGAAACATATAGTGGGTCTTATATTCCAGTTCTGCACTATGGATTCTACTGCCGTCCTTCATTGCAGATATTGTACATGTCTGGGATTGTCATATCTGGCATCGCTACGGTATGATGTTGCAAAACTGACCATGCTTGTTGAAATCGGTCTTGATGGACCAGAAGCACTCAATACCGGTCTTAGATTGGTGTGGTTATTCTTCCTACTTTCTATGCTAGAAAATGGCTCTGGCTGCGAACGGTACGGTGAAGCGACTCTCGTCTTCTGAGTTTCAACAACCTTTGCAAGCCAACAGTATTCGACTTACTCGCTAACATGCAAGCTTGCAGGGTCTATTTCTGGTACTGGGACTTTCAGGAATAATACCTGTTATACATGCCATTCAACTCTATGGCGTCTCATTCGGCAGTAGAAGTTTCTCGATCGGGCCACTTGTACTAATGGGATTTCAGTATGTGCTGGGAGCATTGATGTACGGCCTGAAGATCCCAGAACGTTGGTGGCCAGGAAGGTTCGACCTGTTTGTAAGTCGAACAATCGGAATGTGGCCGAAATTACATGCATCTTGTCTTGTTTGCTGAATGCTTAATTTTTGTTAGGGTCATTCACATCAAATCTTCCACGTCCTGGTTATTACTGCCGCGGCAACGCATTATATTGGTGTATTGGAAGCTTCAAGATTTTGGCATCAATTGGATCACAGGTACATATGTTTTTCGATTTCGCATTTATTAAGGTTTAACTGTTACTACTAGATGTGAGATGGTGCCGTCTCTAATAGCATATTTCGAGGGTCTGAAACAATAATAACTTAAAATGGTGGTCTAAAATCATGACTGAAATTCGCGGACTGATTGCAAGATCTACGACATGTTAAGTCCGAAGTTTTGATATTAACGTTTAGACGCTGCGTGTAGATCATCCAAACAATTAAGAACCTTCTTAGCTCATTCGGCGGCAGATCACGAGCTCAAGTCCCATGCTTCGCGCCAAGAACCTTAACACGAAAAACCTTCACATCTCGACGGCACATCTTGACCACTATTTAATCTGCGGCGAAAGCACTCAACTTCTAACATTCAAAAAACAACTTCTGCAAAATAACATAACAACCAATCTCTAATACTGTACGTATGAACTTACATCTCTTTCATCGCACCGCATTGCATTGCATCGCATTGGTCTGATAATAACTAACGCCTTCCACCAAACAGCTCTCCGGAAAGCAAAACAAGAACATCAAACATGTCTAACTACAACCAAGGAATCCCAAACACCAACGGAAACAACCTACCAGGTAAGATCTGTCGTCCTTCTGATTTTCACTTGTTGTCCCATCTGAAGAAGCCATCCTGATTTCAATAGCTGGAGGCATTCTCGGTAGCTCAAACAACGCACACACAACTGCTGGAAACTACTTGCCTCACTCAACTGCCGGAACTACACAAGGAACCACTGCTTTCGGCCAACCCTCATACGGTCAACAAAATGCCTATGCTCCCAACAACGCTGTTGGTGCTGGTGTTAATGGACAAGCACCTTCTACAATGCATGGCATGAAGGAAGAAGTTTTTGGTGCTGTAGAGGTAAGATCGTGAAAAGTCTCCTCTACAATTGTAACATGTAACCTAACCTTAAACAAATAGGCTGGTGTTGGCAAGCTCACCGGCAACCTGGACAAGCAAGCTGAAGGAGATGCACGAAAAATGGCCGGCGCACAGGAGAAGATCGCTGCCAAACAAACTCGATAAATTCATCCAGTATAAAGTCACTCTTGAAATTTCTCCACAATATGCTCATTTTGTAAAACATCATTGAATATGCACAATATAGTCCACGTAAAATCGTAAATCACTTGCATTTGAAAGCGACTCAACTTTGAAATTGTACATCAGTTGCCTTTTAAAGCGACTATGTAATGTGGGCTGTTTTTAAAGTTGCAGCTGATGATGTTTGGCAACGAGCAACAAGCTGGCCGAGTTGAAAGGTAGGATATAATGGAAATATGAGGTGATCAATGTCATCAGTAAGGCAGTCTAGAGGTCCATCCACCGATGACCATTTACAAAGTTTCGTTTTAACCTCGAAAAGCAAAAGAGTGTTTCATTGCAGAATTCTGAGGGAAACCATTGGCAACGGGTCCTGCCAAGACATCATTCGGTATGTAGCGATTATAGCCGATAGTCGGAGGAGCTATCGCTGGTCTGGTAGCAATCTAGCACTAGCAGCAGGACTTTGCAACGTTGCATTTGGACGTTTTGATTACATTGGGAATATTTGGTACGCCGTAACAAGTCATTTTAACTAATGTTTACATTGAACATGCTTTGAACTCAATACTTCCGTCAAATCATCAGCACGCAGGCACTACACAGAGCAAACCAGCTCCGACATAACTTTGTCAAAAACTCGTCTTACCAGTCGCAACAGAACAAAATCACGTCGGGCCCTCTATTCACATTTAGTGACGAATTATCCACCAGATCTAATGTCTGTACCGGGTTTCCCCTTCAAGCATCAAGACACCTTGCAACATCATAGTAAACGCAGCATTCATGCCCTTGCAGACCGCTCGGAGCTCTAGAACATCTTGGATTCAACGCTGCTGTTACGCTTCTGAGTTATTAAATGGTCTATGGAGGTCTGAAACGAAGGTAAGACAGGGAAGCCGTCTTTGCCAGAGTACAGTGCAGTAAGGTTGGAAGCTGAAGGAGGAGATGAATGTGAAGAGACTGCTCACCAAAGTGAGCGTACCTGCCCTTTTGATTTCAGAACGAGTATATCACTCTCGCGATTATCACCAAGCTCCCGTGTATGAGGTCGAAGTGACATTTGTTTCAAACTCCTGTTGCTGTCGTCTGGCTAATCTATACGAGACTAGGCACTGGCAACAAAGCATCCAAAGTCACGCAATCGTACTTGTCAGTTCCTGTTCCGATTGGTATTCGACCACTCTTTGACGCTCTAATGTGAAGCTAGCCAGTCAAACCAAACCATGGACCAACATGTGATCGCTTTTGCAGACCAGGAGCACTTAGGGCAGATATAGTCGTACGGGCTCCTGGATGTCTCTCTTCGTATCTTTTCATATCCATTTGGAAGCCAATACCATGGTTGCTTGTCGATGCTAAAGCCCCCCATCGCCTGTACAAGCACGTGTAATATCTTCTAAACATCACGCGAGGCTTCCCTGGTTTGTTTATGAAGATCGGCACGTTTTGTGTCGAAAACCTGTTGGCTTCTCGTGACAATTGGTTTTCAACAGCCCCTCACCTAGCAAACACCGATCCATTCAAATGGCGTAGCCTCTCAATGTCGATCTTTTAAAGATACCTTCAGCAGGGGAAGCTAAACCTTGAAGACGTGAAACAATTTGGAGGGGAGAATGCCAGAAGCAGAGTGGACGCATCAGATCTCAAAAGCATATGGGATTTAAGTCGTTCGAATGTACACCGCGATTGTATCAGGATTGTAGGAGGTGGTAGTTGTGCTGTACTAGTATTAGACGTGAAACTGCTTCATGGCTTGTGTTTCGGCATGTGCTCACAGCAACCATAAAACTTGATGACTTTATACAACGTGTTTGATCGACAAAACGAAGTTAAATACAGAATAGGCTGTCTCGAAATTAGATTGCGTGCTGTCTTGAGTCTTGGCGGTTGAAACACATCAGCTCGCCGAAAACCCCGAATTGAACCTTCTTTGTCGTTTACACAGATGGTATGTAAACGAGAACTCAGAAAATACACACACTAACGCTCTGACGCGTCAAAATCGAACTGGTACGTACCTGATAGCAAACACATAACCGCGTGGGTGTGTATGGCGTTTTGAGTTTCCATATAAAGCTTAAAAAGATTGTCTGCAAATCATAGACTACCAATAGGAACCTTATACCTTCCATCTTATTCTGCGGCAGAACACGTGCAAATTCATGCTTGTTGTGCCAGGAACCTTCAAAAAACCTTCACTAACTTAAGTTCTGCGGCGAAGCTTCAAAACCCCTATTTAAAGCGACCAACTTTCACATTTGCAAAAACACAATACAAGCAATCGAAGAACATTAAAACTAAGAACTACTCCAAACACTCAAACAAAACATAAAACATGTCTGCCTACAACAGTAACTCTCTTTCTGGCTCAGGATTGACCGGTGATCGTCTCGGTATGTTTGATTGCTATGATCAATATGGTTCACAGACGCATTGTCACGATGTTTGCCTTATACGCACGTTCTAACCTCTTCCACTTTCTATGTTCACAGGTAGTAACCCAACCAGCACCTCCCAAGATGCTCTCGCTGGCAACGCTGGTTACGGAATCGACAACTCTGCCACAGGCCTCAACTCTTCATCCGGAGTTAACTCGTCATCTGGTCTTACCGGTTCTACTCAATACGGCAACACTGGCACTGGCTACTCTGCCACAAGCCAAGCTGATGTGGGAAGTTACGGCAACTCTGGCCTCAACTCTGGTCTTTCTGGAACTACTGGATCTACCGGAACTGGTTACTCCACCAGTCAACCTTCTACTGGAGCCTCTGCATACTCTGGTTCCGCCACTGCTCCATCTGGTTATGGCCAAGACACTGGATATTCCACCAACGCTACTAGTGGATCCAACAACAACACTTTTGGATCTTCCAACACTTCTGGTACTGGTCCAGATGCACCTTCAGCCATGCATGGTATGAAAGAAAAAGTCTTGGGCGCAATGGAGGTCAGTCAAAGCTCTAAATTCAATCACCATGGTTTTTACCATACCATGTTTTCAATCACTGCTATCAAGATTTTAAACGTATCTCCGTCAATAATAGGCTGGTGTTGGTAAACTGACCGGCAACGTGGACAAGCAAGTTGGCGGCGAACAACGCAAACAGGCTGGAGCACAGGAACAAGAAGCTGCCAAGCAAGTCCGCAATTAAGGGTACGTCAGTTGGATACTTCGCCTGGAATTCTTCACAAGCACCAAATTAAACATCTCGGTTCATCCAATTTAGATCTTGCATCATGTAAAAACTCTCTTGATTCCTCTTGGTATCCACAAAATTGTTCAAATTGTACAATCACAATAGTTTGTGCGCAATAAAATGCCCCATAAATCATACGTCCTGTGTGTCTTCAGGCTTCATTGCGATATCTCCGAATTTCCATTCAACGGCTATACGATGTTGATTGAGAACTTTGTAGTTTTAGCAAACAGCCATTAACATATGGAGCTGTTCAATAAACCATTGGTAGTGCCACCATATTGATTTCCGAACATGTGACATCTGTGACCACCCACCACCACTACCAGTCAAGTGCAAGAAATATTACCAAGACAAGATATTTAAACGGTATGTAGCCACAATAAGCGGGTGCGGCATCGCTGGTTTAATCGCAATCAAACTCTGAACAGATGCTTTTGAAATTGCTGCACACCAACGTTTTTGATTTCATCGAGACTATTCTAGGACCCAACCAAAACAAAACTACCAGGTACATTTGAAGTAGTTAAATTCACAAGCTCACCGGCACTCATATACTCTGTACGCAGCCACCACACTGAACAAATCAGCTTTAATATGACTTGGATCAAATTCTTGAGAAGCGGACGCAACTGAACTATTTTCGTCGGCCAGTCCAGAAGACGTCTGTAATATTGTAAAACTTTCAACTCGTGATCTTTGCACAGGTTGAATGTGCTTTGGTAGAATGTTCACACGTGTGGATAGCACCTCGCTCTGGCACAAAACACCAACATACATACTCTCACAAAAGTTCACAACAAGGCGAAAGCACAAGTCAAGAAAAGAACAACTACCAAGTAAGCTCTACAGTATATCAGTATATTATGTGTCGAATCCCAACAGAGCACAACTGACTGTTGCAAAACCCTCAACACTAGCTCCCATACAAGACAACCAACAAACTTTACACCAAAATCATTGAAATCATGTCTCCTACTCCAGACTACAACCAGAGCAACGTCACTGGCATGACTGGCAAGCTTCCTGGTAAGTGCTAAATGCGCGAAAGTCAACATTTATGAAGCATCGATAAGGTCTTACACGACCGCACGAACGAGCGTACGGTCTAAGCATTTGGGTGATCGAGAAATCACAATCATCGCTTCGATGATATGCTGCCACATATGAATCATTCTGAACCTTCATCCCCACCTCGATCTCTCTGACATCGTGGTAACACTCACAATCTCCAAATAGGTGATACATCAACCGCTAGTGAAACTCTTAGTGGCACCACTGCATCTGGTCACCCCTCTTCTACTACTGCTGGATTATCTGGATACGACAACACTTCATCATCTACTACTGGATCTACATTCGTCAGCACTGGAACTGGATATTCGGCCACCAGTCACCCAACTTCAGGAACCCACGTTAGTGGACCTGGAACCACTGGAACTGGACACTCCACCAGTCACCCAGCTGCTACGACAGGAGGATACTCAACTTCCACAACAGCTCCTTCATCAATTACTTATGGTCAAGACACTGGATATTCTTCAGGCACTACTACTGGTTCAGACGCTCCTCCTTCTGCCATTCATGGAATGAAAGAAAAGATGATGGGTGGTGTCGAGGTAATGCAGATTCAGAACATCATCGACAGGGTAAATGACATCATTGACTTGATAGACCGGTATTGGCAAAATGACTGGGAATGTTGAAAAGCAAATGGAAGGCGAGCAACGTAAGCTTGGTGGGCAGGCTGAACAGGAAGCTGCCAAGGCTGAAAAGGAAGCTGCCAAGCAAACTCGCTACTGAGAGTAAGTTACTTTGGCAGCTGGTCTTTTGTTGGCAAGATGAAGCCTCAAGGATGCCAGTATCTTTCTTGGCTCTGCAAGTCTCTTACAACTTCTTCTTTGAAAACAGTCAGATCCACGATTGAATCAGCAAGTATCGCTGCTCACCATCTATTCCTTTTACTACAGCCTTCTCCTCAAAACTCTCTTGGTTCCTCCTGGTATCTATCCCAATTTGCTCAATTTTGTAAAGTAGTTCCTGCATGTACAAAGAGTCCATAAAATCACAAGAACGTGAATGGCTGACTCATTGTCATTCGATGCGTTGCAGCGAATTTGTGGACCATCTTGATGATATGGGAATAGACGAGAGCCTAGCCCAGTTGACGGAAAAGAAACACCTGAAAAGTGATGCCGTTAATGCATTGAATTAGGTAGTTTAGAGTCTCATCCACCGATCACCATTTGTGAATTTCTATTTGACTCACACCAAACATCAGTTTCGTTTTTGTAAGAGCCGACGTCACTCACCAAATATAACGAGCCAATAACGATGAATAGCGCCAAGAAGATACAGCGTGTAGCCATCGTAGGCGGAGGAGGCATCGCCGGTCTAGCTGCAATCAAGCACTTGAAAGACTCGTTCGAAATTGCTGCATTCGAACGCTTTGATTACATTGGAGGAATTTGGCACGTCGAGGAGACTCAACTATTGCTTGCATTCGCAATGTTTTGATATTTTGAACTCATTTTAATCTTTAAATTATGCTTCTGTAGGCACTACACTGAGCAAACCAGCTCCGACATAACTTCATTAAGAACACCCTTACCAGACGCAACAGAACAAATCACGTCCGCCATTTATCCAAATCTGGTAACGAATCTCCCACCAGATCTAATGTCTATACGAGGCTTTCCATTCAAACATCCCGACACGTTTCCACATCATCGTGCAGTCTTGAAGTACATTCACGAGCTTTCCGACCATTTCCAGTTAAAGAAACATATTGTATTCAATACCATTGTTACGGATGTGAGATACCAGGATGGGTTTTGGATTGTGAAAAGGATGGCAGCGAAGAATGGAGTTGTTGTTGGGAGTCAGGTTGTTGATGAGAGGTTTGATGCTGTTGTAGTTTGTAATGGCCATTATTCGGCTACGTATGCTTCTGATATACCTGTCGATTCTTTCAAAGGTGAGCAAGATGTGAAGTAAACGCTGCAGCAATAGTGAGCTTACACACATGTTTGAATTCAAGGACGAGTGATTCACTCTCACGATTATCGCCATGCTTCAGAGTTTAAGGACAAGGTAAGCACTGTCTCCTTTGATTTTCATGTGAGGAATCCGTTTCACTCAATTGCGTCTTTCTTTAGGTTGTGGTAGTGGTCGGTGCAGGTATATGGCCCTTTGAGGTGGTCGTTTTCATAGGCATCAATGACGATCAAACACAATTATTAGGACCTAGTGGACTAGACATTGCCAACGAAATATCAAAAATCACAAAATCATACTTGTCAGTTCGGAATCCAACTGCACTTCACCCACTGTTTGCCGGTTCAAACGTGAATCTAGTCCCTCAAATCAAATCTATAGACGAACATCTGATTACATTTTCAGACCGGCAGCAAGTCAGAGCAGACATCCTTTTATTAGCTACAGGGTATCTCTATTCGTATCCTTTCTTGAAATCAATACCTGATTTGATCACTGATGGTAAAACGGTACATAATCTGTACAAGTACCTGTTTTATATACCGAATCCTACGCTGGCTTTCCCTGGTTTGCCAATGAAGATTGGTGAGAGCTGTCTGTCGACAACGTCTGACTTGACATTGCTATGTTAACACTCTTCTGAAATTATAGAACCATTCACAATCGTAGACTACCAATGTCAGGCCATCAAACAAGTCTTTAGCGGAGAAGCTAAACTACCCAGTATAGAGGCCATGAGACAGTTTGAAGTAGAAAAGGCCAAAACGAGAGGTGTGGCACTAGACTCTCGAAAATACATGGGATTTGACCCGTTACGTTCACAAGTTGATTATCATATGAGTCTAGTGAAAGAATTCGGTGGGCCGCCTGTTGATGAGCCCGAAGAGAAGGTGAAGAGACGTGAGAGGATCTTTGACGAGAGACGACGAATATATAGCCATAAGCTATGAGGTGTCATAACGTGGGGTTTGAAGTAATTGGAGTTTATTAAATGTGATGAAGAATAAATGTTGAAGTTTGAAGAGCGCTGCACACAACCAAAATGGCAAGACACGATTGATATACTTTTGGTGCAAGAGATTGTTTATATTTGGGTTTACTATAATAATACTATGGAAAAATTCAGCTGGCCTATATACTATATTTAAGATCGTTCTCCTCTCAATCGGCGAGCGAGTTGAATATCTTTAGGTTGGATGGTCACACGTTTAGCGTGGATGGCAGCCAAGTTGGTGTCTTCAAAGAGACCGACGAGGTAGGCTTCAGCAGCTTCTTGGAGAGCACCGATAGCGGACGATTGGAATCGCAAATCAGTCTTGAAGTCCTGAGCGATTTCACGAACCAGACGTTGGAAGGGGAGCTTTCGGATCAAGAGTTCAGTAGACTTTTGGTATCTGGTAAGATGGAAATGGAGGAATGAGACTGGGTTCTGAGTTCGTAGTAACCATGTGATGTAAATGCATTGATGTAAGACATACCGACGAATTTCTCGAAGAGCGACAGTTCCTGGACGGTATCTGTGAGGCTTCTTGACACCACCGGTAGCAGGGGCAGATTTACGGGCAGACTTGGTGGCCAATTGTTTTCTTGGAGCCTTTCCACCAGTGGACTAGGTAGAAAAATAGTGGTTGGTTAAAAATTTAGATCTAGGTTGATCCTTGATGAAAACAGATAGTTCCATCGTACTGGTCACTTGCCTTTCTTGCTGTCTGTTTGGTACGAGCCATGTCTGATGAGTTTTTGGTATAAACGATTGAAGATTCGACTCGGTTATGACGTAGAGTGGTTTGGATAAGATTTTGTTAGGGGGCGAAATACGTTTCTTTTATACTTTCCCAGTTTGTTTACAATGAGATTTGGCACATTTGCTTCGCATATTCACTGACCAATGAGCTGCTGGTGGGCACCACAGTGCACAGTTGCCAACACAACAAAACATTGCGAAGTCCAGGGTCCACTGTGCACATGAAATCAAAACAAATCCGGCTATAAAACAAACGCACCACTACTTAACAGAACGAAATTCCCAGCTAGTGAATCCCATTAAACAACCAAAAGTTATCACCACACAACACAACAACATATAAAATATGTCTGGACGAGGAAAAGGTGGTAAAGGTCTAGGAAAGGGCGGTGCCAAACGTAAGTTACTACTGCTATGCTCAATTCATTTACGTCCTGCATCAATCACCATCAAGGTATTTATCACTGAATTATGCATACTTAGGTCACAGGAAGATTCTTCGTGACAACATCCAAGGAATCACCAAGCCTGCTATCCGTCGTCTTGCACGAAGAGGTGGTGTCAAACGTATCTCTGGTCTGATCTACGAAGAGTAAGTTGCAATCATTGGGATCTTGGATGATATTAGTCGCATACACACATTCCTAACGTATCATCGTTCAATTAGAACTCGTGGTGTCCTCAAAGTCTTTTTAGAAAACGTCATCAGGGATGCAGTAACATACACTGAACACGCCAAACGTAAAACCGTCACATCATTGGATGTTGTCTATGCACTCAAAAGACAAGGAAGAACTCTATACGGATTCGGTGGTTAAATGCCGCTTCGTGTTTGCTCCAATGTATATATATATATCCTTTGCCAACTAAAATAATATAACAAAGTTAAATCCTCTAATGCTTGATCGTGATGCGTGTGGTTTTGGATGTTTGGAGTTTCTTCTGAGCGATCACCGCGGTTATGCTTCAGAAGAATTGTGGGCAACAAGGATGTGTTGCTGAGATCTTGATGATCGCTGGTCTTGCACGTTGTACGTTTCCCGCAATGTACTCCCGGTCAAAAGGTCACAGGGAGACAATCCACCAATAACTTTTTAGATCGGGAACGAGGCTGAGAGGCAAGATTCAGTTGGTGAAGATGCTTACAAGGAGAATTATATGTCTTCTCTTCCTGTTGTCTACTCAAATCGCTCAGGTTTTTACTTGTGGTAAGTTTTTTTGAGAAGTGGAAAGCTCGCTCATCGCAATTCAGAGAGCTAGGAATGCACAGAGAAGTGTTTCTGTAATGCTTTTCTATATGGCAAAATGCCACACAATTCCATGTCTGACATTTGCTCGATGATTTTTCCTCGACACTCCAACATTGCTCACTTTGTCATTCTAGGATCGTTTGGAGCGACTAGTTGCACTGTAACGGGAAGCCGAGTGGGATGCACTTCTGTACCTGCAGATGGAGCTTGTGTCTGTGATTGTTGCGCTGGAAGCAACACTGTAAGGATTGGTTTTGGCCTCGTTTGATCAAAACACATCCATTGACGAAACCACGCTTTATATAGTGTGCTCAATTGTTTTCGGGATGCTCGAGCAATGCTACAAAAGCCGCGGGATACTCGGGGCTGACACCGTCAGGCCCATATATTTGGACATCTGGTGTTGCTATTTTCCCAATAATGATAGCCGCCCCAGGCTCGCCGACTGGTAATCTGCTTGCCAGTGCTCCGTGCATCAGTCCTGGTACATAACATATTAATATTTATCATTATTTTTAACACACAAGCTCGTTTTGACAGCATTTCTCGTGTAGATCTTCCAACTGGACTGTCATTCGTTTTCAACGCATCAGTTCAGTCTTATCAGATACAAGGGACACCACAGGCATCAGTTGCAATAGCTTCATATTCCATAATTCTCATACATACGAGCGATGTATTATCAGCCATCACAGCTCAAGCACAGGTGCTAGCTGGTACTGGTATACCTTCACCGTCAGCTTCAATTGCAGTATCACCTAGTTTAGTTGCATCGCCGTCTGGATCGCCTACAAGGAGTCAAACGCTACCGGCAGCTTCTCCTTCAGCAAGTGGTTTGCCATTACCTTCGACGTCATCATCTTCGACACCTCTGGCTAGTAGTTCTGGCAGCAATGTACCGATTGGAGCTGTCATAGGCGGTGTCTTAGCAGCAATAGTGGCGGTAATAATAGCTGGTATTTTATGTCTAGTCTTTGGCCGTCGAAATGGTCTGATGGCCGCAACAGGAAACAGACCGTCCGGAGGGGGACGAAGTGGATATCGTCCACCAGTTGGTAAAGTCATGGTACCATCAGATGTAGAGCTCGATGGATACGCCAACCCCATATATGCAATGCCGCAAACATTCCCAAACACAAATCATAATAATAATGGAAACATGTCTAGGCAACGCCCCGCGTCAGTCGTCACAGCTCCTTTATTATCAGATTCAGAGGGTGGTAGTAGCAGCGGGTATTCAACACAACCTCAACCGCTAAGACGCGTAGGACACTATTCCACTGCACCGAGAGTTGCTGGTGGGACTCAAAATGTGCAGCCTCAACCTATACAGTATGCTACACAACCACGGGTGAATACGCAGCAGCAGAATCTGGGTGTTGGATCGTCGCAACAACCGTTGTCTGCTGTATCAGATGCACCCCCACCGGCGTATCAAGCTACACAGAAAGGGCCTAGTAATACGCAAGTATTAGCGGGCGAAACTTTGATGGTGTGTGCGCTGGCTTATACGCCCAGACGTGATGATGAAATGGAACTGGCGGTGAACGATCGTGTGACGGTTGTGTAAGTTTCCAGTTCCTTGGCAATGACTGGGAACGTATTAAACTGACTAAATTATCAATCTTCCGTTTTTGTAAAATAGAGAGCAATATGGAGATGGCTGGAGCTATGGTATAAACCAACGTACAGGCAAACAAGGCTTCCTACCTATGAACGCCATGGTTCCTGGTAACGCTGGCAAGGTCTAAAAGCACCTATATGACATTAACTGGTTCGTAATAACGGTGGCAGATCTAACGACTTACAAAAACACGCACCGACACAAGAAAGAACCAACATAATTTGTAAGATATCTTTTAAAAAGCACGCATTTCACTAAATCTTGGGGACTCTCTCACGCACCACACACTTTTACAGCACCAATAAACTTAAGGCCTTTTATATGATCGAGCATTGATACTAGTCGGTGCAAGAACTTTGTACAAGAAAAATCAAAGCGTGTTAACTAACGTGCTACTTGTTAGTGCTCTGAATATTTATAAAGTGTACGGCCAGAAACACTGGTTCAAACCTATAAACGAATCGCGTTACTATGCTCTTGTTGTTCGAGACTTGTAACCTCCGAATGTGTCCGTTCCTTGCTCTCTTTCCGTTAGGGGTAGTTAACTAGCCACACTCTTTACCGTCAGCAAGGAAATCTACAAAAGATACCACTAGGACAAAAGCCTGTAATCTAGAGCTGTTACTAGCTCTCTTGCAGACATGCTTGTAAACGTTGAGCGACCGTTGGTTGCTTTGCTATGTTTTTTGGGTTTGGCAAATGGTCAAGTTTACATGGGAGCATCCAGAAGAAACGGAGCTTTGATGGTCTGGAGTGATAGTGTAGCGATACATGGAGGTCAAGACCGTAAGTTTGGATTAGTTTGCTTACTGTTCTTGATTGGAGAATGCTCCAAACATTGTTGAGCTACCACATACAATTTTTGTCGGACCCACCAACGAATCCGACAACCTATTTTTTCGTAGCTGTATCAACTGCTGCTGTGAACTCTGTACAAGGAATCACATATTCTAACAAAGCGCTGTACACAAACACTGCAACTGGAACTGCTATGCCTGATGTGAGAGATCATACCTGTGGAGTTGACCCAGACGGTGCTGGGAAGGTTGCGTACTGTTTTGGTAAGCTATATTTCACTGTTTCAATGTATACTTTCTCATGATTGATTGTTTAGGCGGTACGAGCACTGGACAACTGCCAGATAGACCAGTATACGCAGCTGGATCATTATGGGCTTTACGTTTCGATGTAGCCACTTCGCCTAGTGGTATATGGACCCAGCAAGCGTTAACGGGTGTTGCTGATGTCCTTGTCGGTCGTGGAATGCATAGTATGACGTTTTTGAGTAGCAGGATATATGTCTTCGGTGAGTGCTGAGAAACATTAGTGTAGCATCGTCACTAGTGAGACATATTTCTCATCATCATTTATAACAGGTGGCAAAGACTCCAACGGAACAGCAATAGCAGGCAACGGCCAATTCATAACCATAAACCCAACCACACTTGCAACAACAACAGTTGGAGCAAGCGGTACAGCGCCAACCGCACGATACGATCACTGTGCAGTGCGTATCGGGTCCACATCCATGATGGTGTTATTCGGTACATCGAAACTCAACGCAGCATCTGCAACAACCCCCACAAACGCCTTAAACGACGCATACATATACGACGCAACCGCGAACTCATGGTCCAAGGTCGCATATACAGGAACAACGCAGCCAAGTGTGCGATCTGGCGCACGATGTGCGTTTTTGAATAACAAGATATACGTGTTTGGAGGACAGACGGATTCCAACAACGTGTTGGGTGACACGTGGTATTTAGATCTATCTAGTAATGCATGGACGCAGGTAGTAGCTACCAATGCGCCATATGCACGGGTTGGGCATGCCGGTGCTGCTGTTGGAGTGTGGATGGCGGTTTATGGAGGGAATCCAGCTGCTACTGCTACAAACGGGGATACCAATATCCATTTCTTGGATGCTAGAACTAATGCATGGCAAGCTGTCGCGCCGAACTTTACTGTGTCTGGAGCACTTGTAACTTTCCCGTCGCTGACACCGTCACCCGGATTGTTGATTTCGTCGCCGTATGCATCTGCAACGGCTGTAGCAGCTGCAGCATCAACATCTGGTAGTGGGTTAAGCACGGCTACGATTATTGGGGCTGCTGTATCGGGTGCTGTTGTACTAGCAGCTATTGTAGCCGCCATGGCATATGCCTTCTACCGACTCCGTAAACTACGAGGATCAGATGAGGATGTTAGACGGGACTCTAAAATCGGTGGTGTAAATCAGTGGCGCGAATCCGTACGTCCATCGTTTGGTGGTACATCGACAATGTCTGAACGTGGTGGTGGAGGAGGAACATATAGTAGAGATAGTGATTTCTCCGCTTCCCTACTTGGTAAAGCAGCACCGCCATTACCACCTGCCAGATCAGCAAACCCGACTAGGACGACCGCATTGGGGAATACACCACCTTCTCTTGTAGCTATTAATCCTATGATGGGCGGCGCTGGCGCTGCACCATCATTCCAGCAGCAGCAACAGCAGAATAGGGATCAGCTATTCCAACAGAATAGAGACATGTTATTCCAGCAGCAGCAGCAAAATCAACAATACCAGCATCACGTCATGCCACCTCAACAACAGCCAGCCTTCCAGCAGCAGCAACAATTGCTGTCTCCCCAACAACAGCACGAAGCACTACGAGAGCAACAACAACGAGAACTGCAACTGCAGCAAGAAAAAGTATTACAGCAGCAACGTGAGCAGCAGCAACGTGAACAGCTCCAGCGTGAGCAACAACAACAGGTTTTCCTAGCGCACCAACAACCACCTTCCTCACACCACATCGTCCCGCAGCAACCCTTCATAATCGCCCCACCACCACAACTAATGCAACGCCCTATAGCACCCGAGCCGCCCACAAACACCAATATAAATAACACACCATTAGGTATCCCCTCATATCTCCGTCCAATCTCAACCGCAACAACAATCACATCGCTCGGTGGATCGTCTGCGACTTCGGTAGATGATCGGGGCGGTGCGTCTGCTTTGCGGCAGGAGTTGTCACATGTTTATGATATGGCTGCTTTGGACGTGAATACTAGTGGTGGTAATAATAGTAGTAAGATAATGAGACCGGATAGTCAGGCAACGTCGATCGCAACTGCATCGCGGCCGGTTAGTTTTGGAAGTACGGCTGATGAGCGGCCGACTCATAGTGCTATTGCACAGTATGCACCTACGATGGAGGACGAGCTGGCTTTGGAAGTTGGGGATTTGGTCGTTTTGACGTACGTTCGTACCAGGTTTTTTGTGTTTTGTGTCATGCTAACGGTTTTGTGTTTCCAGGGCTGTATTCGATGACGGATGGGGTGTCGCTGTAAACCAACGGACGTCGCGCGTTGGGACAGTACCCGTCAACTATCTCGCTCCGTTGCCAAAGTAGTTTAATGCACCAGTAATAGTCAATTATCTCGCTCCGTTGACCAACTAGTTTAGAAATTCAATAGTTGTTTGCATTTAGAACAATTTCTCTACTTTTAAACACCCTCTTATAATATACGTGTGGAGTCCAAAGGAAAAGCAACACCTATGTTTGCGCTAATGCTGCAAGTTCATTGCCTTTTTACTTCGTTATTTATTATTTATCTTTGCTCTTACACCCCAAATAGTAAAGAAATAATAATTTGTGTTGTTGGTTCGTGTACAGATGATGGATTGGAAAATTACTTTGTTACTTAGTTAAACTAAAACTAAGACGAGACTACCAAAAATTATTTCTCTTCAAGGCGAATTTAAAAGCTACCTACTCTTTCCCCACTTATTAGCTCCCCCAATATACCCCCAAGCACACCATGTATATACTCGCCCATTTATAAGTTCTCAATCCCCCCAATACTCCCCCAAACTTACTCTTTACCCACTTACGTGCTGATACGATTCATCGTCCTCCCACGAGCAACCGTATCAAACGACGGGAAGTCGTTCATCATATCATCGAAATCTAGCTTTATCTGATACTCCTGCTGTGGTTTCAATACGAGTGGTTCCATGACTACAGCTTCGTTGTGTTCTACAACCATAGTCAATTCAGGCGTTGGTGGTGGCCGCATCCCTTCAGCTGGCGCCACATCGTTTCTGACTGGCGTAACAGTTATCTGTGCTTGTGGTTGCGGTGCTGGTATGGCTTTCGATGAGGCCGCACGAGCAGCCTGCTCTTCAGCAAAATTATACTTGTGGTTTAGCGCCCGTTCCTTGTACTCTATACTCTCATACCCGTTCGTCATTGCTGGATCCGGGATCTCGAATGATACGCGGAGTTTGGTTGGTGATCCTGTGGCTGGTAGTGACCGTGATCTCGTCAGTCGGGTTTGCAGTGGTGTGGTTTTGAGAGCGCTAGGAGGGAGTTTGCGTTTGCTGTTGTCTCGTTTGGCTGGTGTTGGTGGCTTGGATGAGTGCAGGATGGGTGACTCTGGAGAGCTGTGTTGTTTGGCTGCTAATATCGGTGATGCTGGGATATTATGTGGTTTGGGCTGTAATATCGGCGAGTCTGGGGAATGAGGCAGCTGGTTTGGTGATGCAGGCGGAGTCACAAGTTGTGGATTGCTATTGCTGTGGAATAAATCAGCGGGCAGGACGGCTGCTCCGAGCGGTGTTGCGTTTAGTGCGTTTGCTATTGAGATCCTGCCGTATCGTTTGTTGTATCCGTCCCCATCTGCTGCGTATCTAGTAGGAGATAAGTGGCGGATTGGTGCTGTGGGGAGGACTTGTCCGTCATCGTCAAAAGCCATCACTTCGCTGGTTGTTTCCTCTGGGATTGTGTCTGATGAGACTGAGGTTGGCCTGAAGGAGCTTGAGCGTGGTGGTAGCAAGACTGGGTTTTGCTGCAAGGGATTTACGTTTACATAGTGAACTGGAGTTTGTTGGGTGTTGATGACGCTTGGGTGTAGAGAAGAGAGGGATGGTCGTGCAGCGTCATCAAATGAGTGGCTTTTGCCGATAGCACTTATGATTCTTATGACTAAAGTTGTTATAGCGTTAGAAAATAGTGACAGCAGTTGCACTTTCTTTGTTGTTGTTGTGCATAACATACCTTCAGGAGAATTGCACTCTTTAGTCAAATGTACCGCCAGCTGCTTCCTCAATCCAATCCATTCACAGGTAGCAGTAGATGCACCTGGACATCGTACATGCAGGTTGTCGACCTTGTCCTTTAAATATGGTACAGCCGCAAACCCAGAGCGATGTATGTGTTGTGTGCAAAGTGGGCTATTGAAAAGTAGTCTTAGCATCATTGTACAGATCAGATCCATGCGATTCGGCAAATACATACCACTTGCTACTCGTATATAGCGATTTACGAATACATGACGAACAACATAGCGACGAGCAGCATGACAACTGTACAGGATTGTATACCACCTAAATACAAACTGATCAGCACACATAGATCAACGAGATTCAATGAAAACGTTCCAACAACAACATATGGTTTTCCACCCACATCTTGACAGAGTGAACAAACCAGAGCACCGATCTGCTGAGAAGAGTCGAGGTATATGATTCTGGACTTGAGGAGGGCTATAATAGAGCCGCCAGTCATTTCACCATCATCCAGCGAGTTTCGACGGCCGAAATTGCCTGATTGTTTGCCGGCCATAGCAAACTTATTTCGAGAAAAGAGCTTCATCGTGTTATGCGAAGTCGAGGACTAAAGGAAACGATTGGTCAGCGGATACATAGTGTACTGGCAAGACAATTGGTGCCTCCTACCAGTCTGCTTCCTCGCCTACGCCGCCAGTACCGAAAATAAGAAAGCTGGCTGTGGTGGTGCTACCTTTTTTTCGTTAGGAGCTTGGTCAGGTGGTTCCCAAAATGACGCTATGTTACTTATGACAATACGAGCTCTGGCGCGGTATATGCTCTTGTACACGTTTGCGACATAGATAAGGAATGGTCACGTTCGCGTCCTTGGGGCTTTCTCTTTGTGACGAAAAACCCTTTGTTTAATGAATTCCTCCACTTCCTGCCCAGCGGAGTGCAGCATTCAGCCAAAACTAAGGGACCAACACGAGCCTCTCTGACAAACTGGGAGCAATCTAGTGAAAGTGGGTAATGATGCGAGATGTATTTGCGTCGAGGTCGATGCAAGCTGATGCATCTCTTATTGTTGCTGGATGATTAAAATATCAAGAGGTTGGTATCAAAGTTGTCATTATTATATTGCTGTGTTTGTACTGAGCCGTTTGGTGTGTCGCAAGCTTTCAAACCAACATCCATCCAAACACCTAGAAACACTTATGCGTTCGCTCTTTATTGGCTATTATAACCTGCTCATACGATGCCATAGATGAGATTAGCATGATATCTGCTCTTGGGTTTGACTTGCCATCGGATGTTTGTTTGTCTTGTCTTTTGGAAATGCCCGCTACGCTCACCAAATGGGTTGATGGATCTAATTGTGACGATTCCAAGACGTGTATTCTAGTGGGCTAGATGAGGGGGTGTTCTTTGCAGCTAAGAACATCTGGCTGGGCATTGTATCAATCGCGTGAAATTTCACGAGTATTGATTATACCAGCATCACGAAACAAAAGACCACACATCGAGCTAGTAACAAGGTTTTGAAACGTAATAAGACACGAAATAATCGCCGTACTTGATATTTTATCCTTTTAGTTGCAAAAGTTCAAACTCCTACCATTTGTCAAACACTGATGCAAGCTCTTGTTGAATTCGATAGCATATAGAAGGATAGAGAACACGGTAAAACACGCTGTAGAGAATGCGAGCAGGTCTACGACGCCTCACTTCCTGTATCCCCAAACACAAAACATCACACACCACAACTACACGAGCATCCTCTCTCTGGAGAAGGCTACAGCATATATCTATATTCAATCGCACTCCTCGTAATAGCAGCAGAGCAACCACCGCATCATATAGTTCTGCAGCCATGGCTCCTGGTCTCTCTTCCAAACAGGACAATCCATCCTCCTCTGATGGCAAAGCTGCTGCTGTCGACACCACCTTAAGGATCGCTAAATTAAGAGATTGTATGAAATCAGCTGGTGTCGCGGCCTATATCGTCCCTTCTGAAGATGCTCATCAGGTATGAGAGTTTAGACATTGAGATCAGTTGTTGACGATTTGACATTTGGACAAACTATCGTCATGTCGTAAAAGCAAGGACAGCCAAGTTTATCAAGTTTGAAATTTTATAGAGTGAATATATTGCCGATTGTGATGGACGACGTGCTTACATTTCTGGATTTACTGGATCTGCTGGTATGAAATATTTGACGTTTTCACCCACAAAAGGAATCATCCGACGAGTTCACCTCGATGAAGATCACTTCTCTCACACTCTCCCACATTATTGTAGGTCTTGCTGTAGTCACATCAGACGCAGCAGCATTATGGACTGATGGAAGATACTTCTTACAGGCTTCAAAACAGTTGGATTCAAACTGGACTCTGATGAAGAGCGGTCTACCTGATGTGCCAAACAAAGAAGAATGGTTGGTCAAGGTGCTTCCTCCTAAATCTAAAGTTGGTATTGATCCCAAACTCGTTACTGTCGGTATGTGTCGTGTTGTTGTCATCTATTGACGTACTACAAGGATCGCGTCTCTTTTTCTCCTCTCTCACTCTACATCTCAACTATATCCCATACCTAGTCGCATTTAAAACACTCAAAGAAGCACTCGAAACAGGCGGCCACACCCTCGTCAGCATACACGACAACCTAGTCGACAAGGTCTGGGATACCCGACCACCAGCTCCTTCAAATCCTGTCAGAATCCATCCTCTTCAATATGCTGGAAAATCAAGTGCAGACAAGATCAAGGAATTGCGCGAACAGTTTGAAAAGAAACGTGTTTGGGGGTTTATTGTTACTGCTCTTGATGAGATTGCTTGTATGTGTTGCATGATGTGATCTGTGGTTATGTTTTTATTGTTCATTGTCTAACGCCGGCTTTGAAATAGGGCTCTTCAACTTGCGTGGTTCAGATGTAAATTATAATCCTGTCTTTTTCTCATATGCCTTGATTACCAAGAATGAGATTGTGTTATATGTGGATTCTGCTAAAGTGGCAGCTGATGTACGTGTTGTTATACTTTTGCTTCAGGGATGATCTAAAAAATCGCTCAACTCACTCTTCAAATTGCTAGGTACAAACATTCCTTGGAAACGATGTCACTTTACGACCTTATGATTCAATATTCGATGATTTGAAGAGTAAAGCCCTTGCTCGTGAAGGTCTTGCTGAGGATGCAAAGAAGGAGGTAAAAAAACCAAAAGTGTTGTATTGTATGGATTGGATTGTCACGTATGTTCTCTCTAACATTTATGGAGTGTTTTAGAAACTATGGATTGACAGTCGCTGCAACCAAGCTTTATTGGATGTCATTGGTGGAGAGGTGAGCTCGCAGTGTCTTGCTTTCTTCCTCTATCATCCGCTCGTTTTTGTCAATGGACTGATGTCATAACGCTTCTACTAGAAAATGGTTGAAGAATCTCGATCACCAGTCATGACTGCTAAATCTATCAAGAATGCTGTTGAATGGGAAGGATTTAGGCAAAGTCATAAGAGAGATGCTGTTGCACTGGTAACATTTCCAGACTATCAATCACACAGGTTTTTCTATAAATAGTTTGAAATCTCAATTCAATTTATGTTTTCGTAGATCAGCTACTTTGCATGGTTGGAAAATGAGCTGGTGGCGAAGAAGAACACTAATTTATCTGAAGCAGAGGTTGCTGATGTATTGGAGAATTTCAGGAGGTGAGAACAGTTTCGCTTAACGTTGGGGAACAAAGCAGCTTGCTGTCAAGGAAGTCACGAACCTCTTATTCTTTATTCTTTAGCAAACAATCTGATTTCGTGACGCTGAGTTTTGATACTATATCTTCAACTGGTGCAAATGCTGCCATCATTCACTACAAGCCTGAAAAGGGATCTGATGCTATTGTTGATGTGGACAAGATATATTTATGTGATTCAGGAGGACAATATCTGTAAGTCCATTGTCCAATCGTTAACCCTTTTATTCGGAGGGGTTTATGGTCAAGATTTGCTCATATTCTATTCACTTGACTTCACTACCAGTGACGGCACAACAGACGTAACCAGAACTCTGCATTTCGGAACGCCCACTCAAGCAGAAAAGGAAGCCTTCACGCTCGTCCTCAAGGGCCACATTCAACTCGATATGGCCGTATTCCCTAAAGGAACTTCAGGTTATATACTGGATGTGTTGGCTCGTGCTGCTCTTTGGAAGTCTGGATTGGATTTCAGGCATGGAACCGGACATGGTGTTGGATCCTTCCTGAATGTTCATGAAGGGCCACAAGGTATTGGTACTCGTATTGGATATAATGATATTCCTTTGGAGCCTGGCATGACTGTTACCAATGGTATGCGATGTCGAATTACAGGTTTGATGTGAATGTCCAGTTTTACTGTATTTTGCTGACTTCTTCCCTTTCTCTTAACAAAGAGCCTGGATATTACGAAGACAATGCATTCGGTATCCGTATCGAGAACGTCATGCTAGTTCGTGAACAAGCAACACCACATCGTTTTGGCGATCGTCCTTATTATGGATTCGAGCATGTCACGCTTGTTCCTATTGGAGCTAAACTGATTGAAGTGTCGTTGTTGACTCCTGAGGAAGTGAAATGGGTGAATTCGTATCATGAAGAAGTGTGGAATGCGTTGAATGGGTTTATGAAGGAGGGGACGTTGGAATGGGCGTGGTTGAAGAGGGAGTGTATGCCTATTTCGTAGAAAAGAAGGAAATCAGTGACACGGGTTTTCGACGTAAACGTGTATGGATACAGTTTGGAAATAGAGATAGTGCTTTTTAAAGTGCTATTTTTTGTGATTCTGGTTGTGTGTTGTTACGTTTCGTGAAGGACGAAAAAGGCCTTTCACGCAATGCCCAATCAAGGAATCATAACTCAAACTTTTACAAATCACCATTCTTGAATAGTACTGGCCGTGTGCCTGCAGACTTGGATGCTTTCTGGATTGATGCGAACATCAATGCAAGTGCACTTAGCTTGGACGCTAATGAAGAGTAGCCTGCCTGATGTATCAAGCAAGGAAGTATGATTGATTAAAGTGCTATCTCCTACATTCCAAGTCGAGATTCGTGTTGCAACTGTCACTGCTGGTATGTTTGTGTTGCTGTTGATGTCCCCTCATTTCGAAAGACTATCAGGGTTTTTTGTTTTACTCCATCAAAATCGGACCTTTATACCTATTTCATTGATTGGTATCATTCAAAACACCTGAAGATGCACCAGACACTACACTGACGCCAGTAATGCCCGACAACCTAGTACGTGATGTCTGAGATACAACCACCAGCTTCTTGAGATCCATTCAAACAAGATGCTTACAAAAACAAGTGCTGGTAAGGTCAAGAAACTGTGTGAACAAGACCAAGAGAACCGTGGTTGAGGTTATTGTGGCTGCTCTTGATGAGATTGTTAGTATGTTCCATGATTTTATCGTACTCGTGCTGTTTTGTTGCTCATCTTTCATCGACTTAGGGCTCTTCAACCTGCATGTGTCAGTGTAAATTATAATCCTGTCTTCTTCTCATATTCACTCGTCACAAAGGATGAGATTGTCTTGTACATGGATTTCGCTCAAGTAGCAGCTGATGTACGTGTTGTAATCATTTGCTCAACGCATGACCGAAAAATGGAGATCCACACACCAAACTATTAATTCTTCATTTGTTAGACACAAACATTCCTTGGAACAGATGTCACTCTACGACCATATTTCATGATTTGAAGAGTGATACTCGTGCTCGTGAAGGTCATGCTGAGGATGCAAAAAAGGAGGTCAAACACATACGATGCTGAATGTGAAGCATTGACTGATGATTGTCAAGTTTTTTCTCTCTAACACGTATGCTGATTCTTAGAAATTATGGATTGAGGATTATTTGCCACAAAGCATTGTTGGATGTTATTGGTGGAGAGGTGAGCGCCCCTGTACTCTCAATTTGCAAGCTTTTTTTCGGCTTGGGTTTATTGCCCATTTCTGTGTCCCTTGCTTTCTAGAACAATGGTGGCAGATCGCACCCCAGTAATGACAGCCCAATCCACCGAGAATGCCGTGGTATGTGAAAGTCATAGAAGCCATTGCTTTTCCCTTTTTTCTCCACGATAGTATGAATTCTCAATTCACCTCATATCTTTGTAGATCAGCTACGTTGCATGTTTGGATAATGAGTTCGTGGTGAAGGAAGAATACTAATTTATAGGAAGCTGAGGTTGATGATATGCTGGACATCTTTAGGAGGTGAGAAGAGTGCAGCTTTCAGTCTGGCAACAACAATTCTCTATTGAATTATGACATCTTAAATATCTGCTTTGTTAATGTCATTGCGTCAACCACTGTGACCATGGAAACTTGCATGTCAATAGTTGCTATTTCATAGCTCAAGCGGTACAGGACATTATAATTTGAAATTAAGAGTAATTTTGTACGTGTTCCTCCAGTTCAAACTCTTTGCGTCAATCCAACAAAGAGCAAAAATTGTTCGCCATTCAGAACGATGTCACAACGAACATTACGTGTCGTCGTCCTGCCGACACTTAACCAGAAGACTGTCTTCCATGCGAGATTCCTCCAACCAGCAAATCCATTTGAACGTGGTGCTATAGTGGCAGCCTACGTTTTACGCAAATGGAGATATTCATGTAAGCTTGCTAGACTCCCGGAGTAGACGTGATTTCAACCCTAATAATCATTTTCTGACTGCATTCGTATGGTTTGTCTATAGTATCAGACACACTAGCATACTATTGGCACTCATTTGGCGCAACATCAGAACCAAAAACATTGTCGAGTGCCATTTATCGTGCTGGGAATTACATGACTACGAGGAGGAGTGCTGATGAGTATTTCTTAAAGATGATTCCAATGGCCACTGAACGTGTACGTTGATGCAATGTGACGATTGGTCGTGATCTCGTATTTTTCTGTTGGGGGGTTTGGAAAAAAAACACAAGAAGCTGTCGCAATCCAGTGTGTTTTGACTGATGTCTCTCTACAATTAATTAACGCATTCGAGTAATATCTAGATTCAGTTCATGTACCCAACAAGCTCAAACCTCGCACTCGTGAAAAAGAATCTCAATCTATGGCTTCAAAGTAAGTCATCTCTTGCACTCTCACATAGACAACGCGTAACCAAAAGGCCGCACTCAATTCAATTTACATAGACTCTGACCGCCACACAACAACCCTCTTCCTTTGGACCCTAATCTTTCCAGTCGATTTCTACGTCTCCAAATTTTTCGTCGTGGGCGCAAACCTCCTCTTCATATACAACTGTTTCCGTGTTGTATCATCGTTTCGTGCCGTTATGGGTGCACGACAGCTGAAGAAACTGGTTGAAGAGAATGGAGTCGAATTTGTTGCGAGTGATGAATTGCAGAAGAGTATTGAGGAGAGTGCGAATGAGAGTGGAGTACAAGTGGTAAAAGATGGGGATATAGATGATGCTGTTGTTGATGGTGTGGAGAAGAGGTTGAAATGTGTTGAATTGGGGAGGACGTACAGGAGGACGAGGTTTCAGTATTTTGTGCATGGTGGCAAAGATTGAGAAGTGAATGGGTGTATTGCATGTGGTGAGATTGTGTTGTGTATATAGACATTTGGACGTTTAATTTAACGACGAACTCGCTCCTTTTTCGTGTGATGATGGTGGTGGGAAGAACTTTTGGGCATGTTTCTCTGACACATCATCCGTGAAAATTGAAACCCTCATACTCTATTGCTTCTCTGAAGACAATTTGCGTAACAAAGGGTAAGAAATTGCACTAGCAAACACCCTCACCAAAAAAACCTGCATGGATTGGTTGATCGATTCCCATTTTAGAAATCGCAGGGACGTATACAAATTCCTACACAATGAAAACTCATAACCGGATTCACTTTTCATTCATTATCGTCTTGTTGTGGTTGTCTATCACTCGAGCATGGCCTTTTGCACCTCCTACTGTTGAATCTACTTCCGCACATCATATTGAGATCGATGGTGGTGGTGGCATTGACCATGCTGAATGTGATACTGTCGTATCATCTGGTCCGACGCGTAATCACTGTGACGTCTTTGATGATTAAATTCTAGAGCCAGGTATAACGTACTTAGAACTCGGTTTCAGTATTTTGTGCATAGGTGCTTAAGAGTGAGAGAGTGGTATAATGTTTTTGGTATGTGAGGGGTTCTATATAGAAAAGTTTAAAGTTCAAGTTGACCATTACTGACTTTTTGATCTTGGTTTTTTTTGGGGTGGTGGTGTTGAGACGTAATTTGGGCCTTTTTGAACAGGATTCCATCTCAGTTGACAGCACAATTTCATATGCTGCTCTTGGCCTCACTGACAGATCCGCGACTTTGCACGTCAACACGCACCAATCATAGCTTTTGTAAAAAGAGTTTTTATATGTCGGCAAACAAAAAACGAAATCAAAAACAAGCGTTATTTTTCTGCTTTGGCAACCCTTTTATAACTATATGGTGGTGGTGTGTGTTACCTTCTTTATGTCATCTCCTTCATATTTTCATTCTTCCTCTTTTATGATTATTCACCTTTTCCTTCCTCATCCTTCTTCTAAAAACAACCCTTCCTTCCTGCTATTTTCATCAAATTCTCTCTCTCTCCTCCTCAATGCCTTATATCCCCTCCCTCTTCATCATCCATTTATCCAAAATGAGACCTTTTCTGTGTGTTGTGTGTTTGTTCGTACTTTTGGTCACAAGAAATCCTCTTTCATTCCTCCTTGTCCTTCTTTGACAACCCAATAGCCGAGATGCCCCAGTTTATCTGATCACCAGCAAGCTTTTGCAGATCGGTAGCCTTTTGTACAGCAAAGTTCTTACCATTTTCAACACGATGGTGGACCTGTTCAGTAACTGCAGTGATGTTGGTCTTTGCGGTATCCGTGATATCCTTGGCCATACAGTAATATCGGTTGGTGACACCAGTGACTGTGTTTGATACATTATCTACAGTGTTTACGACGGGAGCTGGTAGTTGCGACCTAGTTGTACTGTACGGGTCAGCCAAGAACTTGGCACCGAGATCGTATACGGGTGTAGGCAAGTATTGTTTTGCGAGACTGGCAGCCAAGTTGCTAGCTTGAGTGGCCTTTTCATGAGCTACATTGATGGCGGAAGTGGCAATGGATTTGATGGTATTGATGCCAGAGGTGGTTGTGTCGTTGATTGTGGATTTGACGGATGATACGGTGTTTGATGCGTAGGATAGGATGGATGATGTGGTTGTGGAGACAAAGTCTACGGCTGGACCAAAGACCTATTTTATGAAAGGTTTAGAACGGCGTCAAGGACAGCATGAATCGATGCATCTGTATGAATCTGGTACAACTTTTTTTGCATTGTGATTTCTAAATTCGGCAAAAATTACCTTGTTGAAGAGGGAAGTGGCTGATTGTACTGTGGTTCGGCTAGAGTCTTCTACTCGTTTGGTTACCGTGCTGGTGGCTTCGATTGCTCCTATTCAATGAATGTATTTAGATCAAAAGCTTTATACTTTATATGTGTGTTTGATGATGATGCTCTAAAACGGCAATAATCTGATGACATGTGCGGTATGACAAGATGCAAGATCAGTTCTGATCAAGTCAAGCTCCATTCATATCTCATGTAAACCACACAATCGTCCCAATCCACTCTCCAAAACAAGGATCCGGACTCATCCACAATTCCCTTTCACGTGCTCGCCAAACACCCTTCAAAACTTAAGTCCATACCATTGACCTGGGAAGTAACAAAAGACCTAGTAGTCTTTGCCTTTTCAGCGGCGTAATCATAAGTCATGTTGATTTGGGTGGCGACCAAGTTTGATAGTCTTGTAGCGACAGCATTTGATTGCTCGAGAAGCGAGTGCTGGGCATGACCGTTTGTGTGAGGAGCAGCGTTTCCATTCATCTGTGGCTGGAAGTGATGGCCATTGACGCCATTTCCGTTGGCATGTTGCTATGTTTAGAGGATTTGGTTGATGAGATTTGATTGGAATGTCGCATGTGTCAAGATGTTTGGATATGAATGGCATCGGGAGCTTACAGTTTGAGCCATGGTAGATGGATTAAAACAATGTTCTAAATATGAATGGAATAAATCAGTTATATGAACAAATCCGATGCTTGACTCTTTGCTCGTTTTTTTCTTTTGGTAAGCTTGAGTGAAAAAAACAAGCAGCTAAAGTATGGAGGTTGCGGGCCAGACGACGGCACTAACCAGTAGATCCAATAGACAGTTCTCTTGTGTATGTCTTTATGATATTTTGGCGATATCTATCTAATCTGCTCGAGGTGTGTTGATGGTTGGGAAGAGTTGCAAAGTAACAAATTTAACAAGAAGAACAAGCAGAGACTGGACGTGTTTTCTTTATCAGGAGCTATATTGGATGAGCATTTTCTCATATAATAGAATCATATTCACGCTAGCAGCGCTTTGTACGACAATCTTTTTTACAATGACTTATCGTCAGCGCGTGCAAATGAGCGAGTCGACCAAATGTTGGCCTATCTCGCCATCACCACCCACTCCCACGTTCCAAATCACCGTATCTAAGGTTAGATCCCTGCTTACGAGTGCGTTATGCATAAATGGGACCATTAAGGTTCTATCGGTTATTTCAAAAAACGTGACTCTCACAAGAAAACCGGAATTCCCTGAATGAAATCCCCCCTGCGTGTTTATCCAATCCGCACTCTAATCAAATTGAAACGTTTCAGCAACACGTAGCTAGATCTGGTCGTCGATTGCTCATTTAGGCTGTATGACCAAACTTTTATTATTTGATTTGGCTGAGGGTTGGTTACGTCTCAACATTCCATAGAAGGGCGCTATGGTATTGCATTAAGCACTTGGACAGCACAGCAGAGTCGAGATTTAGCCTGATAACTACCAACGTTTAGGGCTGAATCACCGAGATTTACCCCATTGCTCCATTTTTGTAAAGTTGGTTGATGACTCTGAGCATAGCCAAGAAGCGGAAAAGACAGCCCATTTCTCCAACAGCCACAAGTTATATCATGTCAAGCAGCAACAGCAATTTCACCGCCAAGCAACAAGAAGACACCTCCAAGTGTGATTGTGAAAAGTGCAACGGTTTTTTTATTCTAATAAACGTGAAGATTCCTTCTCCAAACAACAAGATCAAATGTTTGATGCTGAGAGAGATACTATAAAATCTACTTTTTAAGGTTTTCAGGCTACAAGGGGAAGAACGGTGAATTAGATCTTGGAAACCTTTGCAAGTTAACGAACCCCAAGAACACTCACTCTCAATCCACGAACAGTAACACCAGCTCTCCACATTTCACTTTCACGGATGGCCTTGAGTTCCTTGTCAAGTTCAACACGGTAGTCTGATCGTGAGTTCTTGTCGAGAGTACGTTTGGTTTCAGATCCATTCTCGACGGATGCATACAAGCGCTTAAACACTGGGAGAGTTGCAGTGTAGAACTCTGGAGCCCAGTCCAAAGCACCACGCTAATATGAAGAGGAAGGGGTTTAGTGAGAATTAACATTGAATCAGGTGGATCATGTCAAGTAAGCATTGAAAGATAAGCTTTGATAGAGAGTACACAAAAAAAACCTGCTACAGAGCTTCTGATTACCTGAGCGGTTGTTGAGCAGTTGGCGTACATCCAGTCCATACCGTTCTTGGCAATGAGAGGGTACAAGGATTGCGTAGCTTCTTCTACAGTCTCGTTGAAGGCTTCCGATGGAGAGTGACCTGCGAAGAGAATGAAATCGTGAGCTCCATGAACAAGTATAAATAGACTTTGTTTCTGCATTTCTTACCCTTGGCACGCAAAACTTCGTACTGAGCCTGGAACATTCCTTGAATGGCACCCATGAGGACACCACGTTCACCAGTCAAGTCTGAGTAGACTTCCTTTTGGAAGGTGGTTCTGCGAAACAGAGCGATTGTGTCAGTCAGCGAAGAGAATCATCGCGCTTTCAGCTACCATGAGCTTACTCGTAGAGATAACCAGATCCAATAGCGACACCAGCAGCAAAAGCACGTTCACGAGCTTTACCAGTGGCATCTTGGTAGACAGCAACCGACGAGTTGATTCCTCGACCTTCCAAAAACAAGCTTCGGACGGTAGCACCTGATCCTTTAGGAGCAGCCAAGATAACATCTACGTCTTTAGGAGGCACGACACCAGTCTGGTCATGGTATACAACAGCAAACCCATGAGAAAAGTACAGAGTCTTTCCCTTTGTCACAAACTTTTTAAATTCAGGCCACATTGTCTTTTGACCGGCATCGGACAGGAGATACATCAAGATGGTACCCTTTGTAGCGGCTTCTTCGATAGACAAGAGAGTCTTTCCGGGGACCCAGCCATCGTTGATTGCCTTTTGCCATGATGGACCGGATTCACGGAGGCCGACTACGACTTTGAGACCATTGTCTCGCAAGTTGAGAGATTGGGCCATTCCTTGTGTGCCATAGCCAATGACGGCGAATGTGTCGTTGGCAAAGATTTGATGGAGCTTTTCACGAGGGTAGTCGGCTCGCTCCCATACAGTTTCCTTGGTACCTCCAAAGTCAAGAGTCTTTACTCCTCGACGTGGTATTTTCTGTAAAAGAGGTTTGTAAGATCAATACAAAAGTTCATTTGATAGTGTTTTGCCTCTTTCTTGTCTCTGTATTCTCGTTTGCGACATTCATTTCATATTGGTCACTCTCAAAGAAAAAAAAAACTCGCACAACATACAAAATGTTGCCCGACCTTTCCAGATGCACGAGAATCAACATGGGAAGACTGATTCTCGCGTCCTTATAGTTCGTAAAGCTTCTATTTCATCTTTCTTTCACTGGAACTTACCATGGCAGAAGGTGCAGCGACAATGGATGCTTTTGGCAGAGAAGTTATTGATGACATTCTAGCTGCTTGACCTGTTGGGGCCAAAGATGCAGGTGTCTTTCGCATAGTGCGAACTGCCCTGATGGCTGCTGTTTTCGTGGGGTTCATGCTTGCTGGTATCTAGCTTGAAACTTTTTTTGTTTGATGTTTGAAACAGCGACTCTTGATTTTAAAAAAGAGAGCCAACAACACAACTTGCAACACAACACGCGAGTGACGTTATTTATGTTAGCGAGCGATTTACTAATTACAAGAGTACAAGGGGCTATTTTCTATATTTCGTGCTTTCTCATATTTTTAAAATTTGCTCTTCTGTTTTAGATTCCATTTGCTACTGCAACCAAAGTACCAGCCATATGAGGCTCCGATTGGAATGCGGTCCGAACGATCCTTGTCGACATCACGAATCCAATCATTATAAGAACGGACTGCAACGTTCCCATATTTCAAAGTAATTCCACAAGGTAGCAGTCCAAGATTCGTCTAAAATATTGCAAGACGTTGAGATGAGTCGAGTTTTCCGGGATCCAGACATAATATGGCTTACTTCGCCAGCTCCATTAGAGTCGAAATATGCCAGATCTTGCCTCAAGACGGACTTGATGTATCGTTCTCGGATGATCTCAACTCGATAGCGAGGATATGTTAGACGGATTGTGAGTGTGAACTGGAAATTTCAGTGTTTTGTGAAACTTAAGTCCAAATAAGCAACAAGTGATACGGCTCCATAACTTGTCTCCAGTATAAACCCAGAAAGACAGGAAACTACATTTGAAATGTAGGTAGTCAAGAATACTCCAGCGGCAAGGTACACAAAGTACAGCATAACGAGACTTATAACAGCCTTCAAATCTTCAGGAAAACTTGTCCCATCCGTTGAACATCGTAACGTGAAATCATCGAATGCATTCACGACCTATTGAGACAATAACAGCTTAGATGAGTAACAGCGTTTGATACGCGGGTCTTGTAATAACAATCCAAAATATTTACAACTTCTACGGGGAACGAGATTGTATCACACAAAATCAAAACCCTCACATTTCCAAATAGAATGGTTGTGAGGGGGAAGGCGCTGCCAGCGATGATAGCCTTAAGAGCACCAATGATCATCAAAGCTGTCTCGGATATAGTAGCATATCTTTACAGAGTTCCAATCGAAACTAGCTTCATCTCATCTAGCCCATTCTTAATGTTTCGAGGTTCAACGTCGATTTTCTTACTGATTGTCATATCGATCGCTGCCTTGCAGTAGCTTCCACGGACTCTCATCTTGTAATCTTAGATAATTCTCCTAGCGGGTTATCTCGTAGATGCCCTAAAGTGTGCGTGAAACTGGCAATCAATTGATGTATGTTTTAGACGGTCAAAACGAGGGGGAAGCAAGGGTGTAATCATGTTCTAATTTTCGAATTTTTCCTTTATTGGGTGCGAGTAGACCTGCGGAATGCCTTCTAGACGCACCGAACAAGAGTCATTCACGAGACCTTGTCAAGTTGAATTACGACTCAACTCAGAATAGTGAGCGAATAGCTCTGATTTGATGCTCTTACGAGGAAGAGAGCTACCGCTTAGCATCTCGTTAGATCTTCTTGATTAAGTTAGAACTGATTTACCTCGCTGTGCTCACGGTCGTTCGAAATGCGTCCAAACTCTTCGTTTTCGACGTTTTTCGCAAAGTCAGGCTTCAGTCCAGAGACAGATGGATTTCAATTGAATGTTGAACGTAGTTATTCCTGTCTTTATGACCACTGATAAGCCTTTCCTGCCCGCAATTATTTTGCCAACGCTTACGACAAGCGAGCCCGTACCCAAAACAACGGTTGTTTTACCACCAGCACTACGTGCTCCCTGGAAGTAGATGACTTGTGCTGCTGAGAATACTGATTTCATGTTCGAGATTGAGAATCGCCATTGATCAAATTCATGACGAAAAGATACCAAGTTAAACAGTACAGATCATTGGATCTGTGCAGCTATTGTTTCTACATTTCTTTGGCCAACACTGACGTTACAGCAATCATTGGAATAAAGCAAGGTGAAGCCGAAATAAGTTTCCATGAGTTGGAAGACCGAAATCTAAAACACGTTTCCCAATTGTGAGAAAACATTTTCAGAGTTTCCACTTTGATGAACAGTGCGTCTAAAAATAGCGTGGTGCATCCTCATGACAAACAATCTGAGCATGTCAGGATCATAATCATTGCAAACTCAACTCATAAGGTCCTGGTCTGGCTTCAGTAAAGTCATACTAAGTCAAATCGTGACTTGATACGACGTTGACGTATCAAACTTGAATGTGATGGGTTATCTAGCGGTTCGAAGAGTTGTAACACTTGATATCAGTTGTGAAATACGTGAGACGACAAAAACACGGAGCCTGGAGTCCTCCATCATACCTATTCACCAGTATATTAAACACACACAGTCATGACACGTTCGAATAGTCAGAAACACCTCGACTTGAAATTTGGCAATGAAATCAGAAAGAGCTGACGAAATAGTTCAAGAATCTGATTCTATTCCAAAACAAGCAAACACGACACAATATTTATCTAATTTTTGGTTTAGATTAGCCTGGTGGCAATGAGGTCAAATCTACATCGGCATCGGAGCTAGCTGGTGTTTCACTTGATCCGTCGAATGCAAGAGGTGCGCGTGGCATAGCCATTGATCCTAAAAGCACAAAGGGCAATGTTGTGTCAACACTCAATCCAAAGCCCTTACCGGTTTTCTTTGCGTGCAGTATTACCTGAGCGAGCAGCTTCACTGATTCCATAAGGCTTCATCAACTGCAAGAATGCATCTATACGATCTGGTTTTGCAGTCAATTCAATTACCATGGATTCTAGAGCGACGTCTACTATGCGAGCTGAGAAGAGACGAGCTAGTTCTGAGATTGCTTGTCGCTGGAGACCGGATTGCATCAAGGGGTTTACTGCGTCCACATGATGCTAAAAACCATGAAATGACGTGAGAGGATACTCTTTGAAGGTTGTCGAGCTCCTAGCACAATATCACAAAGTGCACAGGAAAATCAACCATACAGCAACGACCACCTACTTCAAATTCCTCCGCCCTTTCTTCCACATGTGAATCAGGCACAGTCGAGACCTTGAGCAACAGCAACTCCCTCTCGACGACCCTCGAGTGCGTATAATCCAGCACAGCCCATACAGGCACCAAATCCTCCAGCTGCCTTCTAGCCTGCTCTATAACGGTATCCTGGCCATTAACCACCAGCGTCATGCGACTCAAGTCAGGCACCTCTGTTCTTGCGACAATCAATGAGTCGATATTGAATCCCCTAGCAGCTAGGACACCGGATACACGAGAGAGGACACCCGGTTCGTTTGATACAAGACAGTTTAGGATGTGTCGTGTTACAGGAGCTCGTGAGGAAGGAGGAGCATTGTATAGCATGTTTGCGACTGCTTCTTCGGCGGTTGGTGGAGCGGGGACATCGAGAGTGATTGGTACTTTTTTGAGACGACGTCGTGGACGGGCGGCGGTGGATGTGTCAGTATTTGGGGATTGAAGGGGGATGTTAGAGTGTAGTTTCCTGCATGGTATAGGAGATGCGATGGCTGGAGAAGCTCTCGACCCCTAGTAGAGAATAGATTCAATGTAAGGACGCTAGTTTGGTTGTTTCTGACATCCATTGTAGGCACATTCGTCGACTTTTTGATTTTTTTTTTTGACACTCAGCTGCAAGTACAAACACGAGGTAGTTTCAAAAAGGGTAGAACTACATACCGCGAGAGCAGCTCTCACTACTATTGGAGCTCTTGTAAACATGCGTGCTTTTTAATAAACAACCCGCTAACAGAACTTTGACTACAAACTAATTGTTGTCTTTTAATGAAAAAAAGTGAATCATTTCATTTGATGACATGTTCAAGACAAGGAACGTGTTATTCGCATTGGCAATAGGACTATTAATAGTGCTGGGAACTGCCATACTAGCTGCCTTCTTACAGGAATCTCATAATCGGTTTGATATTGACGATCCAGCACCGTCATTCTGGCAAAAGAAGCAACAGCCTGCAATATGGAAACAGAATGGAGAGCTATCTACCTCCCATGGAAATGTAATCATGGGCAAAATGAGTAATGAAACAATCAAAGTACGAGATCATGTGCTGCTGACATTTCATGTACACCGTCTAGGTGCAAACCAACCGACAATCATTTAAAATAGGCAGAACTTGGAAGAGCGACATGGAGACTGATACATACTATTGCTGGCAAGCTGCGCTCATTATTCGCCTCATACTTCAATCCAACCACTCACACTTTGTACGTACAGGCAAATTCCCACTCGATGCTAAAGATGAAGAAAGACAAGCACTTCTGGACTGGATACATCTTACTTCACGTGTCTATCCTTGTGGGGAATGTGCCGAGCACTTCCAACAACTGCTCAAAGAACATCCTCCCGACGTACGAGTTGTCGACTGGCTTCTTGAAAACTGTCAACTAATCACACAAGTTAGGTCACAAACAGAACCACAATCACTCAATGGGCTTGTAACGCCCACAACATCGTGAACGAACGTCTAGACAAACCACAGTTCAACTGCTCAAAAGTTGCAGAAACTTGGCAATGTGGATGTAACGACGAACCAAAAGAAACCCCATAAGAACAACCGTGATCTCCATATTATATATTCTGTATCATTTTGCTTTGTAGATCCTGTAGAGAAACACGTGTATTCACAGTCCTCACTTCGCATTTGCACAGTCAAAAAGGGAAATTTGGGGTGTCGTCACTATTCCTCAAAAGCAAAACGAAGTCATATAACAATATCCGGCTATAAATAGAGTTCTACATATAGATTTCGATCAGAGATCTCATCGAACCATGCCGACTCTCAGATCACGCACCACACCAAAAGGCAAAATCGCTAAAACACTACCCACTCTCCGTGTCGAGACTGAGACAAATCAGGCAAGTCCACCATACAAACTCATACACTCATCAACGAACACAGTTGCTCATTCACCTAATCCCCTTCGTTCAGACTAGAGAACCCATCTCGCGGCAGCCATGTGAATGTGCTCCAGAATCACCAGAACTAAACCATGAAAACGTGCTTGAACATCTAACGTCGACGCTTAATCTCTATCAATCTATTCCGAATACTGCTGTTTCGCAAGTGAATGACCGTCAATTGTCGATCTCGGCTAATGCTATGAGACCACTGCTTACTTGCCCCGTTTGCTTGTGTGTCTTGAGAAATACTGTGGCTGTTATGGAGTGCATGCATCGATTCTGTAGAGGTAATTGGAGAATATGATGGATTTTGCGGATTACCGGATTCTCCTACATAGCAGCACTTTCCTGTTATTCAGACTGACTACGACTTTTCGTCATCGCAGATTGCATCGTGACATCAATAAGGTTAGGAAAGAAAGAGTGTCCTTATTGTAGGGTGCCTTGTCCTAGCAAAAGGAGTGTGCGGGCAGACCCACACTTTGATGCTGTCGTTAGTTTGATTTTCCCAGAAGACGAGGATGAACAAGAGGTATGTGTGGTTTAATGAATCGTGAGGCCAACATATTTTGAATCTTGTTTATCGTATCAGGATGCCAATATGGCGCTTATTGCTCGCCGTAACAGTCAGAATCTTCAACAGCAGTATGAGGATGTGAGCAAGAAAAGACTGGTTGTAACAATCAAGAACAGCGTGATTACATTGTTTTTCTTTAACTTAGAGAATGAAGCGTCAAGCAGCTGCTACAAAGTCGCATCGACATCATAGTGCTGGTATGTGTTTTGTTAATTGGACCCGTCCAAAAACGTTGAACTAAAAATATCACGTTTTTAAGACGCAGCACCTCCCGCTCCACTTCCCCCATCTTCGTCTACAAGAGCAGGAAGCAGTAGAAATCTACGCAAACGACCAGCTGAAGACGACATCTAGCTCGGCTTGACAGCTCCTATGACGTCAACCTCGCGTCCCCTAACCAGTGTCTAGAAATTTCGAGAAATAACACACACACATAAAAAACCTGTAACAACATAAGATACAACTGTAAATCAACATTTCAATAGCAACACAATAACTCTAGCACACACCGACCGATACACACAAAGCAACAAGAATGAACTTTTTCGATTCTGAATTCTTTCCCAACCCAACTCTTGGACGACTTGTTCGTTCGCTTTTCAATCAGGAAGTTCCAGGTGAGCAAACATAATAATATGGTTATCACTTTACGAACAAATTAAACTGAATGTACTGTCATATGTTAGTGGTCACTGAAAGCAATTGGCGACGAGGATTTTCTGTCGACTTGGTCGAAACTCCCACACACTATATCTTGAAGTCTGACTTACCAGGTGAGACAACTGTACTAGCACCTTCACGATCTCGATCTGTTGCATGGCTGATTTCCCCCCATATAACTGACACACATCTTCCCACCCACTACACAGGATGCAAAACAGAAAACATATCCGTCGACGTAATCGACTCGCACATCCTGCACATCAAAGCATCTCGCCAATTCGATGCACCCAACGGTACCATCGCTCCATCTTCATCAAAAGTCAAGATGATTGAAGATGGGAAAACCAATAAGAAGGATGCCAAGTCTGCCAAGGATGTCAAGGAAGATAGTCCTGAAAGTGTTGTGCATCTCCAGGAACGAGGGTTTGGTGATTATGAGAGGTCTATTCGATTCCCTGAAGGTAGGCACAAAAAACGCAGATACACTCAACACGTTTATACTTTTACTAGTAGCCTGTCGACACAATACCAGGTATTTAATGCATGCATTCACTTTATCACTGATGTAATTTCTATTTAGGCTCTTTGGATGAAACCGCAAAAACTGAAGCTCATTATGAAAACGGAGTCTTGGAAGTCAAATTGAAGAAGGTTGCTGTCAAGCCGTTGAGTGCTCGCACTAAACGTGTTGAATTGAAGCACAAAATGTGAGAGGTCGTCGTCTGCTTCTGGGAGTTGGAAAGCAAAAACGGAGACTGCTAGTTTGTAAAAGAGTGTATTGCAAAGTAAAGGAAAAATCATAAATTTTAACAAAATAAATGCTCATTTGAAACTATATGGAAGATGTTAGTGCTGTTGTGTTCATGTGTGAGGTGGTTTTAGGATTACGAATTGCAGAACAGGCTGTTATGTGAGCGATTACGGTGCCAGCCTTGTTACGAAAGAAAGCAACACGAGAAGCTGAGATCTTTCTGAAGATGCATAGCTCACGTTTGGAAGGCCGTTCATGTTCTGTATACTCCATTTAGAGATACATTTCAACACTGCGGCAGCTTGTGAATCTTGTGAAACAAACTGTTGGTGTCCGTTCATTAGCAAAGAGATTCTTTACGAAATGCAGAAACCAGCAGTCCTAAAGATCATTTTGTTTCATGAGCCCACTCGTGATTCTCCTTTTTTGGTCTCTCCTCGGAAATATTTTACATCAAATCCTCTTTCCCCAACACCACCGTAAACTCAAGAGCAGCACCCATAGCGAAATGTCTACAATAGAAAAGCTCCCAGAACTCCCCCACAATGCAGGAACTTTCAGAGAGTCAAGACGGAAATCTCTCTTAATCAAGACGCGTAGTAGTGATGAGTCTTCGGAATCTCTGGCTGCTGCAAATGCTGCTGCCAATGCAGCTGATGGAAACAGTAGTGGTGGTGGTAGAGCTATACCGGTCTCAATTCAGGATACCACCCATGTAGCAGGTCGTGACGATGATACGTTTATTACCCAACGGGCCGGAAAACTGTATGTTTGCAGAAATTGTTGAAAATGGAGATTTGGACTGATGTATGTCTATTAATAGGGTGCAGACGACGAATCAGATATATATACCTGTGATACCGACTGAGGTATTTCCGCTTTTCATTCTACCTTTTTTTTTGCTCGTTGGATCACCATATTTTAACATGATTTTTTGTAAGCCTGGAGCTGGACTAGAGTCTCGAAACACATTGCAGGCAACACTATTACTGCAAAAGAAGCGGGAGATGATGGATGTTCAGTCACAGTTAGATCGTAAACGCCAAGAGTTTGCTAAACGGATGGAAGAGTGTCGTGAGAAGCAGGAAGAGCTACGAACTAAAGTAGGTTCATGTGTTGCATGGCTTCGCGATTTTTTTGGTCAACCAAGGGTTTGCTGTCAAGTTGCTGACATGACGTTTTCCGTTCTAGCAAAAGCAAATACGAGATCGCGTAGCCAAGTTTGAGAAATTCCTCAAGGATAATGATGCGAAACGTGTCAGAGCAAATTCGAAAGCTCTTACGGAACGGAAGATTAGAGAGCAGAAAGTGAGTCTCGTTCATCATCATGAAGCACGCCTTGTTCTTTGCTGTGACAGTTTCTGACATTTGGACTTTGAATTGATAGGAAAAGGAAATCATACAATTACATAAGCTGCTACAAGCTGAACAATTCAAGAATTCAGCCACCATGAAATTAACAAGTAATGTCCCATAAAAAAACCTCAACCCGCACTAAATGAACTCACAATTTTGTGACAACTTAGATTCATACCAGACATACGAAGCATACCTCCAACGCGTCGTCGACTGCCTCCCACCGGACTATCTCGAAATCAACGAACCTCACATAACCGACATTCTCGCGCGTCACGGCACCTTGGTCGACACTGCCGCAGATCTAGCCAAAATACTGATAAACCGTAACGAGGAAATCGAGGCTGGTCAAATCCGACTCGCAGCTCTCATGAAGGAGGGATCAGATCAAGTCCTGCTGTGCAATTCCATGCTGGGGACCAAACAAAAGAAATTGGATTCTGTGAGGCAGCAGTGTGCGATATTGGAGCAGAGGTTAGAGGAGAGAGACAGGACTGGGAAGGAGAGGGTGGGTTAATGAGATGTTTACAAAAGTGGTTGTTGCCGCATTAGAGCATAGAGTTCTCCTGTTTTTTGCTGACGTACCGTTTTTGTTTCTAGATGCGAACACTAGGTGAAGCCAAACTAGCAATCAACAATCTCTACGACCGCGTCACAATGAGATCCCGAAACACAATCAACAACACCACAACCATCATCAACAACAACAACACGACAAACCAGAACTCAATGATACCACCTGTTGCACTCGCTGCTGAAAAGAAAGAATCTGGACAAGGAAACCTGAATCCTGTTGTGTCAACAACACCGTCATCGTTTCAAACTAACGTGACGCTGGCGCAAAAGTTGGTCGCTATCATGACGAGACTGCAAGAGATGCAAGAGGTTTCTAGACGGGCTGCTGAAGCGATTAAGAATGAGGCTGCTATTAAGAGGGCTGCTGGTACAAAAGTTTGAAAACAATGTACTCGCATGCACTATGTGTCCTTTGTGTATCTGATACAACATATAACTTGTACTTAATGGACAAACCACACATCACACACATCATGTTTTGAAAGAAGAAAGTTCAAGTTATATATTTTCTTGTTTAGATGCAAATAATTTAGATTTATGAGGGTTTTAAAAGAAAGGTAGAGGCTCTTAAAGTTGTGTGTGTTTGTTAACAGCAGCAGTTGCTCTTCTAAACAGTACCAGTTTCTTGAAATACGCGAGTGACAGACAGAGCGTGACAGATTTATTTTCAATGAGTCCTAGCCGAATCAGCAACCTTGGCAGACCACTTGAACCGTGGCACTTTAGACCGTAAGCCCCATCCAGCAGCCCGACTATCCTGACTGGGAGCATGTATATCCGTACCACTAGTACTAAACAAGTCGACATCCTCCATCTTGATATCTAGTGTTGTAGCGTCACATCCGCTATTACTGCTAGCATTCTCATCTCGCTTAGATGCAGACAGCGATCTCCACGAATCAAGTATGGAGACGACACCTGTATTGCTTTGTGGTGTAGACGTAATCCTTATTCGGGGACGTAAAAAGGGACCGATTGCGCCACGTGGCTGGTTTGGGATTCGTGATGAGGATGATTTTGCGGACGAGATTGATGTCGACGACAGGTCCTTGTCCATTGACAAGAGAGAAGATTCGGACGATGGGTGGGAGAGCGATGGTGGTGTAGATGTAGGTGGGTATGTGGGACGCCACGTCGCATTGCTTTGTTGTTGTTGGAGTTTGGCCATTGGCGGTGGATTTGGCTGTTGTTGTGGTGTTGTATCGCGACCGACAACACCGTAACGTCTCGAGCTATACGATTCCTTGGCAGGATCATCAAGAGACGCTTCTTCAGACATGATAACAGCAGACGAATTTGGTCTGGTAGCAACAGGTTTGGGAGCCTGGTATCGTTCCGGTTTGGGTGGTGGAGTAGGTTTGAAATCAACTCCATGTGGACTCGATAACGGCGACTCGGCCAAACAGGAATCCAAATCGTCCAACATGGTATGCGATTTCATTGAACCCAGATATCCAGAGTCTTTGCGCTCTTCTTTGACGGACGGTTGCCGTTGCTTTTGGGTGAGAGCGAGAGATTTGCGGACTCGTAGTTCGTCGACGAGATGGTAGAGGGAAACGATTGGGTGTGGACCACCGCCTTGTGCGAGGACTCGTCGGATTTCGAGTTCGGAGATGCCGTAGGAGACGAGTTCAGCGAGAGATTCGGGATTTGGGTCGTTGACGACGGATGGTCGTGGAGGGACGTGGTTGTTTACGTAGCTTGAGAAGCCAATGTTGACCCATCTATGAAGATATTAAGGACTTTAGCAACCTTGTTTTTTGCCTTTGATCCGAAATGATGAATAGGGCACTCATAACATACCTGTGCTCCATAACTTCCTTCAAAGTAGCTCGCTTCTTGGGATCAACGGTCAGCATTCGTGATATAAGATGTGTCATATCTACAATAAATCCATCTGTCAGGATCATACCACTAATTCAGTTGACTGTTGTTTTATTCATACCTGACGTGAAATGAGACGGAATCTGGTATTCACCCTTTGAGATATGATCATACAAGTCGCTCATAGTTTGAGCATCAAATGGCAATCTTCCAGATAACAATGCGTAAAGAATGACTCCCAAAGACCATACGTCGACTTCTGGGCCGACGTATCGAACACCTTTGATCATTTCTGGTGCTGCATAGAATGGTGATCTATATGAAATGAGATAGTTGAGAACGATCACTTTTCATTCACAAGTATTCATATCGGTCTTTTTTGGCTTCTCACCCGCAATAAGTATCAAGGAAACGATCACGATGGAATGTATTCCCAAATCCGAAATCAATAATGCGAATGTTTTTGTGAGCATCCAGTAAAAGATTTTCTGGTTTTAGATCTCGATGTATAACCGAATTCTAGAAATTAAAAATCATGCATGAGTCAAAACTGCTGATGTGCAACCACCTCTCTACAGCTGTTTTGTGTGGCATACCTGATGACAATAACTAACAGCACTCAAAATCTGTCTGAAGAACTGTCGAGCCTCCTTCTCCTTTACCATGCGTTGCTGCACAATATATTCGAATAATTCACCACCGGCAAGATACTCCATGACAATAAAGATTTGCTCTTCGGTTTCAATAATGTCGAGTGTTTGCACAATGTGGGGGTGGTAGAGGAGTTTCATTAGACGGACTTCTCGTTGTACCGAGTTCTTTTGTTTCTGGGTCTTTACGCTTGCTTTGTCGATTGTTTTGATTGCGACCTAGCGTATATGGATGAGTTAATCTCATTGCAAAAATAAGAGGTAGACTTCTGCACTATACCATTTCTTTGGTAACACAATGCTCTCCAAGCTTGACTTTCCCAAATGTTCCTTGCCCTATGGTCCTCTTCAGGATATAATCACCAACACGACGTGGTGATGAATCACTATCTGGCGAGCTACTTGATGCACTAGACGATGAGCCGGCTGGTGATGCACCCTACACCACCAAAAAACGAGTTAAAACCAGCCAATGATGGAAATCATCTTCTCATCCACAGCAGCATATGCAAAAAAGTGTCACCAGTCCGGAAGAACACTCACATTGTTAACAGGCACACTCTTCTGACTCTCCAACCAAGCCTCTAAAAACCCTAACACAAAGCTCTCCTTGGACGCATCTCCCTTAACAGAAGCAAGAGAGACACCACGTTCAGCCAAATAAGCTTCAAACAGCTTCTTCTCATCGTGGCTCATCTTGGTTAGCTCTTCTCGGATGCGTGATATGACATATTGTCCTTGTGAGTCTCCAGCCATTTTGATATAATCTTGTTTCTTCGTTGGAATAGATACGAGTCTTAAGAGTGGGTATATAGACGCTGCGATGCTGATGGTAGATCAGGTATTTCGTCCGATGACGCGTAGCGATGATGAATGGTGGTGTTGGAATGGCTGGCTGATCTGGGTATAATTTGATGAATTGGTTGTAGTTGCCGGATATGAGGGGGAAAGACTAACGATCTGAAACCTGAAGTATCTTCAGCGTTGTCTAGTTGAGTGGCTCTCTCTCCCGCAGCCAAATGATGAAGAGCTGATGTGTGAGCTATAATCGTTTGCTCCAGTCAAGCAACTAGGAAAATAAAAGGGAAAAATCAGTCCTCCGAGTTTGATCTCGTGAGAAGCAAGTTTTGCTTGATGGCAGGTACCTGTCGAAAATCTTCCAAAAAGGAAGGGTGAAAATCAAACAAAAAATCTCCTGTGTCGTGAGAATGCACAGTTGCTGTGCAAGGGGTTTGATGAGTTTTTTGGATACTTTCTTTTTTCTTTTTGATGAGTGTGGAACGCAATTTGTTGAAACTTGCTGCGTCGTTTTAGCTGGCGATCGGAATTGGTGAGTTTAGCACCAGAAGTGTCGTTCGGTTTTGATGCTCCAAAGATTTGGTTGTGAATGTTGGATGATTTGCAGGACAAATTTCTTACGAAATGAACAAAGCAGATGGGTTGGTATTATTCGCGCATGGCTGTCAATGCGCCAGAGCTGTGGAATGGAGAAGGATATTAGCGTTGTATCCTGAACCCATTCATCGCGAACGATCGAGATATCCTCGATCTCGATGTAGGCGCCTTCAGTGTCCCTTATGGCGAACGATCAACCTACCCTCGATCTCGATGTGGGTGCCTTCAGTGTCCCTTCTTTTACTGAATGCGGACGGAAGGCTTCTAGGGGAACAATGCCTGACTCATGCACATCTACAACCCTGTATTTGGCACTTGGAAACAATTTCAACGACTATGCAATGTTCTCTGTTCTTGGTCTTTTACCTCCGCGCTGCTCATGGTCCGAGTCTGAATGTAATGAAGCAGGACGTTTCGTAGAAGCAATGGTTCTGTAAAGAAAGAATTCATCAATAAACTTTTGACTTGCTGAAAACTCAAACAAAAAAACTGTCGGCTTGACCTATCAAATAACTTACTCTTTGAAAGCAGCATCAAAATCATCCTCCCAGTCATCATTAGACTCATTCCCATTAGCAACAGACTGTTCCCGGCTATGTACTTCAGCACCATTACTCTCAGCCTCACTACTTTCATCTTCTGTAGTCGTCTCAGCATCCAAAGCAGCTTGTAGTTCTGCATCCATGGCTGAAATGTCAATGGCAGCTCCATCAACATCCCATAAGGCATTTTTCAAAGTGTTTGGCACTTCTAGAGCAATGTCTATTGACGAGTTGGTGTTGACGGCTCCTTGAGCAACGAGTTCGTCTTCGGATAGGTATAGAGGCTTGGAACTTGGTGATAAATCTCTTAAGGGTGCTTTTGTATCGTGTAAATAGTGTTGGATTGGTTCTCGACGCCATCGGAATGCAGATTTTGTGAGCCTGTATGAGGAAGCACGCATGAGCAAAAAAGGAGGTCAGAAGGATACATTGTATGTGCTTGTTCCATATCAGCACTGACCAGTCAACACGGACCACAGGCACTCCGGCTTTCATAGCTCGAATGACTTTGTCTGTGCCAACCTAAAGTACTAAACATTAGATGCTAAGGCGAACACATGGTCGTGCTCACTCCTTCTCTGCGCAAACATGCCTTGCCAGCGACAACATGAGTAATGCCCTTGAAACCCAAAGATGGTGGTGGGAGATCTCGCACAATGGTAGCTCCAAATTCTTCAGCCAATCTGTACATTTCATGCCTAGATAATGAGACAAAAGACAGGTGAGCGGATATCGTTGATCGCTGATCACGGTCTCTCATTGGGCACATACAGTTCAGGTTGCTTTTGAGTTATCGGTATAACAGAGCTAAACAAGATGCTACAACCAGCAAACACTGTTTTCCGCATCGCTCGCATAATGTTGGGAACGTTGGGCATATATCCTGCATCGTATAGTCGGAAATAGGTGTCGTGAACAATACTGAGAGCCTTTTGGACGTATTTGAGCTCTTGGTCGTCTTCTACCAGGATGGCTGGTTCTACAGACGGGTGTCGGCTTCCATTGGGTGTACCATTCCCATTACTGTTGCTATTGTTGCTATTGGAAGAGGACGAAGAAGAGTCCTTGGTTGATTTTTGGAGAGACATGGCAGCTCGTTTTAAAGGTTTGGCGCTTTCGAGTCGTGTTAGATTTTCATCTTCTACCGCTTCGACGGCATGTCGAATACGGCTTTCTCGTGCCTTGTCGTCATCTCCAGCTTGATCTGCAGCAGCTTCAGCTACTGTGTTTCGATCTGTATCAGTCAAGCCGGAGAGTTTCTCGGATGGGTTCTCGCCCTGCAATGCAAAGACAAAAGGCTGAATACGTGGTAACGCTGAAAACTGAAGGGCAGTGTAAGCCACCTTGTCAATGTTTTCAAGCTGCTGAGCAGCAGCTATCATGGGCGCATTCACATCTCCGACGCTCTTGAAGAAATCAACTAAGGGTAAAAAGAAATGTGAGAAGATAAATGAAGTCCGCTCTTTTTGGACGCTCTCACATGGCATCACTTTCAGAACATTATCCAGATGATTCCATACATCTGCTCTATCATCCACCACCACAACCATTTCATGGCCATAAGGAAACAGTCTATCTATGCTTTTGACCATGTTGCCTTGTTTGAACGTGAAAGTATAGATATTAAACGCACTTCACGCAATGAATAAATAAATAATACAAATCACGCACTTCCAGATGTGTCACGAGACAGGATTCGATCAGCAAAGACGACTCCAGTCGGATCCAGAAAGTGAGCAACAGCTCTGGCATAAGGCTCGGTTCCCATAGTATAAATGTGTAGTTCATATAATTTGGATACACTGTCCAAGAACTTTCGTCCACCAGGTCTATAGATACGTGAAGACAAGATCAATAGATCGTTTGCACTAGGCTTTTTTGGGTTCCGTACCGCAGTTTGACATAATATGTATGAGCTCCAGCCTCGGCCAATGTGAATGTTGTAAGAGTAAGTGGATCCTATAGTGGTAATGCATTAGAGCAATGCAAAATGCATTAGAGCAACGCAATATCGGATTTAAACAAGTCTGTAGACAAACCGAAAGAGCAGGGTAGTTTGGATTTGAAGGATCGGCCTTCCATTCTTCTATTGTATCCTTCTCAACACAAGCTTGAATGATTGTTAAATCCAAATCCAGTATTAATGGGAGTCTCTTTGTCTTGTGATAGTTGGTAGCAGCTTCCTTTTGCAGCCGTTTGGCTTCCTGCACAATAACGTTTCAACCAATTTGATGCAAGTTCATTAAGACATACAAAGAACGATCCGTAGCAAGTAGAGTGCGAAAAATGCCGCATTAATTATGATCGAAATGATTGACGTAGTCATACCTCCTCATCCACATAGACACCTTTAGTGTTGTGAGCTACATTAAACCTCTGCCTCTTGTCATCAACAACTACAGAGCCACAGACGGCACACAGGCCACGAAAGACTGTCTGATGAGTACATCCGTCCACAGCTGCCATGTGCTTGCTTTGACTGTTTACTATATATTAACTTATCGAAGAATCTACTTTGACATGTTTCTTGAAAAGATCGTGACGCTATGAACAAGAGCTTTTATGCCCGTTGAGAAGGACGCCCAACATGAGAGCACGTGGAACCAGTGACCCAGTGCTATCTTGTTATTGATGTATGTCGTGGAGATTGTCGATTCTCTGTTGATCAGCCTCCTTGAAGCACAGCACCAATTGAAAACAAGCAGCTGAAGGCGATACGGAAAAGCAGTCAAAATTTATAAGAAGTGTGAATTAATGCATTTTACACGTGACAATGCACTTCAAATGGTATGACTGAAGAGTGCCGCGCAATCAAGCAACTGCTGAAAGTAGCAAAGTTCAGACAGCAGTTTTTGAACAGAACTCGTCTGGAGTGATGTACGCGATTCCACGCTATAGTATTTAGGCTTCTCATTCATCCACGTCGAGAAACTGCGCCTGCTAGAGATTGGTAATTCAGTGAGGTGTGTCGGATGCACCATTCGAGATCAAATTAAACTATAAGACATTTGCGCGAGATCAGAACAAGTTCACGAGGTATTAGAACGTGGATCTTGTGTTGGATACGCTTCCGGAATCTGAATCTATCTTAGAACTGTCTGGACACGAAAGTCTTATAATCAAGCCCGCCACGTGAAAGAGGTAAGCACCACATCGAACGCAACTTATAATGTGGCATCGAGAGCAAGGCAATATCATATCAAAATCGTATCAAGATTCATCTTATTCCTTCATTGGGTACCGACCGATAGCACTTCTAACGTAATTTTCAACATTTTGCCAAAACACAACTAGTGATAAGCATATCAAACAGGATCATCAAAGATGTCTCACGAAGACAAAAAGATCGATGTCAATGCCGATGAGAAGAAGGGATTAGGGGCCTCAGAAGCTACTCCACTCATCAAGGAAAAGGAGGAACCACAACCTGTTGCGATGAAGGAATTATACCGATACGCAACCACATTTGACAAAGTGTTGATGGCTGTTGGATTAGCAATGTCTATTATTGCTGGTGCTGCATTTCCACTTACAACTGTAGTATTCGGAAACGTATGTTGCTTGCGGAATTCATCGTAGATCGGACAACTCGATAACCCAACACTCTTTTTTTCGCACAGGTCGTAAACGCATTCACCTCATTCATGACAAGATGTCCAACCGATCCTGGAGCTATACGTTTTCCAGGCTGTATAGTGTACACTGGTGACCAGTTGATGGAAACTATCGCTTACTACACACTCTACTTTGTCTATCTTGCTATCGCCGTCTTTTTCGCTACATACATATACATGGCTTCGTGGGTCTACACTGGAGAAAAGGTAATGATATACAAGTATTCAATGCGTAATTTTAGCGTTTTGAATTAGATATTATTTGAGCTGACTTTAAATTTGTCTTCAGATCACTCATAGAGTCAGAGAACAATACATCAAAGCAGTTTTGAGACAAGATTTGACTTATTTTGATTTCAGTGGAGCTGGTGAAGTAAGCCATCACGGAATTTTTTTGAACTATGATGTGGCGTTCTAATATCGTGTTCCGAAGGTCGCAACTCGTATCTCATCAGACACACTATTGATTCAAGACGGAATATCAGAAAAGGTTCCTCTCTTGTTTTCTCAACTGGGGACCTTCTTTTCAGCTTTCGTGATTGCCTTCTTCAAATCATGGAAACTGACTCTTGTTCTGATGTGTGTTATTCCGTTGATTGCCATCACGTAAGTAGTGACCTAAATATTGAACTCGAATCCAAGACATCGGACAGATCTAACCATACCTATTATGCTTTTGCTTTCTGTAGTGGTTTCGTCATGAACTTGATCAATGGGGGTTTCCAAACTCAAATCTTGAACCAATATTCGAAAGCTGGTACACTTGCTGAAGAGGCTTTGACGGCTGTGCGAATCATCTACAGTTTAAACGCTCAAACCAGGACTAGTTTTCGTTACAATGAACGTCTTGGGGTGTGTGGGCCCATGGAAAGCAATCAAGTGTTGATTTTGTACTAACTTATATGGTATTCTTAATAAGGGAGCACGTAATGCTGGTATCAAAAAGTCCATCGTCTTAGGTGTAGGAACAGGCTCTCTTTTTGTAAGTGCAGGGAAAAGAATACCGCAGTGAGAGCTAATTAATGACACTCGTTACCAGTTCTGGATATATTGCAGTTACGCCTTAGCTTTCTGGTTTGGATCTAGACTCTTAAACTGGGGTCTGACTGATTCTGGATCCATCACTACCGTCTTCTTTGCTGTCTTGATTGGTTCATTGTATGTCATTTGTTCCCAAATTTGCAACCTAAAAAACGCTTAACCAGTTTTGTGTCATAGCTCTCTTGGCCAGGTAGCACCAGATCTCCAAGCTATATCATTAGCAAGATCAGCCGGTGGTAAAGTCTTTTACACAATTGATCGAGTACCCAAGATTGATCCATATGACAAGTCTGGAACTAAATTGAGAGATGTCAAAGGAAAGATTGAACTCAAAAATATCAAGTTCATCTATCCAGCTCGTCCAGAATTGACTGTGTTGGCTGATTTCTCACTGATGATTGAACCTGGAACTACGGTTGCTCTTGTTGGTGCATCTGGGTACGTTTAGATCGAAAGAAAAAAAGTTGTGATTCTCCCTTTTCGTCTAACTCTTCGATAATTAGTTCTGGCAAATCTACCATCATTCAGGTACTCGAACATTCTTTAAACGAGGCGTAATTCTCATTAAAGTAACAACTGACTTTAGTTTTTTCTCCTAGCTCATCGAACGCTTCTACGACCCAATTTCAGGAACAGTCTTCGTAGACGACATCCCAATGCCCTCCATCAATCTCTCTTCTCTCCGTCACTCGATCGGATACGTCCAACAAGAACCAGTCCTCTTTGAAGGATCCATCTTTCAAAACATTGCTCATGGTCTTATTGGCTCCTCTAACGAGCATGCAACATTGGAGGAGAAACGAGAACTGGTCAAACAAGCTGCTATTAAGGCTAATGCTCATGATTTTATTATGAAGTTGCCTGGAATGTATGATAATCCGGTTGGTGAACGTGGACAGTTGCTTAGTGGTGGTCAGAAACAGCGTATTTGTGAGTGGTTGTTACATTGAGATCAGTTTATGAAACGCAGAATTATTGATTACTGTGGTGTTTTAGGTATTGCTCGTGCCATTGTCAAGGTATACAGCCCTCCTGGCTTTTCAAACTGAATGCATTTTTCTTGGATATGACTCACTCTCAATACCTTTAGAATCCCATGATCTTGTTGTTAGATGAGGTATGAATTGTGTTTGGTTGTTGATGTGAAAACTTCTTGTATCAACTTTGGCTTACTTTATATAGGCTACCAGTGCTCTTGATACAAACTCTGTGAGCTCTCCATCTCATTTGTTCAATCAAACGCCCTTCATATTCTGACTTTGTTGAATTAGGAACGAGTAGTTCAAGACGCTTTGGATCGTGCAGCTATCGGAAGAACCACTGTCGTTATTGCACACAGATTATCGTAGGTCAATTCATTTGCAACAAAAAGAACCAAAGTTAAGCGCAAAATTACTTTCTATTAGAACCATTCGTAACGCTCACAAAATCGTCGTCATGGCACGTGGAGAAATCGTCGAAACAGGAACTCACGATTCTCTCCTCTCCATTGAAAACGGTGCCTACGTTCGATTAGTCGAAGCCCAACAACTAGCTGCTGAAGAAGCCAAGAAGAAAGAAGCTGCCTTACCCAAGAAAGATCCATCTGAAGAAGATCCAGATTATATACCACCAATGGTATCACACCTAAGTCTCAGTCGCAAGAATTCTAGTGTCAAGTCTTCATTGCATAAGATTGGCGATGATGAAAAGGGCGCTGGAGACGATGGTATGACTACAGGTGCTGTCATTGCTGAGATTTATAACATCAACAAGCCTGAGCTCAAGTATGGTTGATTAGTCTTCGAGTTTTCTCCCGAAGTGATTTACTCACAACTGGAAGTGATTTTCTCACAATGTTGACATTTTAGGTATACAATTCCTGGTCTGATCGCTGCCATCGTAGCTGGTTGCGTATCGCCTGCTTTTGCTGTCATCTTCGCCAAGGTGAAAAAAGGGAGTCACGACTAATTATAAAGTATGTCCTTACAAAGGCAACCTGCAATTAGATTCTTGGAGTTTTTACAGAAACTGGCGATGCCCTATTGAATGATTCCAACTTCTGGAGTGGAATGTTTGTCGTGATTGCCGTCGTTGCTGCAGTTTCAAACGTATTGCAAAGCACAATGTTTGGGTTGGCGGCTGAATTGCTGACTGAACGTATTCGATGTCTTACATTCAAGGCCATTATGCGTCAAGATGTCGGTATGTTTCCTCTCTTTTTGGATTGGAGCAATGTCATACCAAACCAAGTTTCAATTTTTAGTGCGAAATTTGATGACATCTTTACTTTTTCACAGCCTTCTTTGATGATGAACGGCATGCAACTGGTATCCTCACTTCAAACTTGAATCTCGATGCCCAAGCTGTACAAGGTGCTTCAGGTGTTACTCTTGGTACTATCTTCCAAGTTGTTGGAACGCTTACTGGTAAAAAACCCCTCATTGGACAACCGTCATGCTCTCTTTGCTCAATTATCTTGCGACACTAGGTGGAACGGTCATCGCTTTAATCTACTCATGGAAACTAGCACTTGTCGCACTCGTCTCGCTTCCACTCCTCATCCTAGCAGGAGCCTTCCGTATTCAAGTCTTGACCTACTTCTCTGAAAAGGCCAAACGTTCTTACGAACGCTCTGCTCAACTAGCTTGTGAAGCAGTAGCAGCCATCCGAACCGTACAATCTCTAACACGAGAAAACGACGTCCATGACATTTATCTCAAAATGCTGGAGGGCCCTTTGAAAGATGGAGTCAAGAACGCCTACTTGAATACTTTACTGTATGCGCTATCTCAGAGTGTCAATTTTGCTGCTAATGCATTGGTGTTTTGGTATGGTGGTCGTTTGATTGCCTATGAAGGGTTGTCACTTTCGAGCATGTTTACAGTATTTATGGCTATTATCTTTGGATCTACCTCAGGTGAGTTGTCTGATTTGAAGCATTGGGTTCAGAAAGCGGTCTGACATGAATTTCGTTTTGTTTGTAACTACAGCTGGAAGAGTCTTTGCTACTACTCCTGATTTGAATCGTGCCAAGTCTTCTGGAGAAGCTATTATCAAGCTCTTGCGTCAAATGCCGTTTATTGATTCCGAGTCTCTCAAGGGAGATAAACCCGAATCAATACAAGGACGAGTGGAATTCCGTAAGGTATGATCAGTTTTCCGGCTGCTTTTTTGCATCGCTGAAGCTGACAAGTCGTCGGCTTTTAGGTCCATTTCAAATACCCAACTAGACCAAATGTACCTGTGTTACGAGGATTGAACTTGAAGATCGATCCAGGTCAATTTGTGGCTCTTGTTGGTGCATCTGGTAAGTTTCGGCTCAGGACGCATTGTGATTTTCCAATGATTTGACTTTTTTGGTCACTTTAAAGGTTGTGGTAAATCTACCACCATCGGCCTCTTGGAACGCTTCTATGACCCTTCATGTAAGCTATTGTTTCAAGTTGAAATTGTTAAAGGCGATTTGAAAGTATTTGTCTCAACATTATTCTCTGTGTAGCTGGAGAAGTCTTGATCGATGGCAAGAATCTCAAGGACTTGAATGTTGCTCATTATCGTTCATTCGTGGGTCTTGTTAGTCAAGAACCAATGCTGTTTGATATGACTGTCAAGTAAGGAGCTGATGATCTATCAATGCTCGCGCCTTTCAATATGGAAAAGATGCTGATTTTTTTGGTGCTGATAGGGAAAACATTATTTATGGCCTAAGCTCTGTACCGACTCAAGAACAAGTTGAAGCTGCTGCAAAAGCTGCCAACATACATGATTTCATCATGAGTCTTCCAAACACATACAACACAAGTGTTGGTTCAAAAGGATCTCAATTGTCTGGTGGACAGAAGCAGCGTATTGGTACGTGACATAGACTTGGATTGGATCCAATCAATGCGTCCTCTGACTTACCATCTTCTCATTAGCCATTGCAAGAGCCCTAATCCGTCAACCAAAGATCCTTCTACTAGACGAAGCTACTAGGTAAGTACTTTGTCCCTGTCATGTGGAGGCATGTGAGATATCAACCTCAAATCTGACATCTCGTCGATAACTAGTGCTTTGGACGCAGAATCAGAAAAGGTTGTTCAAACAGCCCTAGACAATGCCGCAAAAGGTAAGACATGCTTCTTGAGACATCAAAGAAGATCTTTCTTAGACTAACTTTGTTCTTCAATTAGGTCGAACAACAATCTCAATTGCACACAGACTATCAACCATCCAAAACGCCGACGTGATTTACGTCTTCAAAGATGGTGTCGTTGCAGAATCCGGCAGCCATCAAGAGCTACTACAACTAAAAGGTCTTTATCACGAGCTCGCTATTCAACAGAACCTCGGTCAACATTGAGAGAAATGTCTCGCGTAGATTATATTTTTAGATCACATTTGTACATAGTTTCCAAACTATTATAAAACGTCCTAGATTCGGATCATCCCACGCGACTTCCTGTGTTGGAGCATTATTCTTGGTGTTTAAGGGGTAAAACTCAGCAGGTCCAGTTCTCAAAGCTCGTTTGTTTGAAGGGCTTTCAGCTGTCGGGTGGACAGAAGCAATGCATTGGTGAGTTAATTGATGATGCAAGAGATTCAAATGGATCATAGACTTTGTTTCTCTGCAGTTGACTGTTTTTGTCCTAAGCTATTGCAAGAGCGCTAATCCGTCAACTATGGATCTTATTACTGGACGAAGCTACTAGGTGAGTTATTTGCTTTGTCAAGTTGAAGCATGTCATATACCAACCTCCTTCTAACATGTCTTCAAATATTCAACGCGCTGGACGCAAGTCTCAAAAAGTTGTTCAAGCAGCTTTAGAAAATGCTTCAAAAGGTTTCATATACTTCTTGCCTTGTGAAATAAAGCCTTTCCTCTTCTCATTGCATCCTTGAATTAGGTTGAACAACCATCTCGATCGCTCACAGGCTGTCGACAATCCAAAACGCAGACATAATTTACGTCTTGAAAGACGGTGATGTTGCAGAATCTTGCAACCATCAAGAACGTTTACGACTTATAGGGCTTTATCATGAGCTCGCTATTCAGCAGAACCTCGATCATAGTTGAACATTAGAATCAGCTTGTAGATTGTTGTGGATTATTAGACCACTTAACATAGATTCTCAGACTTATCTCCCAAAGAAATCCCGATGATGTTTGGTTCACTGTTACAAGCTAAGAATATAGCAGCACCAGCAGATCTTTCACACGGGGTTTCATGCAGAGTTGACGCGTGTCTACGCATCAATACCAAGACCTAGAGATGAATATACAGGCTTGCTCTTTCGGAACTCACCGTGTTTCTTCCCAAGCCTCCTTGTTCTGATTGAACTGAAACATCCTTCAAAAAGAGTGATTCGGCCAAGATGCAAGCTCAAACAGATGCACTAATATCGCAGCTCAAGAGGAGGCATGTAAATCGATCGTTCTTACTGATCTTGTTCTAAAAACTGACCAGCTTCTTTAATCTAGACAATTGATTGGATCATCGACAACGGCAGTCGCAACTGCCAAACTATTGACCAAAATAGTCCAAGGAGGACGATGGAGTTCAGCTGAATCGCTTATAAATATCCTGCGAGAACATGGAGACAGAATACAGAAAGCTGCTCCAATGGGTAATTCCACCAACATCTGATGTGTCCTTAGATTCCAACATTGTTGAGTATAGTTATGCATCCAGATCCTAATCCCATGTTATTGTAGAATTCGCAGTTGGCAACATTGTCAGGAGACTGATATTCGTCATCCGAGAAGAAGAAGAAAACTTTTTGAGTGAAGGTGATGGAGCTCTGGATCATAGTGAATTCAAGGGCAGCATTCTGGAGGCAATCAAGGAATTGCTAGATGAAATAATGAGCTCAAAGAACGTCGCAGAACAAGCTTTAGAGCATATACATTCGGGGTACGTGGAAGATGTGACTTGACGATCAGTCAGACAGAACTCAAATCCTATTATTCACTAGTGAAATAATAATGACTGTCGGCCATTCAGCCACAGTAGAGAGATTTCTAAAGGAAGCTGGACGTGTACGCAAGTTTCAAGTTATTGTAGCCGAGTCAGCTCCATCGTGAGTACTTCAGTAGACCAATCACTGCTCGTATCGCCAATGTACTCACTCATATCTCTTCGCCATCATCGAAGGTATAAGGGCCAAAGGATGGCGCTAGCATTATCACAAGTGGGCATAGATACCACTCTGATAACAGATTCGGCTGTGTTTGCTTTGATGCCACGAGTCAACAAGGTCATCATTGGTGCTCATGCCGGTAGGCAATAATAGCGATCTACAGCATCTTAGTAGAATCCTTGTCTCACCGTTAGATCTATAAATAGTCATGTCGAATGGTGGCCTGGTTGCCATATCAGGGACAGGAGCGGTGGCTGCTGCTGCAAGACATTACGCCAAACCTGTCGTAGTCTGTACAGGTCTATACAAGTTGAGCTACCAATATCCTTTTGATCCAGAGTCTTATTCGATCTTGGCTGCTCCCGATTCGGTGCATAGTTTCCAAGAAGGTAGGTTCGCCCAAAATCTGTTCGCTTGCAAGTGCATGGTCAATTTACTCAGAGTCCTTCCAATCTAGGCGACATCGTCGATAAGGTTGATGTGCTGAATCCAGTTTTCGAATACGTCAAGCCGGATCTGATTAGCTTATTTGTTACCAATATGTGAGTGTCACCTGACGGTTTGAGTCTAGAGGACGTTTGACTGACTAGGCCCGTGTTTTAGTGGGCCGCATCCTCCAAACTACATGTATATATTAGTTGCAGAACAATATGGAACCGATGCCTAGATTGATCGTTGCATTATTTGAACCTTGCAATTTGTGTGAAAGGGTATACGAGACCTGTTTGATATTGTGTCAGGACCATGTTAATACAAGGTGCACTCTCGTGAAGGTCCGCAGTTCCTCTCTGTCCATTGCACACGTCGAAAGGTCACGCAAGGATCCATACATCTGCACAAGTCCCTTGCGAAGATACTGTACTTCATCCGAGGCCATAACCATGTAAATTGAAGGCGAGAAACGCGTACAATTTGAGTTCAGTTGTTTCTGGGCCTGTGACAGTGCCTCCTTCACTTTTATTTCGTCCCGACATTCACTTCCACAACACGAAAAGCCAAAGTTCTATTAGGGAGGGATGAGACTTGCCAATGACGAGGCGATTCTGACTTTGGATTTTCGAGAGTGGGTCGCAGGTTCCGCCTGGTCATCCGCATATTCCTAGTTTGTGTTCACGTCATGGATAAAGGCGACAGTCATTTGCCAAACACAGTCTTTGCCTTTGAAATCTCCTAGTCGCTGTTAGCATATCTCAGAAACGAAGATCAGGCAGTGCAAGACGTACTTGTAATGAGGCGCCCGACGTTGTTAGGTTACGAAGGAGTGATGAGGAAAATTTACATAATTTGTGGTGTGTCTGCCAATCAAAGACATATGCGTTTATGTATCAATTAACCTACTGCGGCTTTCAACTGGCCAATCTCGCTCGGATGGGCCAGGACTTGACTTCACCATGAGAAAAGATGCAGGACAGTCCAATACATCACATTTATATCATGTATTCCTCATATAGATTGCGATGTAGAAGATCTAAATGTTCGATACAGACTCATTTCTGACGTGAACCTTCTGCGAAGGGTAACAAAAAGTTTGGGTGCCGCAAAAACGAAAAGTGAAGCTCACAGAATGAATGGCTCGCTCAACATCATGGCAAGAGTTTTTAGGGATGCAAATTCCCTTGCTGTCAAGAATTTACAGGCTTCGATTGACTACGTAAGTGAACTGTGTATCTGAGAATCTGTTGTGACTAAGTGACAAGGCGATAATTCAATAGATTTCTCCATACACCCTGAAAAAATGTCAGAGGACTATAGGCGGATGTATTTTGCTCATGCTGGATAATATGGAGACGCCAGCATCATACTCTCAGAATGCATTGTCGAAAGTGCGACGTCTCGGGCTATCGCATCTCGTTAACAGGACTTGGCGACCTCTATTCATAGAGGGGTACCGTGCTAGTCAGGAGGAATCTCTCGCTGAAACAGCTGATGAAGCTGAGATGAAGGAACAAGTCGATTGAAGTCTCATATAAACCATTAGGAAAGTACTGAAGGCTTCCAATCGAGCCTTGTATATAGACACCGACAGCATGGACGACTTTCAATTTATTATCAAGGACTTTCAATCGACCATCAATAAGCTGGAGGTCCCCGCTCATGTATATCAGCCTGTAGAGTTTAAATCCGTCAATATATAGTAGGGGAGTTGTGGAGTGATGATGATGTGGGATGAAGCTGCGGGTTCTGCCTCTCCTTCCATGATCTAAAAGGTCAATGATGTTGGTTCCGTTCAGGTGCGAAGAAAAAAGAACTCAGCTCGAACGTTTCCTACGGGAACTCCAAAGAAGCAAAAGCAATAAAAAACTGAGGGACCAAAATGGACCTAGGCCTCATGAGAGTTGAACTATTTTCCTTGTTCTGCCTGTCCAGAATGTATGTTTTTGTACATTGGCGTGCTTTACAAAGAATATTCAACCTCTCGAAACAACAACTTTTTCATTTTCCTCAACTTTTCTCCTCCTCCTTCTCATCATCATCTCCCTCCAACTATTGCATTTACCCTATACTGCTGGTAGAGCAACGATTGCCCACGGGTTCACTTCTACCCCCTGATGATACAAGTCGACCAAGCCAGGATTCTGGGTGGCGATATCGTCCATATTCAGCGGAATGAGTCCATGAGCCCTTTCAAATACAGGAGTATTCAAGAAACCAAGCGATTTGAGCTTTTGGTGGGATTGGAGTAGGCGGGCGAGATCTCCTCGGATGGCATCAGCAGCTGGTAGCCAGAACAGTTCGAGATTGGGCATTACCATATGAGAGAAAACTGGTTTTTTGAGGAGATTTGTTATCGCCTTTTCCTCTCTGGCTGGTACGTACAGTCGAGGATCATTTCTATCGTCGGCCATTGCACCCCAGACCAATTCCTTGAGAGTGGCTCCGTGTTTTATAATCGTTTCGTCCAGAGTCATGGCAGTAGTGTTGCTGATGACATGCAGTTTCCATAAACCTGGTACTATGTTGGACAAGAGCTTTCCCATGTCACCACGACGATATCCAACCTTTACAAAGACGACTTGTTGAAGGTGGATGAAGCTAGTGAGTGATTCGAATTCTACAGTATATTCAAGGACTATATTGTCAAGACGGAGACTTCGGAGTGATGTCAAGCATTGGTTGCGCCAGGCTTCGACTACAGTCATGTCAATATGGGGTGGTGATGTGTCTGGATTATTTGAGGCAAGACGTAATGACTCCAACTTCCATAATTTCAGAGCAGCAACTACTCGTGCCTTTTTCAATGTGGAGTATCCAAAGTGTTTGACGTTTGGTGCTGCCATAGCGATACGTTTGAATTCGTCTTGAGTATGTACAAGCTGTCCAGGGAAGTATCGTTCGCATTGGGCTATATCCAAGGTGGTCAAGCCGGCCAAGACTGCATCCCATGTTGCGGCCTTCTTCAATATGACCCTACTACTATGTGCATCTACGACCAGCTTCTTGAGGTTGATGCATTTTGTCATAATAATCTCGGTCAGCTTCAAGACAGACTGTCCGTGCCTAGTAACCGTTAGTAAACAAATCTGCTACTTTGTATCATTCAAAAACACCTTACAAGAGTGACCTAGTCTCAGCCCAATCGTACGAGTTGATGGACTCGAGCAATCCAGGGCGCAAGTTGGGTACCCGAATGAGATAATCGAGCTGACCGCCACACTTGGTCCTTCGAGCATATCGACCCAAATCCTTGCATTCAGCAGGTAGCTTCCTCCATAAGCGGAATCCCACGGCAGCACTCCAAGTGCGAGACACTCGTGCCATTTGTCCCAACGCGACGATATTGCTGTGCAGTTGGGTTTCGACGAGGTACATTAATATGTAGTATGGGAGTTCGGGAGTGATGATGATGTCGGATGCAGGTGCGGGCTCGGCTTCTCCTTCCATGATCTAAAAGGCAACCAGTTTGGTTGAGTCAGTTGCAAAGAAAAATGGATTAAGTAGTAACAATGACGAGACGTACGGGCAAATTGGAGACAGAAGTGGAGAATTTTTCTGCAGTTGCGCCTACTACGTCTAATTCTATGGCCTAGATAAGACCAAATGTTGGCGTTAGGAATGTAAATGTACAGAAACATCGATGAATACCAAAGCCAACGGCGGGATTTACGTTCGGACCGACGGTTACGGCAATCTCAGGAGTGCTTGTATCAACTACAGCTGCGTCTTGTTCTCCTTTGATAGTCTACAAAAAGGTAAATGGTTTGGTTATGTTTGGTTGTGACGAAAATATCACAATGACGACGAGACGTACGGGAAAGTTAAAGATGGGACAAGCGACTTTGTCTGCAGGTGCTTCGCCTTCCATCATGGCCTAGATCAGACCAAATGTTGGTGTTAATACCGCAATGTTCAGAAACGTTGAAACTTTGGTCGATTGCCAAAGGCCATGGCAGGACTTACGTTTAAAGTGAAGGTGAATGCATTTTCAGAAGCGGTTGTATCATCTAAAGCTGCGTCTTCGTCTCCTTTCATAATCTATATGGAAGAGTGAAGTATTAAAGCAAGATCTCAAGCAACCAAGGATCTAGAACGTACGGGCAACTCGGATCCAGCAGTAAAGTCTTCAGCGTCGGCTTCGGCTACAGGCATAGCGACGGCTTCATCGATTCCCATGATCTACAGTCGAGGTAAACGTCAAAATCAAGAAAACTGACCAAGGAAATATGGCGACTGGACATATGTGCAAGAGGTTTAAGACAAGAGCGTTATCTGGTTGCTGCGGCGACTGGTGGAGAGCTTCCGATATGCCTCGTAAACTGACCTCTCTAGTGCTGAGCAAAATACATGGATGTGAAGAAACAAAAGAGGCAACATACAATAAACCTGCATGATTTCAGAGAAACTTTGCTACAAGACGCGACGTATACGAGCCAAATCAAGCTTGAGCATGAATATTCCTTGCCCCGTCGCCTGGTAATGCCATACGACGCGCTCATACAAAGCCCAAACGCCTACTCACTCAAACCCTTGATCAGGTCATCACGACTGGCACATTCCAAAATTTAGTCTTCGGCACATCTGTATTACTATTTACAGGCATCTTATACTTTTCCTTACTAAAACTTATGATGTGTCTGCTGGTGGCCTATTCAGCAGAGCTCTAACAATGGGATACTCTACACAATACTCCTTCTCGCCCTTCCTCTTGACTTCTTCGGCATAGGCATCTAGACATCGTGATAGGAGGGTACATATATCTGAATCGGAGTGAGCATCAATCCAATCCGAGTACTGTGATTCAGACCAGTTGAATGCTACCATTGGTAATGGAAGCGTAGGGAAGCCCCGTACAAAGAGATGATGCACGATGATGTGTGTGGGTAGTGGTGAGTCTGCTGGTGATGATGGAATGACTTGTTGTAATTCCAAAAATATTAGTGACCTATAGCCAAAAAAAGATATTCAATGGTGTATCACGGCGACGACAAAACTCAATAGCTCACTGATACCCACCGAAATGTACGTAGAGATCTATACACATCAGCTCCTTCACCTTCCAAGCGCATACCAAACCGCATCAAGAATTGATCTAAATCCAATTCAATTTGCGCCATATCCTTGGTCAATTTGAGCTTCCCAACTTCAGAAAGTGGTCGTATTAGAGACGCCTGCCGTATGAAGTATTCTAATGCTCTTAAAATGACTATTCGAACCCTGAAGAAAGTCATCATATTAGGAACAAAAACGGTAATATTTATAACATGACCATGGATAGAGGCATCACACATACCACTCCTTAGTCTCGTCACCACATTGAAGACGATTATATATCTCTCGTTGTAACCATCTCAGTCTAGAAGTCAACTCGTATACATATTGACTGGCTGAAGGATCTAGAGCTTTCGACGATGATGCACCAGGTTTACTACCAGGTTTACCAAAGTCTTCCTTGTGCATCTTGATCATGACTGCTTCGATGTCTCGAGTAGTAGTTACTAGCAATGGCTCTACCATGGCCAATATCAACTTATGAATGGCCTATTGAAAACATTTTCGTGAGCAAAAAAGCAAGCAGAAGAAAGTCACCTAATAGGACCAGCGCTCACATCCAATGATTCTTCAACTGCTTGATGAGCTACTTCATCGTACTCATCAAACACCTTCCAAGCGGTCTCATGCAGATGATACAGACAGCTCATGATTTCGAGATTGAGCAATTGAGCAGGTGGTGGAGGACCAGAGCCCGCGATCTGGTACGCACTCATATCAGCCACAGCGAGATTCTCACACCGTACCGTATATGTGTTTATGGCTTTGGACACATTGCGAGCTACAGACACAAGAAGTGACTTGTCGAATTTGGCTACTTCCAATTCACTATGTGGAGCAAGACAGAGTTAGAATTCTTGAACGGATGGGTAGTACAGTTTACCAACAATCGACCACATATACCTGGAAATGATTCGGACTAATTTGTCTACATCATCACGCACAGGTGGTTGACGCGGACCAGGACCCATAGAAGATCGATCAGGAAACGCTAGATTGATGGGTTCTAACATCCGAGCCATAGAGCGTGACATATATGCCGTTTCAAAGCTAGCTAGTGTCTTGATCGCATGTGTGGAATCAAGAGTTCTTAAAAAGAACGTGTAATGCGGTGAGCAAAAAACCGACCAGAACATCTGCTAAATGCACTCACGGTGTGGAGCTTTCTAATCCATTGGTGACATTGATGCGAGTGAAAAAGTCTTGAAAGAGACGTAGGAGGCGGGGGTATCCAAGTTGCAGGCTCTGCTGAAGATAAGTAGAGCCTAGCTCAAAGGACGCCATTCAGAAGCCATCGAGTAGAAGAAAAAGATGCTATGCTTCAATACCTTTCATGGCCAACCGCATCTCCTTGTCAAGTAACAATGAAAACTGGTTCCAGAAGTGGTTTACCAAGTTTCCTTCCATATTCTGCGTACTGAATTGTTAGCCAATACGTTGACTATTGTTGAGCACAGTCGCCGCTATACCTTCATGACCTCGTCAAGAAACAGTATCTGTGTGGCTGGATCACGTTTTCGAGATAGAACTCGTTCCAAAAGGTAGACCTATGTTATTAAATGACAGTCTTAGAATCTTGATCTAACATGTAGACAGGCTGAACTCAATAGCAACCTTGACAACATGAGCATAGAGCGCATCCATGAGCTTTTCCATTCTTTCCCACAACTTTGATGACCATAAAGCTGCACTTTGCTGTGTTGTGGGAACTTCGTTTACCCGTCTCACTCCACCGCCAGCGACAGGTGATGGTGAAGAATCTACTCAGGCCGGTGAAATTTCTGGTTTATGTCATTTTTTTTTGCAGGTACCGTACCTTTCATGACCTCACGATTCAATGTACCAACATCCAAACTAGAACGTATAGCAGTCGCACAACCTTCTAATAGTCCATCAACTGTCTTTCGGATCCTGTCTTGTAAATGACCCAGATTGTGAAAGACTTGAACACTCTCAGATACAACCGTCAGATCCTAACATCAGAGATATAGTTCAGGAACTGACGAGACCAAGCTCAATTGTCCGTTCAAAGCTATACCTGAGAGGTCAATCCCGTTTGTAACAAGCTGTCAGCATCATCAATGACTCGTTTTCGTGCCTTGGAGATGAATTCCATTTCTGTTTTGACTACTACGATACCAGATAGATCTGATTCGCCCAGAATGACATCTAGTTCGTTCAAGCTCAAGGCGGCTTTAGCGAATTCAATACCACCAGTTGGTTGATTCTCTGATGGTAGTTGGGCATTTAGCCTCTTTGCGACATATAGGAATCGAATAATCTTTCTCAGCATCTCAGCCGCAGCTTGGATTCTTTCTAGCTGCATTGTCTTGTCACGTATTTGATCGTATGGATCCTTTATTCGTGTCTTGATTCTGGGTGAGTGATGGCGAATGAGCTGGTGCTTGTGACAAGAAACACGTACATTGAGGCCTTACTTGTCTAGAGAAGATGACAAGGAAGCTACACCTTCCTTCACTTTGGTGACCACATCTCCCAGTTCGTGCAAATTGGTGACCTTTCGCAACAAGTCCTCGTAATGTTCTGATATCTATGATAGCGACAGATGGGAGCAAGTGAGCCGGTGATTCCCGAGTTCCAAAGACAGTGAAATAAAATAAGCTACTTCATCACGTAGATGCTTCTCCAAGAAATCAATACTGAAGCTGAGCTTTGACAAAGATTCCGATACATCCAGTCCATGATATGCAGATCCAGCTGGAGCTTTCAGTACACGGTTTGCAAAATCACCAGGATCAAAATCAGACGTGCTGAATGGTTGATATTCTACATGTTGGATGTGATTCGATGAGGTTTTGTAAAAGTGGTTAGTTTTGAATTATGTGGACGAGTTGGCTATCAAAAGCGATGAGATTTTCTAAGGTACCTGCACTGCCGAGTACATTGTCGCTTTGCAACTTGGGAGCTGTCGACTCCCGCCTGTTGCTCATGCCCCTCGATTCCCCAAATTTCAGCAATTTTGCAAAAGTTCGAGACTTTGAGAATTACCAACAGTCTTGAATCAGAAAAGCAAGACTGTCAGTCTATAGTCCGCCATCAGTTAAACAAGTTTGCTACCGCACATTACCCAATTCCTCTGATTCTTCGTGAACATTCGCGACAAAAACTCATCGCCACTTGCAAATATATGATGGCCCAACGATCTCAACCACCACCATACTCGATCAAACTTGGGTATTTGACGCGTATTTGGGCCTTTGTCGCTTTTGTATTCCTTGTTCTTTAACAATCTCGTCGTTTAGATCCCCGTCATCAAACGGAGCTTGCTGGCCAAACGATAATGCTCAAGGTAACGTAACATTGGCCACAGAGCCAGTTTGATTTTGTTTCGGAAAGCTTAGCAATGCTCTACTCCAACGAAACCCACTCATCGTGACCAACATTGTTAGATCAAGTAGCGAACCATGACGCCCAAGGTAGTTTACGTTCCGATCCAGATACCGGCGCCGTTTCATTTTTACTTTCTACGACCCTCATATTGACTAAAGACACTCACCCTATCGCTAGTTCTCCACTTACCGAAGGAAATTTGGCATTTGATCTTATCCATAGCTCCAGAGTCAACTCTCAACACTATGGCAAGAGCTTGCAAAGATATGAATGTAATAGCAGTCAAATACTTGTATTATGAAACTGGTCACGTAAGCGAAACAAGTCGTTTGTTGGAGCACTGCCACATCAGGAGTTCGTGTTATTGTTGACGCCATTGTTAACACTCCCCCTCCCTACGTGTAGCGCTCTCCATATCGCATTAAAAAACGCTATAACAAGCCAACGGAAGGTCAATGTATACTGCTCATGCTAAAGAATCTACAAGAGCCATCAACGTATCGTCAGAACGCACTATTGAAAGTTAGAATACTTCGGCTCTCGAATCTAGTTCATGGAAGCTGGCGTCCTCTCTTTAAAGACGAATACAAACTCGGTCTTGGTGGAGCAACTGTGGATCTCGACGACAAGGCAAACGCTCTCACAGACCAACGGGAGACTGACCTAGTATGTCAACTAGTCACGGCATGCAACCAGGCCGTATTCATCCAACACCACTTTATACACTCGTTTCGGGCTGCATTGATGCACTTCCCTGCTTCCATCACACAACTGGAGATTCCCGTTGAAGTATTCGACTCGGCCGAATTTAAGCAATTCGTGTCAAAGGCACCTATCATCAAAAGTCTAAACGTCTCAGTTTATGATGACCAGGAGAACAGTACTTCCGTAACTACCTTTGTCAAGTCTCAAAGGCTAGAAAGCTTAGTCTACTCTGTCTATTCAGTGGATGGTATCAGTAAACGGAATGCTACTGGTTTAATGTGTGCTTTAGACGAGAACAGCCGAGATACTATCGAAAAGATCTCTTTGAGCTCAGTAGATATAAGGATGGCCGAATTGCCTTTCTCAAAGTATCATAGCCTCAAAGTGATTAAGCTAGTAAATGTCGTTTTACGTCCGAATCATCTAGCTGGATTTGAGAAGCATCCCGAGAGAAAGCTGTCGTCACTACAGTTAAGTGGCGCAAGTAATATCAACCCTCACGACATATATAAACTTTTGGAAGCAAGCCACTCGACATTGAACGAGGTGGAGCTCGTCAATCCTAGGAATGACACTGATTACGCCGAAAATCCGTATCACGTTGGCCCACATATTGAACAGGACATAATAGTTAACATAGACCGCCCCGTATTCCATCTTGAGTTCAATCGTCTCCATAGTGTAAACATGTCAGTAGCCGATGCAAACCGAAGTCAATTCGCGACATTCTTGACTACACGAGGATGCCAGCTCAAGAATCTTCGGCTCTCCGCTTATACAAAGGATGAATTCGATCTTGGCTTGATCGTATCCCACTGTCCGAATCTCGAAATAATAACACTGGACAATTTTGACATACCAGAAGCCATTCTCATCGCCATCATATCAACCATGACGAAAATGATGGCATTCGATATAGAACCTAAAAGTAGATCCATATCAGCCAACGCTATATTAGAAGGAGCTTCGAAACGAGAGCAAACGTCGACAGACTTGATTGTAGGGCCAAGTGAACATAGTATAGTAGAAGTCAGTGGTAAGCTTTTGGAGGGAATACAGGGTCTTGAAGGCAATATGAAGTATGAGGCCTTCTGGAGTCAGTTTGATAAGCTATTGGATACATATAAAGTTGCTGTATTTTGTGAGTCTGCTAGAGTCAGAGACATGTCCACCAACCAGGTCTTTGTGGAGGTGGGGAACGATGCTGAGGAGGAGTGATGGTGAATGGTCTGATGTATAAAACTTTGCAATATAAGAATATAGCTGGTTCATAGTCGTGGTAGCGCAACGAGTAACAATTCTGTTTGGCCAACGTAACTCCGAAATCAGATGAACGCCAGGATTACAAAGAGACTCTAACAAGCCAACATCACACACTCTGGAAGTAATACCAAACCGAAATAATATTTTTGTTTTCCTTGCGAACCAAAATATGAAGAGGAAATTACCCCCACAAATACATCATATAAACGTCGCAACTACATCCCTTTTTCCTCAACTATAAAACCCCTCTACCATGCCAAAGCCTTCTTATCACCATCAGTGGCACATTCCTCGCCACTAGCAGTCTTTGCACATGCATCTTCATCAGCTTGTGCACGGGCAATAGCCTTTCTAAACAAGGATTGACCATCGTTCTTGTACAGTGTGGTGACACCACCACCCATCACAATCTTTTCTTCCATTCGTGACAGGTCGAATGGGAAGGAGTGGCCATCTACTCGGACTACTCGGCCTGGTAAATCGACTTCGACGTGTACGCCTTCCTGGGCTAGTTGGTAGAAGTGATCGTCTTTGACGATGACTCCCAAAAGAGCCATGTTGGGCTATTTGACGAGGATTGAAAATTGTTAGAACCAGAGGCTGGCAAAACAGAGAGAAACGGCGGCTGGATTCCGGTTGCATGCAACGAATGTGATTTACCTGGTTACGACCATAAATGTAGGCATACGATTTAGCAATGACAGCCTTGATACCACAGCCCTTCAATGCACGAGGGGCTTCTTCACGAGAAGAACCAGATCCAAATCCAATACCAGCTACAACAATAGTGTATCCTTCTTTGGCCTTTGGTACGAATTCTGCTCTAAAGTATTGGAAACAATGTGTTCCCAAGTCTTCATCAGAGGTTCCAGGCATAAATTCAGCAGGGATGATGGCTAAATAGATGAGAATGAGTTAGCATTGCAGCGAAGTAGCGGCTCGTTTTTTTGCTGATTGACTTGTTTACACCAACGAAAAAACCTAAAAATTAATCGCAATGACAAGAACTCTTGCTGTCCATTCCAAAAACTTAAAACTCACCATCAGTATCAACATTATCACCAAATCGTTGAATCTTGCCAGCCAATACAGGGGTATACGAAGCAGTAGCTGCACCATCCACTTCCATGCTAGCAACAGCTTCAGCAGCAGCACCAGCTACAACAGGTGCAGGTTCGCTAATAGTGATTTTAGCACCTTTGGCAATCCACATTTCTTGCATTTCTGCATATTTCTTTTGGTCGACAGCATCCAACAAGTCTTGTGGATCTCGGACCTTCATTTCGAAGGATGAGGCGGCAACTGTAGCAGCTGATGCTAAGTTGGCGATGGAGCCTTTGCCCATACGGTTGGGGAAGTTTCGGTTTTGACTAGCGAATGAGGAAGTTTGTGAGAGGGTGAAACGAAAAAAAGGAAGAGAGTCTATAACAGCCCATCAAAGACCGACTAAACACTATCCTTCCTCTCACAATTTCCCAGACTGCTATCTACACAACCTCATTTACCTGGAGAGCCAAACTTCACCTTCGCCAGCACGATCAGCAGCAACACCAAGACAGTATGAGCATCCCGGAGCACCGATTTCAAATCCAGCCTGTTCATACACTTTAATCAGGCCTAGACGACGCAACTTGGCGACAATAGATACAGATCCAGGAGTAACTTTACGTTTACCCTTCATACTTGGCCTCATGCCCTTCTTCAATCCAGCCTCCAATACAAGACCACCCAAGATCAAATCTTCTTCACCAGTGGTACAAGCTCCAATGAAACAACCATCGAGATCCATACCAGCTACTTTGGTGGCAGGGACTACATTATCGGGTGATGGGTATAGAGCGACTAAAGAGGTGACTTGTCCCAAATCGATCACATGGGAAGTGGCGTATTCAGCACCTTCATCGGCACGGAAGTAGATGGCATCTTTTTTATGGTCTTTACGTTTGGCGATGTAAGCGGCAGTGATTTCATCTGCTTCGAATACACCAGCAATACCACCAAACTCAGTGGTCATATTGGCAATTGCGAATCGGGCATCACAAGATAGATGTTTTATACCAGGGCCAGTCCATTCTACAGCCCGTTCGAATCCAACAGTGTTTCGTTTCAATTCACCCAATACATGTAGGATGACGTCCTTTCCACCAATACCGAATGGTGGTTTACCTTCGAATCGGATTTCACAGGTTTCGGGTACTTTAAACCATGTTTCACCTGTTACTAGAGGCATCACTACATCGGCAGCACCTAAGCCAACAGCAAATGTACCAAGACCACCAGCAGAGCAAGAGTGCGAGTCAGCACCGATGATCATCATACCAGGTTGAGCACGTTCACGGTAGAACTCTGTGTGCAAGATGGTTTGATTTGGGCCCCAGAAATCTGTTATATTGGCTTCCTTGGCAAATGTTTCAGACGCTTCGATCAATTCACGGGGTTTGGGCAAGTGGTATATACTGGGATCGACGGTATGGTCAATAGCCAACCAGAATCGATCATTACGCCAGATCTTGGGACGTCCCATTTCATCAAAGGTCTTTTCCATACCCTTCCAAGTCAACTCTGATGCTATAGTCCAGTCTACAGATACACAGACCATGTCACCTGGCTTTACTTCGAATGGAGCAGGGAGACCAATAGCAGAGTGTGCGATAATCTTTTCACACAAGTTCATGGGACGACGTTTGAATGGGAGGGATGATGGGATTAGACGTCCTTCAGCGGTGGTCTTGACACGAGATGCCAAATCTACTTGGTTTAATTTGTTCAATGGTTCGGCCAATGCTGCTACTACTGCGTCACCGAATTCTGAGGTTGAATTTGTGCCTCCGATATCACGAGTACGAATGCCCGAGTCAATTACTTTGGCGACTGCTTGTTCAATGGCTTTAGCTTCCTTGTCCATTTTTAGAGAGTATCGAAGCATCATGGCGACTGATAAGATGGTACCAGTTGGGTTTGCGATTCCTACATAGGCGATTTAGTTAGAGACTTGCGACAAAGGAGGGATTTTTTTTCCAAAAACATGAAGATCAGCGTCATGCTCTCGAACTACTCCATATCCCACCTTGACCAGCAATATCAGGAGCAGAACCATGGATAGGCTCGTACATTCCAACAGCCTTGCTACCCCAACCATTCAAACTGGCACTAGGCAACAAACCCAAACTGCCAGGAATGACCGAAGCTTCATCAGTCAAGATATCACCAAACATGTTTTCAGTCAATACTATTCCATTGAGTTTCTTAGGAGCCATGACCATCATCATGGCAGCCGAGTCTACTAGATGGTGCGAGACTTTGACTTCAGGGTATTCGGCTGCCAAGGTCTCAGTGACGACTCGTCGCCACATTCGAGATGTAGCAAGGACGTTTGCCTTGTCGATAGAAGATACTTGAGCTGGCGGTGTGGACAGCATGGCCATGTTACCAGCGATACGGGCTACACGTTGCACTTCTTCTACAGTGTATTCCATAGTATCAAATGCTAAAAAACGATGGTAAATAAAACGTCAAAGTCTGATGACGTGGACTGACATCTGAACAACCAGACTAATTAGAACGTATCGAACACAACTTCATATACATACCCTTTCCATTCTTTTCCTCTTGACGAGTACCAAAGTAGATACCACCAGTCAATTCACGGATGACTGTGAATTCAGCACCCTTTACGATTTCTTCCTTTATTGGTGACTGTTTTACGAGGGAAGCGGCAGGGAAGAAGCAAGGACGAATGTTGGCAAACAAGTCCAATGCTTTTCGGAGTTCCAGGAGACCTTCTTCAGGACGAGGTTTGTTGACCGACCATTTTGGGCCTCCAACAGCACCTAGCAAGATAGCAGTAGCTCCTTTGCAAGCGTCAAGGGTCTTCTTAGGCAATGGTTGGCCTAGTTGAGTATTAGTATTAGTTTCAAGTAGGTTGATGAGGTGACATGTGTTAGAGTGTCTCCAACAAAAAACAAGTTCTCGTCAAGTTCTGACGATTTGAGGCAACTATTATACAAGCAAGCAATCGACATTACCAGTTTTGTCTATAGCTATTCCTCCAAAGTCATATTCCGTGAACTCAAAGTGTACGTTTGTAGCTTCTTTCCTTGCTTCAGCAATAGCCTGCAAAACCTTCTTTCCCTCAGCAACGACTTCGGGTCCGACTCCATCGCCGGGCAATAGGACGATTTTGTGAGTGCTTGAGGATGTCTCTCCTCTCCTTGTTCGTGTCATGATTGTGTTTGTACTTTTTGAGTGTCGCTAAAATGATGCGAAAAAAAATCAATGCTGACTTTCAATTTCTTGTGACGATCGTGGAGACTTCGGTCCATGAAGATTCAATTAAGAGGACAGACAAGGGAACAAAACGTGGATCCTTTATATCATATTTATTGACCATTCGACGTGAATAAACTCGCAAACATACCTAAATACCGCTGATCTAGGTCATCGTGGACATTGGTCCCTCTGAAAATCGATAACTTGACCAAGTAAATGTAATAAAAGACGCGCCATTTAAGAAATGTGCGCAAATCCATCGTTCCAGTTCTTGTTTGCCCACTTGATACTGGAAGCCCACTCACAGCTCCTACATTGCGTCGTCTGCTGTCTTCTGAGACAAGTGTGAATTACACGACCTCCTAAGTACGCCAAGGATTACGGTAGCACAGATGCAGGTATGAAATAAGTATCCCTTCAAACTCTGAAATTCATTGCCACCCAAAAGCTGGATGCTCTTTCTGACTCTTTGGCGAAACGTTTCTTTGGCTTGCCAACAGATTGAAGATCCGAACTCCTACGACGGATCATACAAGCTTTCAGATGCATCGTCATGAAACCAAAACTGGCTGTTGGAACTCTGATGCAATCTGTCAACTTTCAACACATCTCTGGACAGAATTGCTGATGCTCGCACCGAACCACAAGCTCTCGAAGAGAGAGCATTCTACCTCCCAAATTAAAGCATTCGATAAATTCCCGTCTGTGCAGAAATCGGTGATGAAATGTGGAGACCTCACGTCTAGTATAACCACTAACATAAATCCTGAAAGTATTTCAGTTGTCAATACAACAACTTGCTTAAGCAACAATTTACAAGTACATGTCGTCAGTACTTCTATAAATTGTTCCAATAATGTTGTTTCTAGTCTTTGTTCACTCACTTCATATCAGAAACCCGTCTACAAGTCCTAAACTGCGTCTTCACTTTAGTGAGGAGACGGTAAATTACATACCTCCCAGATACCCCGACTTGAGACAACATTCGTTCATTCAAACTGGTACGAAGCAATCTTCCAAGCTATGACTTCTTCGGCATGTATGCTCCTGCTCATATATCATCCTCTTTCACTCCATGTTATTGCTCGTAAATAGATTGAGGATTCTAGCGCAAGACAACATCTCCTACTACCTTTCGAGCCTAGTCCATGACTGTCACGAAACCAGAGCTTGCTGTCGGATCTCTGACACGATTTGTCAACACATCAATTGACAATGGTTTGATTGAAGAAGATGGACGCACAGAGCCAGAAGCTCTCAAGGAGAGAGTACTAGAGTTATTAAATTACAGTATTTTGAACATTCCTGCCTATGCTGTAAGTGCGCAGTGTATATCCATCGCTTTGTGAAACACCAAAGTGCTAAGACTGGGTCTGCATCTTCTGCATCCATCAATTTCTGGTTTTTTGTGCGTCTGACGCTTCATCGCTACTATTTAGACTGCCGTAAAAGCTCTCAACGTACCAACAATTCAAACATGGTCAGACTTCAAAGAATCCATGCCATTCTTGGACAAGAAGAATTTCATAAACGTATACCCGCTGAATGAAAGATGCGTAAATGGTGATATGAGTCGCTTCGATTTCCTGCATGTCTCATCGGGAAGTGGTGGTGTGCCTACGCTATGGGGACGATTCAGTAACGATGAGTTGGTGATTGCTGCTCGATTTGAGCAAATCATGCATGATTCATTTCTCTGTCACAAGTGAGTTGTAAGATTTAGTAGTATTTTCTAGTCTCCAGCATCATGATACCATGTTTTGTAAAAAAAAAATTCTCGCCAATGTAGGAGGAAAACACTCGCAATGATTTGTTTCCCTCTTGGTACTTGGGTCGGAGGTCTTTTCACCACGGTATGCATGCGATATCTTGCCATGAAAGGGTATCCGATAACTCTGGTCTGTCCTGGAAATGATGTTGCCGAGATACTGAGGTCAGTGGTAAAAAAACGTTGCTGTGCGTTGTATCAAAGCCACACACGCTCATCCTACCTCCACTTGTTGGTAGAGTCTCAAAGATGCTATGCCCCATGTTTGAGCAAACAGTAGTACTCGGATACCCTCCCTTCTGTAAAACATTTATCGATGCAGGACGAGGGCAAGGCATACCCTGGCAATCATATAATCTGAAGATGGTTTTTGCTGGTGAAGTATTCTCTGAAGAATGGCGCAACCTGGTGGCTACACGAGCAGGCATAAAATCACCTAAATCCGATATACACTCGATATACGGGACAGCTGATGCAGGTGTGCTAGCATGTGAATCAGTACTATCTACTCATATACGAGGATGGCTGGCTTCGAATCCAGCTATAGCCAAAGAGTTATTCCAAAGAGATAGATTACCATCGCTCATGCAATATGATCCGTTTTGTCGGTTTATGGAAATGACACATGAAAATACCATTGCTTTTACGACTGTGCCTCCGAAAGCTAGTACAGAGGAAGGTGGTTTGGAAGCTGTCATTGCTCCATTGATACGATATAGCATAGGCGACTCGGGGAACATCATGTCGTTTGATGATATGATCAAGTTTTGTATGGATCGAGGATTTGATGCGTTGAGGGCTGTTGGATCCATGTCTGCTGATCTGCAGACAATTCGGAAACTACCATTCGTATGGGTGTTTGGAAGAGCCTTCTGGACTGGTATGAGTTTGGTGTACAGTACTGGTGTTGTGTCACTCACGTTTTTCTCCCTTTCCAGTTTCTCTATACGGCGCCAACGTATACGTTGACAATGTCATGGTTGGGCTCGAACAGTCATCAGTATCAGATCACGTGACTGGTAAATTCGTCTTGTATGTAGCCAAAGACGCCAACGAGGATTCTATACTCGCGGTTATAGTCGAACTTGCTCCTAAAGCCGTCGACTCGGATACACTGAAATCTGCAATTGCAGCATCGATTCGTGACGAATTGATTAAGCTGAATTCTGAATATGGCCATTATGTGCCGAAAGAATATCAGCTCCCAATGGTGACGCTATTGCCATATGGTGACCCGACGAGATTCAAAATTGGTGTCAAGCATCAGTATATTCAAGATGATCTCATGAAGTAGTAGAATAGATAGCAGTGTGTGTCTTGGAGTATGATGCTTGTATTTGGGGTATTGAGTAAATTAAATAGATATTCTAAATACACTATTACAACTTGAAACTGCACTGAGGTTTTAAAATGACTGTGAGATGTTTACATGATTCCCGCTGAGGATTGGACTAGAATGTTGAGACTTGATTTTCATACATAGAACCGATATATGACCGCTTGTTATTGAGAACACACAGGATATGAACCCAGAGTCGAAATAAGATTCACAGAGTCCTATAATAACAAGATTGTATCAGTTAGACTACCTTCTGGTGACAAAAGTAGAACTTTCACTGCCAACACAATACCAGAATGGCATTGGCTGGGTCCATCATCAATCCCTTGTCAGCAGCGCTCGCCGCTGCCTGTATACTCTTTTGGTAAATCTGAGCACACGCGGAAGAGTCTGTCGAGCAAAAAGCACCACAAGGTTGCGGAAACTCTTGTCCTGTACATAGCTCAACACACACAGGAGATAACAAAAGCTGGTCATAACCATCTTGACACGTCCTATTAAAGAAAGACCAGCGTTCAAAATCATAAAATATCATCCACAACAAAAGCAGCTTGGAGTCGTACTATACGTACACGTTAACATTCGAAGCTTGCAGATTGATACCACGGATACACCCAGGTCCGAATCCACTTCCACCAGAGTTAAGCACACTTGCCAGATTCTTGATCTTGTCCAATGCAGACTGTAATGTGAGGGAATCGAAAGGACCAACACCATTTGGAAAGATAACATGGATGAGTGGCTGTAAAGCGCTATAGTTGTCCTGTGCACTTTGAGCTGGATCTTGAGAAGTTGCAATAGTCTTGATTACATCTATTTAGAGCTTAGTTGTTAATTGATGGAAAAAAAAAGACATGGGCAGAAGAGGAAGCATGTACCTTGAGATTGAAGCAACGTATCAATCGGTAAATCACTACCAAACAAAAGCACTGCCATGATATTTATGGAGTCCTTCATACTGCTCAATGCTCCAAAAGCGGAATCGATAACAGTTCCAACATCAAGTGTCGGTCCAATAGTTTGTGTTTGACGACGTGCCATACGACGAGATGTAGCAGCGGAAGGTAAAGCAGCAGCCTTGAGAGGTAGATCTTTGATCAAAGATTCGGATTGTGCTAGCAAATCGGATAGAGATAGCCCTCTTTCGACACGATTTGTTCGCGCGGCGGTTGAGACTGAAAAGAGGCTGATGACAGTGAGAGTCGTAAAGAAGGTGGAGATCCTCATAGCAGTTAGGTAACTGGTTGAGATTCAGAGAATTTCGAAGACGAAAATGATCTGGATCTGTAGTGATGATGGTGTTTTACTAGATCATGGCGACAAATGTGGAAACTGTTGACGGTCGTTCCTGATGACCGCGGTTTGTTTACTGCGGCGCTGTTGAAGATGCCAGCTCAATGGCAAGTAGTTGAACTACGAAGACTATGGTGCTTCTTACACCTTTGTGCATGATCCTCAATTAACGATCGATTTCAAAAATTGCACTATGAATGGGACGCGATTCACACATATGATCAGATCTCGAATACGACGAGATCATAAATTTCAAAGCTTATATAACCAAAGGATGTCAATTTGACCTGACGTAGACTGTTGGATCTGCTCTTATCTTTCGTGGTAAGACCAGAAGCAATAGTATCTGATTTGAGCTGTACCAAAGTTTCAGGTCAAGTACTCGACAAGGAAGGCCTTGCTGCTGAAGTGACAGAATTCATATTAGAAAGAGTTATCGGCCAACAAACATACGTGATTGCAAAGGATCGAACTCGTTGATTGTGATATCATTGTTTTTCAAATTGTCGTGATCGAAGCGCGACGGAAACGGTTTAATTCTCATGCTTAGCAGCAGCTAGCGCGTAGGGGATCGCTCTCCGTGGGCGATCTTTGCCATTTTGTAGCTTCTCCATTTTTTTGCCCACTTTTGAATGTGAATCATCGCCAATACAAAACGTCCAATTTAACTTATTAGCGTCAAGGAAGAAGGACGAAATCATTTGATAAGCAACGAAACTAGACAATCTACCGTCATTGTTGCTCTATTCAGTCCTAAACCAACCAACATCTTCCACAAAAAAAAAGCTTTTTTGAACGATGGAAGCCTATAAACCAACTATACCACGGATTCCTATATTCAATAAGGATGAGATTGCCAGAGGACATCATCTAACTCAAGTGCAAAAGTATCGAAGTAAGTTTGGAAGGATCAGAGCCCGTTGGGTTTTGACATTTTAACATTTTGCACATGTCAAGATATAAAATCATCACTATCACAATCACCTAATCCACATATCGAATAGATCATTTCTGTGCTGGAGCAATAGCTTTATCGTCTTCTTTTGCTGCTGTAAGCCAAAGTTTCGCATGTCAAGATCAAGCCTTGAAAAAAAGTCGAGCAGATCAAACTTGATTTATAGCTAGACTGCTGTTTATCACTTACATCTTCCTTCCAGCCCTGACTGACGCTCTATTTTATTGCCAGATGCACTTTCTAGACACATACAAGATCATAATACAGAATACAGCAGGAAAATCAACCTCCCTAAAACTAAACCTATTCTCTATAAACACTCTAAAACACCTATCCCGGGGCTTCCTAGTCTCTGTAATTGGAGCAGGCCCACAGGGAGGTCTCCGTCTAGCCACATACGAATGGACGAAATCACACATCCTACACAACCCGTCGAAAAAGCAACAAGGATCATGGATACCCACCTTTGGTCCAATAGTAGCATCCGCTCTAGCAGCCATATCAGGAGACACTGTGTCCAGTATCGTCAAAGTGCCTCGTGAGGTTATTACTACCAGACTACAGACTGAGGCTATTGGGTCAGCGAGTGGTACCAAGCCGTCGTTTACGAGGGCTGTGGCCTCGATATATAAGCAGGAAGGTGTTATGGGATTCTTTAGAGGATTTAGTAGTACTACGCTAAGGGACTGGCCCTTTATGATCATCTTGTTTACTTCGTATGAGAGTTTCAAGAAGGTTCACGAGCAAATCATGAGTAATGGATCTAGTGATGAGGATGAGGAGATTGCTATAACTACCTTGAAATCAACCTTGTTTGGTGGTATATCAGGCAAGTTCGTGTGTACTTGAGAAAACTTGTAGTGGTTACCGGGCCACTTTCGCACATTTCAATTGGATTTTTGTTTTGACCCTGGACTTTGCACTTACTTGTTTGCTTTACCAATATTTATTTCTTCTCTTACCAAGATTTCTTCTTTCTCAGGTGCCTTGGCTGGATACTTGACTACACCATTCGATGTAGTGAAAACCAAAATAATGACCGCATCACCTATAAAAACTAGTCGTAGAACAATCCGATCCGTCACTCGTGAATTGTACGAGAATCAAAAGGCGGTACTAGAGGCTGCTGGCACAGCTCCACGAGGATTGAAACTGTATAAAGCGTTCTGGACGGGGGCGGTTCCTCGGTCGACATGGTGGTTTTGTGTTTGCTCCATCTTCTTCCCTGTTTATGAATCGTAAGTGGCAAGGTTGTTGTCGTCGAAACAATTGCATTTACTTGAACTGAAACTTTAATTTTTCATAGTATGAAAGAAACTTTCCGTGATATGTCCATATAATATTGTCTCTGATTCGATATAAGAATAATAGAACTTTACAACTCCTACCACAAAAAGTCTTTGTATGACGTACTCGCCACCGTCTGAAGGCAATATCTTTCTCATTGCCTTGTTATCCCTACACTAAAGCGAAACAGGAAGTATTATAATACTTGTTGGTCATCAAGTCACTCGATCGCTTTCGCGACAATCTGACCGACCTTATACACCCGCAGGAGCTCAACATGAGTTTAAAATAGTGCACTGTTGCCTCTCAACAGCTAGAGTAAGTGCTCTCTGATGGGTACGATGTTCTCCCGTGAAGACTGGACGACTGGCAGTCGTCCACAAGATTCTTCAAATGCATATCTGGCACTTTTGAAAGTCTATTTTGATTGCACATTGTCGGTTCTTTTGGGTGTTTCAGCATCAACGATATAGGTTCAGCCTGAGAAGGCAATCGATACGAAGACTCGTCTCTCTGGAGACTACTAGCACTACGATGACAGGTCAGCACCAGTTTAATTCTAGTGGGGCTTCCTTTCAACACCTTTCTTGTTTGGTTTGAGGCGTGCTATCCAGTAGAGTCACGACGTCTTTAGATACGAAAGATTGAATTTAAATCACTGGATGTACCTTTTTTTACCCGGATGTTCAAGAACTATTCTCTTTGAAAACTTTGCTTTGCAGTAATATTCTTATAATATTTTTAAGAACTCAGTTCTGAGCCCGGAAACAGAAGATATTGACTCGGGCCTCTATACTCAAGCATTGGACAATCTTGACGCCTCGTAAACCACCTCCCTCTTCGCGATGGTCTTCAAGGTCAAGAATAGTGATGATAGTGATTAATTTGAATTGATACGCCTTCTCGAGATTCTATCAACAAGATGCACAGTTGCAAGGGGATAAAGAGCCCAGAACGAATTCTAAGCTAAATATTACACACAATAACGTCAAAATACCTCTTTTCCGAGCTGTCAGCCAGGGTGAATCTCGTGCTGCGAAGCTCTGTCAGTGAAGCACGGTCGAGGAGATAAAGAGTCAGAGATGAAGGTTACCATTGTAAACATGCTGATAAAATATAGGACTCTTTTTCAAGGCTATTATCCAAGCGAATTCGATGGTACAACGTTTAGCGACTTTGACTACTTGGATACAGAGTCAACTTGCAACAAACTTACTCGAACCTCCTTGCGAGGTGTGACAAGTCAAATACAGCCTTATCACTATCCTCTGTGCGATCTTTGCTTATATCTGGGAATCTCGTGGTGGGAAGGCATGCACCATCGTCGCATAGTAAACTTGAAGCTCAAAAACCCCGTTCAATAACATGATCAGATGTCCCGTCTCATCGCGCAAAAAAACGTCTCAGACACTTTGCAGCTTGTCCTCGACTGACTCTAGTTATGTAGGGAGGAGGATTGAACGGTACATCAGTAGGGCCTTCCTAAGTGTTCTCAAATAAAATAGGACCCAAGCATCAAACCCTTCAACGCGCTTGAAATTGTGTTTCATGCTTGGATCTTTCTATCTTTTAAAAAAACCATTACAAACATCAAATCTTTTACAACAAATCAGATACAAAGTCAACTTGCTCAAACAATTCACTCAAATCACCTTGCAAACAATCGAATTTCGATGCGACGTCTGACAGGTCATTGACAGCTTTATCACGAGCTTCTGCACGCTCTTTACCCATATCTCGTGGTGGCAAGTCAACCAATGCACCACCTTCAGCTAGTAAACTCGAAGCTCTAATACCACGTTCGACAACATGATCAGGTATTCCAGCCAATCTTGCACAGTGAGCTCCAAGACTCTTTGAAGCTTGGCCCGGAATGACTCTAAGTTAAGATCCATTAACTGAGAATCCGTCTTCAGCACGTCTAGATGTTGCTTGAGCTGCTGTACCTGTACAGAAATGTAACTCCCGGTGCTCGCTTAGCATCAGCTTCAATTATCTCCATAGCACAAGTAAACAATATAGGATCATCCAAGGACTCTAGCAATTGATGTGCGAAAATTTCATGGAAATGAGTAGCAGCAACGACTTTGGGACACAAGTCTCTTTTGGCCATAAACGAATCCAGTGCAGAGCAAAAGAGCCCAACACCGTCTTTGGAAACTGTGCCTTTGCCGAACTCGTCAATGATGAGGAGGGAGCGAGCAGTTGCGTAACGAATCATGAGAGCGACTTGTTGCAAATCAATCAAGAACGCACTTTGGATCTAATAAACGAAGCAGAGGGGTTGGGAAAATACGTCTCTAAGTTCGGATTTTTGCTCCGGGTGCAGTATATCTACCTTTGAAACACTCTCTCGTGTTTGAATTCTAGTCATAATGCGATCCGTCAGTCCAACAATGGCATCATCAGCTGGCACAAAGCTTCCGATGTGCGCCATATACGTGATAAGTGCAATCTATCGGAAACCACCATTGAGCAAATTTATCCACTTGCCCTGCAGTTAAATCTTCATTTTACCTGTTTGAGATGTATGCTCTTTCCAGAAAAGTTGGCACCAGTCAACAAGACGCATCTCGTTCCTTGACCAGGAGAGCAGAGGTGAGTAGAGTTCGGCACAAAGGCATCCACACACAATTCTTGAAGTGGATGTCTACGACAAAACAAGTATTATTAGAAGTGGAAAACGGCAATGGGTTTCATTTCCACCTCGATCCATCATACCTGCCACGAACAATATCCAATCTATTTTCTTCTGTCATGGTAGGTCTCTTGTAATTGTATCGTCTGGCTGCGTCAGACATAGCAATCAAACTAACAGAAGCAGAAAGTTTTGATCATTTGACAGGCCAAATACGCGAAGCTCAATCCTTGCCAGTCAAGTTCAGCCAGCGCAGAAGAGGCTCTCAGCATAGCCTCTGAGAAGCCGAGAGCACTCTCTTGCAATTGCTGAATGATTTCGTTCTCTCGATCTACAGCAGAAACGGCAGCAATCAGAAGTATAGCCAATCGATTTTTGTCGATGACTTTTCTACCAACGATATTAGAATGGACATCTCCGAGAGTTTCATCCAGGCCTAGAAAGAAAATTGATTTCAGTTCAATTATGCATTCACAAACACTGCAATATTGCATACCAAACATTTCTTCACTCTTGTAAAAGACGGTATTGGCAGTCGAGAACTGAATAACAAAAGCAATTAAAGGAGAATGTCAATCAATTGCAAGCGCAATACCTGGAATTCAAGCCCTTCGATCAAGAAATCATCAGGCTGTTGCATCTCAGGCCTTTTGGGAATAGTTGTGAGAAATCCAAGCTGAGGAAAGTAGACCACATTGAGAGAAGTAGCGAATTCTGTTGGGATAGTAGCAGCGACTCGTACGACAGCTTGGGTCTAAAAACGTTGAGCATTTACTATCATCTGGTCTTGTCTTCACTACATTTTTTGCTAGATTGGGAACAAGACTTACTAGTAGATGACCCATTCCAGCATATGTTCGTTTCATTTCGTCAAGTGCTTCGTCAATACCTTGCTTCACAGACACATGTCCTTCTCCTGGACTTTCGTCAAAGTCAATCTATGATAGAGATGGAAGTGTGCTCAAGGTTTGTTCAATCATGTACGAGTCATTTCATACCACATTTGTAACGAATCGTCCAGATTCTTTCAAATCTGATTCGTTGATTGCTTCTCCGACCTATTCGACTCAAATATGAGAAATAGATCTTGTCTGTCGATTTCTTTAAAGTCAACTCACTCTTTCAAATACTGGAATCGCGCGCACTCCACATTCTAACACGAGTCGTTTGATCTTGATAGAGCTCAATGAAAACTATGCAACCCGTGATGTGAGCGAAAGTGACAAAAAACCCGCATTTCATCCCTGCAGATACCTTTACGACCGATTCCCATTCCTTCAAGGATAGTCTTGACTTCATACGGTGAATGACTCTCTATTGGAAGGCCACCTCCTTGAGAATCAAACCCTCTTGAATAAGGTTGATTCCAATGAAAGACTCACGGGGATGTTGTTGATTTGTTTCAAGCATGACTTGAATGTATCGCTGATATGATACAAATCAGGTCTGACAAAGTAAGCAATGGCCTCTTGACGTTCTTCAAGAATGTGAAGATCGAGAGATGGACGTAAAAACCATGTCTTGAGTAAAGCACGGCCTACAGCAGTTCGTGTCGTGTCCATTATGTCTGCGCGACAAAGAAAACGAAGTTAAATCCAAAATTCTAAGCATGGCTTATCCTGCAAAACATACCAAATAATGAAAGTCCTTCACGAGATCTACGAGAGCGCATGGACGGATGCAACTCTTCGGAAAATATGCCGAGAGATCTAAAATCAATGAAAACGAGTTGTTGTTTACTGGATTACATCAAATTCTCAACGCAAGACATACGAGAAGGCATCAGTGTTCAAACGCATGAAGTTGTTCCTATGAGTCAGTAGACTTTTTAGTAAAGAAAGACTTTCATTTGAGACATGTATGAGATCGCGAACCTACAGTTTGAACTGCTCAATCTTCTCCACAGAGAAATCACTCATTTCATCATCACCCTCTCTCATTCCTCCTTGACTCAGCCAGGCTATCAGAGCACCAGCGGAGGAAATCATGTTCTCACAAACAGTGTCTAGCACTGATTCTAAATACAGCGCCATTTCCGCTCGTTTCGTAGACATTCCAGATATTAAATGGCGGGAGGGAGAAGCGAGAGCTCGTAGCGACAAGAGTCGATTACGAGCTGTTTTGATGGCAAAATCTGGGCCTGGGCGGAAGATGGTTTCGTGTGTGCCATCTAAAAAAGCAAGTGTTTCAGAAACCGGATCGAATAATACGTGTTCAAAAGAGTGGTGTCCACCTACCACGAACCACATCATAGAATGCCTCTTCAGTACGAGATGACATCAAAATCACAGATGGATTGACCTGTAGTTTTACTGTAGAGAAATTTGCATGTTAGCCAAACAAACAAGATGAGCATTTCACTCCAGTTTCTTACAGAGAGTCGTCATAGTAAATGCTTCGTCTTCTTCAACGTCTTCCATAACATACAGCTGGTGCGTTCTATCATCAAAGAAGGCGCAACCAACTTTACGGCCTCTACTACTAATAGCCATCACAATTCGTTGATCCTCATCCTGCCAAAAAACCGAGCGTGAAATTTAAGGATTCTCTCAAAGGACCGATCAATTAAAGGCCTTACATCATTCTCCATTTCTGACTCTGATAGTCCTAGACCATCCGTCTTTGTTGCATCATCATCACCGATGTCTTCTTCATCTTCGACATCAGGAGCTTCAAACTCGTTTGCTTGAACGTGATCATCGAAGCGAACACGTTTGATGACTGGTCTGACTACCTCCCTCCTTTTATTAGATTCTTGACTCTGTTGCAGTTGCTGCTGAGGTGATTGCCTGCGACCTACAGATGATGCTTTACTGCCACTACGAGATGAAGCAACACTTGTTTGTTTCGTTTCTTTCAACTCGTACGCTGTGAATTGTATATCGTCTTCATCAGCGATTACACGTTTATATGATTTTGGGGCAGGAGTTGGTGATGCGTGTTGTTGCTGTACATTCATATAATCATCGTTCGATGGTTTTGGTGATGAATGTACACCAACTCGAGGAAGGGAGGCTAGTGAGGCCTTCACCTGATCTTTACGTAGGCGACGCTCAATAGAAGCAGCGCTTGGCTTGGAATGGGGTGTATGGGTAGTTGATGATGGTGTCTTGATTGTGCCATCTTGCACTTGCGGATGTCCCATCGGTGATGTCGAGTATCTACGATCTGCTTCGTCTTTGGAGGCAACATCCATATTCTGCGAGTTTGTATCTCTATTTACAGAAGTGTTGAATGTCACGTCATCGCACTTCTTCGAATTAAGATTGGCGGAATCTGAATCAACAAGAGCAGCATTACTACTACTACCACCATGAGTCTCATGATTATTCTGTTGAGAAAAGTCTTCAATGTCGTCGTCAACATCAACAGCCATCATATTTATATGTGGAGCAGGAGTAGGTGGTTTGAATGGCTTTTTAATGCGTAATGTCGAAGGGCGTAATCCCAGAGTTGACTTTGGAGTAGTTACATTGTGTTTGCTAGAAGCAGGCTTTGTTGGCGATATGTAAGGAGTTGTTTGAAGGTGAGCTTGGTTTACTGGGGTTGGTGGATTTGTCTCGAGTTCGTTCCGAAGAGGTTGATGAGGTGCTTGATTGCCTGCTTTGAATACATCATCATTCAGCCAGTCGTCTTCGATGATGATTTCGTCCATCTTTGTATTGTTTTATACAAGCGGCCTAAAGCTTTGCGATATGATTGATGTCTTAATGTTCAGACTGAGTGAAATGGATTCTACGGGGAGAGAGGACGTTGTAGGCCTTTTAATTCATGAGAAATGATTTAAATATGAGGAAAGTATTTGACTGCGAGCGATCGTATCTAAACTGACCACTGCTCAATGAACAGACGCTCACCTCAGACTTGGAATCAGCAATACAAATAAAAAGATATCATCCAGCAAGCAATCAGAAAGGAGGATTTGCTTAGTTTCGATTTCGATCTAGGCCTGAATCGTGGCTCCGAATTTCAAGAACTCGACCGATTTCTAGCGAGAGAAACTCAACAGACGCGGGATATTCCAGTATTTCTTATATCCGATGTACTATATCACTAATTCATTCCGTTGTTAGACTGCTACCCATGTAAGCTCTAATCTACATCCAATGTCCCTACAAGGTTGGATCATAGAAACTATGACTCATGTGTATTCTAACGATTCCAAACATGAATATTTATAAATACACAAATCTGGCCTCTGGCCTCATGTCTGATTTCTCGCCGGTCGTTTAAGCGTGCTTTCTGGTGTCTCTGATACTAAAGGCGTGTCCATCGTTGTCAGAAGAAGTAAAAGGGCCTGCATCAATTGTCTCTCTCGAAAGTCGTCAGCCCGTACTCGTAGCATCTGCATTGATCATATTTATTCACAAGTCTCTTGGATGCTTCATCTCTTAAATTACAAACAAGAAAATAGATAGATTACGAAATGAAGAGTTGACCATTCCAATTATATCCCACCGACTTTGAAAACATCATCCTTCCGGTAAGTTGGATAAATTTCTGTGTGTTTGTGGATACATGCCACCTCTTGTCAATGCATCACCAAACGACCAAAATGACCGCTAAGGCCTTGGCAGCAGTGTTGGCGGAAGTGGTCTCACCTTTTGATCCAAAGCGAGCACCAATTGGTTACGAAAACAATATGCAGCTGTGAGGTTACGATATCATCAACATCAAAGATCTTACGGATGCTTGTAAATCAACTAGTCCATTACCAATCCCCCAAAAATCATTATGGTCTCGATTTGCAACGGGCTTCAAAATATGTTCCCAGGACCATGCGTGACTAGAGCTGGGGATAATTTTCTGAGTGACTTTGTATGTGAAGAAATGGATGTACCAGATGATAATGCAGGATCTGTTGCTACTGTGGGTGTAGGCTCTTCAAGGGGGTGGCATAGATAAACCTGCTCGTGAAGGTGATGCTTTGGAACTTTGAGAGATTTGTCTTCCATTTTCAGTTATTCCTTAGGCCCAATCTTAGTCAGTTATATGTTATACCCAATCCTATAATTCTCTAATGTCTATTCCATTTGCTACGGACGAGTGTCACTCCAAACTCCAAACGGTACCGGACCAGTGAACGTCGCAGCAGCTTTCGATCAGGCCTCGAGTCCTTGAATAAGTTCCTTTCGTAAAACATTTGTACACGTTTGTGATACAGCCAAGTAAATAGCAAATAGAAGCACTCGCCAATTAACAACTGGTTTTGCAGCGGAGAGCTTCTCCATGTATATCGATATTTTTGTGGCACAAGTTGCAAAGATGCAGGCATGCCAACATGCAAACCATCTCATTTTCGCGTAGTCATACATTCGCATACTATGTTGAACTTTCAGGTTCTGCTTCAAGCTTCAAGTTCGTTTCTATATTGACTACCAGTAACAAATATTGCAAGGAACAACCACAACCACCCAGTCACACAATTACTTCTTTACTGAATCTCACAATTGCGATTCCACCAACTGTGATCCCGCAAAACGAAAGATGTGAAGCGTAGTAGGTCAGCGGTATCTGGTGCTGGTTCGATTGTGATGCGAGTGACATATGCAATATTGTGATGACCAGCGAAAGTATTGGCCTAAACGAGAGTCCAAGCATAAAAAAACACGTCGAGGAAGTGGTAGCGTAACCTAATCTCATACTTGTGCTGGCTTCACATGTTCAGCATTGGTTTCGTTGTACTTGTCTGATTTACACCCTACAAGTACGGTTCGCTCTCCCCAGTTGGCACCGAGAGCAGCAGAGCATTCGTTGGAGAACTATGACGAGATTGATAGGATTCACTGATGGCCAATGGATTCTACTTTCAGAATGTATTGCAATCAGAAACACACTCACCTTATCGAGAAGGGCGAATGAGTCTTGGCATGTAATATCGTATAACATCAAAATACAGGCAGATTTTTTCAATTTAGTTTTACGGATAGGTTCAAACGAACGGGCACCTCCGATTTCGATCAATGATATGTTGATGCCATCACATTTTACATTCTCGACGTTCTTAAAAGTTGAAACGTATTGCTATATGTATTGGTGTGAACGCCTTGGCTTGACAGTGTTTTGGATCAAGTACTCACTGTTGAAACTTGATGCTTGTTTGCAATGTAGCGAAGTAGGGTGGTCTTCCCTGCTTGCTTAGGGCCGATTACCAACACATGGCTATATATAGTACGATTCGAGTTAGATCCGTGTTCAAAGATAGTCCATCTCGATAAGAAGCGAACATCAGCTTTTGGGGGTTTTCATGTTTTGAGACAGCAGCCCATCCCCAATATGAGAAAAGGTTGGAAAGCATGTTCCGAACCCTCCACTGATAATAAAATGATATCATCCTTCTTCTTTTATGCCCAATTACTGGTTGTCTGCACACCCAAATCACTTCCAAAAAATAACAATTTTCTTCTGCAAGATACAAAGAAGGAAGAAATCTTACCTCTCAAACATAGTGCACTATACTGGCAATATGAATTTCTATTAGTCTCTTTCAATATACTCCGATAGGCTCTCAATGTCCTCCGATTGGGATGTAACCATTCACGGTGTGTATGTTTGTCGAATTCTTCACACAACGAGAGAGTTGACTCGAGGCTGCTGACGCGGGACACATTATTATATATAATCATAGTTAGGGAATTTGATTCGCAAACGACACACTTTGGTCGTGTTTAGCATTGGAACTGATACTATGGACATGTTCACGCGTACCAACAGAGGTACTATCGCCACCGAATTTAACCTATGTTGGTGATTGCGAACATCTTATGATCGTATTTTGCGAATTTGAAACTGCCAAGCTACGAAATTCAACCAACGAATCTCGGTACAAGGCTCGAACGAATAATTCGTTGCGTTTTGTAACAGTAACAACCAAGTTTAGTCCTTTGTGCTCCACTCGACATACAATTTGAACATCCTTGTAGCTTTATGTCATTTAAGCGTGTTTCTGATCCTCTTTAGTACCAAAGGCGTTTTGCAACATCTCGGCAAGATGTATCCAAGCCGTCGCAGCATGATGAAAACTCCCAGTAAAACGTTCACCAAGTAGCTACGCCTCAAGACTCTGGTTCTGAGGCTCCTCGAGGTGAGATAGAGACTGATATCTGCTTGTTTGTCCTTGTTTTTGTATAGAGTCAAGACAGACTGATAATAGGGATACTTTGACAGAATTCAGTAGGTAGTGGTGTCACATCTATAGCTGGTCAGAGCTAGCGTCCACCCAAAATGCTCCTTCTGGTCGATAGGAAACGTCGCGAGAGTCCAAGTCTTTTTATGTTGATTATGTGGATTTCCCTTGGACACGTCCATTCATAGACCAATTGAAGTGGAGAGGTCAATAAATACCTTCTAAAGCACTATCATGCAATATGCGACCTGGAGGCGATTGATACAGACGGGTTGTTCTTCCTATTGGTGCTGGAAAGTCTGAAACCTCGGTGCACCCAGTTTACAACATATAGACAGCGTCTACCGCACCATAGCCAAATATACACGGGGACAAAACTACTTGCAGACGCACTATATAATCATATCTATCGCTCAAAATGCGTTTCAGTCGCTCCTATATCAACAGCGCCAATCGTAGCAAACCAAAATCATCAACACATTCAAACGGAATCAACCCGGTCCCATCAGGCCCTGGCAAGGTAAGCGATTGCTTTATATACCACCATGGAAGCTTTTACTGTTCTCTTTTTCCTCTTTCTTACTAATTTCATCTCACATTCTTAGGACATCAAACACATCCCTCGACAATCCATCACCAATGGCCAGCACACCCTTAACGTGCCTGTTGCTCTTATCAAGATGGCAGAATACATCTTAGAGTATGGAACTGAAACCAAACAGATCTTTAGGTAAGCAAATGTTTGTTGTTTTTGTCATCGTCGATTATGTTCTCATTCTTTCCCGGGATTCCTGCCAACACCACAGGCAGTCGTGTCTTACTGACAAGGCTATCGCAGATGCTCTCGCTGATGTCGACTTGGGCGCTGACTATACCATCCAAAGTCTCGTCAAACTAGTATTTGGACATCAATCTGAGAAACCTGAACCCAAGGCAGTAGCATCTGCATTCACCATCTTCATTGATGAGACTCTTGGAGGTTTCATGACGTATCGTGTAAACCAGAAACTAGATCAGCTTCGAAATGAGGAGATGACTATACCCATCATATCCCACATACTACGAAAAAACCTGACTTCACATCAATTGGATGTGTTTCTTTTCGCTATGTCAACATGCAGGAGGTTTGCCTGGTATCAAAAGACAACAGAAATGACTGCCAAAGCCTTGGCTGCCGTCATGGCCGAAATCATCGTATCACTCAACGCAAAGCAAAAGCTACTTTGCCAAGAAAACAACATACAACTCTTGACCTTTTGTATCATCAACATCAACGACATCATGGACGCATGTAAATCCACCACTCCATTAGTCACTCCCAGAAAATCATTTTGGTCGCGCTTTGTCAAGGGTGTAAAGAATGTATTCGCAGGACCTTCTGTTGCTAGAGGCGGTGCTGATTATACGACTGACTTCGCACCGCAAGATATGAGTGTGCCATATGATCATGCAGGATCTGTTACTAGTGTGGATATAGTCTCTTCAATTGGTCAAATCGACAAACCAGCTCGAAAAGGTGATTGAAGTTTTGGAATTTTTGAGAGCTTTGTCTTGCGTTTTCAATTTGTTTACATCTCCAAACGTATAAGAATCTAATATTTATTCCATCGACTATATAGGTTTCGCTGGTACTCTCTTATTCGTAGCCGTATTGATTCGTAAATCTCTTAAAATGGAACAGGAAGCTCGGACACTTGAACGTGCTGTTGCACAAGTAATTGCATTGAGTCATGGGAACTCTCGTGTAGTGCCATTCTCTGAAGGTCGCCGCATTGCATTGTCACTGCCACCCAATCGTCAACTTGTAGAGTTATGCTACCAACTGCTCGCATGCTCTGGTATGAGTCTACCTGCTCCAGTGAACGTAAAGTTGGATGGCTGCTTTGGTCTCTCTTTGGTCAGCCGGCCTGCAGTCAAGAAAGAACTCGTCAAGATTGCTAAATTCACTATTGGTACTATGGTGGTAGCCACTCGATCATCCCCAGAATTCTCCATCGACAAGACAAACGGTGCACCTGGTCCAGTGTGGCCACCAGTCTTCTCTGAACCCATAATTGAATACCGTCAAATGAACGTATCACATCGTTTAGTAACACCGGCTGCTTCTGTGATGAGAGCTACTCCTAAAGAACTTAATGGAACGGTAGTCTGGACTCAAAATATGTTTGGTGGCTTTTGCAATTACAAACCCTCGGTCATATCTGCTTGGGGTTTATTGGATGGTGCTGGCTCGAATGCCTGGAATAGCTTTATGGTTAGAATAGTTAGAAAGGCAAGATTGATATGTGGGAGCGATGCTTCTATTTCTGGTCCAGGTAAGAGTTTGGATTGATTCATTGAAAATCGCCTCGTTGTGTCTCTATTAGTATAGCTCGCTAATCTATCAAATCGTTGTATCTTAGGTGCTCACTCGTCTACCAGTTTGTCGGTCCGCCAACCTTGTCTTGCCGTCAGCGATTATAGCCCACTCGCCGTCAATAAGAAAGTTACCATACTCTTTGGCTCGCATGAGGTACATTCTCCTTATAGCCTAATTAAAGAATTGTCCAACGCCGCTTATATGGAAGGTGGTGCAAGTGGTAATCTCGAAGTCGTAAGCTGGAATTGCTTTATCGCCACCAAACCTCATGATGAAGAAGGTCTCTTGGAATTGGAAAAAACATTGGGCTTCTGTGTCAACACTCGTGCTTGCTTGTTTCCCACTACCTCTATCATCGAACAATCAGGAATTACGACAGAAATCGTCAAGGATGCTGTATACTCGCAAGTCAATGGAGTTCATTTACCAGGATATGCTGGTCTGATGAAGGTCAAGGTCTCCCAAAACGTTTATAGAAAAGTCTTGTCTGAAACTGCATCTGCTACCTTGTCTGCTCTCTCCGATGCTAGCAGTGGTGGTTTATTGACCAGTGTAGGATTTAAAGCTATGAACAGTTTGGTAGTCGGAAGTGTAGGAATGGTCGGTGAAGTGTTGTTTTGTCGAGTCGGCCAAGGTGAGAGCTCAAGACTCATTCAGAGAATGAGCTGCGTAAGCTACTGTATCTGATGCCTGTTGTGTTATATCTTTCGCATAAATGTAACGACCCTCACTAACCAACGCAAAATCGGTTCACTTTTAGGTGCTGAATCACTTGCCGTCTTCTCACTCGTGTATGGTGGTATCGAAGCTACATCTGCTCTCCAAGCTCTATTTACAGGCAGGATCTGTGTTAAAGTATCCGATACTTGTTTTATCTGGTTCGATTGTCGTCCAGTCGGGGTAGATGACCAAGGTGCCGCACTCCAAGGAAAATCACCTCGTAGTAGTCATGGTCGTGTCTCTGCTGCTCTGGTAGCTTTTGCTCGTGGTGAGGCGGTCTTGGGTTTGGATTGTAGTTTGGGATTCCAAGATGCTGTGAAAATGGGGATGAGACCCATGATTCCTAGACGTAACGGGTGTGTCTCTGGTGTCACCTGGGCTTGAAGGTGGTTAGAATATACAAGAAAAAGAAATAATTCATAGTCGTGTCTTGGTTTGGTAGTGGACTAAATTATAAAAGAAAAAAAAAAGGTGATAGATGTAGGTGTGATGAACTGTACAAGAGGAGGTGCCCTTATACGTAGAAAAAAATATTCAATAAAGTAGACAATTTTGTAAACCCCTAACTCGCTTCATTTCTCCTGCTCATGTGGTTTATGTTTTAATCGTTCCATCTTACAAACAACAAATCTATGTATCCGCCTTTTTTTACTCCATATACACAACAAACCTCATAAGCCTTGAGTACGCATCAGCAGCCATTCTAAACTGCAATACACCAGTGAAGAGTGCAATAGCTTTTGATCGGGCCTTGAATTCTCGAATTCGTTCTTCTCGTGCAGCATCTACATACATTTGTGACACAGCAGCAGTGTATAGCAAGTAGAGACATCCCATTGTATGCAAAATAATATATGCAAAGGATTTCATAATGGATGCATCAAGTGCTTTGGCTTGTTCGGCCTTTTGTTGGGTTGAGGTTACGTCGGGTGTTGTTGGGAGGATGCCTATGGATTCGATGATTTTCATGGCGGCCTATATTATGGATTGAACACGATGATCAGATTAGGGAAAGCGAAAAAATTCGAAACGCAGAGGGTGGTATTGATCGCTTGCCTCTGGTTGAGCGGCCTCATAGGCTCTATAGAACTTGTGCAAGTCCAACAAGATCCTGAGTGTAGATTGTCGAGCATCTGATATCTTGGATGCAGTATTGGGTCTCTTTTTATAGTAATCTGCCAACTAGTTGTTGAAAGATTGTTAGTAATGGGGCGTTTGTTTTTACGATTTGCGGGGAAAAAAACGTATCAAGCGCCCACACATTACTTACACTTTCAGCATTCTTGACTGCCTCTTCGACCTCCTTGGGCGCCGTTACAACCGTAAGAGGAGACGCAGCTCCACCTTCTTGCAACATCACGAAAGGAGCCGTAGAAGCCCTCATCATCAACCCATCACCCAATTTCGAAATCAATAATCCAACTACATCATCATAATCACCAGCCAAATCACGTAGCTTTAGTGCATCTTCCCATCTTCCTTCCTTCTCAGCTCTTTCAGCAGCAGGGCGAACGAGACGGGCCGAGAATTCTTCTTGGGATTTTATGTGGATTACGGATAGGGATTTGGAAATAACACTATCGGATCGTGTACCATCTGGTCGTGATTCGCCGATTAGAGTCTTGAAGTCTCGAGTTGCAAGGATCAAATCTATGAGTATATTATATAGTGCTCGTGCGTAATCTCGTGATGATGGGATTGATGTGTTTGTTGTTTGGCGGGAGCCTGGTGTTGCACCTGAGCCTGGGCCTCGTGGGGTTGGGTAGAGAGTGGCCTCTCCTAACGGTGCTGCATATAGTCCAATGAGGTTGTAATAGTTGACGGCATCTGCTGGATCACTCTTTGCAAAGAATTTCACGTATGATTGTAAGAGCCTACATTTGAAGTGTGATGATGATGTTATAGACGGCTCAGGTATAGTTTGCTCATCGATGTCGACAGAAATAAGGAAGAGTGCCTTCAGGGGCAGCAAAGAAAAAACCGCAACAACCGAGCGGAGTATACCTGACGAAGTTCAAGTACACGACTTCATAGTGTGCTCCTTGACGAATGACACACATCTCCAACCCAACATCCGCAGCATAAGGAGATTCTGGAACTCTAAAATAGAAAAGTTAAACCAAAACAAGCAGATGATTGCCGCAAAGAATGGTTTTTCGACTCAACCACAAACCTGAGTGCCTGATGATATGCCAAAGCAATAGCAAAATGAATTCCTTCAACACCGTAATCAGGATGAGCAGCCAAATGCTCTACAGCTCGCTCGAATTCACCACACAACAAGAGTATCTGGAACCATATAGTCGGTGGTTTACCAGGAGGAGCGAAATGTTGAGATCCAAAGCCCATCAAATGTTTGGCAACGTCTCTTATAGTGTACTTTTCAGGTGGTGCCAAGTCTGTAGTGTCTTCTTGCACTAGACATAGTTGATACCATAGATAGTCTTCAGCGTTTGAAGCGACTTCTTGACCTGGGTTCTTTTTCGATAATTCACACCGACCTAGTAGTTTGAATAGAGCTACTTTATATGGGTCTTCGGGTACAGCTGGCTTTGCGAATCGTGTGCTCCAAACAGATGTGATGAGGTCTCTCATAGGACGTGATATGCGACGATCTGGAGATTCAACCCATGCTTTGAATGCCGTTACAAATTCATTTTCGAATTCGTTTTGGCGAGTTTCTACAAATGCGAGGGCTTGAGCTGTATGCCCTGTTCGTACCAAGTAGAAAACTTGCGCCCAGATTGGAGTATCGTTGACTACTACGAGTGGAGGTGATGCAGTCCATTTGTTGAATCTATATAATATGCTCTTAACCCATGCAGCTACTACTTTTTCTGGAGGTGGCAATGCGCCGAGTGGTGCTCTCATACGTTGTACATCTAGTTGTACATGAGCCCACATTTGTTCCTGTAAATATTCTCTACCTTTACGTACAAGCCATGCTCTAAATATAAGACTAGATTCTGGTTTGATTTGTTCTTCTTGTCGTGTGATGGCACTAGGTCCTCCAGATTCGAATACTTTGATCAAGTAGCTCCAACAGTCTCCCAGTTGTTTTTGAGCGATATCGTTTGTTACGTTTACTTTGGAGGCGACTTCTCTAAATGTGGTCATGGCTTTGTATGGGTCGTCTTTGATTCGTGAGTTGTTTATGGATGCTACTACATTCGCGTATTGTCGTAGTTTCGCTTGTTGGTTGAGGTTTAGTTGAGGAGGGAGGGGTGTATTATTTATGTTCATCATATTGCCTGTTGTTGCCATTCCACCCATAGCACCGGCAGGAGTCATGGACATGGAAGCAGGAGTCTTTCCGGCAGCCATTCCACCAGCCCAACTCTTGACTGGAGTAGCACCACCAGCCATGATTCCTGTCATGTCGGTACCATTACTAGATATGTCTTCGAGAATGAGTCTCTTTTGTTCGGCCCATACACGTTGGAACGTAGCATCCATGCGGGCATCAAAGTCCTTTTGAGTCTTTATGCGAGTTCTTTCTACAGTTCGATAGATGCTCTTTTCCAATTGATCCGCCAGATAGCCTTCTACATCGGTATCACCTACTATGCTTGCAGGTTCTACTATTTGGGCAGCAGCGGATATTTGGGAGAGGGCATGTTGGACTCGTTCCGAGTTGAAGCTGACGCCGGTTTCGGCGAATAGCCTTGTGACTTTGACATCCTGTGGGGCCGCAGCATTTGTGCGTTGAGAAGCACGAGTCTTTTCACGTAATGTCTTTGATTGCGTATGAATCTGGTTGAGATTGAGATTGATTTGTGGGATGCCAGGAGCAATGTGGGTGGTGAGGTTTGTGGACGACTGCAATATAGATGAGAAATCGGATTTACGCGCTTCCATCCTAGACAGATAGTAGTACGTTGCGTAAGTATTGAGAGCTTTATGTGTTTGAATGTTTTAAAGTGCAAGTTGAGAACAGGGAGAGAGCAGATGCAGACATCCTAAGCAACAAGAACCTCTTTATAATTGGCTAGCATCTTACCTTGCTAATGACTTGTCGTTCCTCCTGTGCAAGCTAAGACAAATCGAGTTTTCTTGGGAGGGTCGAATACTAAGAGTTTGGACGAGGTTCAAAATGGAGAGAGGCAAAAGCGGATTTACGTGTCATATGTAAAAATACAATAAAATATCGTACTTTACTCACGTGATTGCTACTCCTCGCCGTATGGAAAGCGCAAAGAGTTGACAGCAGTTTCACTTCAAGCCGAACAGCAAGAGAGAGCTAGAAGAGCATACACTATAGGCCAAAGAGGAGGCACATCGCACTAGCTGTGCAAGCCGTCTTATAGGATACAGGATTCGCATCGATAACATGATGGCTTCCCCAAATAGGCTGCCAAAAGCGTTCTGCTATATTTCGCCTTGGAGCATCACTCCGACAGAAGCCCTCCATGTAACCCAACATGATATTTCTTATTCGTTCTTCGTACTTTCGGTTCTACTACATATGCTTACAAACACTCGACTGTCTAGTTATCGGCCTTGCTAGAGGAATTGCAATTGGCTCAATGTCAGGTCGTTGACCCGGCTGCCCTCACTTACATTATAACTCGCTCAATCGATATTCCTGAGCGACCTCAAGCTCCTGGAGATCTCCGCAAGCTGGTCACTGTATGTCATGCATGCCTTCACTGTCCCGTCAACTTGCAGCACCCCTATCGCTTTTAATTCGTCGTCTCTCGCATAGCCCGACTGGATCTATGCTTGCAAACGAAATGTTTTGCCACACGAGTATGTCCGAGATTGCCCTTGCCTTGCTTTCTGCCAGTTTGTGCTCGACTAACTGACTGATCATCCTCTCTTTCCAAACATCATCAACAGCCAAAAGCAACACTTGTTGCACGAGTAAGCGTTTTCCATTCTTGCCTTGATGACGCACGATTTGACTTGAACTGACTTGTTTATTATAAACAGGCCGACATTTTATTCACCAGACCCAAAGATGTTCTTCTCAGGGATGGTGATATTCTGTAATCAAATGCACGAAAGCCAAGTCATATACAATGGAGTCGCTGCACACGGAGGTCAATATAGAGTGCATCCGGATCCAGATGTCACTCATGTAGTACAATCACAAATGCCAGATCACGTACAGTTCCTCGAGTTGCGGTCTGATCACACCAATTTTCCAACCCGTTGCTTCCTTCTTAATAGACAAGGCTTCTTCAAGCACAGAACGGAGACGTAATACTACTACATCCGGCCTTCTTCATCGATACTTTTAGGTTGGGCAGAAAACTTCCTGAACATTTGTATTATTATCCGCAGCTAGCTATACTTCAAGACCCAGCATTACCTCTCCCGCCAGCTCCGCCTGTACGTCCCAAACTACCCGACGATGACAAGTGGCTCCGCAATCATGTATTTTACTTTGATCCAAACATCAACGAATTCGACCTTCGTAATCAAATTATACTGGCTGGTGGTCTCGTTGTCTCTGAATACGATAGGAATAAAGTGACTTGTGTCGTTACTCCCAAAAGGACTGGCCAAACCTATGTTAGAGTAAGTTTGCGTTTCGAAGGACGGACACTGCTTTAGTCATCCTTGACGGTTTTTTTTGCGATCACTTGTTCGCAATATTCGTTTTCTGTCGCTTTATCTTCTTTCGAATACGTTTGCGATGGCTCATTCGAACATGACTATCGCTTAGGGTGAACAACACGGAAAATGGGTTGGGACGGCAAGATGGGTTCGAGATGCATTGCTGAATCAAGATATTCAGTCACCAAAGTTAAGGCTTCTACACTATGTAAGGCTAATGCTGCGCTGTTCGTATTGATAGAACACCAAGTAACGCCCTTGTCCCTACATCCTTCAGCCTAGGCCACATCCACCACTCTTCAAAGACGGTGATCGCGGTAATCAGACAAGACCAGTAATTGTATTCCGCAATTTCTCGAACGTAGCAGATGTAGCTGAAATGGCTGGTCATCTTGGATTCAAAGTCACAAACACATTCGACAGGCAGAATACAGCATTGATATGTTGTCTGACTGCAAGTAGAGAAGACTTGAACAAGGCATTCGACCTCGATGTTCCTGTTTTGAATCATTTCTGGTTGGAAGGTAAACTGGAAGTGTTCAAGATCTTGCGCCAGTTTCGGTTACTCATTCGTGTCGCTACTTCATTGTGTAGACTCGTACGCCAAAGGGGCCATGCTTGAGAGGGCTAGAGCACCGTACATATATTTCCCTTTATGCATACAAGCTCTTGTCGGAAACACAATGGTCGATGAGCAAGTCATTGCCAGAACTATACGACAGGAAGGCAAAGCTTTGAGTATCGTCAGTCCATTAGCTCATGCACCACCCAACTCGATTCTCACAAATAGTCATAAATCTGTAACAATGAATCGCACCAAAAATGTGGAACTCATAGATCTAGAAGATGATGAAACACCAGCGACACCAACTAGACCTCAAGCAGTACGAACTGCTAGCACGAAGACCAATGGCACTGGTGAACCTCTACCAGGATTTAGGACTTCGTATGATGTCAACCAACACAGGAATCTCCTCGAAATGATTACGGGAACTCCTGAATTTTTTGAAACAATTCGATCATCAGATGATACAGGTCCCGATACGGATCGTGGTGCCAGCTCAGGTACTCACATCCCATCGACTTCACCACACGTTTCAGCGAATGGTGCTCCTATAAATGGTAGTGCTGCCCCTAGGAATGGTGTGATGACCACCGCTACATCTACTGTTAGTATCCCAGCTTCGATAATTAATGAGCTCGACATGAGAAGTAGCCTCGCTGCTGGTACATCTGCTCCGATGAGTAATAGTACCACTACAGCAACGAGCAGTCCTGCTGCACCAGCTGTAAGCAGTACTTCTCATAGTAGTCCTTATACTGGCGGTGGGCCTACCAGTAGTAACGGAGCTTCCACAAACAAGGCAACAGTAAATATCTCTGCTCCTGCTGTAAGCAGTGGTGTGGTCAGTCTCCCAGCGGAGCCACAGTTCAGGTTCCCGATGGTGGCCCCAACGCCAACAGCAACAACAAGGTTACCCGTGACTACTTTTGGGTTTCCATTGGTCACTGCTGCAGGTTCGAAATCCGTTGTTCGAGTAGCGAGATGGAAAATATCAACTAATCGCCCTTTCTTTACCTAGTTGTAAGCACAGGCTTCTCGTTTTCAACGCCACTTCCAGCAGCCTCGGGCAACATCGGCTTCAGCTTTACTGCTGCTGCCGCTCCATCACAACCATTAGTTCCAGCAACATCACAGCCCATATCAACATCTCCACAATCAGAACAGGCGTTTGCTGAAAAATATGGTCCTATTCCTGACAATGTCTTGTCAAGAATAGCCTCTGGCGCGCCTGTTCCACAAGGAGCAGGAATCTCGGATCCGCTATTATCTAACGTGAATCAATCTAAGAATGAAGCACGACAGTCTCCTGATCATAATATAACATCACGAAAGTCTCCCGGTCACAGTACAACAACAAAGTCAACAGCACCAAAGGCAACATTACCTCCATCTCATAAAGATACAGCGCAGGGCCAAGCAGCAAAACCCATATCGTCTCCATCTCATAATTCTACAGCACAGCCAACAACACTAAAACAAGTATCATCTCCACGTGCATCCATTGCAAATATTGTCAATGCATTAGATAAAGATCCGATTAGTAGAAGTGTTAGTGAGAATCAACTAATTGTAGAGAATGGATCGTCAACTCTCAGAGTGCCAGCTACTACTCAGGTTGCAATGGACACCTTGAAAAAATCTTCAGTTCCATCTCGTGGTTTCCAGAACGTAGTGAAGGATTCTGGCAGATCACAGTCTCCTCATCAACAAACGAACGCCACATCTTCTGCAGAGAAGACAAAAGATGCATCACCAGCTCCATCGCTTGGTCTATCGGTATTGAAGGATACTGGTATAACACAGTCACCTCAACCACCAACGCCAAGTAAAACAGTTAATGTTGCTGTGAAACAGACTGAGAAGAGGACGGAAGTACCATCCGTTAGCAATGGTAGTGGTAGCAGCAACGTGGAGGCGACTCGACCTGCTACATCCAAACAGCCCGAAGTTGTCAAGGCTGCAGTCAAGAAGCCCGAAGGTGCTGAAGTAGCCAAGGGTCCAGCTAAATTGCTTGACGCAGCAGACGCTGCGGTAGTGTCAGCAGCGACAGAAGCAGGTCCAAAGGTTGTTGCAGCAGCTCCCAACCTTACGAGGCCGACTTTCGATCGTAACAGGAGTGCCACACCAAATCCACCTGCAGCATCTAAAGAAAGTTCCATTGCATCAACAAGCGGTACCCTCGCTAGCTCATCTAAACCTGTGTCATCAGCGAGTAAACCTGTGGCATCAGCAATTAGTATTACTCAACCATCAGCTCAACCCATGACTCCATCTAAATCTTCAGCCACAAACGAAACAGTGAACCCATCTACTCCACCAGCATCTTCTAAAAGACTCGCATCGAATAACAACAATTATGTAAAATCTTCACCACTCCCAAAAGTCCCAACAATGCTCACAGATCCACCAATATTTCCACCTCCGACTCCTCCTAAAGCTAAACCCACCGTGATTCGCAAACCAGCAGGACAGGTGCCAATCACACCCTTATATCAACCCCCGAAAGTCAAGACACCACCAATAACGCGTCCAGAAGAAGCTCCTGCTAATCAAAATCATACTTCGAATGTGGTTGCAGAGTTAGCATCAGCGATTGCTGCTGTTGTTGCTCCTACTAGTAATAACGTAGCATCTAGTAGTAGTGCAGCACGAGCATCATCAATTCCAGCTGCATCTGTGGGCAAGGGAGCGGCTGTAGCTGCACCAATAGTAGCTGATGGAAGATCGACTA